GAAGTGGGGTGGATCGGGTTTGAATGAATGGTTAAGTGATTGAGACTCTACAAAATTGAGAGTAATATTTAATGTGATTGGTATCTGCCCATGCACATTACATTCAATGAAAGGAACTGCCATGTCATGATTTTAATAAATTATATATGAATGTGGGAGGAATAAATATTACAGATAGGAAAAGAATAGTTTATTGGCTGGCCTTACAAACCAGCCACATTACTTTCTCATCGACTTTTGAGACAAAAAAAAAAAAAAAAAAAAAAAAAAGCAATGCTACACCGATTATATTTGTATTTTATGTTTTCATCCATTCGTAAAACAGAACCTCTATCATTCGATCAATTAAATATGTATATTTTTAATTTCAGTTTATCGAGTGTAATTTCTCAAAATTCAAAATTTATCTAAATGCTTTTCTGCACTACATGATTAACTATTATAAGCTTTTGTTTTCACTTCTATTAACGTTGTCGGTTCATCGCTCATCGATTCAATTTCTTGTATTGGGTAGTTTTTTTTTAGATAAATATAAATATTCAATTGATTGAAATCGAATATATGAGTGTTTAATTGGCTGAAATGAAAAATATAAGTATTCAATTTATCAAATTAATAACAAACGAGCTTTCTGGGTGTGATCGGATTTCTTGGAAATCAAGTTCTTCATGAAATTTGATCACGGTCCAAAAAAATCTGACTGAATATTAAAAAAAAAAAAAAAACACAAAGACAATACAGCAACTATGCATGAGGTCCATAAAACATTTTAACCCCAACAATTAAGTCATTTTAATTACGAAGCTAAAATCGAAAATCGAAAATCATATTTTTAGAATAATAATGATAATGATAATGATAATAAAACCATTGGGAATGTGTTGCTATAATTTGCTATGGGATTTTGTATCATTGATGTGGAATTTATATCTATAAGACCATAACTGTTGCTCTGCCATAGCGTAAACAAGACAGCATAGACAGCTGGTTGTTAAGAAAAAATATAAAAAATTATTTTAATTATTTTAAAAAATTAAGCAATTTCATATCAACAAAACATAAATTTAGTGCTTTCACAAATAATTTGATCTCTGAATCTATTATAATAACAATAAGATAGAAAAAAACCTCAACGGATTAGTTTGATGGTCAACAAAACATACTTCATTTTTTTTTTTTAGTTCGGATCTAAAAACCAACCCCTAAAATTTTTTTAATAAATCCCTTCCAGTACCATATCGATGTAAATAATACATCTTTAAAGTTGTTCATCAAGAAAAGAAGAAGTTTTATTTGACAAATAAATTAATTAAAAAATATCTTTTTTAAAAAAAATATTCTCATTTTTCACGTTAGTAATAGAACTAATCTTATTCATAGCAAAAATAATAAAATTTAATTTCTTTCAATAAATATGATTCTAGGATTTAAATCCTGAACATCGAATGAGAAAATTTACTTAGAGACTAATTTTTTTACAACTATATTAACAATCTGTTAGTTAATTCAAAAATATATTTAACTACCAAATCAAAATAATAATAATAATAAAATAACAATAGCATAGAACAAATCACTTGGCCATCAAAGCCAAATGGTCATCTAAATAGGAAAAAATATAAAGAAATCTCACGTGTCTTGTGGGTTTGATTTGCATAGGTAGCTAGACAACAAATGAAAAAATCCGTAAGACAAGCCATGTTCCGAAGAGTCTCACGTGACTGAGATAGAGGAGACATTGAATTTTAACAACACTATAAATGTATAATAATAATCATACTAACAGACAGTTGGAAGCTGTCAAAATAAGTTTCCTAGCTACTTGTTTAATTGAGTGATACAACCTCAGACCAGGACATCTCTACTTAGTTTTTTTTCTGCCCCTTTTTAATAGCTACGTGGGTATTATCAGTTTTGGGATATTGGGTCACCAGTAGGAGTCCCTTTCTTAAGTTTTTTTTTTTTTTTTTTTTTTTTTTTTTTTTTAAATGGAGACCTCTTAACGAAAGGAAAAAAAAAATAATATCGATTGAATTACAATTCATTAGCAAACTCGAGACTTTTTAAAGAGGGAAAAAGTATTAATATCGACAATCCATTGACAACAACATGTTGTTTACCTTGATATACATGTATAATGCTAAATGTTTAAGGTCTACGATGTAGTGTAAATTTATTTATATGAGTTACATATATAGTATTAATTGTTTGTAATTGAAATTATAGAAGATCCCCTTTAATATCAAACAATTTCATCCAATTGAGTATGATTATAGGTGTGATAGCACCGTCAAGGTCGAGTAAAGTTTGGGACTTAAAAGATCGAATGGAAGAAGACATAGACAAGTAAATCTCTCGAATTCTTAGTATCTTGGAATTTATCATTAGAAGAGAAGTAGATTGCTCAAGAATTTCGCATTGCATTTAGGTCGTAATTGTGATAATTGAATAAAGAATTCAGAAATTCTAAAAAAAAAAGGGATTTATAAAGAATTTAGTGCTCGTTTGACAAGCATGGCTTTTGGCATTATTTTATTTTTTAAAATTTCGGGTCCTTTATCTAAAAGCTATTGAAAAAAAAAAGGTTTAGTAAGATTTTTAAAACTATTTTAAAAGAAGTCAAAAATAAAAAATTATAAACCGAGGATTTTGGATCTTTGAATCTTTTGCAATATAAAAACAACTTAATAGCAGATGTTATCGGATATTTACTTTTTAGATAAATATACTTGATTTGTTTTTATATAATATTTAAAATCTCTTATTTATTCCTAAATTTTCAATTATATCTCATTTGTTTTTTAAAATTTTTGAAATATTCAATTTGTTATCCCGATCAAAAAAATTTTTTTTATCGAAATGATTTTTACTAAAATGGAAAAAAAAAACACTTAAAAGTCATATGACATACTTACTCCATTATTGAAGTCTTTAGATTTTTTTTTTTTTTTTGCCTTTCAATTAGTGGTATTGTGATTAAAAAATTATTTAGAAAAAATTTGATAAAAAAATAGATTAAATATTTTAAAGACTATCAAAGATAAATAAGATATAATTAAAAATTTAAAAACATACGAAAGATTTTGAGTATTATATGAGAACGTATAAATATATTTATCCTTATTTTTTATAATTAAAACAATTCCAACTACAGTTAAAGTAGCAAATAAAAGCTATAGTTTTTCCTAATGGAATTTTAATTTAAAAATACAAGAAATATTTAAATTAAGAAAAGGAAAGCTATTTTTAGTGGATGCATTGACGTGTATGTTTAGGTAGAACATTTTATCAAAATGATGACAAGGTTGCAGTATAGTATGTTACAAGTTTGAAAATTCTGGATGTTGTTTTCCCAAGAATAGTTGCCACACTCTCATTTTCCTTGTTTCGTAATCGATAATAAAGTGTCACCTCAATTTGTTTTCGTAATTGTAACCAAAAAAAAAAAAAACAGTATTTAAATGTCTTTGTCACCGGTAGAAAACTATAAATTATAGGCAACCTATTTATACTCATTTTCAATCATTTTAGAAGTTGTCCTATCGTCCCTGCTTCACACACATTGTTTTGTCACGAAATTGTCAAATGTCCCTCAAGTTTTTCTTCTGATGAAGACTCTAGAATTGGTAAAACGGCAAAATTGTTGGCCAAGTTTTGGCAATGAAATCGAAGAAATGGGTTTCATTCATGTCTGGATTTTGGGACTAAAGTTTGCTAAAACGTTTTGTTTCCTGGTTGGTTCATTCATTTTTCCCTGATTTTTTGGAACCTACCCAAAGATTTCGCAGCCTTAGCATTAAGGATTGTAAGTATAGTGGTAAGAAAAAATATTTTTAATTAAGTAGGTTAGGACTCGATTTTCATAACCGGAAAGCTTTTCTTTTTTTCTTTTTGTGGCACGAAAAATGAGTTATTAATAGATTCGAAGAATCTAACATCTAAAATTGATATAAGATTACATGCAATTTTGTATTGATTTAATTTAAAAAATAAAAACTAATCTCGATACGAAAAAGTTGACCCGAAAATATTATGTTGTAATACATATATAATAATGTATGAGACAAAAACATTTTTTATGAGAATAAAAAATATGTCGTGTTTCATTATAATTCTATACTATCTTTATTCCTAAATAACAATTAATTTAGATGAAACCACTTTCAAATTTCAATAACACTAAATTTAGTTTGTGGGTTCAAATTGTTTCACAGAATTCTTAATATATTCAGGATATATCTAATAACACAATTTAAAGTATTTTTAACAAAAATAAAAACAAAAAAACTCATGAAATTAAGGTTCCTTTGTGTTTTTTTTTTTAATGTTTTTGCATCAAAATCATTTTTTGAAAATCGTATGTTCAGGACATGTTACAAAATAAAAACAAAAAACTCATAAAATTAAGGCCATCTTAATGTTTTTTCATATTCTCTTGCCAAAATCATGTCAAAAAAAAAGAGAGCATAAAATCGGTAATTTAATTAACATAGTTTCAATCCAAAAATATGTTGAAAAGCACTTAGATCGCGGTTTAATCGGCAGCGCTACGTGGGACCCACTCAACCGAAGATGGGCACTGTCTGTCAGATTTAGCCAGTGTTGTATAAACTTGAGCCCAAAAAATACAAGCCCAGCTCCTGCACCGGATATAAATAAAGCTTCTTTCATCTTTCTTTCCCTCCTGTGCTGTCAGCTGCCCGGGAAAAAGTCATTTTTGCTTCAACAATATACAAGAATTCAATCAAGGTATGGCATTTCTGCAATGTACACAGTCTTGTATGTGTGTATGTTTTGTGCTTTTGTTTCCTCATGTTCTGCTGTGCATTTATGGATAACTTTCGTATGGTTTATGATATGTGAGTTGTAATTTGGTTAGTTTTTTAGCACATTTTTTGAAGTGGGTTTTATTTTCGGGTTCAGTTCAGATTGGAAAAAATATAGATGGTTTTGGTTTTTGGGATTTTAATGGAGATTGTGGTCAGTGATTATCTCAGTTCATGATCAAGCTTAAAAAGGTAAAAGAAGGCATGAATTGTTAGTGTTTTTTTGGGTCAAGATTTTGGTTTTTGGGTTATTGGGTACTTCTGATCTTGCACTTTTTTGCTTTCAAGTTTATGTCCCTTTTTGTTCTCTTTTGCAGATAGGATTTGGGTTGTGTGGTAGTTGGATGGCAGCTACTGCAATTAAATCTGGGGAATTGGTGACTTTGGAAGAACTGAACCCATCGTCCCCTTTTTTCAAGCAAGGAGCCTCGCTTAGAGTCACTGGAAAGTAAGAGTTCTGTCTTCTGAAAACAGTTGCCTTTTGTGTGTATTTATTTCCAACGTTTGTGGATGCTCTTGTCTGTTTGTTTCTGAATTTAAAAAACCGGATTCTTATAGGGTCTGTATTTCTGGTTAGGATTCCAAGAGAATCCCTCAGTTTTAAGGCTAAAACTATTTTTTATCATCGGATTCTCTGGTTGGATAACTGTAAAGCTTATACCAGTGTGTTCCATAAGTTTTTAATTACACTTGTTATCGGTAGATAGCGGGATTCATATTTGAAGGAGGGGTTCATTGAGGTCTTGTAGTGAGAAGTTGGAGGATAAAACGAGATTGAAGTGAGAATGGAGGTGGTGATAGTGGCAAACTGGTGATCATTACAATGCTGTGTTAATGGGAGTGGCACTGATGGGGTTGTGTTGGGAGGGGGATGCATGGAGGGGTTCTGGGGGTGAGGAGTTGATGGCGAAGAGTTGAACAAAGTACTGGCAGCTAGGTGGATGTGATGATTGTGTCATGGTGGAGATGTGTTACAATTGGCTGAATAGGAGCTAATCGTGGAAATGATGTTGGCTGGCAGGAAATGGACTTGGTTGTGGACCTGGTGACTACTCCTTTGAAGCAGCAAAGTAGAATAGGTGTCATTGGCGAGACAGGAAGGTGGTGTTTTCAACATGATGGAGGTGATAGTCCAAGGTAGTTCTGGCATGGCAAGGAGGCGACAACAGTATCAGCAATAGTAGTATGGTGGTGGAGTGAAATAATCTGAAAGGGTGTATCTATGCTTGAAACTGTGAATTGCTCTTGATCAGTGGGAAAGATCTAAAAGCATGAATGTTACACATACAGGTTTCACAACTTTGCCCACAGGAAAACAACATATCAGAAAAGAAGCAGTAGTTTAGAATAATTGTCTTAATTTTACATGAATGAAGAGAACCTGTTTTCATAATTAACTTACACTTGTAAATGTTCACACATTAATACCTATGCTCCTTAGACGTTAATGTCCTACTTTCTTCTTGTTCCCATGATCTTTGTAGTGTTTTTTATTTTGCATATGCATGACAGGAATTCATTTTTTTTCTTTTCATATTGGTTAAGAGCCTTGTGTCATTATTTTCTTTCCTGAAGAAATATCCAACTACTTAACTGTATAACGAAAATAACAGATACTCTTCTTTTTTTATCTGACTTGTGTCATTTTTGATCTGAAGGCATTCTTCTTAGTCAAGGCCACATAGCTAAAGCCCACCATATTAGCAGATTACAAGGGCTGCTTGAAGCCTGTTACGTGAGGATGGTAGTGCCATATTTGATGCCATCTTTTTATTGATTTCAGTTAAAGGGATTCTTTGTTTGCTTAGGAGGTCTGATTATGAAGAAGGATACCTCATAGTTTTCTAGATACTAGTGGGCTGGATGATATCGAACTGATCATTAACTAATCATTATTATCCAATCATGTTCATGCTGAAAAATTGCATGGCTCTTTCAACTGCATATGGCTGAGTTATGAATATTCTGTTTGGGGCTAATCCTTCTCCATTATATATTTTAATTAGATGCTCTGATGCCAAGATAGATTAATTATTATAGACGGTTCAATAGTTTACTTTCTGCTAATCCAACTAAGTGTTGGTTGTAATGGTAGGAGAGATTGAATGTTGCATCATATCTATTGAATTGCTATCATATTATAAGTTGATTATTTTATTCTGCAACGTTATTGAAAACTCTGATCTGTTGTTTCCCTAGGCTACAAGAGTATACTGTGGAGACAGCCATAGCTGTAGTTGCTGATGGAAATGCCACCCTTAAGATTGACACTCAACACTTGAGAGACATCAGCTTTCGAATAGGCTCCATCTACCAGTTTATTGGCGAGCTTCTCATCCAACCTGATAATGAGGTAAGAGTTTGATACACTCTGGTTGAAGTCTGCTGCAGCAGTCTCTTTTTCTTTCCCTGTCCCCCTCAAATTTCTTTGGAATTGGGTTTTGTTTCAGGCAATCTTGCAAGCACGGGTGGGCAGAATTGTGGATGGCATTGACCTTAGACTCTATCATCAGTCTCTGCAGCTATTAAGACAGTTCCAAGCAGATCACCTCAACAATTCAACTAGTTAAAGCTGACCCAATGTTGAACAGATCCATCAAAAACTTTCTCAACGAAAGGTACCGATGTAAATTTCTAGAACTTCCATTTATACATTTAGAAGCTGATTTCTTTTTCTTCTATCTTTTCTTTCTTTGGCATTCAACTTTTGCAAGATATGAATTGTTTTGAAGCTGGCAGAATTGCTTTATGGTTCTAGTTGTCTTTGTTGCATTTTCCTTGCTTTTCATATGCTCACAGCAACTTGTCCAAAGGATAACAGCTTGAAAATATATTAGCAAGTGATCGGCAGCTTTTAAGAAAATCACGGAACAGACTCCATTTTGTTAACCGTTTGCTTACTTTTTCATACGAATAGCCGCAGATTTCTTTTTAAAATAGAATTGCTTTCATCATTATAGTGGGGTTCAAACGTTGTGCTCTCACATCTTTATTCCTTACACACCATTTGATTTGTCCAGTAACTCTTGTCATCATGTCTCGTGATATAGTATCAGCTCCATAAGGTTATTTCTTGTTTAGGCGAAGATGCTTCTATGCAATGATGGTTAGAGAACAAATATGCTTTGCGATAGGAACTTTAGAAATTGTGATTGTTGGCAGATAATTATGACAACAATAATGCTCATCTTCTATATGCAACATCAGTTTGGCTTTTATGTACCGTTTTAGGAAATATCTTGCCATGTTCACACTGCCTAAACCTAACAATCATGATGGATGAGACAAAACCCATTCCCCTCTGTTCTGGCCTCTAAACCTTAAGCAGGCGTTGGTTAGGTCAAGAAACTGATAGAGCTCCATTTATAGAACCTAAAATCCCAATCTCTTTCTAACATTATATACCATGGTCTAGAGGGAACTTTGGGTTGGATTTGTGGATTGCTTCTTATATAGGGTTAACCAGAAAAATGACTTCAAACATCATCTAAAAATTCACTCTCTTAATCTTAATCCAAATGCATCTTTAAAATCGTTTTAAAAAAATTTAATTTCGAATGACATACAAACTGATCTGATTATATTCTTTACTGTTTAAAAAATTTCCTGTGCATGCATGAATTGGCAAGGTGAGGCCAACAAAGTGGGGTTTTAAAGGTAGAATTTTATTGGTTTATGAAAAATAAAAAAAATTTAAAACACCTTCTTTTTTTAACTCTTTTTTAATAAAATAATTCACAGACATATAACAACAAATCAATAATTTCTTGAAACTAATGACAATGACATTACTCTAAATGACATGCAAAATCTTTACATGCCCTTTTTTCTAACTGGAAAATCTTTCACGTTTACTTTGTAGAATCATGGTATTTAAAAATTTCCCGTTTCACCAAAGCCAATTTCTTCAAATTCAATTGGACAATTGACCCCATTAGTGGCATCTTGACCCCAACTAATAATGACCCATCAAAGCATTGATGGCCACTAATAATCTAAATTATCCAATTAAAAGCCAAACCTTGGATTACCACTTAATTAAAAAACAATAGTAATCCCTAGATTTGTCATCAAGAACATAATTTTACAAGATTTTAATCTATATGATCCAATCAAAAAGCCAAAACTTGGATTACCACTCAATTAAAAAGGAACAATCCCTACTTTTGTCATTAAGAACGTAATGGTGCAGGATTGACTTTAGTCGTCCCCACCTACCAATAAGGAAAAAAGGGTCCTCCATTGATGCATTCTCTGGAAACTTGCATGTCTCTATCCAGTGCGCCGCCCCACATGTGATTATTGATGCTGCGTGGCAAATTCTTATTTGTGTTAGTGGTCCCTACCTGATCCCTAGCCCTATGCAAACGCTCCTCTTTTCCACCGACTTGTCAATCATGTGGTGTTACAGCAGGGTTGGGAGCAGTAATGTGTATCACATGTGTTTACCAAAATATGAAGTGACAGTGAGTTTACAACCAAATCTTTGTAGCTGGATTTCACGTGTGGGCCATTTGAAGCCGATGTAGATTTTTTCCAAAAAATTTTCACCTTTTCTAAATTTAAACAAATATGATTTATTTATTTCGTAAATTATGGTGGTAACCATTGAGTTTGTTCTCTCCTCCCTACCTTTTTTTTTTTTTTTTAATTCATATACTCAATACTCTTAAAATTTAAATTCGTAATCTTTTATTATAAAATATTATTATTATTGGATTATAAATTTTTTAGTTCTTTCGTAACTAAAATTCCTACTCCATCCTCTTCTTCTAATAAACATCTATAAGTTAGAATCCCTACTCCATCCTTTTTGTTAATGATGCCCATTGCTGACGAGAGTTTTGTTAAAAATCCAAAAGGATTAGACATGGTAGAGAATATGGTAGATTTTGAGTTTAATTCTTACCTTTCAATAATAACTTAAAATTTCATCCTTTATGGACTCTTTCTTATGGTGGAAAACAAGACAGATTCTTATCAAATACCTGAATTGATGTAGCCTGATGTAATTAGTCATAAATACCCAAGAACTCTTGGTCAGATTTAAGGTTGTACGTTGTCTTGATGCAATTGGTCATGAACGACAAAGGATTTAGTTGTAACGATAGACTTTTCTCTTTTGGGAACACAGAGTTCTTCGAAAAATTTAACAAGTTGGTCTGGTGTTCTCGTAAGTTTGGAATTTAAGATTAGCATATAGAAAAATATATATATAATTCTTTTGAACATATCTAATTTATACAAGAATGTTTTTAATTTTTCGAAAGGGATCTCATCGATGTGAGGATATTTTCAAAATTATTTGAAAAAAGATTTAATTTTAATTGATATGTAAATTATTTTAGAAATATATTAGTTGAATAAAAAGGAGAAAAGAAAGGAATATGATACAAAAGATGTATTTGAAGTGATTAGAAAGAGATTTATTTTGGTTCGAAAATATATTATTTAATAAGAAAAAGAAAAAAATATGATTGATAAGAAATTTAGTTTTAATTGACGTTAAACTGATTTCGAAAATGCTATTGCGATAGAATAAAAATGAAGAAGAAGAGAATATAGAGTTATATATAGCTTTTATGAGATGAAATTAAATGTGATCATAAGATCATTTATATGTCGGTACTATATAAATATATAAGCAGCAGTAGGGTTTTGTGGTTTAACTACCACCCTTCTTTGAATACATTCTCAACAAGGTTAATTAGATCCATAAATGTTGCCGACGAAGAATCCAAAGGCAGTCTTCTTCACGGCCAAGGACCCACCAGCCACCACAACATGGGTCTCTGAGTCCTACAAGTCTTCAAACCTGCAGGTGGAAGGAAAGCAAAGTCAAGGACACCATCATAATTAATATTCTATGTGGACGCAGGGCTACCTGTTTCACGAGGAGTCCTTACCACTCTTCGATGAGGACCACATACATCGCATATATTAGCTAGCTTCCTAAGCTTTTTTGAACCCACTTGGACAGGAAATATCTTAGATTTTGCTTTCCTGTCTACCTTCTTTTTTTTTTTTTTTTTTGGTGGGTTTTTAGGTTAGGTAAAGGGCTGTGTCTACCCATTTTCTTTTGGGTTAAAGGTTCAGACATGCATTTACTGTTTTAAATATTTTAATTATATTTTTTTATTAATTTTTTAAATTATCATGTCCTTTTATTTTTTAATTATATATACATTTGATCCCTTTGATTATTTTTTTAAGTAATAGAGATAAAAATAACAAAATAAAAAATGTCAAAAGTTATTTTTGTTATCTAAAAAATGATGAAAGAGATCGAATACAAACATAATTAAAAGTAAAAGGATATGATTGTTGAAAATTTTAATATAGAAATATGATTTATACATTTAAAAAAACAGAGAGACATACTGGATCTTTTAATTTTTTTTTTTTTAGGGAAAACCTTTTATGCTATTCCCATGCATTGACTTCTAGGGTTTATGCTATTATTTAAGGGTTTTGCATGGAATCGGAAGTTTTTGTTGTTGTTGTTTGGTTTTTTTTTTTTTGGGTCACGAGGTGGAGCAGTGAGATTGAAAGTTCATGGCATTTCCTAGAATAGGAAGACATTGAGGAATTACATGGACATTGCCACATTTTGCAAACTGGGTTCTTTTAAGGCGGCACGAACCCGAAAAATATATATAAAAAAGGAAGAAGTTGTGCATGGATGTAGGGAGAAAAAAAAAAGAAAAAAAGGACAAAATTCCACAAGTGAGTTGATGTTCAAAGGTATCTTACTTCAATTGACAACATGAACTATCTGGGATTTTCATTTTTAGATTTTTTTGGCATGATGACTTTTGGTCTATGAAGCATTGAGAAATAGAATGTCTATTTTGTGGGCATAAAAGGGTTAATTTTTTATATTAGAAAGGGCAAAAGGAAATTTTTTTCCAACTTTCGTGGGTTCAAGAAAAATTATTTGATGGTAACCCATCAAGAAAGAAGGGATGGGTGAATAGGATGGATTTTAACTTCACATCTTGTAGAATTATAAAAAAAGAAATATTGACTATGACTAAGTATAATCACCCATTTGTTTCCAAATAAAAACAAATAAAAAATTATGCATCTTATGGTTTAAATAAGTAAACTCACACATGAAATTTGCTGGTAATAGATTGATAATAACCATAAGATGATAGTCTGTTGATAAATAAATGTTGACTTATAAGTTAGGTTCAAAGTTCGATTTTTATGACCAATATTCTTAAAAATTTATTTTCAAAATATCCGAGATCATACATTAGAGAGCGTCCCTTAGCTACATTTAGGAAGAAATTAGTCTTGAGATGTGTAAAAATTGGCTCGAAAATATCTTTATTGTTGAAAAAAAAAAGAAATGAAAAAGTAAGCATCCTTATAGATTAAATAAGTAAACTCACACATGACATGACAATTGATTTATGTATACTTCATTTTCATGGAGGTTAGCAAACCAATTTTTCACATGTAAAATACTATAAATACAGTCAATGAAAACAGGATGAAAAGAACAGAAAAACTCATTTCCCTACCTTGTTGCCAGAACCTTTGGGAAGCATGCATATTAATTAAATAAACACAACAAAGCAATCCTTTGATAGACTCAAAGAATATTTTTATTTTCACTTCAATTTTAAAATCCTTAATTTATTTTTTCCATGCATAAGTGGTTTGCCATGATTGGCTTATCCTAGATGACAAATCACCAAGAATATATTAAGATAATTACGTGTCATCACCCACTGATTTTTTTTTAATTTCTTTCCATTTGTCGTTTAATATTGGCTTAAAATAAATAAGCTTATTGATTAGTTTAATTAATTCAAGGTACATGTCGGTCCAACATTGAAGCAGGTGGTCTATATTTGGCCACGTGTCCGGTTAGAAATCCTAGGAGCAGTATACTTTATAGTGTTTGTACAAAGACATGTATTGACAGTGCAAATTTATTTCAATTTTCTAACAAGTTTTGATGTTTTCTTCAAAAATTTATGTTTTGGTTGACAAAAGAACCAAGAACGTCCCTCTTGTCTTGTTTTGCTTTGTAATAATTAAGATTAGTTTTTCTTTTCTTTTCTTTTTTAAGATTTAATAATTGACTGGAGAAATGATTCGGTCTGTTTTCATACAATGAGATTATTGTTCAATCAGTTATTATATTATGAAACGACTAAATTATATATTTGTATTTTAAATAAATTTTTAATTTATCATTCTGATGAAAAATTTTTGGTTAAATAATCCAAAAAAATCACATGACTTGTATATCAATATTTTTTTTCAAAAATACTCCTCATAAAAAGAAAAAACCTTACTTGCACATGTTCAATTAGAGGCATTTTTAGAAAAAAAAAAATCATATGAAGGTCATGTAATTTTTTTTATGGATTGATCGAAAAATTTCACCAGAAAAATCAACTGAAAACTCAATTAAAAGATATAATTGACTTATTTTAACATATAAATACATATTGAAAACTGATCTCACTATATAAAAATAAAATTAACTATTATCCTTCGCTCGCACACGTGCATATACACATGAGAAACAAGTTTTATGTCTAAGTAATTATACATATACACTATTCGTACATGAATAGAAGAATTCACAAAAAAAAAAAAAAAAAAATCATTTTTATAATCTCTCTTTGAATCAGGTTTGAAAATTATAATTTGAGGAATAAACCAACCTTTTATTTCTGCCAATAGCGTAATTATGATAAATTAATAATCATAAATAATTTCTATGTATAAAGAAGTGTTTTTTCCTTTTAATCATAGGCCCACTACACGTTTATCTGCTTCATGAACTAGAATTCTGATTAGAAATTGGTTTCTTTCGAGTCTGAAATATTTTATATTTGGAGGAAAATATGGAAAATTTGAACTCCACCCTTCTCATTCCCTTACATTTTTTGTACCCTAATGCATGCTCGGCCTGCAAATTTAGTACTATAAACTTTTGTCGACTGGGGTTCTGCGACAAAATCCACACAACCCAAGATTGGATTTCAAAAATAATGCCTCAGATCGATGCACCTTTTCAACATGGCATTTGGATCAGCACGGAAATAGCAACATAATTATAGTGTGGTTTATTTGGCATAATATTATAATCACTAAGTTGTGAGTTCGGTGCCAAGTGAGTTGATTTCAAATAAAATTTTAATCATGTTGAGAGAATTTAATGTATAGAATTCGAATTCTATAATTATGCTTGTTGAGAGAATTTAAACTTCTTCGTTCTCATTCTGAACAAAATTAATCATGTTTTCAATATGAAATAAAAAAACTCTAAGTAAATTATAGAAAAATAAAACCATAAGGTGATATTTGTTGATAAACAAGTATTGACTTGTAAATTAGGTTTAGGATTCGATCCTTATGATCAACACTTCGAGGATTTATTCTCAAAATATCCGAAGCTATGCTTTGAAAAGTATTTCTTAATTACGTTCGTAAAGAAATTAATCTTTAAATATGTGAAAACTAGTTGGATGATACAATTGTTGCTGAACCAAATAAAAAAATAAAAATAAAAATTGTAATACAGGCGAAGAGGGTGCGTGCAGGCAAGATTATAATCATACCTAATTTGATTTTGGTGGCTAGTAATTAATCTAAGAAAGTCAGTCTTCTTATCTTGACTAGCACTCTCCAAAATTTTGTTATGTATAATCTTCTACAAAGTTATTAAATTATTAATTAAGATGATTAATACTCCCATAAGTTTTACTATTATGAAAATTTCTAGTTAAATAAATGGTACTTTCTCCAATATTTTTGATAAATCCAAAATTGTTGCTCCTAAAGAGTCTTTTTAAAAAAAAACAATTTTATATTCTTGATCAATAATGAAACTAATCTAAATTAAATCAATGTCTTGACCATCCGATTCAACAATATTTAGTTTCATAAATGGGCATTTTCTCCATTATTTTTGAGAAATTCAAAATTATAATCTTAAAAAAACTTTTTGAAGATAATAATTTCTTGAAATAATTGTAAATTCTTTAACGAAAAAAAAGTACTCCGAATTAAACCAATGTTCATCGATCCAACAATAATTTAGGGAAAATGAATGATTTTGTTTTTCACCTAAACACACTTATTGAGTAAAACCTAACCAAAAATCCATTAGTCAAAAGTTCAATCATCAAGAAAAATCTTTGCCTCAATATTGGAAAATCCACAAAAACAGTCATAATTAGAATTACGAATAAAAATGTTCAAAAAATAAAAAAGTCAAAATTCATCAACTGTTTGCAAAAATTTCCAATAATTCATCATAATTCATACCGTAGCTGATTTTCAGCAATAATTTAATTAAAAAATCCAGCTAAATGATGACCAAAAACTTCCCATACTCTTGGCTAACGATAATTGACCCTATCTAGAACTCTTGGGCCACATTATTAATTAATATTCTTTCAAAATTCCTATTTTTTTAATTCCTCAAAAAAACCTTCTCAAATCCCAATATTCAAAGTACACTATAAAAGGAACGATAACTGTCATACGGGAGATAAATTCTATTAATAGAACAAAAAGTAAAAAAAAAAAAAAAAAAAAAGAGGAAGGAAAGCTAAGTCTTTTACAAGCAAAAAAGTCTATACTGCAAAAGCACAAACAGTGTTTTGTTTTTGTGTTTGTACGTGCAAGAAGAGAAGAATTCTTTCTGTGCGTCTGTCTTTGTTATCTTCTCCAAAGATAAAAAGAGAAAGAGAGATCAGAACATTGTTATGGATTGTGAGTTATCCTCATATCCTCTTTCTCGAATTCTCAGCTCCTCTTGTCCCATTTCTTGCATCAACTTCCGGCAGATGATGTCATCTTTCCGACACGTTGATCGTCGTCAGTTTTATGCCCTCTAAGTTCTTCTTTAGCTTCAAGGTCTTGTGCTGCTGTTTTTGCTTCATTCTTTAAAGGATCTTTTTTTGGTTTTGAAGAAAGTCCTGCTAAGCTGCATCATTGTGTTTTTTCATTTCGTTGGTCTGTTATGGATCAAAAGCTTAAAACTATCGCCAAAACAAAAAAAAAAAAAATTTAGGAAGCTTAAATGAGCTTCTTCATCTTCTTCTTCTTCTTTGTTTCTTTTTTATGAAACTTTTATGTGGGTTTTGTTTGGTTTCTTAGAAAGTGTTAGAAATTTCAAAAAAGGGAGAAAAAAAAAACAAAAACAAAAGGAAAGATTTTGAACGTTCAGTTCAGTTTTTTTCAAGTTTCGTTTTGTGTTGGTAACCATATGGCTAAATTTTGATACATCCATAACTTAATGATAAATGAGTTTTGTTTTGTTACTGTAAAAATGAATGGATTGATAATTAATATTTCAAGTTAAAATTAAGCAAAGATGTAATCATTATTGCCTAATAAAGTTGAGTTTTTTTTTAAGATTTAAGAAACTAAATCAATGATGGGTTTATGCCTCCAAATTTGTTTTTCATTTTGTCATTTCCTTTTTCTGTTTTGCTTCTCCCCTCATTTTCTTGGCTAACTAACAAAAAGGTCATTCTTTATATTTGTTTTGATGATGGATCAAAGAGAAAGTGTGAATGCTTTTTCCTTCTGTTTTATCTTTGCTTTCTGCAAATGCGAAATATATAGTTATGGATAACGAAGTAGGTCCATGAGAGTGCAAATTGATCTTTCTTAAATATTTTCTCAGGATTTTGCTGGTGATACAAAATTTAGAAGAGATGAAATTCAGTTTTTACCCTTGTGGTTGAATTTTCTTAGCAACCAAACATAAACAGTAATGGAATAACCTGGAAAGTTTAATGGCAAGTTGGTTATTAGTAGGGGTTCTTTATTTTTGGTTTATTGTTATGTTATTCTTGGCTTTTCTACCAAATTCTAGATGCAAATTGCAGTGTTGGAATTCCATGTCAGATTGAATATTCTGTGTATGTACTGAAGTGCTACGAATTCACAGTTTTTTGGTCTTTACTATTATTAAATTGTAAGATTCTTTAGCTTTCTGAGTCAGATAATGCCTTTTTCTCGTTTCACTGACTGTACTAATTCAATGTCATTTAAGTATTTAACCACTCTTTTTGGTTCTCAGCCAAATTTTGAGTCAAGATTACTGTAACATAGCTTACTGTCTGATGAATTCTTTATAATTTCCTTCCTTTCTCGTGATCGTTCTTACATGGCTGTATGTGTTAAATATTTGTTTATTTCGAATGTTCAGAGTTTTGAGCCTACAAAAAGCTAGAGAACCATACCGTATTGTGGAGTGTGGTGGCCATTTGAATTGAAACATAGGCAATGGGGCATTTATCCTCAATGTTCAATGGATTGGCAAGGTCGTTTTCACTAAGAAAAGTGAAGAGTAATGGGAATGGTGACGGAAGAGAAGCTGCGGATGAAATTGCGAAAGATGCAGTGAAGAATGAAATGATTTTGAGGTCATCTGGCTGTCTAAACATCGATGATTCAAAAAATTTTGCCTCAGTTTTCTCGAGAAGAGGCGAGAAAGGAGTGAATCAAGATTGCTGCATTGTATGGGAGGTAAGCTTAGAGAATTGGGGATTATATCTTACCTAAATGTGATTTAAATGTGTTTTAATTTTGTTTCTGTTTATATGGTAGGAATTTGGTTGTCAAGCAGACATGATGTTTTGTGGGGTATTCGATGGCCATGGTCCTTGGGGCCATTTTGTGGCGAAGAAAGTCCGAGAATCGATGCCTTCATCTCTCCTGTGTAATTGGCAGGAGACTCTTGCTCAATGTTCACTTGATCCTGATATTGACTTGGAATCGGATAAAAAGCATCACAGGTTCAATATATGGAAACATTCCTACCTGAAGGCTTGTGCTGCTGTTGATCAGGAGCTAGAGCAGCATCGGAGAATAGATTCATTCAATAGTGGAGCAACTGCCCTGACAATTGTTAGACAGGTAATTCTGAGTCCTAATTCCTGCCGATCACTGATCATTGATTCATATATGCAATGCTTGTAAATTTTATATTCTCTTGTTGATCATGTTTTGCCAGGGTGAACTCATTTTTGTAGCGAATGTTGGCGATTCTCGTGCTGTATTAGCTACCACAGCAGATGATGGAAGCTTGGAACCAGTTCAGCTTACAGCTGATTTCAAACCTAATTTACCCCGTAAGTTCCTCTCCTTCAATCTGTCCAGCAAGGCAGCCTAAACAAGCCATTCTTACGGTAATGTTCATCGTCATTGCAGAGGAGGCCGAACGGATACTTCAGTGCAAGGGACGCATATTCTGTTTAGAAGACGAGCCAGGTGTGCATAGAGTTTGGCTGCCAGATGCAGAATCCCCTGGACTGGCAATGTCCAGAGCCTTCGGCGATTACTGTATAAAGGATTTCGGGCTGATTTCTGTGCCTGAAGTGACACAAAGGCATATAACTAGCAAAGATCAGTTTGTTGTCCTGGCAACTGATGGGGTATGCAAAAGTACTAGCCTCTAAGGTCTAAAATCTCGATCAAATTTCTAAAGAACTATAACCAGATAGCTTCTCTTGCTTTCATTGTTCAGGTATGGGATGTAATCTCCAACCAAGAAGCAGTGCAAATTGCATCATCGACGCCTGACAGGGCGAAGGCGGCCAAGCGTCTAGTTCAGTCTGCTGTCCATGCTTGGAAACGCAAAAGGAAAGGGATTGCCATGGATGATATATCAGCTATTTGCCTCTTCTTTCACTCCTCCCCTCTATCTCAACAAGTCCATGCTGTTTAGTGCACCAAAATAGGGATCATAACATGTAAATGAGCAAGGTTGTTGTAGTTATTCCTTGATGCTTAATTATTTCCTTGAATATTTCAATTTAGTTGATTAGAAAAGGTGTTCATGCCATGCTATTATTGTCCCTTCCTTGGCATTTTTGGTTACAAAGGAGAGACTCGAAACCGAAATTTCTTGGAGGTAGGTTTGACTACAAGCTCATCGATTTCTTTGGCTACCACAAATAGAAGTTGAGGTATTATAATATAAAAAAAAATAAAGGCTAAATAGCTTAATCTGTTCTTATATAACGTTTGATGAGTAGTATTAACAGACCACCGAATTTCTTTAAATAGACTTCTGCAGAAAAATACCAAGTTTTCATTAAAATCCACTCTGATTCTTGTGACTATTTTGCTTTGTGTTTATTATTAGCAATACTGACATGTCAATATTGACCAATTGACAGTCTTAAACGCATATTTTTGGACATCATAATCAAATATATTGATTTATTGAATGTCATGTTGGTGTATCTTAAAGAACATAATCGGTGTATCAATTAAATGATTGACAGCTTGATAACGAAAAGTTTAAAATAAAAAATCTAATAAAATAAAAAAGAAATAAAATCTTTCAATAAAAAAAAAATGAAAAATACAGCATCTAAATGTGAAAAAAAAACCCCCTAAAATTAGTATTACTACATTTTGGTTAACCAGTCCACTACCTTGGTATATGCTAATATTATTTTCTTTCTTTCTTTCTTTCATGACTTACAACCGGAACAACTATTTCTGTCTGCCCCATGATCTCTTTAATTACCTTAAAATTCTCAATCATAGATTCAAATCAAAGATGATAGCACTATAATATATAGTTATGTACAAATCATATAAATCAAAGCCAATATGGCAATTTGACAAATCCCTCGCAGAAAATGTTTAATCTTTACTTGTAAGTTTAGTCAGTTTTTTTGTTAATGCTTTTGCTGTTGCTCCTTGTAGCATTTGCATAGCTTCTCCTCTTCTACCTTCTTATTTGATTATTAATGAAATACTTGAGGGGATGCATAAAATTCTCCCTCATTGAAAACTGGTCTTAAATCTTCTTCACAAATGAAGTCCAATGGAAAGGATACAAGATGGCCCTTTACTAATTTCAATCTTTCAATTACGTCTATCATCTTAGTCTCTCCATTTTCATTGCATTCTATCTTCTCAGGAGCTATTCCTAAGTCAATGGTTGTATGACCAAGTTTGTCCTTCCAGTGGTTCATGCTTTGTCTGAGTGCAGCTCTGCAATATTGGATGGAAACATAAGCTGTGCGTTAGGGAATTATATGGAACTAAACAAAGAAGGTAATTAGGCAAGTATGTTTCATGTTTGATTACCTCGAGCGGATATGATCATTAGGAAGACAAGCAAAGACATCATCATAAATCTTCGTGTTTTCCTGTCCGAAATTTAAAGGATTTCGATTAGGTTCCATAGCAGCAAAGAAAAGAAAAGTTGTGAAAGAATTAATGTAAATGAAAATGATCAAGACTTGTTCAGCAGAAATGTTGAGCATAAATTTCCACTAACCTTTGCGGTTGCCAACCATAAATCTCTATATGTTGTCTCTGCAACAGGATCGCTGATTTTATCCATCTGAAGCAAGCAAGAATATATAGTTTCTGTTATTGATTGCAATGAAATGACCAGGAGTTCAGAACATATTGTCTGTTAAATTCAATTTAAAATCAGGCCTCGAAAATAGCTCTTTTATGAGATGCCTTGAGTAAATAAGGGCCTGCATAGTTCATATAGATCAACTTCATTATTAGTAACCTCTCCTGCAGAAAGACCAAGATGCTCGGACCACAGGGAGCACCGCAGGCTATACGCAAATTTTCCAGCTTTCCAAGTCTCTCCATTCATCGATGATTCAACAAACTCCTTGTCTTCAATAACCACCCCAATCTGAAACAATGATGCGAGTCAGTTGATCAGGAAGCATAACAACTTGAATCACATGGCATTTTCTTAGTTATGAGGAGATTCTTATGTGCATTATACAGCTATCAACAAGCAATACCTCAGAGTCTCTAGATCCAAGCAAACTCCTATCGTTGATGTTAGATGATCCAATACATGCAATACGGTCATCTATTATCATAACTTTGCTATGCACATAAACCTGTACGCAAAATGCTTGATTAGAAGGCTGAAAATTAGGTAATAAATTAAAAAAGCGATGCAAAACAGTACCTGACTTGTGACCAGAGGACCGCCCCCAAAAAGGCTACCATACGTCCTCAGACCATAAAAAGAAATGTAATCCTGTGTTTTAGGGCCAAGCCATGCATTGAGGTTATACAGTATCGAGGTCTTCTCCCAGGATATGGTCCGATACTGCCAATGCATGATGGCTCGGACAGTTGCTGCCCCACCATCATCCACACCTCCCTGTCAATGAAATATCCAGCTCATGACGAAGGCCAAGAATTCAATGCTTAAAGTTAGAATTTAGCAACAATGCCACTGAGTTTTACCTGGAAACCTGGTAAGAGTGGTATGACAATGATGACCCGAAAACACTTCTTTTCTTTGTGTGCTTGTAAAATACGGTTGTACAGTGCATCCAGAACCCGATTCTGGATAATCTCATCTTCCCAAAGTCCTGATATAAAAAATTGATTCTGCAAACAAAGCAACCCATAGAAATAGCAAATATAAAGCCTCTGCGATACGATCAAGAAGTTTAAACCAGACCAGAAGGGAAAAAAAGGTCAATATCTTTAAGTTCAAATACCTCTATGTAGATAAAATGTTCGGCTTTCTCAATGAGAGAACAGTAAGCCTTATGAATGCTTTCTTCTGGTTGGCTGGCTCCGGTAGACCATTGACTGACACTTCTGATAACCTGCAGATCACATATTTGCTCACACTTACAGAAAATAAATAAAATTTTACAGTTATAATATGAGAAGGCAGTCACAAATGTAGTTCTTGATAAAAGAAAAGGATATGTAATGTGTTATTAGCAAATATGATGAGCTTAAAAAGGCATAATCTAACCTGACACTGACACGCCACACGTGGCCCAACTTGTCCACATTCACTGGCAGAAACATCAGGATCATCTTTCTCAGATTTTTCTGACGATTGATCTGACATCTGCTTTGTGCTTTCAAGATCCTCAAAATCAAGTTCATCAGCAGTAATTTTCACTGGTGTATCTTGAGCTAAACTTTCTTCCTTGGACTTCTGCAAAGTGAATGAAAAACTCCCTTCGAGCCCAGCTGATTGATCAAGAACATTGTTATTGATGTTTGTAGCAGTTAACTTGTGACTTACACCATTAGAAACTGTTGCATCAGCTTCTTGAGGTAAAAGCAAAGGGATGTCTTTGATTGGAGACAGTGAGGCAAAGGAATCTATTCTGCTGATATCTTTCTGGCTTCCTTCTGCATTCTTGTTAACAATATCTATACTTCTTCCCATGTAATGAGGGAGGACCATGTGGTGGCGAGGCATCAGTAGCGGAATTGTTTGCTCATTTGGTGCTTTGGTTCTCTAAAACAAGTTCAAACATACAACAAATTAAACTTTCTGAGTTTTACAGTAGAATGATGGCACAAGAGGCAAGAGTCATAGAGTTAACCTTAGCATGGTTCCAGCGTTGAACAAAGTGTCTAGCAACATCGCGGCAAGGCGGTCCCCAGAGAGCACAATGGACATCATGCCATGGCATTCGTGGATATTTTCTACGATCCAGTTCATCTTTCATTACGTCTTCCCAGGAATTCGGCTCTGATTCTCTAGCCAAACAATGTTGTGAAAATATTAGATCAAAAGTTTGTAAACAAGCCTCCAAACTACCATATCTGTTGTATATGATGATGCTAATCTGTCCCTAATCTCTCCAAGTCATCACATATGGGCTAGTAAAACATAGTGTTCTGAATTTCTGAAAAAAGAAAAAGAATACCTTGGATTATAATAGTCCTTTCCAGGCCATATCTCCGGTGGACAATCACCAACTCTATGTTCAATAGTGTCATAACGGCCAAAGCATAAATCTAATCCTCCAATAAAGCAAACCTGATAATCAATGATCACGAGTTTTTCATGGTGTGACCTGTATGTAACATGAGCATATGCAAAAAATCAAATTAAATGATGTATTTCAGATGAATATCGGTGAGTGGTTTTCTAATTTCTACCATTTTCTCCTGATAAATCTTAACCCAATCACCAAAAAAAAAAAAAGAAAAAAAAATGTTACAAAATGTAATCAACAAATCACATACCATAAGTAGACACCAGATGAGATATGATCAGGATAGCGCAGAACTCTCAAATTCTCGTGAATGTTAAGGAGCCTTTTCTTACTGTACATACTGTTAATTTTCAAAGCAATAGAAACCTCCTTGTAGAGAAGGATATAAATCTGCAAAGTCATTCAACCTAAAAGTTAAGATTAACAATGTTTCATCCACCAGAATGTAAAAGTGATAATCAGAGCATAATAATTCTGAAGATTGATGAGAATTGTTTCATATGCACCTGAACCCCTTCCTTAGCTTTAGCTTCTAGCAAAGAATCAAGCCGGGAGCTAGCATGATCCTGGAAAGGCCGTCTTAGATACAGCTCAGGGCAAAGCCACCAGCCAGTGATAAATATCTGCATATAAATTTTGATCAATAAAATCAAGCCAAACATCGAACTTAAAATGTTAAAAGCACAGAAAGAAATGAACCTCTGATTTTGCATTCTCTATTCCAGAAGCAATTGCTTCAAAAGCTGCATGACCATCCACAAACCATTGAGCTTGACTCCCATCCTCAGCTAAACCCCTTGGAGGAGCGTAGGAACCATAGCGGTGAGAATGACACCACCCCTCACGAGGCTTTAACCCAGAATCATGGATTGCAGCAACCCATTCTTTAACTTTGCTACCACTTGAGCTTCTTAGGTTTATGCTCCGATTTCCTGAAGAAACCTTTCACGTTCCACAACTTTTTAGTAAATGCAACAACTAGCGGAAACAATTACATCAGTATCGTAGAATTAGACCAGAATATAAAGACAAAACTGATTACCTTGAATGCATAATACAAAGGATTGTGTTCCTTTATCTGGCTTGCTAATACTTGGTTTCCTCCCTTACTATTTGAGTTTGGTAGAATATCAAAAACAAGAATATCTACTATTTTGGTGTCAAAAGGATCTTCCAGAAAGGCCAGGAACCCAGGTTTCAAAACAGCCCACACCTATGAGCATTTGAAGTGACAAAAATAATTTTAACTACCATTACAAGGCAGCAAGATAGAGAGATAACATAATGTGATTTACAAGAGCAGAAATGGTAGCCATAATTCCAAGGTTAAGAAATATGCACCTTCTGCCAATTGTTATCACAGAAATTGAACCATTGGCAGGGCAAACATGTTATATCACTATCATCCTTGGAGATTTTTGAAAGATGCTTTGCCATAATGTAGCCTTCTTTCAGCTTTGGACCATATTCCCTCGAGAAGGACAACTTAGAGACCTCCAAAAATTTGCAGACCTACATTCCGAAACCACTTTGTCAAAAAAGATGGCACGGATACATGAATAACAAGAAAACATTGACAAGTAGTATAAAAATATCTCGACAAGGATCAAAGGGATGCAGATTATTTCTCAGATTCCAACTTAATCAGAGTCCAGTCTACTCATGTATAGCAATGAAGGAAAAACCATCTGGATTCAAATTGTCATACCTCTCGAGAATTTACGATATCGAAGTTTCCTAGGAAATGATTCAAATAATTCTGCATTGCCACCTTTGCTCTGTCTGAAACACCCTGCTGCCCTCCTAGTGCCGGACGAAGAAATGACAAAGCAGCAATGGATGGGACATTTCTGCATAATAAAACCACCTTAACTACAATGTATGCTGGATGAAATTGTATGTAATGCCTATGAATTGAACGAGGTTATAACCTGTTTCTAACACTTCCTTCTTGGTTAGGTATTGGAACAGCACCATCATCCGGTTCGTCAGCATCTTGCACGACTGCTATTTGATCTGCTATTCCTAAGCTGTGGAGCCATTCTTTAACCTTTCAAACAGAAATTAAATAAATATCAGTCAGAAAATGCGTAAACAAGTTAATTAAATAGTCCAAAATGGAAAAGCCTAATGGTACAGAAATGCCATATTCGAAAAGAAATGGCTTATTGCATTCTACCAAACCTGCTCTTGTTTCTCATGAAGTTCCTCGATAAGTGTACGTTTTTTCAAAGCAAAATGCAAGTAGAGAACTTGTGATGCTTTCTTCAGTAACCGCCACTTGAACTGTCAATAAAAATACTGTCATTAGGCTCCTTATCTGCAGATTCATTCAATTGATTTTGAGAGAATTCAAGCACTACAATAAATTTAGTATTCCTTGAACAACCTCAGCTTAGGCTATCAGAAGTAAAATTCTAGTGATTCTCCTAGTCCTAGCCTGGATAATTTTTGACTGGACCGAATAGGTGGAATTCGTAAGCTGCCCAAGGATACCACCTCATCCAGGAATTTTAAAAAAAAAAAATCCTCGAACCATCATCATCCAAGTCCACTTCTTAACCACATGTTTTCCTCCCTTTCCATTGCAAAAGATCTGTGACCCTCCTCCACCACTTTAACCAACCACCTTGTTCCTTCCCATCAAATTCCACACAACCAGCTATACTACGTAAACAAGAAAAACAGCTATGGAAATTTGTGCAAGATTGCGTAGTCATGTCAGTCGCAACTTTTTCCATAGCATTCATCGATAAACAACTAATAATTCTTTCCAATTTTGCACTACCTACTATGCTAAACAAAATGCAACAGTAACCACAGTTAAAGGTAAAAAAGAGAGAGAGGGTGTCTGCCTGCCTGTTTGTATTGTAATTCAATGTTGTAAGACAGAAGCATGGGGCTAAAATCTCCTGCAGTATCAGGTCTTGAGACCGAAACAATGGTTGCTTTTGGCAATTCATCAAAAATCCAACCTGGTTCAGGGAATTGCCCGAACGAATAAGATGGATGCAAAAATGCATTGATATTATTATCAGAACGCAAACTTCCATCTGCTAATAATGGCTCTGTCGTTGACATCCCACACCTCTTCCTCTCCTCACCCCAAAATCCTCCCCTTCCTTCTCCAGTCACCCTCAAAATATTACAGAAAGAGAGAGAAAGGGTTTTTGTTGTTTGTGCTAAAGTTTTTTGTTAATGTAAGAGAATGTGAATTGTTTAAACAAGAGGAGAGTTGTCTTCTTGGTTTTCATATCTGTCTTAGTACCTGTTTTTTAAGGTTTTATGTGCCGGGAAAGTTAAGGCAGGTAAGTCTTTGTGATCTGGTTACCCATGGGGAGTAGCCAAACTTCTCGTTTGATGATGCCATGTGTTAGGGCTGCTAGAGTTTTGCTATCGTGGCAGTCTCTGAGGCTGGTTGCGTGGAGATTGTATGAGGTCGTCAGATATTTTGCATTATTTTGATGGTGGCAAAGTTAAGATTTTTATGAAGATGTTGGCATGTTTTAGAGGTTTTAATATATATATTTTTTTAATTTTGTCCAAATTAAGCCCTAAAATGCCTGGAATAACCCTGAATTTTCATAGACATTTCTTGAAGTTTCAAGCTTGAATGCTCTTATTCATTATGATTTATGGCTTCATTCTCACGAATGAGTTAAGGGTCATTTTGGTAAAGTTGACCATGATGGACAAAAACTTGAACAACTTGAAAACATGCATCTTCCATTTGGCATATCCTATGGCAGAATCACCTTCAGAATATCCAACTTTTTGCGCTTGCAACTCAAAAGAATATGCTAAAAAAGAGACAAATCATTGGATCATTTACTATATTTCAGGAAAAAACCCACTTGGAGTGGATTAAATTAAGTCTAAATATACTATTAGTAGCATCTAGCATGAGCTTGAATCGTGATTCTTTATTCCATTCAGAAGAGGAAATTTTTCTAAAAATAAGAGGAAAAAAATTCGTGCACGGCTAGATTATCTGGCATTGATTGCAGAAACAGCAAAATAATATGGTTGGCTGCTGGTTAATTTTTGTGGCTCAGGCAGGTTGATGATGGAAGGTAGAATTCTTAAAATGATGATGCTTTAATCTAAATCAAGAAAGGTAAGAACAGGAAGCAACATGTGACAGACATGGACAAAATGGCTGTACTTGAAGGAATGATGTGTTTTATGGGCTAATTTTTTGTTCAAAAATCTCAAACTGTTAAATGTAAATTTTGACTTGGTTATGCTTCCAGTCTTGTCAACAGGTTCAATTCTAAAGATATAATTTTGTTTTCTTTGTCATTTTTCTAATTCAGATACATACGTCTTGACTTTAACCAAACTGAGAAGATAGATTATTTTATTTTTTATTTTTTTATCCTTCACGATATTCTAAACCTAAAAATTTAGATTAATTCATGGTTATTTCGTTAGACAAAAAAAAAAAGAAGCTATATAAAGAGTTTTTAACATATATAAAAATTTGAACTTGAAATAATTTATTTACACGATTAAAACTTCTTCTATTCAAATCAATTATTTAACAATAATATTTATTGTGATATTCAGGACAAGCAATTCATTTCTTAAGTATTTTTCCTTCTTCTTTAATATGCATATGTGACATCATAATAACTCCCAATCAATTTCTATAATATGTTACAATATCTTAACAAATTTAAGTATAAAATAAAAATTAACCAATATTTATTATGAATTTTTTAAAATTTAATATATATTATGTAGTATCTAATACGATGTTTATATTTCAGGTTTGAATTTAAATATATCATATAAATATGTTTAATTTTGATCAATTGAAAAAGAAGGAAAATATGCTATTAGTTATTTATTTTAAAAAACTCAAATTAAAAGAGGATGCTAAATCAATTTATATAGAAAAGTGTTTAATTTTACTCAACAAATTTATAAAAAAAAATCACAAAATAACCATTAGCCATTGAAAAAAAAATATTTTGAACAAATAATAAATAATAAAAAAAAATAAAAGCCTAAAAAAAGAAAGAAAGAAAAAGGTTAGACTGAGAGGCACACCAGATAAGCACGTATGGCATTCAGAAAAAATAAAAAATAAAAAAAAAAGGTGGAGGGGGACGTCGCTCGACTCTGCAATGCTAGAAAATTGAAAGCCTTAGGTTTTGGGCCTCCAAACCTATTTTCTGCACTATTTCTTACCTACAAATACATGAAAATATCCTAAAAACGTCTATGAGATCAATGTTGAACCTCAAAACACATTTTCATCAATCTTAAAATTAAAAAAAAAAAAAATTAAGAAAATTGGTTCGAATGGAAGAGGCTTAATTGCTTAAATAAATGGTTTTGAATTTGAATTTTTGTATATACAAAAAACTCTATGGATAATTATCTTTATGTCGTGCTTTAGACGAAATAATAAAGGATTAATCTACATCTTTATGCTTGAAATATCTAGGAGGATCCAAAGAAAAAAAAAAACTACAAAAACTATATATATACACAAAAAAAAAAACGATTCTCTCCTCCCTTTGCTCTCTCTTATACTTTCAAGAACCTTATTTTAACTCGATGAAGTTTAGGAACCATTCATACAAATCAAGAACCAAAATGAATTTATATATGTTAAAAACTAAATATCAAAAACTACAACGAATTAATATTTTCAAAACAATCACTTGTTTTTGAAAGAACGATGTTGTTTAAGTTAAAAATAACCCAAAACAACGCTGTTTTGAACCAATTACAATAGCTAAATTGCGGTAAAAAGCCACATCCTTTCAGTTTTTTTATAAAAATAATTTTCCCAACTGAGGGCACAAGTCATTAGTCCTAGTCTTCTGGTTCTACCTAAGCAAAAGTAATAAAGCTATCACCTCTTTTAAACCGGACCCGGAAGAGAAATCTACAGCTTTTTCGCTTCCAATATTCGGTTTTCCATATCTGTGAAAACTCTCTTTTTGTCCATGAAACTAACCTGGAATAAGAGTACTGTTGATGGTAAAGGGAGTTGCTATAATGCTTATCTTTGCGATGCCGATGAGCATTTGCTGTACCACTAGTTGTTCCACAAGACATAGGCATTGTGCCAATGCAAATTGACACAGTTCCAAGTATTAAATATATTGGAAGCAACTAATATGAATGAACTGAGTATATATGCAATCCTGGATTCATTCCTCTTCTTGTTGCTACAAAATCAAAATCAAACCAAACATTTCAGTCGCTGCTCCAGTTTCGACACAAACAGTGAACCTTGGCGAGAGCCGCCATATAATCATCAGACCTGGAATGAGAAATGCATAAGCTGCTATACTTTTGCAGTGCTAGAAAGTGTAGATAGATTTAGAACTCGAACCTTTGTCCATAAGGAGACCTACATGCAGCAATTATGTGAACTTTGGCTGCCTCCGGTTCTTTCTGTAAAGGTGAACGTGAATATAGGTAATGATAAAGCAAAAGCTAACACCAGCAAGTAACACACTTTCATTGTATAAAATCTAAAGAGACTAAGGCAAAAAGGGTTGCTTCCAAAATCATGAGAAATGAGCTAGATTTCTCGTCTCTTTTCGGCATCCTGAAGCTCGTCTTGAGAGAGGCCACTGCTGTCAAATGTGGGTTTTCTTTTCTTTTTCTTGTTCTTTTTTTATTTTGAGCTACATAACCATGATCATAGAATGTTCTTTCTATATTCAGTCAGTCCTCTGTTAAATAAGAATTCACATAGAAATAGCTTCTACAGTTTCCGAGTAAAAAGAGAACGGCGATTGGCAGGTACTGGAAGTTCACACATCTACTTCTGTACTTGAAACTACTAGCCGTTATATTTCTAGAATCCCATGCACCCTTCTGGCTGCCTAATGTTTTCAAGTCATAATAAAACTGAAATACTTTCCTCAGGCTGCAAAAGCCAAACACAAAAAGGACGCTCTATTTATAGGTAGAGGACGAACCTGAGCTTCATGATATAGACCGGCATATAAAGATGCATAAAAATACTCATTCTCCTGCCCATTTGAAAATGCAGTAGCAAACTACAAACAAAAAGCCAATGCATTAGTCAAATGCTAGCAGATCCAAATGCAGAATTAATATCAGCTTTCATCATCAACAGTTTTCAGCATTATCACTCTAAGAAGTTGATACTGCTATAGATCTTAGAAGATAAATGCTTGAAAAAGAAAGAAAATCAATCATGTCCAGGAACTGAGCACAGTAGTGATAGTGACTGTCTACAGACCTAGCCATAAGTAATCTGTAGACTTTGAATAGAAAACATATAAACTGGTATGGAAAGCTCTTCATAATAACATGTAGCTATCCATGACCTTGATAAACTGACTCCATGCAACAACCTTGGATGGGGGGATTCGTTGAATTTCAGCCTTTACCTTGTCCTTGAGGATTTGTTTTTAAAACTTCAGTTGACAATCCACTAGCTTAGGTTAGACCTTTCAGTTCAGGATGGTAAACAAATGATCGAGGTTGTATCATAAAAAGTGGATTCTTAAACATGGGATATCATAGAACAGATCCTTGAACCGATTCAAATGGACATTGGGTTCTGAAACATTCTCCTGATATGTTAATGAATGCTTCATTAATAAATATTGGATAAATTTTGACATCAGAATACCAAATAGTATCATAAAAACATATGAAGCCAGAAGAAGGATTAAAATGAATGGATGACCTTACACATTTCGCAGATAGTTCAAAAATGAAGCATTAAAGTTAGATAAGCAGTTCACCTTTTCTGGATCACCACCATCTTTAAACATGTTATAAGCTTCCCGCATAACAGGTCTCGGATCTCTACCGACCTGCATTCAGATAGTATGCAACTGAATGAATTATATTGACCTCTTCTCTTGAAAACATGTGAACAGATGCACTTAGAATAAGTAAACCCAAAGACTAGGCGCAATTACGCCCACTCAAACCAAAACCTACACATGCATCATAATGTAAATTATATTGCTACGACAACTCCAAGAACAACTGATCAGAACTCAGCATGCATATATGCTTCTTATCGTTATGAGAAAGCTTGCATTGGAACATGATCAATTGAGACACAATTCTTATGCATATTACATTTTATTAGAAAGCTTCCATTCAACAGGCTTTAAACTCCATCTTAACCATCCTAGTAAGTTGGTGATTTTCTCTAGTTAACACTCAAGAGTAACTTACCTCAAGAAATCGCTTCCTTGCTTCATCAACTCCATACAATTGAGCTTCACAGAGAAAGCACCATATTGACTCCTCCGTGTCATTTGGATTCTGTGCAACATCTATTCGAAACTGCTCTGCCCCTTCTTCAAACCTATTGATAGGGATTAGGGAATACCAGTTTCATATCTTTTGAAATCGTCAAGTACTTATTGAAGAAGCAATTTGTTCTCTTAATAGTGGCCAAGAAATTGGTGAGAAATTGCAAAGGGAAAATTACGAGGCCACCTAATTGAATTGGGCTCTCCAATAAGCAATGTTCCAAATTGATATCGAAAATGAGAATGCCATCTCCTTTCCATAGATATCTTTCTCAGCAACCAAACAAGAAATAAAGGAAAAACAACCATTAAAGAATTAATACCTATCAAGGTAGTAAAGTGATAACCCCCTTTGCCAAAGATCTAAATCACAAACACCACACAACTTCATCATTATTCACAATAAAATCAACATTCTCAACAACCCTCAGAAAACGAACAACCCAGATACTTTTAGAAACTTACAAGCTTTTTGACGAGGATCCAACTCCATTGCCTTGTCAAATTCCACTAAAGATCCCAAAAAATCACCCTTCACAACAACAACAACAACAACAACAAAACACTTTAGAATGAAACAAACAAAACCATAAAGATAAAAGTACCCAAAATTTAACCTGTCTAAAGAGTAGCATTCCACGTCTAATAGCCATAACAGCTTCACGGGCATTGTTGTTGCCTCCTGTTATAGCATCCCAAATGCCAGAAACTGAAGGAAGAAACAATCTTCTGGTGAAAGTTGGTAGTGGATTTTGAAGGTTGTGAATTCTTGAAGGAATGCTAGTGCTGAAAGAGTGAGAGTTGGTGTAGGCATTGAGTGAAAATGGAAACTTAGTAGTTAAAGAGTGCTTGTGTTTAGAAGATAAAGAGGATATGGGGAATATGTGCTTGAAGTTATGGGTTAAAGCCATTGAAGTAACTGTTGAAAACTTGAAATGTGTAGATGGTGAAATAGACCGTTGGAACTTAGAATTTGGGAATGTTGAGGTTGTCGGGGTTCGTGTTTTCTTTTTTCTTTTTTTGGGTTGTGGACAGACTGTGGAAAGTTGCTGACGCAGAGAGAGAGATAAGGCGCCAAAAGGTAACTAAACGTAAGGCTTAAACTTGACCTGAGAGATTTAATCTTGAATGGTGATACAGTATTTCATCGATGAAAAGACCGGTTTCTTTGGACAAATACATCTTTAGCTACGCTAAGGACAGCCATGGTCCTCGTGGATCCTAGCCATCCTCGCGAAGCACAGCTGTGACTGCCCTTGTAAAAATCCTTACATAGCCGTGTTGAAGATGACATTCTACGTGCCAGAGCTCGAAGAACCAATCACCCTTGAATAAACTACTAAAGTTTCCAAATTTCTTCTTAATTTTAACTCATTTGAGAATCTACTCTTCAACTTCTAATTTTGAATTTGAATTTCTTTCAATTATTGTTCCTTTTAATGCAATTTCTCAGTAGTTATCAAAACTTATACAGGCTTTTTTTTTCCTTCCAAAACTACAAGGATGTCATAAAAATCACATAAACTTTCACCTTGATAAAAACCTAACAGAAAAACTCAATTTCAAATAAAAAATAATTGAAAAAAATGCAATCCAAAATTAAAAATCAAGAAAATAATTCTCAAATGACATCAAATTCAAGTGAAGTTTGTGTCCTTTAACTATAAATTAAACAGTAACTCAATTGCCATGTTGCCATCCTCAATCACTGCAAAGACAAGATTCCAGTTTGAGTTTCCTTGTAACTGAAAAAGGAAAATCAAAAGGCGAAGAACAGAATCTCCTGACATCTTTAGAATAATTTTTTTAGGAACATCAATAAATGATAGGAAACCCTGTGAAACACAAGGATAAATGACGATCTCCAGTTTATACAATCGTTTTGCTGCAAAATACATGCCTCGAAGTTGTTCTAGTGGACTCTTTAACTGAATGGACGATCCAGAAAATAAAATAAAATATCAAGTATAAATAATGTTAACCTTGAAAGTTTCATATTTCCACCCAACTCCTAACACTGTCTTGGTTATATACAAGATAGGGGAAAAGCAGCTTGCGATGAAGTGTTTGACGATGACAAACTGGTTCCATTGAAGATCCAAGCGCTATCAGGAACCACGGAAGAGCACAGGGTTGGCTCGTCGGTATAAGAACTTCAGATGTGAAAAGATCAGTGAAACTAATATCGGCATGTTCATGCTGAATGGTTTTGCCATAACTATTTCTGGAAGAAAATCCTATTTACAACATCAACGGGCAGAGCATAAGCTGGATCTATGGCTTTCACTCCTGGATATTCAAGAAGCGAAAGCCCTGCATCAAAGTAAACAGGAAAAACAATGCAGTTAAAACATGGCATCTGCAGGCATGGATAAAAAATCAACCAAGGATACGGCACAAAAAGAATGTGAAACAATTGGCCACAGTGCTTTGCTATGCAATGCCAAATGCAAAATCACCGACAACATTGGCTTGCTGTTCTATACTGGATGATTATTCCATTCTTTTACTGAATATCAGCAAACAGGTCAGAACTTAGTAGGAGAGTGAATTATCTTAATTTAAGGGGAAAGAAGAAGTTAGTTTTGGATAACAATGCAATGACTATCTATTATTCAGCCTCAAGTTCTAGATTAAATATGCAGCCTAAAGTACTTTACCTCTATTGCAAAGGGTCTTACAAGATGAAGACAACAAAACAATAAAGCTGTAATCCCAAACTAGTAGTGATCGGCTATATGGATCCTCTTGCTAGATGAAGAAAAGGAAAAGAACACATGATAAGAAAAGATGTCCAAGATTCTGACTTCAGGATTTTAAGATATTTCCGGTGTGACTAGCCCTGGTGACTTTTGAAATATGTTTTCTAGGAAATAAAAGAAGAAAATGAAAGGCTCTTAAAATACCAGCCACTCCAAAATATGTATGGAATACATCTACAGCATCTTCTGGTCTATCTGAAATTCCTCCATTTTCTGTATCCTGCAACACCAAGTACATAGTAGCCAAATCTTAAGTAAAATGCCAGAATTTAATATCAACATCTCATGGTTCTGTTGATTACTCTGAAATTATAACCAGTCCATTCAGTTCAAAACAAACCTGACAGTTTAAGATGAATTTAACTAGCTTGTCCTTGTTAATCCAATGAACTCTGTCAATCATAATCAAGCTAGAAAGAACCCACCATGAATAGCAAACCTGAAGATATTAAATAAAGTCATAATCAGAAGAATATATAAGAAAGTTTGTAGAAAGGCACTTATATTTGGAAGAAATACCCACATCAGGAAGTTTCTCAGGGCGACCATTTAGACCTCCAGATTTGACTTGGCGTTCACATAGCCACCAACCAAGGAGGTCCTTGTCAACATGATGCAGAGACCCCGTAACAGCAAGAGCGCCCACGCAACAGAAAACTAGGGTCATGAAGAAGAGTAAAATTTAACATACATAGAATTGCACTGTATTTTGACCCACAAACATCAATCAAGCCAACAATTTGAGTCTTCAAGTAAGTAACATCACGTGAATGATCCAGGTGGAAAAGTTTTAATTGTAGTTAACATGAAAGTGCCATGTAGCGGTCCAGACAAACTAAGTTGCTCCAAATACCAGAGTCACTGGCTTAACATTTCCCATGCTGTCACTCTCTTCCACTAGCTCTTGCCTTGAGGTCCTTGTCAACATGATGCAGAACCAAGGAGGTCCTTGTCAACATGATGCAGAGACCCTGTAATAGCAAGAGCGCCCACGCAACAGAAAACTAGGGTCATGAAGAAGAGTAAAATTTAACATACATAGAATTGCACTGTATTTGGACCCACAAAAATCAATCAAGCCAACAATTTGAGTCTTCAAGTAAGTAACATCACGTGAATGATCCAGGTGGAAAAGTTTTAATTGTAGTTAACATGAAAGTGCCATGTAGCGGTCTAGACAAACTAAGTTGCTCCAAATACCAGAGTCACTGGCTTAACATTTCCCATGCTGTCACTCTCTTCCACTAGCTCTTGCCTTGAGGTCCTTGTCAACATGATGCAGAACAAGGAGGTCCTTGTCAACATGATGCAGAGACCCCGTAATAGCAAGAGCGCCCACGCAACAGAAAACTAGGGTCATGAAGAAGAGTAAAATTTAACATACATAGAATTGCACTGTATTTTGACCCACAAACATCAATCAAGCCAACAATTTGAGTCTTCAAGTAAGTAACATCACGTGAATGATCCAGGTGGAAAAGTTTTAATTGTAGTTAACATGAAAGTGCCATGTAGCGGTCTAGACAAACTAAGTTGCTCCAAATACCAGAGTCACTGGCTTAACATTTCCCATGCTGTCACTCTCTTCCACTAGCTCTTGCCTTGAGGAATTTTGCACATAGCTTAAAAAATCAACATACTATTTGCTAATTCTACCCACATTTTAGTTAAGGCTTATGACAACCTTACCTTCAATTGCTGAATAAGAAAATCTGATTGAGTACAAACATTAAAAAGATGGTGATTGTTTCACCAATTAATTAAAAAAGGAAAAAAAAGTTTGCAAATTCACATGGTGGATGCAGTTTTAAACGCTACGCAAGACTACAAAACTATAGGATGAAAAACCTGCTCTTCAATTTCAGAATAAAACTCATAAGCGTAATGTAGAACATACTCTGGCCAGCATGAGACTCTCCGCCAGGAGTACATCCAAATCCACCATCCACATTTTTGCAACTTACAATGTAGTTCACTGCCTTCTCAACATTTATTTTATCCAGACGATGCAATATAGAGAGACAACATATAGCAAGATAAGAAAACCTAGAAAAAAAAAAGGAAAAGTAGTTACATATATAACCACTCATTCGAAAAAGAATGAGATGCTGATTAGCTCAAATAAAAAAGGACTGGAGAAAAAATACCGGGTGTCTACTTCTCCCCACTCGTCCCCAGTAAATGATCCATCATCGTTTTGCAGCCCACTAACATCTGACCTAAAATTAAGTAAACCAAGAAATGGATGGCCAAGGACATTTTGAATTGTTATGTCTAATATCCTTATTCCGTTAGCCTCAAATTGTCCAAAAAAATGAATGATTATTTGATCGAAAAAAGTGATTGCAACATTAAATTTCACACAAATGGTACTTCAGTGAACTAAACTGCTATTTATGTAGACAACACAATGTAGTTGCAATATTACACAGCTACTCTTTATGTGAACTAAATTGCAATGAAAGTTTGTTGGGTGATAAACACAATCTCAAATAAAGGATAAACTATCTCAAAGCCAGCTTAACAAATGCCAAAAAGGATACAATTCGCAACTTTATCAGCATCCAGAACATTTAGCTTATCAAAAAGGGCCAAAACTTGTACAGCACTAAGCGTATACAGCATATGGGGGTCATGCCCAATATTACCAGCAAATCCACCTGCATAACACAAAGCAACATCACACATCTTACCATAAAGATCCAACCTTTTTACTTATTTACCATCCAAGTTGCATGACTAGTGTGTAAGAGCAGACAAATGAGATGGTATTTAATAAAAGCAAACAAAGTCAAGAGTGCTTGGCAAACCAGACTCATGTTGACACTTCATGATCCATTCAATAACTTCATTTGAATCCAAAGCATCAATCTTTCCTAGAAGATCCAAAGCGGTCAATCCCCAATATGCTCCATTCATTCTTAAATGCTCCATCACCACCGATTCAAAACTATCCTTTCTCTACACTCGCCCAACCAACCAAAAGATTCAAACGTTAGCAACTTGATTGCACACTTCAGACAGCAGTAAGCAAAAGAAAGACAAACACTTAAACTAAAAAACAAACCTTTTCAACTGATAAAATGTATTTAACATGCTTATCAACTGCCAACTCTCCCATCTGTCATAAATCATGCAATTCTCAAAACGAGGCCTTTATACAAGTACAGAAACTAGGAAAAATTAAATTTTGACAACAACCCATAAATTTATTCAACAGAAATAAAAAGCTGAGAAGTCAAGTAAAGAAGTAAAAGAGAATAACCTTCGGAAATCTAGTTAGGGAATCAACGGAGGGAGGTAGATGGAGAGGAAGAGAGAAGGAAGGTAGTTCCTTTTATGGGCCTTTTCAAGTGGTGCTATTTGACAGAAGTAATACATCAAGTACTAGGCCCATTTAGGGTGCTTTAAGATTTTTATGTGGGCTTTGTTTACTTCAAGCAGGCGAAGATAAGTTATGACTGGCCCATTTAGGCCCATTCAGGGGACAATTTCTGGAGGCTTTCCTTGGCGTTGCCCCATTTTGGGATCAAAGCGAGTCCTCATTAATAAGGGCCACAAGGCCCGCCATTGGAAAAACATATAAAAGCTAATAATCACATGCATTAATATTATACAACATTTGACTTCATAAATTTTATAACCAAGCAGAAAAAATTACACGATAGATAGAGAAAGTTACTTTAGTTGTTTTCTTTTATTTTTCATTCAAAAATAGATATTCACTAATTGTTTGGTTAAATTATTTTTGGACTTAGCTTCGTGAGCTACATGCTCCAAGTAAGTTGAAATTTTCAATTTTCAATTTTTGATAATTTGGATTTAGTTCATATTTTTTTTTAAAAAAAAAGAAGGTTAAATAAAATTTTAAAAAATATCAATTCCAAATAAAATTTTCAATTTAAAATAGTTTGTTTTAATTGATAGATGATTTTATTTTGAAATAATTTTTTTTACTATGATTTGAAATAAAAAACTCATTATTCATATAAAATTAAACATATTAAACATACACCAAAAAACTTCTTATGTGTATAAATTATGATTTCATACATTAATTCATTCACATAAGAACTTTAATAAATTAAAATAAGTTTAGAAATAGATTTTTTTTTTTTTTTTTTGAGTATTTACAAGTAATGAGGTATTTTTAGATTATTTTTGTATTAACCGAGACTAAGTACACCACTTCTTGTGCTAAGTCTCAGAACACACTTAGTTTTTTTAATTAAATATCAGGCTATCTATTAGACCAAATCAACTGAAGTTTGGCATCACTAAGGGATAGTTATAGCTAATTATCCATAAATAATAAGAATTAAATTTTAATTTTGATTAAATCAAGATAATTTTGTTTAACGCTAAATTATATCCTTTAATAGTTTAGAAAATGATGTTATCGTAACAAATGTAGAAGTCAATTAAAATAATAAAAATAAAATAGCACAACCTTTGTTGCCTAACCATTTTGCGAAGAAAAAAAAAAAAAGACAATTCTTAAGTTTGTATTCTAAGGAATGAACCATCCTTATTCATAAGAAAAGGTGTTATCTACGAATTTTTGTCAGAAAATAAAAATAATAATTTGTACTCATGCATGACTACGAGAATAATTCATTCTGGAATTCAAGATCATGGCAGAAGGCTAGTTTGTTCCTGGCCTAATAGAACGTGAAAGCCCCAAACTAAGTGTCACGCCAAAGATGCCACAATTGACCCAATTCAATAACCCAGAAATTGGATACCAAATGGCCTCCTCGATCCTCCATGATTGTCTCAAATGTCAAAGTCTGAACTTAATCTCGAAAGGATACAGAAAATGTATTCTTTTGAATGTACCAGATAGATATAGAAGATATATTATTATTATTATTATTATTATTATTTTGGTTCGATAATAAAATCACGTAACACATTTAGTTTTCACATATCTTAAAACTAATACTTATTTACACGTAGTTTAAAGATATTTTTTAACGTGCGATATTAGATATTATGAGAATAGATTCTTAAAAATGTTGATCATAACAATCAAACTTTGAACTTGACTTACAAGTCAATTTTTTTTTTTTTTTTTATAAACAGGCTATCATTTTATAGTTAATATAGGAAATGTATTATTAATATTATCTAAAAATAAACTTAATTTTATTTGACATGCAAGTTAATTTTACGATACTCTTACCATTCAATATACATACATATATATATATATATATATATATATATATAGCAGGAAATATTCTTTCAAGACATGGTTAGGTTACTTTTGTAATGTTCTTTTTATGAGTTACATTATTTTTCCCCAATAAATTTGATATTTCCAAATCATCAAATATCTTTTTATCAAAGTTTCTTCATCGCTATCGAAAAATAATAACAAATAATGTAGAAGAATCTTGTTCAAAAAACGTGTGTAACATTAGGAACTCCATTGATAAATTTCTTTTTCTTTGAAACTCAATCGAGTATATAGATTAGGGAGTAAATTGAAGTAATTTTTTTTATTACCATAATTCAATTTTTAATTCGATAGTTGGACCAAATGCTAAGATAATTTGTATGCATTCAAGACAAATAATCCACACTAAAATTAGAGGATACACAAATGCTTACCTTCTCTTGCATTTCAAAAAATAATTAAATAAAAGGACAAGATTTAAGCATATCTTTCTAGTCTTGATTTTGAAATGGGATCAAGATAAATAATAATAATAAAAAAGGTCAAGACATTATCCATCTGAGGAGAGGCTGACGAAGCAACATGCGAAGGAGACTGGAAAGCTAAAACGAACACAGAATTTACAAGGAAAGTGCTCTCTGGGCCCAAATTTTTGAAAAGAAAGGACAATGCATGATACCCATTTCGGAGAAAATAACTTCTGGTAAGCAACGGTTGGCTGGTTTCTAAATACTTCGAAAATGGCCATAAAACATCTTAAGATTTCTCTATTTTAGGTTGAGCTAATCAGTGGCTCTATGCATAATTAATCTAGGATCACGAAAATGAACACAGAATTCAAACTTGATAATGCAAAATATATATATTTTAATTATGCAAGGTGTCATTTCAATTGACATAGACTCTATAGCAATTATAATTTAGTGGGCAATTTGCAATGACATTTATAGCAATTATAATTTAGATGGCAATTTGCAAAATTGCAATGACATTTATAGCATTTGCCCTCACGTATTTGTCCTGCATTCAATCAAAGCAGATTAGGTTTTTTTTTTTTTTTTTTGGAATTTGTAAATACCAATAATTTTTTTTTGAATACTTGAAATTTAGATTAAATTAAATTATTTGGATTTAATAGTCATTACATTTTTAACTTTAAGACATTAGTCTCGTGGTACAAAATATATTTAATTTTAAACTTTACGAATTTAAACTTTAAAGTCAGCATCTAAAAGAATTTATTTTTGAACCAGCCTTTTTTCTATAAACTTAAATTAGGTAAACTTAAGTTAAAGTTGATATAATATAGTATTCTAAAAAAATATATAATATAATGAAGATCAAAGTAGAGGGTACTATTAAATTGTAGAAATTGGAGGTTTTCCACAATTAAACCTGTTATAATTGGGATTGCATCATAGGTCTTCCACAGAGCACAGAAATAATATTTTTTTTATGTGCACCCACTTAGGTTTAAAAAATAAATTTATTATAAGGAAAACGAGGTTGTTTTAATAAAGTTGATTATTAATCTTATTTAATTATTCCAGCTTAATACTTTTTGTCAGAATTTGGTGGCCGCTACTCATGGAGCAGTCAATTTTGAACAGCCTTGGTGGCATCTAGGACAGTGAAAGGTAGTGAACTTTTTTTTTTTTTTTTTTTTAATGGAATAATGAAAGGTAGTAAACTTGAAATCAACTCATCCCATGCTTAACCTAATTGATTAATAATTAATAAAGTAATTTGAAGCTACCTTTGGAGCCGTTATTGTTATTATTATTATTATTATTATTTGTCTAGGTAGCTGTCAAGGTAAGTTAAGACTAGTTTTCTTCAATTAAAATTAAATATTTTTTTAGGCATTCAAATCTTATATTAAATATATGAATAATCATATTCGAGAGCGAAGCGAATGTAACTTCAAAATTCAAACTCTGCATATTAATAAAAAATCTACCTAGTGATTCGTTTATTATTAAACTAACAACTTATTGATAGTAAATTTATTTTCCTTTTATCTTAAAATAGATTATTTGCATTCGAATTGATTTATTTATATTTCGAGCCGCTATTAATGATATGTGTAAATGAATAATGTTAAAAAATAAAAAATAAAAATCAATTATAATAGGTTTAATTTGGAGGGTTTATTATATATATATATATAATGTTAAAAATTAAGAAAAAAATAATAATAAAAAATCAATTATAAACCATAAAAGTCTAGAATTCATGATTAGATCTCATATTAAGATTTTAATTAAATGACTAGTAATTTTCTTAGAGTTATATATATATGGTTGTTTAACAATTGAATTGAAGGGTTAGGTTTTCACAATTAAGCTATTTAACGGGAAATTGACCAAAGGATAAGTACTACACATTCCTTTTCCATAGTCCATAGATAACAACATTCTATGTGCATATCTCTTAAAGGTTTTTTTTTTTTTTTAAAAAAAAAAACAGTTTAATTCGAGGCAAACAAGGTTGTTGTTTTATTGAAGTTCAGAATTCGAACACGTAGGGTTTTTCAAAATCTGGCGACTAGCAATAATTTAGGAAGCAGCCAACTTTGAACTCCACCAATTGAAGCTCTGCAATACGTGTGTTAACGATGGGGTAAACACGGAATCAACACTTAACTAGTAGTTAACTTGTTAACTACTTAATCAACAATTAACCAGTCAAAAGCTACTCTTGTTTTTATTTCAACGTGCTCTTCACCCTTATCATCATCTTGTTTTTATTCCAATGTGCTCTGCATTGTATTTTTGCATACATGATAGTTTTTTTTTTTTTTTTTTGGGCTTATCAAGAGTTTTTTTTTATTTTTGAACGAGTCGTTCTTTCTCGTTACATAATAATCAAATAAATCAGAATTATTAGGATTCGAATTTTTTTTGTTAAATAAAATTATCAAATATATAATTATTAGACTCTGTTTGTTTGTACGATAGTTCTTTTTAATGAGATAAGTTTACATTCCAATTCCAATTCCATTTTTTCTAATTGAAATGTGATGAGAGACAGAAAGTGAATATTTTTTATCATCAGTTTGGGGTTTTATAGATCTCCAATGAAGAAAAAATAATAATCAAGGCTCAATATTAATTAATCAGCAAAGACAGCTTATATCAACCGGCTTGAAAATGAATCATTTGATGGAAATTCAAATGGGGAAAACAAAACAAAACAAAAAATTATTGTGTTTTCCATCTCATGATAAATTAAAACAATTTAAGAATAATCCAGAATGCTTAGAAATAGACAAACAGCAAGCTTATTAAAATTCCTGTCAAGCTATATATATATATATATATATTGAAATCAATAAATAGGGAGGCATGAGGGGACTGAAGAACTGACAAGATACCTGCCAGAAAAGGATCGTACCAAGTAAATCACAAGTGATGGGTTTGTTTTTTATTAAAAAAAAAAAACCCGACATATATCTATGTATATATAAAAAAATCAATTATTGAAATCAATAAATTGGGGGCTTGAAGGGGCCAGAAGAACCGACAAAAAACCTGCTAGTAAAAGGATCATACCAAGTAACGGACAAGCGATGGGTTTGTTTTTTATTACAAAGAACTTATATATATATATATATATATATATATATCTTTTAGGAAATCCCAAAACTAAAAAATTAGATTAATCTATTATTATTCTATCATATATAAATTAAAAACAGTTACATAAAACTTTTTATATACACACAAGTTCGAATCTAAAATCATTTATTTAAGTAACTATAACATCTTTTACTTAAATCAATCCTCTTAAATATAAAAAAGAGATTTAACTATCAATAAATATGATCTAACTATAAGAGAATTATCTTTATTTGATTAAAATTAACATTAGAAACTTTTTTACTTAAGTCAACTCTCTTGAATATAAAGAAAAGATTTAACCACCAATAAATATCATAAGAAAATCGTCTTAATTTGACTAAACCTAACATTGAATTTCATAAATAATTATTCATAATTATTTTTTAATTATATCAGAGTTGGACTCATTTGGTTTTTTTTTAAAAATCTAATAATAATAAAAAAAAACTATCAGTGTTTTTACATTAATTTAGTTTATTTTAAATTTAGGTTTGACTAATGTAAAAACTAATTCTAAAATATCCTATTATTTGTATATATATATAAAAAAACAAAAGAAAATTCGCAATCTTTTGAAAAAAACAAAAAACAGTAATGTTAGTTGAGATACAATTCGTCGTCAGCGACAAGTGGGTTTGTTGGATGACAGTGAGTTGTTTAATAAGGGGATGCATGATTGGCTAACATTATTGTGTGGCATTCAATACCAGACTTCGATTGTGAGGTCAAAGTTCTTCGACGTCAACCCCACTGTCATTGGTCAATTATTCTTAAATCATAAAAAAATAGTACAACTCCATAAACACGAGGCAAGAGATTCCATTATTACAGCAGATGGGGACAGAAACAGCTATCCTTGCCATTTTCGACAACGCGTACATGTGTAGTAAAACTCATGACCACAACCATGTCTAGCAATAAAAACGTGAAGAGACAAAGACTTGGTCACTTGTCCTTAAACAATGTGCGCACTCAAGAAAATCTAAAATGAGATAGAATTTATTTTGACTGTATGTTTGAACCATGTGTGCAATCGAAGAAAATTTAGTAAGAGAATAAAGAAACAAATCAAAATAAATTATAATTATAATTATAATATATTTGATTTTTTTATTCTTTTCTAATCACGAATATTCAATTGTATTGTTCGTCTCCTTGATTAGGGGTGAGTATTTGAATAATCCGTCAAAATTTGTTTTTTCGGTAATTATCAACAAAAATAAAATAAAATAAAATCATTCACCAGATTTTTTTTTCTTTTACTCCAATTTTTTACGCAATAAAAAATTAATGTAATTCGGGAATTTTTTTACCTAAAATATTAAAAAATTTCAATTAATGAGCAAAAATTATCCTTAAGAAAAGTTTCCACTAGTCAAAATTAGGTTAATGAAAATTACAAGCTAATGACCGTAGTTTTTAAATTTTATAAATAAAGAAATAATAAAAAATATAATTTAGGTAATTCAAAATTTTTTGATATAACCTAAATTATTTGTTCTCTGAATTTTTGTAAAAACTTGTTACTCGAATTAATTTAGATAATTTTCGATTTGCGAAAACGGATATACTTCTCCATTTAAAAAAAAAAAAAGAACATAAATGAAAAGGGACTCAATTATATCAATAAAAGAGAAGAAAAAAGATAGAAACTTCAAATAGTGTACCTTTGGATCAACACATCATTGTATAATTATCATCTCTTTTCGTATTCGTAAGAAATTGATCTATGAACCTATCATAGTATAATCACTTTGACAACAATTCCTCTTTGAAAATCAATATTTTAAACAAAAAGTCCAATATTGTTTAAGGATTTTTCCATAAGTAAAACTAAACTCTTTGCAACTAAGACTTGTCTTTAATTTGCAAAAAGATAAAGTAATTTTCCACAAAAAAAACTCTTTATTTAATATCTTTGGAATATTCTTCAACAAACTCCTTATCCTGTCTCTCTGTGCGCAATCAAATACCATACTTCAATCCTCTTAGCCAAACCTTCCGTACCATATTATAAAAATAAAATGTTCCATGTGCCTCAAACTCAAACATTGGGTTGAAAATTCAAAAAATTTTAAATTAATTTTCTTTTTTAAAAATAGGCTAGGATTATCCTACCACTTGCAATGTTGTATATAACCCCAAGGAAAGCTACAAATTAACCACAAACACGCTTTATAGCCTTAAGACAGAGACAATAGTGCCTAAAGTTTGAACTTTTGTCCTTGCCATTCCTTAATGGATCATCAAGAGTTTAACATATTGCCCGAAGGCTGTGTTTCTACAATTCTTTCTTTCACATCCCCACTAGATGCATGCAAGTCTTCATTGGTTTCAACTATATTTCAATCAGCTGCAGATTCTGATGGAGTTTGGGAAAGATTTTTACCTTCTGATTGTCAAGATATAGTCTCAAGGTGCATGGTCCCTTTGAAGTTTTCTTCAAAGAAAGAGCTTTTTCTTCGTCTTTGCAACTCTCTTCTCATAGATGGTGGTAGAAAGGTATAGCTAGCTAGATTCCATATTCTATAAAATTTGGTAAAGCAAAGCTTGACTGTAAAGGGAAGATTCTCATTTTTCTTTTTTCTTATGATGCAGAGCTTCAAGTTAGAGAAATCATCAGGCAAGAAATCTTTTATGCTATCTGCAAGAGATCTTCACATAACATGGAGCAATGAATCTCAATATTGGCACTGGGCATCTCTACCTGGATCAAGGTCCATTTTCTTTCTAATCATCTCTTAAATCTTTGGTTAATTATCTTGAAAGCTGGCTCAAAACAAAAGCAAGTGCATGCATTGATATTTACAGTTTGTTTCTTCCTTGTTTCAGGTTCTCTGAAGTGGCTGTGCTTAGAACAATGTCTTGGCTAGAGATTGTGGGCACGATTAAGACACAAATGTTAACCCCCAACACTAAATATGGAGCATATCTTATTCTAAAAATCAGTGACCGTTCATATGGGCTTGATTTAATGCCATCAGAGATATCAGTTGAAGTAGGCAATAATCAAGTATCAAGAAATACAGCCTATTTACGTCTTGCCAGAGAACATGCCAGGAAACAACAAATGGAGAGCCTGTTTTACAGGAATCGCATGGAAAGTTTAAAATCAAGGGTGGTAGAAGGGGATGGCAGCGTCCCAAGTGAAAGAGATGATGGATGGTTGGAGATTGAGCTGGGAGAGTTCTTTAGTAGTGAAAATGATGAGGAAGTGAAGATGAGTTTGATGGAAGTAAAAGGTCATCATTTGAAAGGTGGGCTCATCATTGAAGGAATTGAAGTGAGGCCTAAACATTAACCAAAGTATTCAAGAAAAACGGTGTTCCATTAAGTTCTTTTTCGAAGGGGACAGATACTTTTCTTTCAAAAGGGATAAAGATTAAAGACCAAGAAGACAACAAAATGCTAAAGTTGTGTGATAGCTAGCTTTTTATCAACATTTTGATTCTTTCATCTCATAATTCTGCTTGTATGCCAAGAAAATAAACAAAAATACATGTATAGGTTTTGTTACTTTTTGTTCCATCAATGTATATCTAGATCACTTGTATGGATGCTTCCCATTGGTTCCTTTTGATTTTCCGAATACAATGCAGTCATTTGTTTGACATCTATCACAAGCAATTACATATCACTTGGGCCCCTTTCGTTTTTGGAGCTATCCCACTTAACCTAACCTATTAATTGACATGTAATTTGTAATTTGAATCTTAATTTGCTTCATGAATTGAAACAAAAGCCGTTAATATTGAGATTCTTGTAATTTGAATCTTAATTACATATCATTTAATTGTTTGAAAGAATAGCCATTAATATTGAGTGCTAGCGCATGCAATAGCCAACTGTAGACCTAAACAATTAGGTGTCGATTGGTAAGCGAGGAATAAAATGATGAGAATGAAAATACGTAAATCGGAATGAAAATTAAAGAATTGGAATAGTATTTGTATTCCAATACTGTGTTTGGAATACTAATAAGGAATCGGAATGCAATTTAATTTTTTTAATATTTAATTTTGTATATAAATATAAATAATGATTAAAAAATAATTTTATTAAACTATAATAGTTATAAAAATAATAAAGGTGATGGTAGTGATTGTGGTGGTTCTAGTGATGGTGGTGGCGGTGACGGTAATGATTACGGTAGTGATGGTGGTTGTGATTGTAATAATGATGATTGTGGTGGTGGTGGTTATGATGGTGGTGATGAAGATAGTAGTGGTGGTGGTTGTGATTGTTGTAATGGTGGTGGTGATGGTGACAAAAGTAGTTAATAGATAATAAATAAATAAAATATATTATTATTTGAAAAAAAATTTATTTAAATTTCTTGTTTTTTATTCCCACATCTTATGTGGGAATAAAGTTGTGTGTAAATTTTTATTCTCATTTTTACTCTTCATTCTCATTCGCACTTCATTTCTTTTAACAAAACAGCTATAATATGAAAATAAAATTTTTATTTTTATTTTTATTATTTTATTTTTTGTTATCAAATAACACGTTAAAAAACGAGAGAGCGCGCGCCAAATAATACAAGAATCTCATCAAAATTTTCCTAAATCATCCTGCCTTATTCGTAACAATTATTAAAAGCAACAACATGTCCACGTGTAGGGTCAGGGTTTCTCACAAGAGAATTCGATCCATGAACACATCAATCTTAGATGCTTAGAGATGTCCTCATGTCTTCAATTCATGTCGCCATAACAAGAAGAAACAAGAACAAATGTTGTCACAATAACGAAATAATTGACTCGTACATGCCGTCAACCAGTCCTATATATATATATATATATAGTCATATTCTTTAATGCATGAAACAAATATAATAAAACCCAGCAATATTCTATATATTCTCTTTAGACCCATTTCTTGTTTCTTTTTCTATTGTCCTACATTTGTGTTATATTAATATTATATATATATATATATATAAACAATGAAGTTGGATCTGTTGCCTGAGGATGTGTTTTCACGTGTCATGTCGTTTGCTTCTCCTCGTGATGCATGTCGTGCTTCACTTGTTTCCTTGATGCTTCGGGCCTCATCTGACTCAGACACCGTCTGGCAGAAATTTCTACCATCTGATTACGAAGAGATTCTTTCCAGATTAGCATTCCCATTTCCTGATTGCTCATCAAAAAAGGAGTTGTTTTTCAGGTTATGTTGCCCACGTTTAATTGATGGGGGTAGAAAGGTAAACTTAATTTAATCATAACCTTTGTTTTTTTGCATTGGAGTAAATTATATATAATCTAATCCTTTTTGTGTTGAGAAATGAATTAATCAGTCTCTCTCGTTTTAAAAATTAACCATTTAGTTTCTATATTTTAACTCCATCACTAATTTAAAATTTTCATCTGTTTTTCGTTATATTAGTGATTTTTTTTAAAATTGCTCTTTTTTGATGTTTTATTTCTCTTCTTTACCCATTCTCTTTCTTTCTTTTTAACCAAAAATCAAAAAAAGGATAATTTAGAAACAAAAATAACTAATTTAACAAAAAATTGAAGAAATGATTAAATTATTGATAGAATTAAACATAAAAGATTAAATGATTAATTTTTGAAAGAAAGAGGGCTCATTAGCTCGTTTTTCTAAATCACTCTTTTTCATAATCGTACATGTATGAATTTTTTTTTATTTGACAGATATATTTATCTTGGTGTATCAAAATTAAGTTTATTTTTTGGTTCTCGGAATTAAAATTTAGTACTTTTAACTCATAGATTTCACTCAAATCTCAATATTGTGGTCCATAATCATTACTTGATTTGGGAAGATGGTAAGATGGGTTTTGCGTTACATTTTTTATTAACAATATTTATGTTTAGACCAAAATATATACTACAAAATTAGTTGCAATATAGTCCTGAAAAGCTGCGGGCCAGTAGGTAAGAGTAGAGGAAGTCTGAAAATTGATTACAAAAAAAGTGATCAAAGGAGTTGAAATGGACTTAAAAAAGATTGAAAATTGATTAAAACAAAGGAAACTTCAGACAATTTAAGGGTCTTGATTGCGATTTAAAAAGTGAAAAGGATAGCAAATTTGGGGGAAAAAATCGATAAGGGTTGATAAAATTGATTTTAAAATGGGCATTGGAGGAAATTTATTACTTTAATGGCCTTCAAAGTTAGTAAGAAGCAATAAAAGAAAAAAAAATGAATAAAGTTGAAATTGAACCATAAAAAAAATAAAAGAAGAAGAAGAGAATCCAGGTATTATAATTAAGAAGAACATCGAAAGCGTTGAAAAACTGCAAAATGCAGCACTATATCATATCATATTTCGAAGATACGATGCATTTTAAATGCTTTACTTTATAAAAAGCTAATTAAGATGAATGTTTGGTGGAATGTAATAAAATACAATATAATATAATAGAAAAACAAAATAATTACTTTTTATTTTTTTCTCTATCAAATTGCATTTTATTACATTCTACCAACCAAATCATTAATATTTGTTTAATTACTTTTAACGTAAAAATAATTCAATTAAAAATATAAAAATAAATTGATTTTTTTTATTATATAAAGAAAGATTGAACTATTAATCTTATTTTAATTATCTAAGAATATATTTCTAGTAATATAAAAAATTTAGGACAATTTTTTCAAGCTTGGTGATCCATGCACAGGTTGCATTGACTATTAGCTTGGAGAAAGGAAAGTAGAGTCAAGTCTGAATGTGGATACACAGGCAGTGGAGCAAATATGAATTCTGGCCTTTAGAATTCATATTTGTTCCATTGCCTGTGGATGCACAAGTGGGCTTAATTAAAATTTTTTTATTTAATTAATTTTTGAAAAGTTTATAGTTTTTTTTTTAAATGGATCCGTTTAAATATGAATAACTTTTTAAATCGAAAATGAATTTAATTTTATATACAAAAGGTAGCTCCCAAAATAAAACATTTATATGACAATTTGTCATGATTAAGAAATTTATTCTCGTAAATGCATGAATGTATCACACCGATGTAAGAGATGTATCTTGACAATCATTTAGGAGAAAAGATTAATCTTGTTTGACGTGCAGTGAAGATAGATCCTCTTCATTTTAGAACAAAAAAGAGAAAAAAAGTTTCCCAAGATTAATTGCCTGTGAATTTATAGGTCATCAATTCTGTTCTTGATGGAATCTAAGATGTTTGATTAGAGGTCACAGTCTTTCCATCAAATTCTTGATATTTTCTTTTTGATCAACAGATATTCTCATTGGAAAATTCAACAGGTAAGAAATGTTACATTTTGAGTTCAAGGGAGCTTTCAATTACTTGGGCTAACAATCCTCTCTACTGGTCCTGGAAATCACACAGCCAATCAAGGTTTATACTTCATCGTATATAATTTTCAGAAAATATTCCCTCTGCAATTCATTTTTTTTTTTTTGGATCATTAACACTAGAAAATATCTTTTAAAATTTTCATTTCAGATTTTCAGAAGTTGTTGAACTTAGAACAATTTGGTGGCTACAAATCCATGGCAAATTCAATACCAAAATGTTATCTCCAAACACAAATTATGGAGCCTATCTCATTGTTAAACTTGCTGGTCGAGCTTACGGATTAGACACACTACCATCGCAAATATCACTTGAAGTTGGCAAATCCAAATCACAAGGAAACGTTTATTTACGCTGCCAAGAGAAAAATAAACAAGCTTGTTCTTTAAGCAGGACAAACAGATCAAGATCAAGAATTCATGAAGAAGAAAGAAGTAATTACGTTCAAGAACGTGAAGATGGATGGATTGAGGTTGAATTGGGGAGTTTCTATAACGATGATGGTGATGCTAAGGAAGTGGAGATGTGTCTAAAAGAGGTGACCGGAGAGCATTTGAAAGGTGGGCTTATTGTTGAAGGAATTGAGCTTAGGCCTAAGAATTTATGATGGTTTGAGCTTAATTCCTGGCCATTCTTTCCAAGGGAAGCTACACGTTGTTTAGATAAGCTTACGGTCTCTTTATTTCTCACCTCAAGTTATGTTCTTTTCAAAATATTGTTTAGATCAGCTTACAGTCTGTTCGGACTTGCTTTTTATTTTCTGTTCTGAATTTTAGATCTCAAGGAAGCTGGGGGTACTCCAAATTCTTAAACGTGGAAGTGAAAATTGTAGGGTTCCTGTCAAATTTAGCAACGAAAATGCTCATCGAAAAACTTGCCAGGATTGATGCTAGGAAGGCCAATAAAAGTGTTTGTGCTCTTCCAAAGAAAGATTTTTTTCTACAGGATTCCACTTTCCACAAAATCAGCAATGTCATGTGGTGTAGCGGATTTCATCACCAGCCAAAAAAGAAAAACCCTTGAAACCGTCCTATATATTCTGCAGCAATATCTAAAATTGCAACTGTCTAAGATTAGGCCAGTTTCTCTTCTATTAATACTGACCATTCATGAGGTGCGAAAGAATATTACCCACAAGAAGCCTTTTTATTGTTTTCAGACAATGGGTTCCAAGAATCACATTACGATTTTTGCAGCCATTGTCTTGTGCCTCCTCCTGCATTTTCCTTCTCAGACCGAGGCACATGGAGTCGCATTACTGAGTCAGGTTTGCAAGCAAAGCCAAAACTACCAATCCTGCGTTCAAATCCTGACATCCCAACCGCGAGCAATAGCAGCGCCTAGTGCAAAGGCGATTGCAGAGATTAGCCTGGCACTAGCAAGAAAAGATGCAATCGATACATGCAAATTCTTTGATGGCTTGGCTCGCAAAACCCCTGCTTCCAAGGCAGCACTTGAGAAGTGCGCATCCTTTTTAAAGAGGCAGTGATATTCCTGAACCTCAAGGGGCTGGAAGGTGGCACAGCAAGCTTAGATGTGCATAATGCTCTTGATCAAGCTACCTATTGTGAAGATGCATTGTCTTCAGGCCGGGTTAATATACCTTCAGCTGCTGCTAGAATCCTGAAATGGAAGGCTGTCTATGCGGTTGCCGATGCAGCCGTCGTAGCTGTTGAAAACTAATTCCTGATGCAACGATTATAAATCAATAATGTTTCATTTATAATATGGCTCTTCCCATCTCTTTATATATACATTTATTTAAGGATTCTGCTGAGTGCAGCCATGCAATAGTTTTTGCAGGAATTTTTTCAACAGGATCGTTTCTTAGTTTAGCTCTAGGGCCAGGACAGGAAAGAAAACGTATGCGTCCTGGATTTGCTAATCAATTTTTTGATCCAAGGACGAGGAGACTGGGGTCAACTTGATATTGGGACCGTTCGTGAAACAAGCTGGGTTCGAATTCAGTTCGATTTCGCCAAGACCCCTCATCGAAATTTTAGGGCTAATATATTTTCTGCCTATTCGTTGGACATTTAAACTATGAGTACTTTTCATGTTATGAGTTGCTCTGATCTTTCAAATTAATAATAGAAAAATTAGATGTGATTTGATGCTAATTTAATCGAAAACATAATGACTTTTTAGTTTCAATTGATACGAATTTGAATGTCGATCCAAATATATTACACTACCTCGAAATATATGAATTTTTTTTCTTAATTTTGAGTCATAATTCAAGAGTTATTTTTGAGAGATAATTTACGATAACAATAATTTAAGATATAAATATGTTTAGCAAAAAAGAGTATGCAAGTATTTTTATTTTTGCAAAAAGTAGATAGTATGAGTTAGAATCTACGAGCTAAAGCTAAAATTTTTAAGTTTTGACTCAAGCAAAATTTAATTTAATTTTGACTCAATCTTTTGATTCAAATCCTACATTATTTCTAGCTAATCATATTTATGACCGAGTCAAAAGCTAGTTTTTAGCTTTAATCAATTTGCAAAATCATAACAAACCAATTCTAAATCATTATGGACTAGTTTGGACAGTGCATTATAAATTATCCCCTTTAGTTTCGAGGAACGAATTAATTAGTTTTTTTTGTTTCAAAAAGTCTAATTATGTAGTCCTTATGTTTTTAAATTTTATTGTAACTTAGTTCTCTTTGTTTTTTTTTTTTAATTTAATTTTTTTATAAGAAATAGAAAACGAGAAAATAAGTAAAATAGAAATTGAAAGAATGAATGAGAAAATATGACATTTATGAAACAAAAAAATATTAAATTAAGCATGAACAACACTATTTAAAGAGCTAAATAGACATATTTATGATTTACTCGTCTTTGGATAAGACAATCAACGGATCAGATTCGAAATAGATAATAATAGATTCGGATTCAAATTATTTAATAAATGGATAGAACCAAATGTAATGAATTTAGATTCGCATTTTGCAATTGCCCATCTATACCAAGATATTAAAGGATAATGATCCGATTTGTAAATCCATGAGATTTATCATTCAATTTTTTTTCAAAAAAAAAAAAATTTCTATATTCAAAATCGTACTTTGATATAAATGAGTTTTAACCTTTGCATATATATATGAAAATATGTTATGATAATATTTATTATGTCAATTTAAAAAAAAATCAACACATCTCACTATTAAAAAGAGCAACAGTAAATAATACTGGTAAAAATTTATATTAAAGGTGAAAATTAATTTAAATTTGGCAAGTAGTATGATAAAATTGAAACAAAAAATAATAAAAACGCCTACTCTAGACACAATTTGATTGGTATGAAAAAAAAATCCTTGTGCTTTAAAAATAATAAGTTTCAAATGGAGAAAAATCTGATCAAGTCTTTATAAATTAATAACATTAGTATAATAATACCAACAACTCATTAATTTTTTTTCCCCATATTTTTATAGGATTTTTCACAAAATTAAGTTGAGAATTGAAAAGGTATGAAAAAAATTTATCATTTAATTGTTTGAAAGAATAGCCGTTAATATAAAGGGAAAAAAAACGAGAGAGAGCGAGAGTAGAAGTATAAAACGTTATTTAGCATTTAGAGTAAATAAATCTCAAATATATACCTAATGCCATATTTTTCTTATATATATAATTTTTTTTATGTTTTTAAACTATTATATTATTAAAAATAATATTAACATTATTCAAATCATATTATTATTGGACCAAATGTAGATTCATATTTGACTTATTAAAATAAATAAGTTAACAAATTTGAATAATAATCACACTGGAATTATAAAAATTACACATAAAATCCATTTAATTACATCAAAATTGGATCGAATTCCAATTAAGATATTATCCATTGATGGCCTTACTTTTAGGACATTAGTTTCGGTTCGAAGGAGCCGATTTAACAAAAAAAAAAAGAGGAAAAAGAAAAAAGAAAATGACCTAAAAAATGCATTTTTGTTAGATTATTTCCCCTCTTCATTTTTCATTTTAGTGATTTTATTTTCCACTGCAACAACTCTTCTGTTGCGCTGTATACATGGATTCAGCTTAACGCAAGATCAGCTAGCTTTATGTGATGCTGCGTATCCATCGCAGACCAAAATAGAAAAAATCCTAGCAATTGTCCTAGATATCCTGTTTTTTCCTTCTGATGAGTGTGATCCAACCTATCCTCTACATCCTGTCAAGACAACAGAAACTGCAATAACATTCTAAAATTAGGCATGTTTCTACTTTATAAAAGCTGACAGTGAGAAGCACTTGCAACATAGAAAATTACAAAACAAGAAGCCTTCAATTTCTTTGTCGGACAATGGGTTCTAGGAATGCTAGTGTTCTGTCTTTTTCTGCCATTGCCTTGTTTCTCTTCCTTCATTTTCCTTCTCAGTCTGAGGCAACAATCCCAACAGAATTACTGAGCCAGGTCTGCAATTACGCAAATGCTAATACTAGCTACGCAAGCTGCGTGAAAATTCTGATGGCCCATCCAAAAACATTGCTGGCGTCTAGTCTCAAGGACATTGCAGAGAATGCCTTGGATATAGCAAGAAGAGAATCAACTCAAACGAGTGATTTCTTTACTCAGTTGCTCAACAGTAAAGACTTAAACCTTGCATTCAAGGCAGCCATTGATAACTGTGCATCTTACTTTAAACAAGCAACTATCTTCTTCAACCTTAATGGACTAGCAAGTGGTACTGCAAGCCTTGACGTGCATTATGCTCTTGATGAGGCTAAATGTTGTCAAACAAATTTGTCTGCAGACCACGTTGATATCAAATCAGCTGCTGACAAAATCGAGGAATGGAAGGGTTTTTATTCGATTGCCTATGCAGCCGTGACAGCACTTGAAGACTGTAAAAACTGATTCCAGCTGACTTCAAGATCATTTATGAGGATATTATTGATATGTATCTGTTCTGCTAGGACTTGAAATGAAAAATTCGATGTTCCTCTTCCTTGTGTTTTCTTTCCCTCGTGGCTTCAATGTCTGTATTCAATTCTAATCGTTCCAATGTTTGTGGAAATCGATCATTAGTTGATTAAAATTTTATAATAATAACAATTACTGCATAGAAGGATAAGTTCATGTTTTGTCTTGTTTTCGTTAATTAAAAGAAAACGTTTAAATATCTAACAAAATTGATATGAGTGGAAAGAGTTTTAGTTGTTTAAACAAATAATCTCGAATTTAAATTTTTATATATGTAAAAAATTTCGTTAAATAGCTATCATTATTCTTATATGCCATGACACAACAGTGAGATATTAGTTTGAATATTTAATTATGATATATTTGAAGGATAGGAAAAAAAACTTAAATTTGTAAATTTATTAAAAAAATAGATTGTTTGAGTTGGGCTAATGTTTTCAGCACTTTGGGCCAATCTGGGCCCATGTGGCTCAGTCTTAATATTCCAAGCACACCACGTTACCTAACTCGACTGAGTGTTTGTCTGTAATCAATTAGACGTTTTAGGGGTATAATTGGAAAGACAGATTGATAAAACCTAACCCTAGACCCCTGTTTTACCCTTTATAAACCCTAACTCCTCTATAAACTCTCTGCTTTTTCTTCCTTCTCTTACAAATTTTCCGTCTCCCCTCTGTTTTTGTATTTGCAGTTCTTGCTTTAATCTTTTTGATGTGTAATCGAAATTGTTTGTTTTAGCTATGATGATAAATGCTTATAATCCCAGCTCATTATGAGACCTTTTTGTAAGGTCAGGGAATTGACACTTTCTCACATTTATCTGAGCTTTTTCATTGATTTTTTTAACTTAAATATCTAATCTGGGTTTTTGTTTTTACTTGCTTTTTCTCTGATTTTTGTTTTGGGAATTAATGTTTTCTATGATGCTTTTTGTAATCTACTGAGGGCTCATGTTGTTTTTGTCTTTATATCTGCTTAATTTCATCTGGTTTTTTTCCTTTCTGGGTTTGCTTGAAATCTTTGAAAGACAAGACAACATTGGTATAAGTGTTCTGTTTTTGAACAAAGCAATCTAATCATATTTTTGTTCTGTTTTTGCTTCAATTTTCAATCTATAATTTGGTTAGTGAGTTAGCAAAAAACTTAGTTTGCCAATTTATTGACGATGTGTGATTTGCTTGGTTTTCATAAGTTAGATGTGTGATTTGCTTGATTTTCACAGATTAGATTATGGTTTTCTTAGTGGTATTTGAGTTTTGGGTTGAAAATACAGATGTTCCCAGTGATGCTTCAAGATGAACCATGCTAATGCTGATCATTGGATGACTGAAACTCTTTCTCAATTTTGCTGAGGGAACATACAATTGATTTATTTTTCGAATTATTTATTCCTTTTATTCATTCTAAATACAATCAGTCTCTTTAATTCCTGTTCTTTTTAATTGATATAAACAAGCAATGGAAAGTTGTTTTAATTACATAAAACGTCCCTGCACTCTCTGTATTTTTCAATTTTTCTTAATGTGTTATTTCTGACCGTTTGCTGCTTAATCTTCGGATTGGAACTGGTATTTGCTGCTGTAATAATGCAATGGGGCTTTGGTCCAAAACAAAGGCTGTCAAGGAATTGAATTTTGGGGATCCTCAACCCTCAATCTCTCACAACCAAACATCCACTTATAGGCAAAGTCCAAAAGCCTTCTTCACAAGCACCCGCTACACGCCAGCCAATACAAACATCTCCTTTGGATTTAAAGAACTCTGCCTGGAATCATGGGAGTTGACTCTGGCAAAGCATTATCCCAGAGCACTTCTCTCTGCAACAGATTCAGATAATCTTGGGTGGTTTGGCAAGAAAATGTGGGCCTTTTTGGATAAAATAAGAGAAGAGGAAGAGATTTTCCGAGTGGCTTTTGAGAACGAACTAAAATTGGATTTAGAGAGACAAGGGGTGTTAGAGAAAAGTGAGTTTTCGAAATTTTGCATTGATTAGTCAATGAAGAACAGGAAGATACTGGCGTTGTAGAAGAAGAAGCAGCCATTTAGGGAGATGAGACCAGCAAAAAGCTCTCAAATTTCTAATGAAAAATGCTTCCAAAGTGCCGTTGCGAACTGAAATGTCCTATGGGGTAAGTGTTCTCTTCAGAAGGCCCATATTTGTAGATGGGTTTAATAACAATTCACTAATATTTACAGATGGGCCCAATAAGCTTTCAGTCCAAGAAACTGTCCTGAACTCTAAAGTCGTGTGATTATCCATTCGAATTTGAATCACAATTTCGATATCTATCTGATTTATTGCTCATTTAAAAAATGAAATATTGCCTTGCATTGGAAATCAAGATTCAATATAAAATTAAACTTAACAATCTTATGTATAAGAAAACATATTATGATAATAATATTTAATATTTTAATTAAAAAAATTCAAATGTATCATCATTAAAAATAATTAAATATATTATGAAAATAAATTTTCAACGTTTGTATACCGGCTACTACTTTGTGGTTCCACTTGGTTGCTTTAGGAACTACAGAACAACACCTTGAATCAATCCTCTTATCCAGAAAAAATATTTGGTCGTGCACTGATCCTTGGGTCGGTAACATTTACCAAATTATTAGTTTCAAAGTATCATAAAAAATTAAGATTGATTTTGCCACTTTTGTATTGGAATATAGATTCTAACTTCTAAAAAAGAGAGACTCTTCGCCCTAAAACCCGTAATTAATAATCGTAAAGATTGTCTTCTTCCTTCCCTCATGGGAGGCCAAACTAGAACACCATTGCACTACCTATTACTAGTTTATTGGCTACCTCGAAAAGCCAAAAACAGCCCAGCCATTGAGAATCTTTCAACACATCACCTGATCCATGACTTTTGATCAGCTTACCTAAACATCATTCTCATCAAGAACTGATACATCTTCCCTCAACATTCCACGTGGATCAAAAAGGGATGCACTGTGACTCACCAAGTTTGATCATCAGCAGCATCAGATGGGAAGCAAGGCTGAGCTAAGCGCATGCATGTCTGCCTCGTGAATGGGCCATGTTAGGTGTTGCTTCGTCAATAGTGCTTGCTTACCTCATGGTGGCTTTTGTGAGATGGAGTATACTTTTTGTTTTTGGATTGGAGGAAACAAAGTGTGTTGGATCTGTTCGGTCACATGTTGACATGTAGATTTGTTTGCTTCTAGCAATGGACAAAGACTCACCAGATGGATGGCCTTTTTTGGGAGGCAATTCCTTCACAGAGCATGGTCGCTTGTCTAGCACAAAAGAAATGTTTAGTTTTTTCATATTTAGACACTATATTCTTAAAATTTTTTAATCAAAATTTTTTATATTTTTTAATTAATTGAGAGTTTTTATTTTATAATATCACATAATTATTATTTATTGGTGATGTTATAATAAAATATATAAAATAAAAAATCTAAAAATAAAAAATAAAAAAATTTAATTAAAAAATAAAAGGCTTCAATAAAAAGTTTCGAAAAATACAGATTTAAAACATGAAAAGAACCAAAATTTTGCTATTAATTGCTAATGATACAATCTTCACTATTGGTGATTTTTAACCTTTTATTATTTAGGAATAGGAAGTTTGAATCCAACGCACAAAAGAAATGTTTAGTTTTTTCATATTCAAATACTATATTTTTGGAATTTTTTAATTAAAATCTCTCTTTTTTTAGTTAATTGACGTTTTTTATTTTTAAAATTTTTTATTTCATAATATCATATAATGATTACTCGATTGATGGCATTATAGTAGAAAATATAAAATAAAAAATCTAAAAACAAATAGAAAAAATTAATAAAAAAATAAAAAATTTTAATAAAAAGTTTCAAAGAATACAGAGCCAAAACATGAAAAAGAACCAAAATTTTGCTAGTAATTGCTAATGATATGATCTTTCCTATTGGAGATTTTTAACCTTTTTTTATGTAGGAATTGGAAGTTTGAATCCAATGCAAGACTCTCCAAAATAATTCATATTAGCATAATAGTAATAATAAAAGGCATTACTGAAAAATGGTCAAGGTTTTTTTTTTTTTGGCAAGCCTCCTATTAGTCTCGTAATTTTATATAGTTTGTTGATTGAGTCTTACAACTATTGATTTTATCAATTGGGTCTCTCATCCGTACACTTTTTTTCTCAGTTGAGCCTGTTTGTTACAATAATTACAGATTGCTTTAAACAATTTACATGTTATTCAAATATTTTTGAACTAATTCTGACTGTCCAAAACTTTAGGCATAAAACTATCTATTCTTTCTTTCTATTTAGAGCAAGCAAGTGGCGGAGGATGCATTGCTTTATCGAGTAAATTATAAATTAGTCTCTCTCATTTAGTTGCAAAACTTAATTATTTAGTTTTTAATCATGAAAATATATGGTCTTTCTTCCTATTTAGAGTAGGCAAGGAGTGGAGGATGCATTGCTTTATCGAGTAAATTATAAATTAGTTCCTTTCACTTTGAGAAAAAAAAATTTAATTATTCGTTTTTGTTTTAAAATCTAATTATTTACTTTTTTATTTTTTATTTATTTGATTTAAAAAATAGAAAAAATAAAAAATAAGTAAAAAATTTTAAAAATGAATGAAGAGAATATTTTATAAAATAATAAATATTAAATTATAAATTAGATTATAAATTAGTCTCTCTCACTTAGTTTTAAAACTTAATTATTTAGTCTTTAATGAGAAAATATCATCTTTCTTTCTATTTAGAGTAGGCAAGGAGTGGAGGATGCATTGCTTTATCGAGTAAATTATAAATTAGTTCCTCTCGCTTTGAGAAAAAAATTAATTAGTCTTTTTGTTTTAAAATCTAATTATTTAATATTTTTTTATTTTTAATTTATTTGATTTTTAAAAAAGTAGAAAAACAATAAAAAATAAGTAAAACATAAAAAAAAATCAATGAAAAAAATATTTTATAAAATAAAAAATATTAAATTAACTCGTTTCTTAAACGAAGTGGATTAATTTATAATTTACTCTTGCTTTATCTAATATTACACCTATGATAAGATCAAAAGATGAAAATAACAATAAAAGAGTGAAATAAAATATGGAACTAGATAATTTTATAAATCAAGTCAACATCTACGTATAATATTTTTTAGTCTTAAACATTATCTTCTTCCTCGATCATTTTGTTATTGGTGACATCAAATCAATGCTAAACTAACCAATAAATCCAATCTACCTTTACTGGTTTTTACATTTTCACTACCCTCTTTATATTGTCCTCTTCGTACAATCCCACCAAAAAGATAAAAAGATAAAGTTAATTATTTAATTAATTATTTCTTTAATACAAGTAATGATTAAAGTAACCGAATTATCGAAGCTCTTCTATATCCCGACAAATCCACCTTAAAGCTTCTTTAAACTTTCCACGTGGCTTTACTATCTCACCTTAAATATTTGTCTCCCTCGCATAACAAATATTCTATTTGACCTTCGGATCTTTTTTTTTTTTTTTTTTTTTTTTTTTTCTGAGTTTTTCTTTTAATACCCTGACTTATCAGTATATTTACGGTCCATTAGACTTTATAAAAAAATTATTTTAATTTTTGATTTTTATATAAATGCCATTGACGTTCTTCTAAATATATATTTCACGCCAAATGCATGTCTTATCTAACTATTCATTATTTTTTAGAAAAAATTCAAATTTAATTGTACGATATGATTTCGAGAAAGAATTATTTGGTAAATTACTAATACTTAACAATTTAATCATACAGATTTCATAGATAATGAAATATATTCTACCTTCGTTCTAAAATGATTATCTATTTTTTTATTTAATTTATTTTAAAATATTTTTTTATTTTTTTGAACTTGAAATATTTTTTTTGGAAAATTATGCATTAAGTCCTTTTTTTTTTTATATATGTATTATGAGTTTTTAAAATCTTAAAACATTTTGCCACAGCTTCTAAACAACAATATTGAAAAGATGATTTGAAGTAAGGAACAGTTTTAAAATGCGTATTTGTCTAAAACATTCTAACTTAAAATTTATTTTGAAAAAATTGTCCTAATGTAATTTTAAAAAACATATTTTAAGAAACTATGAACAAAAAATTGTTTTTATGACATAATAATTAACAACTTCCTTAATCTATATTAAAAAAAAACTAATTTCGTTAAAACAAAAGGAGTATTATACATGAATACGAATGAATTTTTGTTTTGCATAAATTCTATATTTTATGTTTAATCCAAAATAAATTTTATTTTGATGGACAAAAGTAGAAAAAAATCATCCTCCTATTTGAGAAAAATAAAAAAATTTCCTAAATTAGACACGTGTATGCACCCATCATTAATAAGAAGGCCACCATGTTTTATTGACGGGACTTCAATAAAAAAAAACATCTTTGTCTAGTTCTAGCAATGTCTGCGACTCCAAATGGAACTGAAGAAAGCTCAGATGTCTTGTCACCGAGATCACTCAGTGAAATATCAGAGGTCGAAACAGTTCGTTTAAGTGTTGATCTTGTGTCAGCTTCAAGAAAAAATCTTGGGTTCTTGAGAACCGTTAGCGACTCTCACTGGCTTCATGAGAGAGCCACGGTTCTTGAAGCTATAAGAAGGTGGTCAAACTTTATTAATGCAAGAGCTTATACATGTAATCTGATCGGATGGTGGATGTTGAAAGTTTGTTGGTTTTTTTTGCAGGTATGATGAGCTTTGGATGCCGTTGGTTTCTGATCTGATGGTGGGGTCTTCACCTCCTATGGTTCTTCCTCCTCTTGATGTTGAATGGGTTTGGTTTTGTCACACTTTGAATCCGGTATGATAGTTTCACTTTTACCTTTTTTCTTCTTTCTGTTTGGTTACTGAGAAAATGCATGAAAAGAAGCAAAATTTCTCCTAGAATGTTGACTGACAGTAGTTACTGATAATCACTACAAGGTGAGTTACAGGAAATACTGTGAGCAAAGGTTCTCAAAACTGATTGGAAAACCAGCAATTTTCGATGAAGAGAATGAAGAGTATGCATTGATGAGATGCGAAGAGCTTTGGATGAAAAGATATCCAAATGAGTCTTTTGAGAACGAAGTTGATATTAATTCATCAAATTTGCAAGACCATCAGCCAGTTGTTAAAGATGACCATGAAGATCTGTTGAATGAAGTTGAGAAGCAAAGAGATGTTTATAGCAAATTTTCATGGCCATACATGAGTGAGATTGTTTACTTGATAGCAGCAAGGCAAAGATACAAAGGATTCTTGTATGTGTTGCAGAGATTTGCAGACGGTTGTTCATCAAGATTATTGCCTTGTTTGGATATTTTGCTCATGTGGGTGACACATCAGGTGGACATTCTTTACCATTTATTGTTTGTTCTTTTCTGTTGATTAGGTCCTTCCTTTCCTTTCTGTCTAATCTTCAATCTTTTTCATACTTATCTTCTAGGTCTATTTTGTTTGTAACTGAGGAGAGAATCTCTCTTTCTTAGGTTATTGGCTATATTCTTTTACCTAGTTGCTTATTTAAAATTTTCTTTTCTTGAGTGCAATCCATCTCATATTGTTTTTTTAATACATTTTGTGATGTGAAATATACCAGAGTTATCCAACAGTATATGCAGAGGATTTGAAGGAGATGGACGATGATATGGGAAAGGTGGTCGGATTGTGGGAGACTGTAAAAAGTAAAGAGGTGGAAGAGACAAAGAAGCTATGGGAAAGAGCATTTGATCAGCCTTATGAGAAAGCTGGCGGAGCAATAGAATATGGTGGGGCAAGGGTTGCTTCAATAGTCAAGCCACCAGTGTATTGGGAGGTCTCAGATACAGATGTCAACACCAAATACAAGTCCCTGCTGCCTAGGTTCTTACTGGAGGTAACTTTAGTACTCTTATCTCACTATAGATATTTTTCTCTTTTCTTTCCCATTCGGAATAGTCTTAAGACAAAAGAATGCAAAGGGAAGTTATTTTTACTGATTGAATATATCAGTCATGTCATGGAAAATGACATCTTATCATGCTGCTGTGTGAGTATCTAGTAAAGTAAATATCGATTTGGTGGTAAATCACATCATTTGATACTTTCTTTACTAATCAATCAACCAAATGCATTTAAACATTTTATTTCAGTGCTGTCACGTTCTTGAATCATGAGATGGGGAAGTGGAGGTTCAACTTTAGAAAAAACCATCATGAGTTTAGTTTTGATTTCTTAGTGCTCCAGTGGCATGCCCTAGAAGTTTCTATGATCTTCTATGTTGCTGAATATATGCTTCTTCTTACAAGAAGCTAGCACAGTGGAAGTCTCCTGAAAACTTGTCTGGATGTTTTAGTCAAAATTGTTCAACTCCCAGAATGCTTGAAGCTCTGAAAAGATATGAAAGTTTTAAAGGAGAAATTTTATAATACTCAATAAATAATTACTGTACATGTGCAGTAATTATTCCATGAATACATTCTAGGATAGAATCCTGAAATATGCGATTTTCAAGATTTTGTTTATTTTAACTGAAATTAGCTCATTCTCTATTCAGCTCATCCTGATGTTAGAAGTCAAGTGCTTGAGAGCCAGCCAATTTCTCAAATATATTGCATATTTCTAGCTGATGTACATCGTCGTGAATTCTTTTCAGTGTTTTGTATATTAAATCTGTGATTTTACAAAGCAGGTATGTGTTTTCGTGAGGCTCGATTCTAGGATGAAACCAATGCAACAGGAGATACAACATAATTTTCTTCGTCTGCAAATAGTAAGATGTCACAGGGAGCTGAAAATTGATAAGCCAATTTCCAGCTTCTCCTCAGATACGTGGAAAAAAGCTGCACATCTTTACTGTGAGTTTGGAACCAGAGGACTAATGCTTGAGGTTCGGAAACATGGCGGTGGCTGTTTTAAAGCAAGTAAAATAAAAGATAAAAAAACATTTCTTTGGAATGATTTATTAAGAGCACCCTCTCTTACTTTGGAAAGACATATAGATGATAAACAAGTGAGGACTGCTGCCTCCATAACCCCACCAGCGCAAGCACCATACTTGTTGAAATGTGTACCAGACAGAGTCACTGATGATTCGGGAGCCATGATCTCGGATGACATTCTGAGAATGAACCATTATAAGCCTCAAGAAGGTCGGTGGTTGTCGCGCACCATCCTTGATCATGCAGGAAGGGAGTGTTTTGTTGTCCGAATGAGGTAAGTTTGAACAATTTTTTTTTTTTCATATTGTTTTGACGATTAGACTAGGCTATGATATATTGAGGTAAGTTTGAATGAATTTCTTGGATGCAAGATAGAGTGGGAGGAGGGTTTTGGAGGAGAGGAGGTGAAACCCCATCAGCAGTCAAATGGGAGGATAGGATTATAGAGATACGCGAAGGTTCTTGGTCCTATGTTGCTGGTTCGATTGGTAGAGCACCTGGTATGTCGTTTAAAGTTGTCTTGTTATTGAGCTGTTGTTTTTAGTTAATTTCCCGTTTGGTAGAAGTGCTTGCAGTAATTTCAGTGGTTTTTCCTCTGAGAATCTATGTGGGATCCAATTTTAAACATTTTGCTGTTCTTGCTGCCATCTAGTACAGAGAAAATAGTAGGAACCGCAACACCAAAAGAACCTCCTGAACATTGGCAAGCAGCATGGTGTTTTTCAACAGGAGACGAATTGCTGATAAGTTGGGAATCGTCAACATCGATGTCCCACCTTAATTTTTGTTTGAGAAACCAAACATCTTCCTACTCATTGGTACGCTGAATATTTCATTCTCATTTCCAGAACTTAGAAAGTCTAACATTTTCACCTAAAATGCATTTCAATAACAAAACGATCTTTACCTTGCAGCTGAAGCTGTTGCAAGGCCGGAAAATGCAATATCGGGCAAGGAAAATTAGTTCAAAGAGCAAAGAACATGAAAAGCTAGAAAACAAAGAAGAAAATGAGGAGGAAGATGAAGATGAGGAAGGGTTTCTGACGCTTGTTCGGTCCACAGAAGATAATCCAATAGGAAGGCCGACAGCTCTTCTAAATTGGAAGTTATTGATAGTTGAACTGTTGCCTGAAGAAGATGCAGTTTTTGTGCTACTTCTGTGCATTTCAATACTCAGAAGTGTATCAGAAATGAGAAAGGAAGATGTTGGAAGGTTGCTTATTAGGAGAAGATTAAAAGAAGCAAAGCTTGGAGCTAGAGATTGGGGTTCTGTGATCCTCCATCCTTCTTCATTTTCATCAACACTTTCTTCACCTCACCTTCAACCTTGGTATTGGAATGCCAAATCTGTGATTGCACCTGATGGAGGGGGTAACGTAACTAAGCAACCGGCTTTGAACCATTCACCAGTTGAAGGTGGTGATAAGCTGTACAAAAAAGGGATTATAACATGAGAGGAGATAGATGACCAATAACATTCCTCGTCAGCATTTTTGTTTACAAAAATGAGAAGAGTACACAAGACTTGCTTAGAATTCCCCTTTTTTCTGCAAACTTGTTAGTTTTATTCTCAGCAACCCCAATTGCTTAAAAGAACTACCCTACATTTGTACTCCTATCGACATAGCATGTCCACAGGGGTGGATCCTTGGATGCCTTGTGTTAGCAAGCAATGTCAATATTTTATTTTTTTGGTTTTGCTGAAACCGTGTTAAATAGGATGTTGAAAACATGTTTCGGACATACAGTCGCAATCATAGTGAGTCGAACCAGATGTTTTGAACATCCAGTTCTTCGTTACAGATTTTGGAGTGCCATATTCAAAATTTCTAAACCATCTGAAGGAATTTTGTTATCTCATCCCGTAGAGGTATTTCGAGGCCGAGGTCTTTGGAAATCTGCAAAGGTGGTGCTTGAAAAACTGATTGCAATTCCTTTGATTAGGATAATAATCCAGGCCCAGCAGAAAGAAGATATGCTTTCTGTGAGCAGATGGGCTTGAGCTTATGACACACTTTTTATTTTTTTTATTCCACCATAAGCCCTAATTATTTTTTAAATAATTTGTACGTAAATGGAGATTAAATTTTCTATTTGGATTATTTCAACAGTTTATTTCCACATTAGCTTAAAATATTTAAAGAAACTTAATATTTTTTCATAAATATTGACCTTAAAATTTGAATTAAAAAGCTTAATAGAGTGAATTTTGTTAACCGCTTGACCAACTCATTGAGGTTAATTCGGGGATAATTATATTGTATATATATCAATTTTAACATTTTCTCTGCATAGTATATATATTTTAATATTTTTATTTGAATACATTAATTTTTTAAAAAACTGTTAATTAATAAGTTTTTTGTCTAACTTTTATCAAATACTTCGTTATTTGATAACAAGTTTGATCATATTATACTTAATAGATATTTGTGCTATGATTTAGAAATCTATTTCGGGTAACTTGGCAATAAAATTTTGAAACATGGTCGGACTCTATTATGGATTTTTGACCATATTCTCCAAAATAGACGAAAGACGAAACATAAATCATGGATTAATTAAGCCTTCTCAAAAACTTGCTTAAGAATAAGAAAAAGATAACTATCATAAAATATGGTTTTAGGTCCGAATCGGACATCTAATTGCTTCGATTTGAAGCCATTTGCTTCATATTATTAAATTATAATTTTTTTATTTTATTTTTTGAAACGAACTTTTCTTTTCAAATTATTTTGACATTCTTTACTTTTTAAATTATCTTTATATCTAAAAAGCAAGAATGATAAAATAATTCAATACTAAAAAAAAATATAGTTCACTAATTTGGAGAAAAAAATGCATAATTAAATAAAAAAATAATTGACAAAAGTTACCCTAAAAATACTTAATTGACTCTTTTTTGTAAAAATTAATAAGTTCAAATAAAAAAATTAAAATTTATATACTTTTATTTCTTGTCCCAAGACACAATAATCTTCTTTATTTCCCGGCCCAGCTCGAACCATAATTGGGCTTTGGAGCACCAATTCCACCCATTTGTGTGCTCTTAAGATTCAAGACCCTCGAACTTCTCATCAAAGTCATCCATGACATCGACAAGAAGCAACAGCAAAACATCGTCCTCTTCTGTTTTTTCGAAGTCAAACAGGTCTCTCTGGTTTTGTCACATGCCATGAACATGAAATATCGTATCGATCACATGCCTTGGCAACCGGCACAATATCAGTAGATTTTACAAGTAGTCATAAAAAACATTGAATCTGGTCCTGGGCTCTTCATCATGTCCTTTTATTTTTTTTTAGTCATTTGTCATCGTGGAAAATAATGCAGCTAGTGATCACTTTGCAGCCCACATTCTAATTGACAACAATGCAATGTCTATATTCTAATTTTTTTTTTTTTTTTCTTTTGTGTATGAGACAAAAACATCCTACTATGGTTGTATAAAATTTCCATTTCTGACCGCCTAGAACGTCTTCTTATGGACTTTTCTTCTTCTTCTTCTTCTTCTTTTTCTTCTTGAATTTGAGTAGTTAAAATTCAACACATCATGTAAAAATAACCAAAAAAAAAAAAAAAAAAAAATTTAAAATATGCGTCAAGGTGAGAAATTATTTAATTTATCGGAAGTTGTATTTCTACTTCCCAACAAGGGAGATTTGTGAATAATTTTTATAATAAATTTTATATTTATGTAAAACCAAGAATATAAATTTCGATGTATTAGATAATTTTTTGGGGTAAGACACTGTTTTTTTTTTTTCTTTAATTTGAGTGGTTAGATTTCATGCCGTGTAACAATGACAATATTTTTTTTTATAAATATATTGTAAGATGAGAAATTATTAATTTATGGTAAGTTGTATTTTTTTTTTTGGCAAAAAAGAGAGATTTATGAATAATTTTCATAATAAATCTTTTATTTTCTACGTATCAAATAATTTCTACCACATCTTTTTGTTTCTGAGTCTCAATAATTTCATGTTCTATTTAGTTTTTAATTTTAATCTATAATTTATGCATTTACATTGAATCTTGATATGAATAATTTATTTTTGAAATGATTATGTGCTAGTAAGTTTAAAAAAGCCTTTGATTGTAAAATAAAAAAGGAATTAATAAGTTTTGTGGTGATCTAAATGATTTTTTTTTTTTTTCACTTTTGAAAGAAGGAAAGAGTATTTTTTGAAGGACAACAAGTTCTAAATTGTTTAACACTGTTACCAAAACTCTGTAGAGTAAATTATCAATTATTCCCTCTAGTTTTAAAAAATGTATGAATTAATTTTTTTTATTTTAAAAATTATTATTTAATTATTTAATCAATTCTGACTTTGCTTAGTTCAGTATTATTTTTATTTCACAAAATATTTTTTTCTCATCAATTTTTTATTATTTTATTTTATAAAATATAAAATAAAAAATAATTAAAAAATTAAGTTATAAGTAGATTTAAAAATACGAAAATTAAATAGTTTATTTTTTAAAAAAACTAATTAATTCGATGGACTAATTTATAATTTACGCAAAATCTGACATTTAAAGAAAAATAAAAAATCATAGATTTTCACTTACCTTGAATGGAAGGGACAAGCACAAACCAAGCCTCTTTTTTAATTCGCTAGTGGCCAAATTGAATTCCAAAAATATAAAATAAAATATATTTATTTCTGATTAATGAGTCAAAAAGGTTGGTCAAGTTGATAGGTTCTATGCCGTGGGGCCCATCCCCAATCACCACCTTGAATGGAAGGTTAGCAGATAGGTACGGTCTCTCGCACGTTCCTGGGTCCCACGAATACTTACCGTACAAACAGTAGTAAAAAATCCTACGGCTTTCGTAGAATCTGATGTACTCTTCATCTTTATCCACCTCAATAGAAAAGGACAGGAGAAAAACTACATTTTAGTCCCTATAAGTTCAACAATGTCCACCTCAACTTCTATAGTTTCAGAATTCAAACATCCGAAGATTTAAGATTTTACAGTGGTGGAGTTTTTGGATTTGTGAAAAATAATCTGTTTGTTCTAAATAAGCGGTTGAATGTGAAATTGGAATTGAATTATTAAAAAAATAATCATATTTTATGTTATATTATGTAATTATACAGTAGAAAATTATTTAGTGTTACTTAAAAATATATTTATATATTAATATAAAAAATAATAATATAGTTGTACAATGCAAAACCTCACAAAATTGAGAAACGAAACCTTTTATTTTTTTATTGATTTGAACGTGTAGCCTACATGATCTCCACACTAGAATTTTTATAACTAAAGATTAATGATTGAGTTTCGTGAGTTGAAATCTCAAGCATTATCCAAATTATGACTTTAAGCAGATAATAAAAAATAGTGTTAAATTCATTTTTAAATTATTCTTCAAAATAGTTATGTATTTTTACTATAAATTATGTATATAAATATTTGGGAGTACAAAAAATAAAAAAAAGTTTTAAAAATCAAATAAATTAGAAAATTGATTGAAATTGTGATTTGAATTTGTAATAAATAGATTTTAAATACGAACGTAGGTTTATAGATATTTTTTCTTAAAATGTAGTTTTGAAAACTCAATACATTTGAAACTATGATTTGAATTTTTTTAAATTTTTTTGATCTCCTAAAATCATGATTTAGGATGCAACCAATTGTTCTTGGAAATAATCTCAGGCACACCGGTATTGGGATTCTCTTAGAAATTCAGACTATAAGAGTTAAAGTAGAATACCTTTTATTTATAGGGGTCAAAAAATAGTTTACCAGGAAGACAATCTTGCTTCTGTGTACTTTTCCTGAATCTAATCTCCACCAGCCACGTGGCCCCGCAATCTTGAATGGGACAATCGTACGGGAGGCAAAGGTGGGGATGATTCTTACATGAAGAAAAACGTTACCCGCCCTCTGCACCATTCACTTCCAAAAATGCACTGACCATTTTTTCCACGTGGCCTTGTCTGGATCAACAGGTGTCCAGGTTCATTCTGATTATTATAAAATGCAGGGATGGTTCAGTCAATTCATGTATTGGAAGGGTACAGTTCTGGAATTTCACTCTCTATGAGCAGTAATCTGCTGTTGAAGGCATTTAAAACAAGTTACATCAATCAGGCAATGGTAATGTGACATGTACAATAAAAAAGTCAAATATAATAGGAAGAATTAAATAAAGTTGTGAATTCCATTACCAAATTGATGGACTGCTAATAATTTTTCCCTAAATTTTCTTGTAATTTCCTTCTATGAAAATTCTTACGCATGTAGTTTTTTTTTTTTAACAGTGAATATCATATATGCATCAAGTTAATCATATAAAAAATAAATATAGTTTTTAAATTTGATTAAAAGATGAACTCTTAGTAATAAGTTTAGAAAATAAATTTTTATAACTTGATTAGAAACTTAAATAATTATCATTAATTGATTAAATCCTTAAATTGCGATTGAAAAGATAAAAAGCACAAATAGATCGTTATTTCTATAGTATTTCATATAAACGTAAAAGAAATTAATCATTAGTGTCTCGATAATATATATATATAATAGAATTTTTCAAAATTCAAAAGGAGAGATTAAACATGAGGTTATTACTGAATCAAAATTCAAAGAGATCAACTTACTAATTTCTCAAATTACGAGGACTAAACTATAATTTGCTCATTTGAAAAAACTTGTCATCAGGGGAGACAAATCTAGAAAATTCCACTTGCTAACCCACCAAAATTTTCCTATTTGTTAAGCAAACCAAGGAGTAATTTTTGCTTTTGTGGTCAGCCATACACCAAACCATTCCTCCATCTTCTCCATCTCTAATTCTTCACTGCACACACCAAACTTTTCATTTTTTCTCTGCAACTGTATCACCACCAACCTCATCGGATTTCCTTTCTTTCCAGAAATCCTGATCATCACCGGAAAAAAAGAAAATGAATTGGATGTTCAAGACTTGTCTCAGCCTTGCTCGAAGGCTTTCTAAACCAACCCACCACCCTCTCCTTCACCTCCGCCTCCTCTTCCTCTTTGTCCCCACCTAAACACCTCCACCACCCCCAAAAACCGACACATCCCACAAACCTTAGTTCCCTCAAAATTCCCAAAAAAAAAAAAACAAACCTTAATTTCCTCAAATTACCAAGCTTTCTTAGGAAAAAAAAATCTTTCTAGGAAACTGGAAATTTTTTTCACGAGTAAACACAATCTTTTTTCTCGCAAATTCTGCAAATCAATGTCATTTAAACCTCAGCCTGTGCTCGTCCTGGCAGGAATCTAAATTCTTGCTTGCTTGCTGTGTCGGAAAAAAAATACCTTTTCTACATATTTCTCTGTTTCAAAGCAAGCAAATCGTGCAAATCAATGTCAACTCAATCGAGGCCTATACTTTCTGTCTTAACAGAAGATTTACTCATTCATGTCAATGAGAAACTCGTCCAAGACTCAGATCGCAAGACATGGAGGCTAATTTGCAAAGAATTCCATCGAGTTGACTCAATCACACGCAAAACTCTACGTGTCCTTCATGTTGAGTTCTTACTAACTCTCCTCAAGAACTACACCAATCTCCACACTCTAGACTTCTCGGTCTGTCCACGTATCGAGGATGGGACCATATCATTGTTACTACATCATGTGGATCACTCGATGTGGGCAAGGAACTTGAAGTGTTTGAACTTGAGTAGGGCTAATGGGCTGAAGTTTGCGGGATTGGATATGTTGGTTCGTGCTTGTAAGGGTTTGGAGAGTGTTGATGTGTCGTACTGTTGTGGGTTTGGTGATATGGAGGCAGCAGCGATATCGGGTTGTGGAGGGTTGAAGGAGTTGAGGATGGATAAGTGTTTAGGAGTTAGTGATGTTGGGTTGGCTAAGATTGTTGTTGGATGTGGAAGATTAGAGAGGTTGAGTTTGAAGTGGTGTATGGAGATAAGTGATCTTGGTGTTGAGCTTTTGTGTAAGAAGTGCTTGGAGTTGAAGTTTCTTGATGTGTCTTATCTCAAGGTTTGTTTGCTAATCACTATATTGATTTTTGTATTTGTGTTTGATCTAGTTTAGCTTGCAAAGTCACTCAGATAAGATTACAGTTTGTTTTATGAGAAAATGTAGATGCAGGTGAAATGTGATCTATTTATTTTTTGAATTTCAGCATTTTCCATTTTGTGAGGCGAAAAACAGGATAAGATATATGTTGAGTGAATTTGGATAAGTTTTGTTTTCCTGTTGTTGTATTCTTTGCAGTGTACTGGATTAAGTTTGTGGTAATGCATGTAATGAAATTCGATAGGTAAATGGGTTGTTCTCAGGTGACAAGTGAATCGCTGCGTTACATTGCTTCTTTGCCAAAGCTGGAGGATTTGGCTATGGTGGGATGCCCCTTGTTGAATGATGTTGGATTGCAGTTTCTTGAAAATGGATGCCCTTTACTACAGGTATCATACTTTTTCATGCGATGGGATTATTTAGAAATTTAAGCGTGTGTAGTTGAAGCAATCAATTTTTAATTTTTCGAGATTTGTGTGTTCTATTGGCTGCAGAAAATTGATGTTTCAAGGTGTGATTGTGTCACTTCATCTGGGTTAAGTTCCTTAATTAGAGGACATAGTGGTCTTCTGCAGATTGATGCAGGTCACTGTTTTTTGGTAAGTCAATGTTAACAATCTGTTGGATTTTTGGAATTGAAAAAATATTTTCCGGTAAAATGAACTAAATTTGATGCTTGGTCTTGCAGGAAGTTTCCCCAAGCTTTGTCGTGTTCATGCAGGAATTGAAGAATCTGAACGCCATTATAATTGATGGGGCTCGAGTTTCTGACACTATTTTCCAGACAATCAGCAGTAATTGCAAGTCTTTAATGGAAATTGGGTTGAGCAAATGCACAGGGGTCACCAATATGGGAATTATGAAGCTGGTCTCTGGCTGTGTCAATTTGAAGATCATCAATTTAACATGCTGCCGTTCCATAACCGATGCTGCAATTTCTGCTATAGCAGACTCTTGTAGGAACCTTCTGTGCCTGAAATTAGAGTCATGTAATATGATCACTGAGAAGAGTCTTGAACAGCTTGGATCACATTGCGTGCTACTTGAAGAGCTTGATCTTACAGACTGTGGTGGCATAAATGACAAAGGCAAGCTTTCAGGATATGAGGTCCATCATGTAAACTATCATCATTCATGTATATTTGATTTGATGACTTTGTTATTTGTAAACTGCAGGGCTTGAACTCCTTTCTAGATGTTCCAGACTTCTGCGTTTGAAATTTGGACTCTGCACAAACATATCCGACAAAGGACTCTTCTTTATTGCTTCTAATTGTTCAGAGCTCCATGAACTTGATCTATACCGGTAATTTAAGCCAAATAATTCTTGTGATTTTCCTACCTGGTAGAAAGGTAAGTTGACTGATTTATTTATTTTTTGGACACAGCTGCATGGGTATTGGAGATGATGGTTTAGCAGCTTTATCAAGTGGCTGCAAGAAGTTAAGAAAACTGAACTTGTCCTACTGCATTGAGGTCACAGACAAAGGGATGAAGTATCTTGGCTATCTGGAGGAACTCTCTGACCTGGAGTTGAGAGCGCTTGATAAAATCACAAGTGTAGGTTTGACAGCATTGGTGGCTGGGTGTAAGAGACTGACATATTTGGACTTAAAACATTGCGAGAAAGTTGACGATTTGGGGTTTTGGGCTCTTGCCTATTACTCACGGAACTTGCGACAGGTATTGAATGTTGACTTCGAATTGTAACTGTGATTTCTTTGAAGCTTCATTATTCTTTCGTATGTGAATTGGAAAAATAAAAATGCATAGAAGCAGTTTATTTATATATCTCATCTGGGAGGTAACAGGACAAACAAATGATTTTGGTTTTTATTCTAATGGGTTGGGGGAATCAGGATATTGAAATGAATGAAACTGAATGCATAACCATATATCATGGAAACACAAGGTATTTGAACAAAACTAAATAGAGCTGTTTGTTATCATGCTAAATATTTGTAGTCTGATTTCTTTTTCTGTTGCCAATTAGTGGCACAAGTCATATTTTAGGTGCTAAGTATGGAATTCCATACAAGAACACTGAAATGTATTAATGGTGGCAGATAAACTTGAGCTACTGTTCTATCACGGACGTGGCATTATGCATGATGATGGGAAATTTGGCACGCCTGCAAGACGCTGATCTGGTGCGCCTCACTAATGTCACTGTGGAGGGGTTTGAGCTAGCACTTAGAGCCTGCTGCGTCCGAATCAAGAAGGTCAAGTTAGTTGCTGCTCTCAGTTTCTTACTTTCCTCTGAAGTACTGGGGATTTTGCACGCTAGAGGTTGCAAAATTAGATGGGATTAGAACTGTACAAGAAGAGCATAACAAATCAATAAAGTAAGGCCACTTGGCCTCATTCTTCCCTCAGGGAGGGTGTTGTTCCATATAAGTTTTAGGGTTTATAAGATCACATGATGTATGTTAATCCCTTGTCTAAGACTGCAAGTAATAAGTTGAAGCTGACTGGTGAGATCAACAATGTTACTATGAGAAGCATTTGGTAATGGAGAAGTTTTTTCTGACTGGAAGCTCAATTCTGCTTGTATCATGTGTGGAAACAAGTCCCACCTCAGGAAGTCACAGGGGTGATATATCTGCGATGTATTTCGTTTATATGTTGAACGTAGTAGTCAAAATATAACCAAATGTTTGATTGGCTGAAATGTCCTCACGATTTCCTGGTGGGCTTTACATTTTTCGGCTCTACGCAATACCTACATGATCTGGGCTACATATATTGCAGGCCACATTTTCTTTTCTTTCCTGGCAAGGCAGATCATAGACACAGACATTGCTGGGCTTTGCTCAGAGGCAGGATTCGGAAGTCAGAACCTTTTTGTTTTTTGTTGAGCAAAGAGAAGTCAGAATCTTCATGCCGACAGTGCAGCTTTCGTAATTCCTATTATGCTTCAAATATTAAATTAGCAGTAGGATCATATACGTCTTCTGAGCCTGGTCACATTGCAAATTTTGCTTAGCGCAGCAAACAGTGGAGGATTCCCATAAATACAGAGAAACGGTAAACTTAAATAACAAGGGAAAAATAGCTAGAGAATATCGAACGCCGTGCCCTCAGAAGTAAGCATAACTTGAACTTTGTCAAAGGAAAAAGGCATGCAAGAATGTATACTTTGCTACTCAAAAGATCAAGCCCTTCCTTCGAAAGCAAACAATCCCAACATTCCCTCTTGTATAAAAAAGTGCTCTCTCTTTTGAAAAGATCACTCTAAACAATTCATTTCTCCTTCCTATCTTTGCCCAAATCATGGCCTTAGCTAATTTTCTATTTATTTTATTCCTTCTACCTTCTCTTGAAGCTTTATCCAATTTAATCCCATCAAAAGAAAATACATTAAATACACAAGCTTTGATTATGCAAGCTTGTAGCGATGTTGAAAACCCGAGTTCATGCCTATCAAATTTTCAAGCTGAGGTCGAAAAGAGTAGTCCTCCAACTGCACATTCAGTCCTCCATGCTGCCCTTAGGGCAACACTTGATGAAGGGAGGCGAGCCATTGATATGATTACAAATTTCAATTCCTTGTCAGTCAGCTATCGCGAACAAGTCGCGATCGAGGATTGCAAAGAACTTCTCGATTACTCAGTATCTGAGTTATCGTGGTCCTTAATGGAGATGAACAGAATCAGAGCAGGCACAAGGAATGTTCACCACGAAGGAAACCTGAAAGCTTGGCTTAGTGCTGCACTAAGCAACCCAGATACATGCCTTGAAGGATTTGAAGGCACGGATCGACATCTTGAGACCTTTGTCAGAGGAAGCCTAAAACAAGTTACGCAGCTAATTGGAAATGTCTTAGCTTTGTATACTCAGGTGCATAGCCTACCCTTTAAACCTCCACGAAATGACAATACTACTACTACTACAGATTCAAGTTCAGATAAATTCCCAGAATGGATTGCAGAAGGTGATCGAGAGCTTCTGAAAGGTAGTTCTCGTGGGATGCACGTTGATGCGATCGTGGCCTTAGATGGTAGCGGTCGTTACCGTACCATTACAGAGGCCGTTAATGAAGCTCCAACCTATAGTAACAGAAGGTATATCATATATGTGAAGAAGGGAATTTACAGAGAAAACATTGACATGAAGAGGAAGAAATCCAATATCATGTTCGTTGGGGATGGTATTGGACAGACCGTGGTCTCAGGCAATCGCCATTTCATGCAAGGATGGACTACCTTTAGAACTGCTACTGTTGGTGAGTGCCTAAATGCTTGTGCATGCTGTTCTTCGTTACTTGTTTTTGCTCATACAGATCTTTTGCCGATGTTTGCTCTATGATTGATGATTTTTTTTCCTGCAGCGGTCTCCGGGAAGGGATTCATAGCAAGAGACATGACGTTTCGTAACACGGCTGGACCAGTGAACCATCAGGCTGTGGCCCTTCGAGTTGACTCAGACCAATCTGCCTTCTATCGATGCAGCATGGAAGGCTATCAAGACACCCTCTACGCTCACTCTCTCCGCCAGTTTTACCGCGAATGTGAAATTTACGGCACCATAGACTACATCTTCGGCAACGGTGCAGCTGTTTTCCAAGAATGCAAGATATACACTAGAGTGCCACTACCACTACAGAAGGTTACAATCACTGCCCAAGGCAGGAAAAGCCCTCATCAAAACACCGGATTTTCGATCCAAGATAGCTACATTTTTGCCTCGCAACCGACGTACTTAGGCCGGCCATGGAAGCAATATTCCAGGACAGTTTTCATGAACACATACATGAGTGCTTTGGTCCAGCCGAGAGGGTGGCTCGAGTGGTATGGCAACTTTGCATTAGGCACGTTGTGGTATGGTGAGTACAGGAACCATGGCCCTGGAGCATTGCTCTCTGGTCGGGTCAATTGGCCTGGTTACCACATTATTCAGGATGCCGGCACAGCTAAATTCTTCACCGTAGGACATTTCATTGATGGCATGTCGTGGTTGCCGTCGACCGGCATCAAGTTCACATTAGGCTTGAACAGTTAAGCTATACCTTATAGGATATACTTAGTTTTGAAGCAACCTGTTTGATTTCTATTACCCTACATCTAATTTGTGCGTACTTGACATTTATGGGCCAACCTGGCCCATCCAGCTAGGGGTGTCCAATAGGCCCGTATTTATGCGTATGTATGATCATAGTCTGATTTTAAGATAAATAATTCAATCAATTTTCAATTTTTTTCATATTTCTAATTGTATCTATTATATTTTAAAAAAAATATTTAAATCTCTAATATTTCTTTTGATCAATTTTTCGATCATGATTTTTTTTTTACCGAAATATCCCTAAAAAAAAAAAAAAACCCACATAGAGTTACATGATTTGCATGTTTCATTTTTGAAGGCTTTAAAAATTTTTAATTTTATTTTTTTTCATTTCAGTTAGGAGCATTTTTTTCATGATAAAAAAAAAATTAATTAGAATAACATATTGAAGACTTAAACATTATTTATGAACGTAATAGATGCAATATGAAACATAGAGATAGAATAGAGATTTGGACTATTATACAAGGATAGATTGGGCTATTTACCTTAAATTTTAATTTTAAAGAATATACATAGATGAGTGTTAATTAAATTTGGTGTGTATTTATAAATTAATTAGGCTCTTGAGTTTTGAGAAACGAATTAATTAGTTTTTTTTTTAAAAATATTATTTAGTTCCTATATTTTTAAATTTTCTTGCAACATAATTATTTTGGCTCATTTTTAATTTATTTTGGTTTTTAAGAAATATAAAAAGGGGAAAATAAGTCCAATTATGGAAGGATCAATGAGAAAAAAATGACATTTTATGAAATAAAATAAAACGTAGTTAACATCGATTAAGAAATTAAATAATTAATTTTTAAAACAAAAAAATTAATTACTTAAGTTTATTTTTTTAGAGAGACTAATTTATAATTTTATCAGTGGGTCTTTGCTATTTACCAAAAAAAAATTGGTGTTTATTCGAGCAAATGAGGCTATAGCTTTGTTTGTTACTAAATAATTATTATTTTTCTTCTTTGGTTTTGTATTGATGTGGTGTTTTTGTACAAATTAATTTTGACATCCCAAATTATATATATATATATTCTGAATTAAAGATCGCATTCATCAAGATTTTGTGTGACCTATCTTGATGATAAGAAAAATTTATCATGAATGTGTTAGTTTTTACGTGGATGGACTATTTAAAACCCGATCAAATAGAGATTTAGTTTAAATACTAATATTAATAGAATCAATTCTAAATCTCTGTTTGATCCGGTTTTAAATTGTCCATCCACGTAAAAACTAACACATTCATGATAAATTTTTCTTATCATCAAGATAGGTCACACAAAATCTTGATGGATGCGATCTTTAATTCAGAAATTCATGACTTGTGTGACTAAAGAAGTAGAATGTTTAAAGCAATACCAGGATAACCCTCCAAACCCAAAACCTCAACAAGAAGAAACATTGTAATAAAACTTGGACAAGGATCGGTAGTCCTACCTAGTTAGGAATTGGCGAGGCCATGACCACCTAGGGTAATCGTTAAGCTTGATGTTATTCATGGGACTCAAGTCAAGCAATTAAGAATTTGCCGTGGATGGTGCTTAAACATGGACATCACTAACTCAAAATAATTAACTTGTCATTGTACTACGAATCTTATTTTTTCTCTTCATGGGGCTACATAATCTTGGGAGTGGCATTTTATATTAAACATGTACTTAGGTATTTTGTCTTCCTTAATAGAAAATTATTGAAATTTGATCCATTTTTTTGACCAAAAAATTGAACTTATTGACTTTCAACAATAAAAGAGTGTTTGTACGTATAAACATATACATACTTTTTGTTTTTTTTGTTTTTTATATTTATAATTAAGTAGTGGGGTATTTAAAAAAAAAAATTATCACTTTCACAACAATATGAGATTAACTTTATTATTTTTGCATCAACCAAGATAAAATTTACTACTGAACCAGATTAGTACCAAGTCGCACTTAATATTTGATATATTCCGATCTCCACTATTCATGTAATGTAATATAAATGTAACCTATAATTAAAAAGTCTTATTATTATTATTATTATTTTTAATTTGAACCTTAGTTTTGACCAAATTAGAACAATATTTTTACCATTAAATCACATCTCTTAATTTGTGGTTTCAACACCAAAGGTATTTTCTAATTTACTTACATATTTTTCAATTGAATCTTGACGAAAACAAAACAATTTTTTTTGCTGCTCTTAGTGGTATTAATTTATGGTTTTAACAACAAAAGTGTTCTTGAATTTACGTACTTACGTCTTTTTCAAGTGAATCTTAAACCAGCTATGAATGTATCTTCCTCGCATATTAAGGTGGCAAAGATACCAGAAAGAGAACGAGGATTTGGTACAAAATAACTTCCACCACTACAGTGGTGGAGGGACATAAAGGAAGATGAACACGTTTTTGACTGGTAATAATGCAAGATTACAGACACTTCAATGATCTATATAAACTCTAACCCACCATTCCCGTTTCCAAAATCAAGTGTCTCAACTATGGCTTCCAAGCTAATCACCCTATGCACAATTTCTCTCCTTCTCGTGCTCACTTCTTCAACCTCTCTTGCAAACTCAGTTTCATCCATCTTTAACACACCAGAAACCATTTGTGAGCACACACGTTTCCCCTATTTTTGCAAATCTTCTTTGCCATATAATAAACCTGGAACCATACAGGACTATGCCAAAATTCCCTTGAACAATCTTTGTCACATGCTCAAAAATTTCTTTGGCTTGTTCAACATCACTCAAGGCTTTCCTCAGCAATGTATACCACTCCTGCCCTTGAAGATTGCCTGTATTTAGCTCAAGAAAACATAGATTCTTGTCAGACATAATAGGAACTCTGACGTCTATTACTGATGATGTTCTTCAAGGCTGCCAAGCTGATGATTTACAAACCTTGCTTAGCGCAATTTTGACCAACCAAGAAACTTGCTTGGATGGGCTTCAATACTCATCATCCTCAAGCATCAAGAATGCCCTATTAGCTCCGATATCGACCTTAACCATGCACTATAGTGTTGCCCTTGCACTTTTTACTCATGGTTGGGGTCATGGCATAGATAGATATCTCACAAAAAGAGAGCACATATTTTTTGACTTGGAAGATGGTGCAAGCGAAGGCTTACCATTATTAATGCCAAGCGAGGATAAACAAATATATGAGTCGGTAAGCGGAAAAAGAGCTCTGAAAGCATCAAATAATAGTGGTGTCTTGGTCAGGGAAGTGGTGGTTGTGGATCTAAATGGATCCGGCAACTTTCGAACCATTACCGGAGCCGTGGTGGCCGCACCGAATAAAACCGTTGCTAGCCATGGATATCATCTGATTTATGTGGTCGCCGGGATCTATAACGAGTATGTTTCCATACCAAAATATAAGAAATACCAGATGATGATCGGAGCAGGTATTAACCAAACAGTGATTACTGGCGACCGTAGCGCAGGCGATGGATGGACAACATTTAATTCGGCAACATTTGGTAAGCTAATCAAATCTAATATTATGTGACATGAAGAAAACTACATTAATCAAATCATTACTTAGCGACTAAGACTTGATTCCGGAAATGTTATCTAAAATTTTGAGAGTGACAATTTATGTGTTTGCAGCTGTGGTAGGGGAAGGGTTCGTGGCAGTGAACATAACATTCGGAACAGGCAGGAGCAATTAAGGACCAAGCTGTGGCAGTAAGAAATGGAGCAGATATGTCCACATTTTACAAATGCAGCTTTGAAGGTTACCAAGACACCTTATATACTCATTCTCAGAGGCAATTTTACAGAGAATGTGACATCTACGGCACAATCGATTACATATTCGGTAACTCTGCGGTTGTTCTTCAGAAATGCAATATTTATTCGAGATTACCTATGGATAACCAGTTCAATACCCTGACTGCTCAAGGTAGAACTGATCCTAACCAAAACACAGGCATTTCAATACAAAATTGTACCATCAAGTCATCTGATGACTTGAGCTCAAGTAAAGGTGCTACAAGAACATACCTGGGCAGGCCATGGAAGGAATATTCAAGAACTATTATTATGCAGTCTTTCATCAATACCCTAATCGATCCGACCGGTTGGTCGGCATGGTCCGGAGATTTTGCACTTAGCACACTTTATTATGCAGAATTCAATAACTTTGGTCCAGGATCAATTACCACTAACAGGGTTCAATGGCCTAGTTATCATTTGATTAATGAGACCGATGCGGCTATTTTCACTGTGTCCAACTTCATAGCAGGAGATTTCTGGCTGCCTGCAACAGGAATGCCTTATGTTGGTGGTTTACAGTGAATTTCATGATCATCCTGATGATTTGCGTGCTCTTTGTTTTTTCAAATTTATTGTCATTGATTGAAATTGAGAACACATCTTTTGTATGAAATTCATCATTCTGGGTTCGCTCTAACTCATTTTGGCACCTATTGTAATTCTTTTTTAAAGTTGTGCGCGACATGATCTTAATAACTCATTATTCTTAATAAGGCACATTGCAGAATTAAGCACATTTAAACACACCTAAATTGCTAGTATGATTTATGAAAAATTAGATGAATTTGATTCATCATTTGAGATTATGTGGTTGGTTCATAATTTAAACGGTGAATCAAGTTAATCTAATATTTTTTGATGATTTATATATAACGTATAGAATGTTCATTTCTCATCCTATTAACAGTAATTTGAACTTTTTTAATCACAGAAAAAACAAAACTTTTCAATTAACAAAGAATTTTGAGATCATGAGGCCACTTGAATTATATTTGAATTGTGAACAAGATTAAGATTATTTAGAATATGATGATCCACTTGAGAACGTGTGAAGCTGTCCTATAGCTATATAAATTAAAATCCTTAATTACCACAATTAAAAAAATATCATATCTACAAATAGTTTTAGTATAACGCTTGTATATTTAGTTAATTTTTTTTAATAAAATAAGGTTTGAATTTTAATGATTTCAAAATTTTTTGATGATTATGTAACGAGAAAAGTTACCTCTTATTGTGTAGTCTAAAAATCAATGATTCTTCTATGAATTTATATATATATATATATATATATGCATGGTCTGTCCTTTAATTGTGAATTCTAGATCGGGGCTAATAAATATTATTACATGGTTGGTGTTAATTTCATATAAGAACGGAATTTTTCTGAACTTGAGCGAAAAAAAATAAATACCTCTTTGAATTAAAAATTTTTGATTTTGATTTCTTGAAAAAAAGATGAAAAGCCCTAAAAAAATCCTCTCTTTTCTTTATTAGTAACATATTTTCTTAATTTGGTAGAGGAAATGATAGGAATTGGGATGATTTCTTATGGTTTTTTTCCATCATTTTTTTAATGAAACTCTAACGGAAGGAGTACATTAAAAAAAAAAATCATATTGTTTAAAAGATAAAATCATAAATTTTTTATTTCATAAAGAAGTATTTGTTTTTTCACTCAAATTTAGAAAAGTATTTTATAATTTAGCCTTCTTATTAAGCAGGATTGACTTTCTGGATATACTTGAAGTCAAGGTCTCTCATTTGCACAATTTGACCAAGCAATGTAACATTGATGCAACCAGCTAATTAAGAAATCTAATGAAATGATTAATTATATTTTTTTCAATTATTACACTGATTCACAAAGGAGTTAAAAACGTGAAAAAGGAAGAATCTGGGTTGCTGAGAGGCTACGAAACGAACGGGCTGTTTTCTTGCAACCTTTAACTACAAGACAATTGCAAATGTTTGTGCTAATTGGAAGACATTGGCATAAGGTCAACTGTAACAAAAACAATCTGCGTACCAAGAAATTTTTATTATTTTTTTGTCTTTTATCCAGGCACTACATCAAAAAAGGGCATTACGGGCGGTTTTTTATCTTCTAGAGGCGGTTATAACCGCCTCTACGATTTGTAGAGACGGTTTTGAGAACCGCCCCAAAACCGCCTGCAATGCCGCTGTCTCTAGAGTGTAGGGGCGATTTTGCCAACCGTCGAAAAATTCTGAAACGGTTTATAGAGGCGGCCTCAAATTATTTTTTGGGGCGGTTACAACCACCTCTACCAATCCGCTTTTAATATTATTTGACACGTACTTTGGGGCGGTTGGAACCGCCTCTACAATCCCATTTTTTCAATTTTGCGCTAAATTATTAGGGCGGTTACAACCGCCTCAAAGTTTAAAATGGTAGAGACGGTTTCAACCGCCCCAAACTCTAGAATTTAAAACCACCTCAAATTTAGAATTAATAGAGACGATTACTACCATCTCAAATTTTATAATAGAAGCGGTTGTTTAACCACCTTTAACATTATAGTTTTATTTGGCCTTCAAATTCAATTAATTACTTCATTTTTTGGTCAAAAAACAAATAAATTAAAAAAAAATTACATCATGTTGAATGCAAATAAATGAAAAATTATATAACTTATACAATATTCTTACATTTGTAATTATCATATTCTAAATACATAAAAAGTCTAAAAAAATCCACATGAATAAAAAAACTAAAAGATTAAACTAGGGGTGAGCAAATGGTTCGGTTAACCGAAAACCGAATAAAACCGAATCGAATTATGAAATTTGGTTCGGTTTTAAATATAAAATTATACAATATAAAACCGAACCGAAAAAATCGAAATTATTTCGGTTCGGTTCGGTTTTTTTAAAAAATTCGGTTTCGACCGAAAACCTAAATAAAAAGTAAAAAATTTCCTAATTTCTAAATCCCTAACTTTTCAATCTTCATTCTTGTTGAAACCGAAACACGCGAGTGAGAAGTAAATTTTGAGGACCGTTGGGGTAAGAAAAGAAAGTGACGAGTGTAATTAATTGGGATACGAGTGTGTTTGAATGAGCAAATTTATTACACTTGGACTCGTTTTTATTAAAGCTTAGTTAAAATCTTCGAGGGCTTTGCGATTGTTTATAAAAAGGATTAATTGATAACAAGATGTTACTTCATTGGTTAGTGGACTAAGTGTTAGTACAAAACATCTCTCTGTAATGATTTTTTTTTATAGTAAAATATTTTGGTTAAAATCGAAATATTTCGAAACAAAACCGAAATAATTCGGTTACAAATCGAATTTATCGAATTTATTTCGGTTCGGTTTTGGTTTTTATTTTTTTAATTCGGTTAACCAAAAACCGAACCGAATCGTACAAAACCGAACCGTTTAACCGAATGCTCACCCCTAAATTAAACACTTGTTCAAAATAAATGAAGCATCCTTGTGAGCTTTAACCTCGATGAAGCATAGGTTATCCTTTTGAGGTCCCGTAGCCGTCTCAATTGCTTCAACCAACTCTTCCTCGCGAGAATACCCGAAATGAAAAATTTAGAAAATGATTTCGGATGCTTGATTTTACTACATTGATATTCATGTATTGAAGCAAATGAACTTAGTTCACAAGTTCACCTTGGCTGTCTAGAATTTGCCTTCACCGTTATGGATGGCATAAACCAAGCCGAGTGTAGTTCTAGTTCTTAATATCATTGTAAGGACCATCATGGATCTTGACTTCAATGGTGTATCCACCATTTTTGATGAGGAAAATAATGGTCTTCTCTCCACATTGCAGCATTGTTGACACATCTTGAGTAGTTACCTATTGAGAAATTGAAAGAGCAATAAGCAACGGGTTAAATATCAAATTCTAGAAGAAAAAAAAACAAATATAATTTATAACCAACAATAAATTTGACGAACAAATATTGGGATCTCATTTGTTTTTGCCACACTTTCTCCATGGACTTCATTTTCAACTCATATTTAGACCAACGGCTCTCATATAGTTGGAGTCGTTGGTGAAGGATGTCATTTCTCCTCCTCTTTATCTCTAAGAGCACCCTTGGCTTTTAAAAGTCATCGTTGTAATTCAGCAAGACATGATGCCTTCACGAGCACCTCATCCGACTCATTGCCTCGTTGACAAATTGTAATTCGGGATCTCAACATAAAGAATACAAGAAACTCCAATATGAACGAGGTCTTCTTAAGAAAGAAGGATCCAAGCATTACAAGTTGGCTCATGACCAACCACCAATGTTATTTACATTATCGGATATTGTCCCGATCATGTCCGGGGAATGGGTCATTACCTTCATTCATTATATATATATATAGATTTTACAAGGAATTGATAAAATTAAGCTCTAAAGATTGGATAAAGAACAACCTTTAGGACAAGCAATTAGACGAGACTCAAGTGATCGTTTACAGCAATTTAATATAGCATACTCACATATCACATAAATGGATAGATAGAACGATAGGTACATGTACGCAAGAAAAGAAATTATCAATACTAACGAGAGATTAAATGACCCAATTCTCATTTGAAACCGAGTGCATTGGTACTTGATGCATCAACAAAGAAAGAATTAATTGCATGGCTTTGTTAGAAGTCAAAAATTAGGCTAGGAAAATAGATTTCAAAGTTCACCAACATTGTCACACAAACAATAAGCTTTGCTTGGGATTTGGTTAACATTGCAGCAAATCCTAAAAATCCATGCTTGTAGCTATTCATGATTGCTTCCTTTGTTGCTTTTTTCTTGTCAAAATCATACTAGAAGATGCTTTCTCTTTATTGCTTAATCAAACCTCATAGATATTCAAAGCTAAAACTAATGAAACAAATTATGTGCATCCGAACTCTAAAATTGCATAAAACAAAATCAAAGAAAGCCGGAGCATACAAAATCATTCAATGCCTCTATGACCATACCAAGAAAGATAAAAACTAAACATGTGAAGGTAAAAGTAATAGCAAAATCAAACATGTTTAGGGTAAATTTAATAATTTAAAAAATGAAAATGAAGATTATGAAGTGTTAGAAATAAAACCTTCCAACAATATCGAAAGAAGCACATGATGTGACTCTTCAAACGACTCGAGCTCGTCATGCGGTTTCTCCCATATATACAATGTAAACTTGTCAAGAGCAAAAGAGATTAAAGACAAAGAAATCCATGAAAGAAACAAATTGATACACGCAGACTAAACTAAAATAGAGAAACTCACATTGCTTTTAGCAAGAATCAAATAAAATTGAAATACCCAATTCAAAGAAATGGTAAAAAACACAAAAATCTAAAATTAAGAAGTCTTAACCTCTAAACAAAACTCAATTACCCAATTCTCAAAAGCCTTAAAATATAGAATTTGAATAGATAACTAAAAATCTCAAAACCTCAATTAAAAAAAAATCTCTTAAACAAAGAAAAAAGATCCTCTTTTATTGCTTACCCGAGTTCTTCTATGGTACCCAACAATCTTGTCAACATATCGCAATCTAGCATCACAAAATTCTTAAGCTATTGTTATGTGATAAGAAATCATTATTTGCAAAGGATTCGGCCATGCCTATTTAAATAGAAAAAGAGGAGAAGAAGAGGATGCGAGAGGAGGAGGAGAAAAACCTTAAGAGAAAGATAATGAAAGACGGGAGGATAAAAAAAGAAATGCGGGACTCGCTTAAAAGTTAAAACGTGGGGTGGGGCGGTTTATAAAACCGCCCCATATTTTTTTTTGGTTATAACGTAATATTTTAAAAAATATTAAAATTTGGGGCAGCTTTGTTGACCGCCCCAAACATTCTGCCGCTACATTTGTTTTTTGGTGTAGTGAGGCTTAGCGTCTAGAGATTTTATCATTGGACCGACTTTTCGGTAACATAAATGTTTTTAACAATCCGAGCCAAACTTTATCAAAGCTAACAAAAACAATAGTGGGAAAGTGAGCAAAACCGGGAGAATCAACCATAATTATCACTCGTTTCGGGTAAATTTTTCGGTTCCGATACCAGTTTATTAGGAAGAAGTTTGTATTTGAGAAAATATGGTTTTTATACCACTAAAAGATGTAATCTAGTAATAAGAGAGATGTATTGATTTAATTAAAACTAAAATTTAATTCCTATTTCTCACATATAATTAACTATAATTAATTATTTTTTAGTGATATCGGACTTGAGTTTATTTAATCTAAAAAGGAGTCCAATGATCATATTTTACTATTGATTTATCCGAGAAAATAATGAATTTAGTTTTGATTAATGTAAAAATTAGTTTGAAGATACTCCATTATATATATATATAATGACGAGGCATTACACTAAACATAAAAACTCAAACCATTGAATTATGAGTACATATTTATATCTAAATATTCTAATTTCTAAGTAACCCAAACATCTTCTCAAGCTTTATTAGGCTTTATAGATGGTCAACTCTTATACTATTGATTCAATAGTTTACTACGACTAATTGCCATGTTTATCAAACACCCACTATGCACAAATTGCTTCCACTAAGTGGACATAGATGTGTAAGGAGTTACTAAAAGAGATTACAATTTGAGCCATTAGATCTATGCAGATTAAACTTTGCCAAAAAATCAGTCGTAGGGTTCTTTTTCCTAAGAACATGAGCAAAAATAATGGATTTTAAATACAAAATTATATTAGAGATGGAATTATAATTGCTCGAAGCTTCGGAGGTCGTCTATCAATTAAAGATTTATATATCCAAAAAAATAGCATTATCAAAGTTTTCCGAATAGTCAACATTTATATTTTATTTGAACGTATGGTCGTGCAAAATCGAGGAAGTACACAAAAAATTTCTATAACGAGTATCTCAAGACACCGCTGCCGAGAGATCCCTAACTTATCTATATATATATATATATATATATATATATATATATATATATATCATTTAAAATGGCAATATGTGGATTAATTCAGCTAGCTACAAATTTGACTATAACTCTTTAACATCTTCAAAATTTTGTAATAAATCACTTCTTGTATAGATAAAATTTTTGTCTACAAACCGAATTCAAAATTTGACTATAACTCTCACGTATGATCTATATAAACCCTAGCCCATCATCACCATTTTCAAAATCTAGTATTACAATTAGCCATGGCTTCCAAGCTAACCAAGCTATGCTCAATTTCTCTCCTTCTCGTCCTCTTTTGTTCACCCTCCCTTGCAAACTTGTCGATCTTCAAGACACCAGCAACCATTTGTAACTACACACGTTTTCCAAATTTTTGCAGATCTTCTTTACCGTATAACAAGCCAGGAACCATACATGACTATGCGAAAATTTCCTTTCAAGAATCCTTGTCACATGCTCAAAAATTTCTTGGTCTTGTTCGACAATATTACTCAAGGCATCCCTTGAAAATGTACAAATCCACCCTTCTTGCCCTTGAAGATTGCTTGTTTTTGGCTCAACAAAACATAGACTCCTTTTCAAACACACTAGAAACTCTGAAGTCTAGTGATGATGCCCTTCAAAGCTACCAAGTTGATGATTTACAAACCTTGCTTAGTGCTACTTTGACCAACCAAGAAACTTGCTTAGATGGGCTGATGTTAGCATCAGACTCAAGCATCAAGAATGCCCTATTAGTCCCTATCTCGAACGGAACCATGCATTATAGTGTTGGTCTTGCACTTTTTACACATGGTTGGCCTCTTGCCACAAAGAGAGGTAGAATTTTAACAGAAAGAAACCATGTATTTTCCAACTTGGAAGTTGGTGGCAGCAAAGGGTTGCCATTACTAATGCCAATCAAGGATAAGCAGATATACTGACTCGGAGACGACTTCTTCAAGCATCAAACATTACTGGCAATGTTAAGGTGAGCCAATTCGTTGTTGTGGACCAAATGGAGGAGGGAATTTTACAAACATTAACGATGCTGTAGCTGCTGCACCAACTAATACCGTTGCAAGCAAGGGATATTTTTTGATTTATGTGGTCGCCGGGGTCTACAATGAGTATGTTTCCATAGCTAGCAACAAGAAATACTTGATGATGATCGGAGAAGGTATTAACCAGACGGTGATAACTGGCAACCGGAGCGTCGATGATGGGTGGACTACATTCAATTCAGCAACATTCAGTAAGCCAAATCTGATATTGATAATGTGATAAGTCTCGTATAATTTTATTCCACTAGCCTAAGAATTTAATTGACATATTACTTAGCTCATATCATAAGGAAAAGTCATGTGATTTGTCAGCTCATTTTTAGGGTCAAAACATATATTATGCTTCAAGATTTAAGTTCACCAAGAACTAACTTAAACAGCAGTCAATGTTATGCCATAAAAATATAAATTCAATTACGATTCGATTCGGAGGAACTGCTACTATGTAGCAAGTAATCTACTTCGTATTGATTGGCCGAGGAGTTAATATTTCTTATTTTGCAGTTGTGGTTGGCAAGGATTTGTGGCAGTGAACTTAACAGTTCAGAACACGGCAGGAGCAATCAAGCACCAAGCAGTGGCAGTGAGAAATGGAGCTGATTTATCGACATTTTACAAATGCAGTTTTGAAGGTTACCAAGACACCTTATACACTCATTCTCTCAGACAATTCTACAGAGAATGTGACATCTACGGCACGATAGATTACATATTCGGTAATGCTGCGGTTGTTCTTCAAAATTGTAATATTTATTCGAGATTACCTATGAAGGGCCAGTTCAATGCCTTAACTGCACAAGGTAGAACTGATCCTAACCAAAACACAGGCACCTCAATACAAAATTGTATCATCAAGGCAGCTGATGACTTGGCCACAAGTAATGGTATAACAAAAACATACCTAGGCAGGCCATGGAAGGAATATTCAAGAACTGTTGTTTTGCAGTCTTTCATCGATACCCTTATCGATCGGGCCGGTTGGTCGGTATGGTCCGGAGATTTTGCACTTAGCACACTTTATTATGCAGAATTCAACAACTCTGGTCCAGGGTCAAATACTAGCAGAAGGGTTACATGGCCTGGTTATCATTTGATTAATGACACCGATGCAGCTAATTTCAGTGTCTCCAACTTCATAGTAGGAGATTTCTGGTTGCCTGGAACAGGAGTGCCTTATTTTGGCGGGTTACAGTGAATGTTATGCTCTTTGTTCTTTTCATTTCTTCCATGTTTCATAAGCTGTCATGCAGCTATATAAAATCTTTGGTAAACAATTTATCCATTAGATTGGTTAAGAAAATAGTAATATTTTTTTTCCCATGAATTGTACAATTAATAGTTAATGAAACTAAAAAAGTACAAAATATATTTCCTTCGCCAAATTAAAAAATAAAAAATATTATAAATATTTTGTTCTTGAATTATGTTAGTGGTTGTAAAATCATATGAGAGAACATCATGAAAAATATTTGCTTTCGATTTTCTTACACCAAGGGTCAATTAGCCTCCAATTCTTTTTTTTTTTTTTTTAATTGCAAGAGAAAACCAAATAAATTAAACAAGCATTGCAGTATGGGCCCAGAATCAGCAGTAAGATATTTTGGCATTGAAAAGAAGAGGACCCTAAAAGAAGTGAAACTAAGGCCCACGTAAGATACAACTGAATGACCCACTCACTCAGACAAAGCCAGCCCAAACAAATGGGCTTATGGTCTTTAATTAAGCTACAGAATGAGTTTGCTAATTGATCTCACATCAACTATGCTGTATTAACCAGACAAAACGAGGTCGCTTATGTAATTTACACTTTGGTCTTTCAAGTTCTACTTTTGTACAAAAAGTTCCTAAACTTAATTTATATTACAATACCGTTTATATATTTTTTCTTATGGTTAGACTGTGCTTCCTGTCCAGATGGATGCGTGGGCCTGATTGTGTTAGATCCATCAGAAGGCCCTTTTTTTTTTATTAATTGTAATATTGTACAAAATAATCCTTAAACTTAATTTACGTAACAAAAAAGTTCTGTTTTTTTTTTTTTTTAATGTCCGAGCTGTGCTTTTTTCTCAATAGTTAATGGTTATTTTTTATTTTTATTATAGATTCATTGAAAAAAATTAAACATTCTTCTAATATAAATTGATTTAACACTCTCTTCTAATTTGATTTTTTTTAAAAAAAATAATTGCTTGCATGTATTTTTATTGATTAAAATCAAACATAATCATAGGATATATTTAAACTCAATTATCAAATATAAATATTTTATTAAATATTGCTTAATACAAATTAAATTAAATAAATTCTCACAACTAATGTTAATTAATTTTTATTTTACACCCAGATTTTTTTTAAAAAAAATATTCAAGATATTAATAAAATATATTATATCAGCCATAACTATACTAGTTACAATAAAACAAAAAAAAATGAAAAACGACTATAGCATTTCACTGTTCATTCATTGTACACTTTTTTTCTTTCTTTTTTTTTTTTTTTGCTAGCTTCCTTAAGGAAATTGCTTTTTATTTTGGTCCCTTTTTCTAATATTTTTTTTTCAACATTAAAATTTTATTGTATTTAAATTTTGTCCCTATAATAAATATTAAAATTTTATTATATTTGATTTTTATCCATATAATAATTTTTTTCTTGGCTTTTAGTAAAAATTTATGTTCTTTTTGGTTCCTATTTTATGATATGTTTTTATTTTATCATTAAATTTTATCATATTTTATTTTTATCCTTAATATACTAAAATTAAATAAAGTTTACTATCCTAAGCCTTTTTGTTTTTTTTTTTGCTTTTAGTGAAACTTTTCTTTCTATTATAATTTATGTTTTGTGATTTTTTTTTTGTTTTCGCCATTAAATTTAGTAGATTTTTTTTTGTTTTAGTCCCTGTTTTGTAATTGTTTTTTATTTTGATCATTAAATTTTTATTATATTTGATTTTTTTCCCTGCAAGAAACTATTTTTTTACTTTTAGTAAAACTTTTTGTTATATTGTGGTTTTTTTTTTTTTTGTAATCTTTCATTCATTTTGATAATTAAATTTTTATTATATTTGATTATTATTCATTCTTCACTAAAATTAAATACAATTTCACTATTTTAATCTTTGTTTTTAGTAAAAAATATTTTCTGTTTTGATTCTTATTTTATTGTTTTTTTTTAATTTTGGTCATTAAAATTCTATAATGTTTTACTTTGTTCCTGCCTTATATACATAATGAATTTTTTTCTTCTTATTGTTTATAAGTTTTTTCCTTTTTAGTGAAAGTTTTTTAAAGTTATTTTGATCTTTCTTTTATGATCTTTATTTTATTTTGATCATTTAATTTTTATTGTATATAATTTAATTTTTATTTTCTTTACCAAATTCTCAATTTGACAAAGGTTTTTTGTCTTTTTGTTTTGGATGGTTTTTCTGTCTCATTAACAAATTACATATGAATAATATATGATAAAAATTAATCATTTAAAATTCAAAAAACTACCACATTATTATTTTAATTATTAGTTATTATATATTTTTTAATTATATCAAACAATATCGAATTAGCAACATTATAGTATCCAACTTTGCAGATTTTCGTTTAGATAACCCTATTGCAAATTATGAAATACATGTTTTAGTTTTTTTATAAAAAAAATTTTCACATGATACTTTTAAATAATTATTTTTACATTTTAAATTTTATATGAATGAATACATAAAAATGTTGTATAGTTCACCTCGCGGCAACGCGCGGGATGTATGCTAGTCTTGATCTAATTTCGAATATTTCAATCTTAACTTGGCAAATGGCACACTGCAGGTTATGATGGAGGGAATGCACATCTTCTGCATGCTCTCTCGTTAAGTCTAATCAGTTATCTCCATTTTGCAATTCGTGGATTCCTCCCTTTATGTCCTCCGAGATCAGAAGTTCCAATACATTGTAGCCATTCTTGCCATGCATTTGATTTTAAACAAATCTATATAAATTGCTATTTAGAACTAAGATTTCATCAAGATCGACTTCCGCTATTAATCAACTTCTTTTCCACAACGTTATCTTACATTTTAAGAGTGAGATTTTGGTTGGAGCTATGGGTGGGAAACGATTTGTGGCAGTGAGCATAACATTTGGGAACATGGCAGGAGCAACTAAGCACCACCAAGCAGTAGCGGTGAGAAATGGAGCAGATATGTCCACATTTTATAAATGCAGTTATGAAAGGTACCAAGAAACCTTATATATGCTCATTCCCTCAAGCAATTTTACAGAAATTGTGACATATATGAGACAATTGATTTCATATTTGGTAATGCAGCAGTTGTTTTCCAGAATTGCAGTATTTATCTGCGATCACCATTCAATGCGCGTCTTAACTGCTTAAAGTAGAACAGATCCTAACCGAAACACAGGCACTTCAATACATAATTGTGCCATTAAGGCAGTTGATGATTTGGCTCATAGTTTTAAATAACAGCCGTTATGTAATGATTTCGAAACATCCCGCTATCGTTATTTTAGTATTATAATAAGCTATGATCTGTAATAGCAACTGCGATCGTTTTTTCAACCATTCATAATTTAAAACTATGATTTGCTTTCGAGCAATAGCACTGTAAAAACATACCTAGGTAGGCCTTGGAAGGAATATTCAAGTACTGTTCATGCAGTCTTTCATCAAGTACTGTAAAAACATACCTAGGTAGGCCTTGTAAAAACTATGATTTGCTTTCTGACATAATTATTGATTGAAATTAGAGGCATTCTCTTTAAGTTCGATTATTTAGCATAACATTTTGGAACATGGCAGGAGCAACTAAGCACCTCCAAGCAATAGCAGTGAGAAATGGAGCAGATATGTCCACATTTTATAAATGTAGTTTTGAAAGGTACCAAGAAACCTTATATATGCGCATTCCCTCAGGCCATTTTACAAAGAATGTGACATATATGAGATAGTTGATTTTATATTTGGTAATGCAGCAGTTGTTTTCCACAATTGCAGTATTTATCCGCGATCACCATTCAGTGCGCGCCTTAACTGCTTAAGGTAGAACAAATCCTAACCAAAACACAGGCACTTCAATGCATAATTGTGCCATTAAGACAGTTGATGATTTGGCTCATAGTTTTAAATAATAATCGTTATGTAACGATTTCGAAACATCATGCTATCGTTATTTTAGTATTATAATAAGCTGCGATCTACGATAGCAACTGCGATCATTTTTTCAACCTTCCATAGTTTAAAACTATGATTTGCCTTCGAGTAATCGCACTGCAAAAACAAACCTAGGTAGGCCTTGGAAGGAATATTCAAGTACTGTTCATGCAGCCTTAGCCTTTCATCTAAGCTGATCGAATCGGTCAGTTGGGCAGCATGGTCTGGAGATTCTGCTTTTAACTCACTTTATCATGCAGAATTCAATAACATTGGTCCAGGATCAGATACTGCTAGTAGAGTTACATGGCCTGCTTATCATGCGATTTATGAGCCGACATCGCTATTTTCAACCTCATACTAGGAGATTTCTGATTGCTAGCAAAAGGAATGCTTTATGTTTGCTGGTTTATAATCATGAATGCCATCATGATCACAGATTTGCTCATTGTATTTTATTTCTTCTCCATTTTTCTGACATAATTATTGATTGAAATTAGAGGCATTCTCTTTAAGTTTGATTATTTAGCACCGCATTAGCGCCATTTTCACCGATCAAACATCAAATGTTTGTATGCAGTTTGTTCTTATAAAAAGAGTTTTTCTTATGTGGAAATCATCTTTCAAATATTTTGCAAACAAAAAAGTTTAAAAACTAGCTCTCTTAAAGCAGTGGAAAAACCTCCCTCCACAAAAATGAGGCTGTGCTAAAACCTGTCCTCAGAATTGGCCACTGGAGCATATAGCAAGCAAGCAACAGACAAGCTCAAAGTGTGCATCTAAGTCTAAAAATAAACAGAAAACTTTTTTCTTAAAATATGAATGGTGTATACTAAATGGTAGAATACGAGTAGAATACGAGTATTTACCCACCATTTATCCATTATTAAAACAGCTACAGTTAACTGGTCAATGTCCTAAAATTAAGATGAAACACCAAAAAAAATGTTCCTCAAAACTTAAAGCTGAACAGCTCCATTTTTAGAAAACAAAGACAATGATCTAGCTGGTCTTTGGGTTTCCTCTTTTCCTCTGTACCTCAAATTTTGTAACTGAATAAACTAAGTTTGGAAAATTACCTTTCTTTTAGTCTCTTATAAATATATCTCTTTCTTAGAGAACTATAACTCAGGTCTTTCAGGTTTCAAATTAAGGGGAAGGCCAAACGAGCTTTGCCCTTCTTTCTTGAACCTTTAGCCATTAGCAGCTAAAAGAAAACAAAAGGAAGGAAAAGAGAGTGAGAGCATTTTATTTTCCTTTCTTAGCATTCAAAGTTATTGATCTATAAAGTTTTGTTTCTTTTTGTTTTTAATAAAAATGTCTTACGGGGATGATTCAAAGAAGAAGAGGAGATTGGCCGTTATCGGAGTCTCTTCTCTCCTCTTGGTAGCTATGGTTGTAGCTGTTACCGTTGGCGTCGGCCTTAACAATGACAGTAATGAGAACGTCAATGACAGCAGCCATAAAAGCACCAGTCAGGTATCTCCCACGGTGAAAGCCGTCAAAGCCATTTGCCAGCCCACAGATTACAGAAAAACATGCGAAGAAAACCTCCAAAAAGCTGCTGGAAACACCACAGATCCTAAAGAATTGATCAAAATAGCATTCAAGGTTGCAGAGAAGCACATTAATGAGGCTTCCAAGAAATCAAAGCTTCTGGAGGAGCTCTCAAAGGATCCCAGAACCCGAGGGGCTCTTCAGAGCTGCAAAGAGCTCATGAGCATGTCTGTTGGTGAGCTCAGGCAATCTCTTAACAAAGTAACAGATTTTGATCTTTCCGAGTTAGAGAAATTGATGGAAGATGTTAAGACTTGGCTTAGTGCTTCCATCACATATCAAGAAACTTGCTTGGACGGGTTCGAAAACACAACCACCAATGCTGGAAAGGAAATGAAGAAGGGATTGAAGGTTTCCATGGAGCTCAGCGCCAATCTCCTTGGCATTGTTTCCGGGCTCTCTTCCGCAATCCCTTCAATGGAAGCTTTCAGCCGCCGCCGCCTCCTCCAAGATGATCTACCTGTTCTTGGACATGGTGATCAATTCCCTACCTGGGCTGACTTTGGAACTCGCAGACTCCTTGCTGCTCATGTTTCAAAGATTAGGGCTGATATTGTTGTGGCTAAGGATGGAAGTGGAGACTTCTCAACCATCAGAGAAGCATTGCCCCATATTCCCCACAAGAACACCAAGCCCTTTGTGTTATACATTAAGGAAGGAATTTATCATGAATACATTGAGTTCAATCGGAGCATGACTAATTTGGTGGTGATTGGAGATGGAAAGGAAAAGACTCGCATCACCGGAAACAGGAACTTTGTCGATGGAATCAACACTTATCACACCCCAACAGTTGGTAAGTAAGCCTCATTTATATTTGAAGATTCTCTACGTTCTTCCGAAACTTTAACACATTCAAATATATATATAAATGTACTGGAAATTTATGAACTGCCTGATTGCATGCAGTTGTCCTTGGAGATAACTTCATGGCCAAGAATATTGGTATCGAGAACAGTGCTGGTGCCATCAAACATCAGGCTGTGGCATTGAGAGTTTCGGCTGATTATGCTGTCTTCTACAACTGCTCGATGGACGGACACCAGGATACATTGTACACACACGCCAAGCGTCAATTCTACCGCGATTGCACCATCTCCGGCACCATTGACTTCGTCTTTGGTGATGCTACTGCTATCTTCCAGAACTGCAAATTCTTGATCCGCAAGCCATTGGAAAACCAGCAATGCATTGTTACTGCTCAAGGCAGGAAACTGAGGAGGCAGCCATCAGCTATTGTCATCCATAACAGCACAATCACAGCTCATCCTGATCTATTCCCTGAAAGGAAAATAGTCAAGTCATATCTCGGCCGTCCATGGAAGGAATTCTCAAGAACAATCATCATGGAATCTTTCATCGACGATTTCATCCAGCCCGACGGATGGTTGCCCTGGATGGGAACTTTCGGACTCAAGACTTGTTGGTACACAGAATTCAACAACTATGGTCCTGGTTCCAGCAAGAAATATCGTGTGAAGTGGAATGGAATCAAGACCATTAACCGTCGTCACGCCATGGATTTCGCTCCAGGAAGGTTCCTCAAGGGTGATTTCTGGATCAAGGCTACCGGCATCCCCTACTCACCTTCCTTGGTCAGAAAATAAGCTTGGAAAACGATCGATTTGAGAGTGTTTTCTTTTTCTTCTTCTTCTAAGTTCGAATAATCTGTCCCAGTGTAATCCCAATTTATGTTCCCCTTAATAGACTCAACCAAATTCTACCATCGTCATTATTAACTTATATCATTAATTAGATTAATCAATTCCCCCCTCTCCCTTCTTTTTTTTTTCCTTCAAATATTGTAATATCCGCAAGCTTTTGTTCACATATTTTGCAGATATACATTCTTTATTCATCTTCCAATGTAATTATCTTGTCTAAATATTAGCCATTAATTACCATGTACAAGACAGGCTATGCAACCATTAAAATTGTGACACAAACCTTTTTTTTTAATTATTATAAAAAATAATGTAGGAATGTGTCTTTCCAATCCGAAGAGGAAAAAAATTCTAATTCTTGTTTGAGAATACTTTAATTTAGACTCAATGAAATATTTATGGTCTATTACCATTCAATTATCATTTGAATTCCCAAATGAAAATCTTCTTTCCAATTGGGTTCCGCATCCATTAGACAATACTCAATTAACGTAAATGTGTAAAAAAAAAAAAAAAAAAAATTCATATAAAATTATAAAAAAAAAATTAGGGATCTATTTTTCCTAAAATGAAGCGTTTTTGTCATAAATCTTAATGACATGTTTAATTAGATAACGTTTAATAGAGGAAGTATCTAGTGCAGAATGTGTTTTTTTTTTTAGGACTTCAATGAGAACTACCTGATAATTGGAGGACAAATATGACTTTTTATAAAATGAATAAATTATAAATTACTTTCTGTAGTTTTAAAAATAAATTAAGGATATTTTTAAATTCACCAACAAAATTATTATTTTCATCATTTATTTTTAAAAAATAATTATCAATACATCATCCATTAATTATTAATAACTATTAGATAACAAATATTGATGGAGGGTGATAATTTTATTTAAAAAATAGTGAGAATAACAATTTAATTGGTAAATCTAACATCATTCATAAATTAATTAGTCATCTTTTTTTTTAACACTAAAATTAGTCCATCTGATAAATGAATTAATTAGTATTTTTATTTTAAAAATTATTTATTTTTTTATATGCTTTTAAATTTTCTTATAACTTAATTTTTTATTTTTTTGAAGAAATATCAAAAATAATAAATAAAATTTATAGAAATATTGATGATAAAAAATAATATTTTTTTGAAATAAAATAATATTAAATTAAGCATGTTCAAGAAATAATTAGTTTTTAAAATAAGAATGATTAATTAGTACGTTTTTAAACAATAGAGGGACTAAATTATAATTTACTCTAAAAATAGAAGAGACGCTGCAGTTTTCACGAGAAAACACACACGACGTCGAGGACCGACTTCTTTCTCAACCCAAAAAAATCACGATCTTTTAAAGGTCACTTACCTTTCCAAACCTCTCAATCATCAAACCCTAATCAATCAATCAATGGCAGCCTCATCATCTTCTCTGTCCTCCGATTCTTCCTCCTCTCGCAACCGTCGCCGTCACCGCAATCGCAGGGACAGAGAACCTCTAAAGATCCGAAAAAGAGCACTAAAAACAATAAATCTCACCCAAAACGCGGCCGTAAACGCCATCACTCATCGTCCTCCGATTCTTATGATTCCTCTTCAGATTCTTACTCTTCCAGGTTCTTTACACCAAACCCACATGTGATGTTTCTTTCTTTTTAGATTCTGTGTTTTTCTCGATACTTTTGTAAATTATTGTGGTCCATTGGGTTGTTTTTTTTGGATTGGTTTCTTTGTAAATTATGAATTTTTGTGGCATCTGGATGATGATTTAGATTCTTTTTGGTTTAGAGTATGATATTTTGTTAGAAAATGATTGGATTTTGTATTCGTAACCTGAAGAATTTAGAGCTCGGAGGAGTAATCTTTGCTAAAGTTTGCTACTTTTTTCATGGTTATGGTTGATTAATGTTAATGATGGTAATCAAAGTGTTAATTTAAGAACTCTGATTCAATAAAAGCCTACATTTTGGAAAGGAACCGCGTGGAATAGTAATGCTCCTGCTGTTTCCAAAGTAAATCACTATTGTAATTACGATAGAGTGCAAAGATATGTTCTTCTTGGTGTAATTATGGTTCGCTCATCCTTTAATCTTTATCAGACTCGGGTTTTTAAGTTTTTAATGTGTTATCGATATGTGGTATATAATTATTTTGAAGTGCAAAGATATTTATTATCGACAGTTAGTACAGGGATTTTTACCCATTTATATCATTAGTTGGAAATTGCAATGATTGGCCTACTAACATCTTATGTCTATTGTTGGGTTAATGTAGAAGTGACAGTTCTGATAGTGAGCACGAGACGTCTAGTCATTCAAAGAGACACAAGAAGAATGACCGATCAAAGAAGGTGGTTGTTTCAAACTATTTTTATTTTTATACTTTTCCTTTTTTATATTCTCTGCTTGTGTAACAGTTTGTATTAGTTTGCTTTTGTGTTCTAGAGCAAGGAAAAGGATCGAAGTAAGAGTCATCACCATAAACGTCAGAAACTAAAAGTTAAAGAGGTACGCCTCTAATCTCCCTTTTGTTTTTTGGCTCCATATGGTTGTTCAGTTAAAATAGTTGTGAATGCAGGCCATTTTCTTATTTTTGCTTTGTTTTGCATGGTTATCCTTTCTAGAAGTGATTACTATGGCATTTAAAATTGTTGAGCGTAAATGTAATTGGGTAAATTTTCAATATTTGAGATGCTTATAATAAGTTTCTGCCTGCTTTATGGTTGGCTCTTCGAAAATTGGAGCTGGGGTCTGGGACATGATGTCTGGGCTATTGGTTGGCTTGCCTGGATTTTGTTTCTGGCTCGGGTCTGTATTGGCAATGGGAGCAATATATAGAAGCAGCAGGATGAGAGGAGTAGCAGCCCTGTACAGCTTTCGAAGGTAAATAGAAGTTTAGTGAATTGTGACCTGCTCTCTACCTTTTGCTCTCTTAGTTTTCTATAACCTTACCATTGTACCCTTAAAACAGTTTCTAGGCCGTGGCAAAGAGGATGGTGTGCGTCGAAGTGCTGTATCTGGCAAAAAGGTGAGTCTAATTCTTTTACTTTGCTGTGAACTTTAGAGAGATTAAGAGGTATACAGATATGTAGTATCCTTACTTCTTCATCCTTATTTTATTCCTTTCTAGATTTTATTGAAACTTGAGAAATCCAAAGAGGACAAGGCTGCAGAAAATAAAAGGAACGAGTTGTTGAAATTCCTAAATGCTAGTTTTGATTGATGCTTGGAGCTTGGGATCAAGTATACAAAGTCACAAAGCAAATGAAGGAATTCCCCTAGGAGGGCAGTCTACCACAAGACCGAGTTAGAGCCTAGAGTTCATTGATTGCTAGGGACAAGGTTTTCTAATAGAGGTGCATCACAAGGTATCCTCTGTGGATTTGCTTTTACCATTGAAAGTGTAAAACACTGTTAAATTGAACTCTTCAGCTTGTGTGGCTGACAGTAAGGATCCTGATTCTGTGTCTGGTGTTGTATTAGGTCGGTGTTCCTGTGACCGTTGCTTTTTTTCATTTAAATTTAAGGATTTTGATTATCCAAGTTGCAGATAGCCTTCATGTACTTATATATGTGGGCAGGCTGATTTTCTTCTTTTTTTTTTTTAAACTCACACACCCCAAGGCTCCTATCAGAATTAGTCTGTTAGGATTTGAATTCGTGAAAGAGACTACTACCACTGGGCTACAAGCACTTCTGTTGGACATGCTGATTTGGCTACCATCTAGTTGGTTTCTGAATCTTTGATCTATGATATGCAAGAGTGCATTTTCCTGTGATCTTCAATGGTTAGGAGTTAGGACCTAACCCTTGCTACTTATGGCCTTTTTTTTTTTTGGCATGCTAACTCTGAAATGTCATTGTTTCTCATGCTTGCATGTCAACTTAATCAGTAGATGTGATAAATTTTTTAGCATATCATGATCCTTCAGGATATAATACCGCATGGTTGTGACTTGTGAGCTCAAGTTTAGAGCATTCTAGTGTTGCGGTGTCATATTTGATGAACTAGAGAATTCTTGGATTGTTCTATTGAGTTGGGGTCGGGGATTCTTGAGTTTATGAAATAAGTTTAGATAGAGAAGCTGGACAACTCCTTTTTGCTTTTTAGGTCTTCAATCTGAAATATGTTGGGTGAAATCCATGATTATTTCCTCACTCTATCGATATAGATGATGGATTTCTTTCCAGAAGAAGGCTATAGCTTGTGGATATTCCGATTTAAGGATTGAGTTTTCAGCCAAGAGAATCTACCAATTCCCGAATTTAGATGGCTAGCAAGCTAATAAAAGATTTCCCTAAACACAATTGGTGATCCTTAAATACTAATTGAGATGATTGGTTCCCTTGGCAGCCGTTAAATGTAGGAATGCTTTGTGCTGTACCAGCTGTCAAGAAGTATTGTGTTACAAAATAATATAAATTATAAATAATTATATTTTAAGATTTTACTTAATAGATTATAGATTACTTTTCAAAATAAATCACTAATATCCCTTCGTATATATATTTTTTTTAAATTTGAAACCGTTCTTACCATCTTGTTCAAAGTTATCTAATGACTTGACCTAGTTGGTTGCACCTAGGGACGATAATGGATGAATATTTGATTCATTAATTCAATTTTTTTATCTTATTTATAAAAAAAAATATCATACTTATTACTCATTAAGAAATTGTCGTATAAATCTTTATTAAACTCATACCTAGTCTATACTAGTTTATCCGTACATTTAATATCCATTAAATACCTGTAAATTTTAATTTATTAAAAATATTCATTTGCCTCTATAATTTTTAAGAAAATTTTTTTTTATTCTTAAAATTTATTTATTATTATTTTGTATTTTGGTCACTTATTTATATGTTTTTTCAAAAATTATAGATTACTTTTCAAAATAAATCACTAATATTCCTTTGTATATATATTTTTTAAAATTTGAAACCGCTCTTACCATCCGGGTATCTAAAATGACTTGACCTAGTTGGTTGCACCTAGGGATGATAATGGATGGATATCCGATTCATTAATTTAATTTTTTACCGTACTTATCAAAAAAAATATCATACTTATTACTCATTAAGAAATCCTCATATAAATCTTTATTAAACTCATACTTGATCTATACTAGTTTACTTATATATTTAATATCCATTAAATAATTACAAAATTTAATTTATCGAAATATTCATTTGTCTCTATAATTTTTAAGAAAAATTTTTTTCTTAAAATTTATTTATTTATTTGCATTTTGGTCACTTATTTATAAGTTTTTTTGGTTCTCAAAGTTTTTGAAAAAAATATCTTGCTCTTTAATTTTTAAAATTTATGCACGTTAATAAAAAAAAATCTAAATAAATTAATGGGTATTAATAAGGTAAAGAGAGTGCTCATACCCTAAAAACATATTATTGAATATGTATTTTTTTTTTTACCTTTTGTTACTTCAATACTCATTCAACATTCTTAATATATATTTATGGGATCAGATAAAATAGGTACCTATTTTATACTCGATCCATTATCGTCCCTAATTGCACCATCAATAAATTTAGCACTCGGAGTTTGAGCAGGTTTGGCTACATGGTAAAATTGTTGTGCGGACAAGTTTTACATGGATAAATTCTTAGAGTTTTTATTTTTATAATTTATTTTTACTTCAAAAATTGGACTATTTATATATATTTATTAAAAATATTGATTAAAATGCTAGTTTTTTTTAAAACAAAAGTTAAAAAAAAAAAGTGAGTAAAGTTAATAGTTCAATTTATATTTATATGGCTTTATATTTTTAATTGAGTTAATTTTATCAAAATTTTTCAATCTAAACTAATGAATTTATTCATACGATTTACACAAAAAGTTTTTTTATTTATCCAGCTTATAATGATATGTTGAGAATACAAATAATATTAATAATTTTGATAATTTGACTTAAAAATCATGTCAAAAAAATAAATTAAATATTTAATATATGTCAAAAGGTAAAATTGACTCAATTCAGTAATATATTAAGACATTATCCGTAAAAGGTAAAAACAAAAAACAAGAAGGGTAGTATAGTCATTCTATCATCCTGACTACTCTGTGTACAAGCTTTTGTAAGAAAAGGACTGGCTAGGGTTTTACGAACAGAAAGAGGTTCCGCCAGCCACCGTTTTTTAACTCCTAGAGACAGTACGGATCTTCATAATATTCTCTGCCTTTTCTTTCTTAGCAAGTAGATTTTCGTTTATTTTCAAAAGCTTGGATTTTTCTTTTTTGTTGAATGATTCGCACATAGTTCTTCTTGGGAATCCATTTTGCAGGTTCTAGGATTTTATTTGTGCGTATAGCAAACTGAATACTATCCTCTCTGCTTGAGCCTTCTCCTTAATATTTGTTCATGGAGATGTGCTTCAATGTTATTGGATTACATTCTTTTTCATGTCATTTTTCTGCCCTATTAAGTTTTTAAAGCTTTTGATAAATTATAGCTTATACGTAAAGATCTGAAAACATTTTGCATTGCTCTGTACTTGTATCAGGCGAAAGAAGTGAAGCACTTCAATTTCAAGGAATTCCCTTCTCCAACTTTGATTCCTTAGGAAGGCAACTTCGTTATAATCTCCATAATCGAGAGAGACGTTGTTTAGAGTTTCAAACACAACTATTATAATTGTTCTCTGATAAGCCCATCTACACATACTCCTAACTAAACCATCAAAACCCATTTCTCAAGGTTTATCCCCCTCTCGCTGCCGAAAGAGAAGCAACAGAGCTGAAATTGATTCCGGCAAGTACATGTCTTTCTCCTTATCCATATTTTATTTTTTATTTTTTATTTTTGTGTTATTTTATGCTTTTTTTTTTTTTTTTTGATGTTGCGATTTTTGGTGTGTTTGGTTTCTTTAGAATTTATAATTTGGTTTGGTTCTCACTGGTTTTAATTGCAAGCTTGGTTTTTTTTTTTTTTTTTGGGGAGGGGGGGGTTGTTTGGGGGGCTTTATAGGACCTACTCCTTTTAATAAAAGAGGACTTTGTTGTGTATTAGAAGCACACAATAGCACCTGTCTTCTCAAGCTTTGGCCTTTTTTTCTTGAAAAGCAAAAATTTTCAATCTTTAAAGTCCCAAATCAAACATGAACTTGTTCAATTCAATTAGAATGAAAATTTAGTTAAGTTTCAACCTCAAAATTGGCACTAGATTCATTAGCCTGATAGTTCCTGCCACAGAAAAGGTTGGTTCTGCTTTGTATTTTCAGGTCATAAAATGTATTCCATTGCTTCTGCTTGTAGCTTATGTTCGAACGTTGGCATGACTCTTACGAGTATAGATATGGAGTCTGCTGTTTTAGGATGTCCTGTTTCAAATTTGATCCATTTTGTGTTGTTATCATTTGATTTAATTTGCATTTTATATGCTAATATGAGATGTTGAAATTCGTTTGGGTAATCGCATAAAGATAAAAGATGTTTGCTTTAATGCTATTAGTGGTCTCCCTGTGAATAAATACTTTATTGTTATGAAAACGAGGGTGACATGTTTTTTTATCAAAATACAATCTACCCCATGCTTTGACTTACGTTTACAGTTGTGGTTGTCACAGGGCAAGTAGCAACACTAAGATCTTGAAGAAATCATGGCCAAGCATCATCCTGATTTAATCATGTGTCGAAAGCAGCCAGGAATTGCCATTGGACGACTTTGTGAGAAAGATGATGGAAAATGTGTAATCTGCGATTCCTATGTGCGTCCTTGCACACTTGTGCGAGTTTGTGACGAGTGCAACTATGGATCCTTCCAAGGTCGATGTGTTATTTGTGGAGGAATTGGAATCTCTGATGCTTACTATTGCAAAGAGTGCACACAGCTGGAAAAAGATAGGGATGGATGTCCAAAAATCGTCAATTTAGGGAGCGCAAAGACAGATTTGTTCTACGAACGCAAGAAATATGGTTTTAAGAAAAGGTGATGAGCAAGGGTTTACTAATTGCAGTGGTTTTCTGTCTGTTGTTAGGTACTAGACCTGCACAGGCCCAATTTAAAATGATGAACAATGTTTTATGTCTTGAATCTGCATACGTATCCCCACCCCCCACACCCACCCATCTGCAGAAGTAACTGCCAGGCTTCTTGAAATATTGTTGTTCATAATTTGTTTAGAGGTAACCTCTAAACTCTAAATCCTCAAAATGTGATTGTAATATGGTGAACTAGGATTGTATTCAAGCTATGATTGTGTCTTGTTTTCTTTTCTGGTGTGATTACTTCAACAAATCTAGTGGACTTGATTTTGTTCTGTTCATGTCTGATTTTTACTTTTTGGTTGCTCTCTATTTGAACTCTTGTTTGCATTTTTGTTGCATGAGATTTTGAGTTTTAGTTTTATGACACCTTCATTTGATGCGAATTGATCATTGTAAATATGCCTTGGGATTTATCACCTAGTTTCATTACAGTTGTGAAATGTTTAAGCAGTGGGTTACATAGAACTCGATGAGACCAAATTAAAATTGATGACCAGTGTTCTAGTTTGATGTGAGCACAATTTGGTTTAAATCGAAAACTGTATTGGATATTTCGGTTCTCTTTTTTTCAAAAAAATGAAACAAAAAACGAAATTATTTTAGTTTGGTTCAGTTTGATATATATATATATATATATATATATTAGAAAAACAAAACCAAAAAACTTTTGCTTACCCAAACACACTTTGTCTTATATCTTCATTCTCAGTTTTCACTCTTAGCTGCCTCATCCTCAGCCCAACCATCTTCAAACTCTCTCTTCCTCTTCCCTTCCTCCTCACTACCCACCTCGTCATCAGTCTGCTCCTTTTTTTATATTCACTCGCCTCGCTTTGTGCCACCAAAATAGGTAGTTGATTTCCGCTTTGTGCCACCAATATAGGTAGATGATACCAGTCTCTAGGTCACTTTATTGAACTCTATTTCTCATGTCTTTCAGGCTTTTACATGATGCTTTTCCTCGAGTTATTTCATTTGATACAAAACACAAAAGCCTATTTGTGCTGTGATTTATAAAAAATTAGGGTTAGGGTTAGGGTTAATGGCTTATTTTGTTGTTGTATATTAGGGTAGTTTTTTAATCTATTTTTATATCTAATCTATCATTTTGATAGAATTTACAAACTAAAATATCGAAATTAATCATACGATTTACACGTAAAAATTTCCTATTTGTGCTGTGATTTTCATGGTGCTTTTCCTCAAGCTCTTTCATTTGATACAAAACACACAAGCCTATTTGTGCTGTGATTTATAAAAAAGAAATAGGGTTAATGACTTAATGTGTCATTGTATATTAGAGTAATTTTTCGATTTGTTATTATATTTAACCTATCATTTTGACAAAATTTACAAAGAAAATTATCAAAATTAGTCATATGATTTGCATATGAAAATTTTTATTTTTCTGACTTGCAATGATATTTTGAGAATGAAAAATAGTCATATGCAAATCATGTTAATAATTCTCGTGGTTTGACCTAAAAATCTTGTCAAAAGAATAGATTTAATTAGAGATAATAAGGATAAATGGAAGAATTATATATTATTTAAAGATTGATTAAAACATTAACCCTAAAAAGTAAAAACAAAAGAGAAGAAGGGTAGTATAGTCATTCTATTATCCTTCCTGCTCTATATATAGAACCTCTTCTAAGAGAAGGACTGACTAGGGTTTTGCTAACAGAAAGAGTTTCCGTCGGCCACCCTTTCTTTAACTCATAGAGCCAGTCCAGATCTTCAAAATATTTTCTGCCTTTTCTTTCTTAGCCAGTAGATTTCGTTTATTTTCAAAAGCTTTGATTTTCCCCTTTTTTCTTTCTATCTTTTTGTTGAATGGTTCGCACATAGTTCTTCTTGGGAATCCATTTTGCAGCTTCCAGGATTTTATTTGTGCGTATAGCAAACTAAATACTATCCTCTCTGCTTGAGCCTTCTCCTAAATATTTTCATGGAGATGAGCTCCAATGTTATTGGATTACATTCTTTTTCCTGTCATTTTTCTGCCCCGCTAACGCTAAGTTTTTAAAGCTCTTCCACTCTCTCATTATTTATGATATATTATAGCACATACGTAAAGATCTGATAACATTCTGCATTGCTTTGTACTTGTATCAGGCCAAAGACATTAAGAAATTCAATCTCAAGGAATTCCCTTGTCCAATTTTGATTCCAAAAAATGGCAACAATGAGCAATGCTAAATTCGATAGTCTGGGACTTGTAAATGTTTCCTTCGTTTCATTTTATATTGAATTAGAAAAAATCTACTCCCTTCTGAGATTGGTAGGGTTAAGAGAAAGAAACAGGGTTATGTTGGCCTGTTGTCCAACCAAAAGCCTAAAATGAAAATATGGTATCTGAAAGAGAAGTTGTTCCTGCCATGAAATTCTCTTGTCCGAAAATGGTTTTAACAAATCAAGGAGGCCAACTGCCCATCCCATATTTAACCCTAGTTTTGTGTTTTGTGTCCCTCAAAAGGTAGATCATTCTTTCTGATAGGGCTTCTGTTACTCTTTTTGCAGCAAAGAATTGACAGAAAAAAAAATAGGCCTATTTTCTGTGTGCTGTTTTCGCTACATGTTGATATTGAAGCGGGCATAGTATGAAGTAAAGCCATGCTTCGAAATTTATATTGAATACAGTTTCTGTTCCATCCTAATGCAAGTAATTAAAGATTTGTGTGCAAGAGCCGCAAGAAGTTACTTTTTGGCTAACTTTTTAACTAGTCCTTAATCTTGTCAGTTGCCGTCTGGTAGAACTCAGAATAAATTTTAAGGTTTTTCTGGACATAATCCAACAAAATTCAGAGGATCAGATCAGATTGACAAGTAGCTAACTTGTAATGTAGATACATGAACTGAAATCAAAAGGGGTTTAAATATTCCATGATCCACACTCCATTTTCAACATTTATTTTTCTTTTCAAACTTCATTTACCCTAAAGCATCAGGAGCTCTCTCTAGTTCAGATCATCAAATTTTTGGAAGCAGAATGCAATTGATTGATCAACTGAGGAACAAAAACACAAATATAAGGTTAAAAACGAAGGAAAACAATCTAATGTTGGCCAGTTGGGTTTTTTTTTTTTTTTTTTTTGATGAAATTGATGATTATACTATATTATAGGTAGAACCAGCAGGGTGCTTATAAAAAAAAGTTACAACCAAACCAAGAAGTCATTAGACCTATGCAGACTAGACTTCGCTTGAGAGTCAGCTACAATGCTCTTTTCTCCATGAATACGAGAGAAAGAAACAGATTTTAAACACGAAATCAAATTAAAAATAACATTATAAATGCTTTGAAACTTCCAAGGTCTAACAGTTGAAGAATTTTCCATCCAAGCAATAGCATTAGCCTATCTGACTCTATAATTCAGTGAACCTGAAGAGCTAAATCAGGAGCAACAGAGATTTTCAAAACTTTCTGGATCGCCAGCATTTTCGCTTCGTTAGAATCTTTGATCCCCATAGGACCTGAAAAAGTACATAAAAAATTTCTATAATGATCTCGCAAAACACCACTTATACCAGACATCCCTGGTTTGCCCAATAAAGTTCCATCTACATTCCATTTCGAAGAGCCAATAGGAGGACTAACAAAAATAGTTGTAGCTCGCACTTCAATGGTATGTTAAAACTATTTTTGCAGCAAGGATTTTTCAGGTTAGCAACAACTATTCATTCTGATACCGGCCCTTTTCTACCTCTTAATCCTTCCAATCTCTGTCGTTCTAATAGTGGTCTGCCATGAAAGATCTATCAAAATTTACATGATCAAGATACCAAGTCTTTATACAACAAACATTGAAATTGAATTTTCTCCACTTCTTCTGCCTTGTATTAATTGTTCATATTAGCAGAGCTGCAACCTGCAAACATACATATCCAAAGCTCTGTAGTAGTTCTACCCTACAGTGAGTCCTTTCTGGCTTCATTGTTAGTATAGTAAGCAAAGGTTAGATTTTGTCTGCCAAAAGGGTGCCTAACTGGATGATGAGGGAGAATTCCTGGGAAATCCAGCATTGGAGAGAAAATGCAGCTAGTTGGCATTCGTTAAATTTGGGTTGGAACTGTTAGGCTAAAAACTAAAGGAATAGTTCTAAACCCAGGCATACCTCAGATTGCCAACGAAAGGGCTTGCAAACATTTTGACCAGCTATGCACGATTGGTTTAAAATTCATCACTATGGTAAATTCCCACCCAATCATGGCAAGAGCTTGAAGATGGAAGTGACTTCACCTTCTAAGCTAACTGTGTAAGACTATTTCAAAGATACACGCATTACAGGAATGGTGAAACTGATGCATCCAAGACTTTAGACATAATCAAGTGATCTTGACTTCTAGTTTACAGAAAAAGTATTTAGGCCTCATGTTATAGAAGTTCCAGAAAAGGAATTTGAACATGAATATTTATTGATCAAGATATTAAAATGTAATTTGGCCTCTGGATTGACATGCTGCTCTCCACCAAATAGAGACCAATATAAGGTTGCTTCCTTTGATTCTAGATTTTTTATTTTTCCCATTTGATAAAAGTATCATCATCGTTGATTCTTGGCAAACAATGGACACAAATGCAACTTGTTGGCATTGTGGTTAAATTTGGATGGGATATGTTAGGTTAAAATGAAGGGATGGTTCGAAACTCTCAACTTATTTTCAGATTTCCAGGAAACGAAGTAGTTAGTCTCAAAGGACTCACCAAAGTTGCTGTACAGAATGCAGTAAAAGATGTTACTGAAATACATGATCACATCAAGTTGTTGTTGACAACAACTTCAGATAAATCCAGTTTGACAAACCTGAAACATTGTTCTCATTTCTACAAATCTGCAATGAACGATATTAAGGACTCCATGGCAGCTTTGGGTACCAAAGGTGACAAGGATGCCAATGAATACATCGCGGCTGCTGCGAACATTGCAGAGAAATGCGAAATTGAATTCAGGAAATCAAGCAGAACCTCTCCATTGACCAATTTGAAAACAAAGTTTAAGAACCTATGTACTATTGGTTTAGCACTCACCTTTCAGTTAGCCCAACATCAATCTCTTTTTACTCCTGCCCACAGACGTAGAAATGTACTTCAAAATTGTATGGAGATGATTTTTATCATTGAAATTTTCTTAACAATGGAATAAAATCTGCACTGAATGTTCAATTTTAAAGCATGCTTATCCATGCTCCACTTCATTGTCAATATTTGATGTGCCATCTATCAATTTATGCCTCTTGTACTTCTATATAAGCTTTTTTCATCTGCCTAGATAGTTAAGCTCGGAGATTGCTTCTCAGCAGTATAATTAATTGCATTCTTGTGCTTGCCATGGATGGTGTCTCCAATAAATATGAACAAAGGAAACTAGGTGTGAATTTCATCAACTTTTTTTTAAAAAGCCACAAGTCTTGGACTAAGACCATCAAAACCTGGACTGGTACAAGAAATTTCTTTCTTGCAACCTCCTCTAATTAGACTTGAAGGGCAAAATGCAATGGCTACAGAAAAAGGGCTTTCTTTCTTATCTTTCAGTCAATTCTTTGCAGCAAAGAGCGCATAGTTCTCCTGTTGAAAGAATGATTGATCAATTGAAAAACACAAACACAAACATATGGTTGGAAAATATGGAAAATATATGATTGATCAATAAAGGTTTGCCCCATTAATATGTTGAAACTGTTCTTAGAGTGAGGATACTTCAAGATCAGAAACAACTTAAGTCTTTCTGATGCCATTTATGGACCTTTGGCCAAACAACTTGTCATTCTGGACTGCTAAAAACTTTGAAAGTAGAAAGGCATTTATTCACTCCATGATCCACGCTCCATCATGCCACATTTTCCTTGCCCTTTTTATATTTTTAAGGGAAAGAACAAATTTTCCTCCAAACTATCATGCATGTCCTAATTGGGTTCTCCATATATCGATTTCCCCAATTGAGTCCCCCACCTGTTCAAAATCATCCTCCAGTATCATCTACTGTTAACAATCCATTAATAAGATCGGATAAAATTTAACCAAATTTGAAAATTAAATTTAGTATAGTTTAATGCAAGTTAATCCAGTTGGGTTCCTATTTGCCGAATTGATACCAACGCAGGAGCCATTTGGGGTGTTTCCAATTCAATTTGCATGAACTCCCTTTTGCATTCTGCTTCCAAATTTTTGATGGTCTAAACTAGTGAGAGCTTCTGACACATTACAGTGAATGAAGTTTGAAAAGAAAAAATTTGATCCTCTCTGCTGTAGGTCTGCAAATATGAAAAAAAAAAAAAAAAATGAACTGTCATGCTTCCGAGAAAATCATAGATAATTAATGGCTGTCTTTCTTGATTGTAGAATTATTGATTATTTTCCAGCATTGGACAGAAAATGCACCAGTTAAATCTGGGTTGAATTTGTTAGGCTACAAACTAGGAATGGTTCAAAAACTCTTGCATACCTCAGATTGCCAACCAAATAACCCAAAAAGGGTTGCAAACTACAACAAACCATGTTGTTATCTATCAAACTCGAATAGCTAACCACAAATTCTTTTCCTTCTTAGTTGTCTCCTAGGTAAATATAGAAACACAACAGAAAACTGCTATCAGAAGTTAAGGCTATATAACCTTGCACTTTGCCCTTGGTTTTTCAATCAACCAATCCTTCCTTCAACACTGAATCCTGAACTAGCCTCCCCGCTTGAACCGATTGAACAGGATGGGTTATTTGCATGGGCACGTTCCATTTTACTTTGTCCTAATTCTTCTCCTCTCTTCTAATCATATCCTTGCTAATGCCCACAAAGGTCCCATATCTGAAAGTAAACCAGCAACTGTAAATGTATTCGAAGCCATAGCCAAAGTTTTAGAAACGAATCCATTAACAAATACTGATTTCAAAGTCCTAGCCAAGCTTGAATTAAAGAATGCGATAGCAAATGGTACTTCAATATATGACCGCATCAGCTTGGAGTTAAGTAAAACTTCGAATCCATACACTAAGAGATGCCTAACAGGTTGTTCTGCCAACTACAAAGATGCAATTGACCTGATTAAGAAATCGCTGGCTGCTTTGGATGCTAAAGGCTACAGTGATGCTAAAAAATGGATCTTGGGTGCCACTGCGTTGTCATCGGCATGCGAAGACAGATTCCAGGAACTAGTGCACAAAAATTCTCCAATTGCTGATATGAAAACAAAGTTTGACTGGCGATGTCTAAGGAGTAAAAGACTCATCAATTCCTTGGCTAAAAAGGAACGTTTGATAAGTACTGCAGTTTGTATTGAACCCTCAGGCAAGGACATGTGCATATCTACGGTTGAATTCATCCTGGAAAACAAAGGACTTGGCCTCCCAGGCATGACCAAACTTGCAGTAGAGAAAGCTTTAGAAGATGGTAACAAAATCTACAACCACATCAACGTGCTGTTAAGAACAACTTCAGATAAATACGTTCAGGAAAACCTAAAAAGTTGTTCTGAGTTCTACCAGACTGCAATTGAAAAGATGAAGGACTCGCTGCCAGCTTTGGATTCTAAACGTTACGCTGATGCTAATATTTGGGTTGGAGCTGCCACAGACTGGGCGAACACATGTGAGGATATGTTCACTGAAAAAGCAACAGTAGCATCTCCTTTGACCGCTATGAAACCAGAGTTTGAGAAGCTAGTTGGTATTGCTTTAGCTCTCATCAATTCAATAGCTGGAAATTAACCTCTAATGGCTCTTGCACACAAACCTATACGTACTTGCATTGGGTCTGAAGACAAGAAATGTAGTTCAAAATCCACAAAAAGATAATTATCATAGCAAATTTCATGTAAATGGAACAGAAACTGTATTCAATATGAAATTTAAAGTTTCGTTATACCTCTTGTATGTCTGTTTACCTTCTTTCATCTGTCTAGCTAAGCTTGAAGCTTTCTCTTGACCGCCCAAACTTGTGATACAGATAGATGATAAAACTTCGAAAGTAGATAGGCATTTATTCACTCCATGATCCACGCTCCATCAGGCCACATTTTCCTTGTTCTTTTATTTATTAGAGAAAGAATAAATTTGCCTCCAAATTATCATGCATGTCCCAATTGAGCTCCCCACCAATTCGAAATCATCCTCTACAATCATCTGCTGTTAACAATCCATTAAACAGATAGGGTAAAATTTAACCAAATTTGAAAATTAAAATTGGTATCCATCTTATAGTTTAATGCAATTTAATCCAAATGGATCCTTATTAGGCGCTTTTTGAGGTGTTTCCAATTCAATTTGAATGAACTCTCTTTTCGCATTCTGGTTCCAAAATTTTGATGGCCTGAACTAGAGAGCTGCTAACACATTAAGGTAAATGAAGTTTGAAAAGAAAAAAAAATGTTGCAAATGGAGTGTGGATCATGGAATATTTAATGCCTTTTAGATTTCAGGTCATGTATCTACATCACATGTTTGGCCGGCCATTAATTTCACTCCATGTGAAGAGTATTAAAAATGATTCAAAATCTGCACTTAGACCATTTTTTCTTTTCTTTTTTGATCTTCCAAAGTATCCCAGGCCTAAAGAACCAGACTAATCCCACGTTGTTTTATCAAACGCATAAGATAAGGACAGCTACCTAAAGAGTTTTTTACATATATAAGAACTCGAATTCGAGACCATTTATTTACCCAATTAGAGCCCCTTCCACTCAAGCCAACCCTCTTAAGTGCACTTATACCATTTTGGCAGTCCAGTGTGGGAATCACATCTGAGGTAGGGCCAGTTGTATGGCTAAAGGCATAAGGTATCAGAAAGACAAGTTCCTGACCTAAAAATCCTTGCTCCAAAAATAAGGTGGCACCTAGATTTTCCATCCTTTTTTATATTTGTGGTTGTGTTACTCAATTGTTTGATCATTCCTTCTGTAGATACTTACTCAATCGTTTGATCATTCCTTCTGTAGATACTTACTCAATCGTTTGATCATTCCTTCTGTAGAGACTTGGTTTCGTTATACGAAAGCTAACCCTAAGAAACACTGATTGCTAAAATGAAAAAAGAAAAAGACAACAATTGATGACATTCGCACCTAACTTTCCTGGTTCATATTTTTATTAGATGTTTGTTAAAGAGACACCTCCCATGGCAATTGGCAAGCATGCAAGGCTGCTATTAAATGTTTTGCTGAAAATCCTAGGCCGGTGAAAGAAAAGTACAGAAATAATATTAAAGAGGCATGTGAGAGATTATTATCAAGCATTAACAATGAAGTGGTGCATAGCAATTTCCACACTTCGACTTCTTTTTTGTACAGATCCATTTTCATTCCAATGAAAGTTCCAAAGGTTACAAGAACAGACCAATAATGTCATTGTCAACAATGGTAAATTACTATTTCTATATACATTTCTTGTTTTAAGCTACTGGAGGTTCCTTTCGGACTAAGTTATTCATGAATGGAGATTGCCCATTTGTGTGTCAACCGAGACAAAAGTCTTGACATCGGCCAAGCTTTGGCCATCAATCGCCTTGTTTTCTGGTGATGATTAATTCAAGAGCAGACATGCATAGGTTCGGGTCAAAGGTTCGGTGATTACAGCCTTCAGTTATCAAACCTTGTTTTTTATGAAACCGTTTCATGAGGTTTAAAGCACTCTTGCATTGCTGCCAGAACTTTGTTTAGACATCAAAGAAACTTCACGATAGAAGAGAAACAGCCTTTCTTTGTGCTTCTTTAATTGGTGGAGAGCAATAGAGCATGTCAATCATAGATAGAAGTTCTTCTTTTGTGTCGTTTATCACATGAGATGCCTAAATAATTTCTATAAACTTGAAATTCAGCCTTGATTATGTCTCATGTCTGCAAAACATTGCTGCTAGTTAGCTTAGCTGGTGAAGTCACTTAACCCTAATATGGTTTGTTGGTGAAAAGTAAATGAGCTAGGTTTCATTTGATGAATGAAATATTACTATTAACCTACCAAAATGAGAACCTCTAGTGCTGTGGAGCTTAAGGCTCGTATTCCATGGTTGAATTGGGTTGTTCATGGTGGTGTATTGAATCTCAGATACTTAAATTCTCAGAAAGTAGTTAGTGTATATACAAACGAAGAAATTAATCACATAACTGAACCAGTACCTCCTCAGCTCCTGACTGAAGAAGAGGTGAAAAAACCTAAGCTCGTCTGTTGTCAGCATTTATTTTGCATGTCTGTCTAATTCTGAAATGGACAAAAGTCAAGTGTATTGGAATTCCTAACATCCATTAAATCCTACGCGAAAATTTAAAAGCTGGTATCATCATACAGCCTCTCATTTACTGTCATTTATTGCTCTTTGAAGTTCCCCACCTTTCTTAAAACTTTAAACAGCTCATGCCACAGAGAGACCTCAGGTAGAGTTTGAAAAAGGAAAGAAGGGTCTGTAGAGCAGTAGAGAGATGGAGGGGATAAGCCATAGAATGGTGAAAGTGAATGGCATTGAAATGCACATAGCTGAGAAAGGCCAAGGTCCTGTAGTGCTATTCCTCCATGGATTTCCAGAGCTTTGGTATTCCTGGCGCCATCAGATTCTTGCATTAAGCTCCCTTGGATACCATGCTGTTGCACCAGATCTTAGGGGATATGGTGACACTGAAGCTCCAGCATCAAGCTCTAGCTATTCTTGTCTTCAAATTGTTGGTGACCTTATTGCACTTATTGACCATCTTGGGGTGGAGCAAGTGTTTCTTGTTGCACATGACTGGGGTGCTGTGATTGGATGGTACTTGTGCTTGTTCAGGCCTGATAGAGTTAAGGCATATGTCTGCCTTAGTGTTCCATTCAGGCCAAGAAATCCGAAGATGAAGCCAGTGGAGGGCATGAGACTTGCCTTCGGAGAAGATTATTACATGTGCAGATTTCAGGTTTTTGTTTTCTTTAGCATATAAAACATGCTTCAGCCTTAAATGATCATAATTTTGGAGTTTTCTTTTAAATTTCTTATGCTTTTGGTATCTAACTACTCAAAAGCAAGCTGAACTGCTGGGGAAAGAAAAGCTTCTATTAATGGCAAATTTTTGAAATGGGGAAAGAAAAGCTTCTAATAATGGCAATTTTTTTGGATTCTACTATCTTCATTAATGTTGTCAACTGTTTGTTCAAATTTGGTGAATGAAAGTTCAAAGTTTTCCCACTTTTGATTTTTAAACAAGAGTAGTGCTAATCTTACAGTATTCTCACCCTCGAAAAACCTCATGCATTGAATGAATAAGTGGATTTTGCTAGCGAGTCTCGTAAGACTAATGATTGATGTTTTTCGGTACGTCAATTCGGTAAGAATACTACGTAAAATTAGAGGATTACTCCAAAAAAAGGTGCTGAGAGTTTCGGTATGAACTAAAGCAAAAGTACTGGATATTTAATGTGATAGGAACCAGGAGTAATTGAAGCTGAGATTGCATGTGCTGGAACTGCAGAAGTGCTGAAGAAAATATTGACTGATCGCAAACCAGGTCCCTGTCGCTTGCCTAAAGAAAATCCATTTGGAATCTGTCCAGAGAATCCAGCTACCCTGCCCTCTTGGCTCACAGAAGCAGACCTTGCTTTCTATGCCACAAAATATAGCCAAAAGGGGTTCACTGGAGGGTTGAACTACTACAGAGCTCTAGATCTGTATGTTTGTTCCTTTCATAATTAGCGACTGAACCAAATACAAGCCTCAATATTTTGCCCTAATAGTTACAATCTGGTTTTTGCAGGAACTGGGAGCTCACGGCACCATGGACCGAGACCCAAGTAGAAGTGCCTGTAAAGTTTGTTGTGGGAGATCTTGACTTGGTGTACACTACTCCAGGGATGAAGGAATTTGTAAACAACGGTGGATTCAAGCATTATGTGCCATTATTGGAGGAAGTTGTTGTGATGGAAGGGGTTGGTCATTTCATAAACCAAGAGAAGGCAGAGGAGATCATCAATCACATTTATGACTACGTTAGCAAATACTGATCTGCTTTATTGCCTTTCAAAAATGTATCCAGAAATTTGTAGTTTGGCTTTAATTAGACAATTTGGTTTCAATCAAGAGTTTATAGCAAAACTAGACTAACCTTATTGTATTGCAAACTGTTAATTGAAAAGAAATAAATTGAAGATTTTATAAATCTGGGCTGGAGTAAATATCTGTGAATGCTTTGATTTGACATGAGTACTCATCGTCCATTACTGACTTATGCAACTTTAAAACACAAGATGAACGAAAATCAAGCTTGTATTACTCGCCTCAACTGAGAGATGACTACAAATACCTAAGTTCCAACAAACCAAGTTAGCTTCGGCTTTCTATCGATCAAAAATTCCTTGAAACAATTACAGCACAACAAAGCTTAGCAGCAAATTGCAAGTAAAACTGAACCTTTTTACACTGTTAAGAGTACCTGCTTGATCATTTAACGGAGCTCAAAACTAGAGCAGACAATCATGACAATGGCATTTGTACAAATTTTAGCTAACAGGTATAGTGAAAATAAAAAAAAACTTCGGATTCCAATTCCATGAGTTCTATTTAAATATTAGAGGGAGAAAGTTGAGATCCTAAAAATTCATTTAGCATAACCGAGAATGATGCGTGAGCATTAAACAATCCATTCCGATTAATAGATGACACAAATGGAAATAGTATCAACAAGATCCTTAGATATCTAAAGTTGACCAAAAATTGGAACACACGAGTCAAAATCAAGACAAACTGCCTCACAATTTATCACAAACAAAATTAAACCCTGAAGCCCCTGCTGTTCCTCCTTCCTCTGGCTCTCTCAAACTTCCTTCCCTTTGCGCGCACATATGGTTTGGTATGGCTGTGTGGCACACCAGGAGCTGGGCCGAAATGTTTGACAGCTTCACGAGCATTCTTTGGACCTCTGAGGAGAACCTATAAAACAAAAGAAACAGGATAAGCAAACGTCCAATACAAGAGTACCATTCAGCAATTCATACAAGCAAGCATGAATTCAGAGAATAGCTTCCCTTGCCAATACTAAATGAAATATAAACTCCAACCAGAGAAACGAGAAAGAACCATACGGAACAAAATAGAATTTTTGCATTTCATAATAAATTTCGTATGATGTTTAACAATAATAGAATGTCATCTAATTAAACAAATACAATATTTTGAAATTTCTAATAGAAAAAAAAAAAACCTGAGCCTAAAAGAGATTGAAAAAACTGTTCCCACCACTATGCCAAAGGTTTCTTAAGTCCCTAGATCTGGTGGACTAAAATCACATTCATGGTGTCTAACAAAATCAAAGCAGAGAAAACTACAATCCAACAACTTGCTTGTGTTGTCTAAACCTCCATTTCATATAACCAAATGCATAGATAAATCATAAATCAAAAGGGAATGACATCAATTTTGGTACCAATTAAACACAATTCATACTTCAATACAAAAGGAGTAACATTACAAAGCTAGGTCACTTAGATTTACGTAGAAATTTTCAATCATTTGCGCAAATCATTACAGGTCTTCAGGCTCCTCACAGCTATTCAATAAAACCATTCATATCATACAAGCATAAAAAGCCACATGGAAGGTACTATTACAACATTGAAAGCATAGTTAGCATTAATAAAAAACGGTAACTGATTTCAGATAGCATTCAAGAAAATTAAATCCAAATATTCAGCTAGAATAAGACCAATCTACCAACGAACATAATGAATAAGCTGGAGTTCAGCAACAAAAGAATAAAAAAAAACAAACTAAAAAGAGTACATACTGTGTTCTGTCCCAGCGGAGCTCTCAAAGCAAGCTGATCAAATGTCAAGCACTCTCCTCCTGCCTTCTCAATCCTGGCCCTAGCTGTCTCTGTAAACCTCAAAGCAGTGACCTTCATTGGGGGCACCTCATAAACTCTAATATCATCAGTTATTGTGCCCACGACCACAGCAATCTTGCCCTCCTGTACATGCAACAAACAATTAAATGAGACTCTCTCACAAAAAAAATGCTAATACAACGACCAAATAAAAACACAGACAATTGAGATCCGAACTTCACAATAAAAAATTCTAACCTTTCCCTTTGTGTATCTAATAAGCCTTGAAAGAGAAAGTGGGGGCTTGTTAATCTTGCTCATAAACAGCCTCTTCAATATCACAGCATTGAACTTGCTCCCAGTTCTCCTCACAAGAAATCGGTACAACTAACAAAAAACCAGTCTCAAATCAATCAATAACATAGCACATTATACATAACAATACACCCCCAAAGATTTTAACTTCCCACAAAAATAAAAAAAGGGGGTTTTGACTATTTAGGAAAAAAAAGGGGGCTCGACGCCTAAACATAATCAAAATTTGTACCCAAACAAACATGGGTTTTTTATGTTTATCCTTAACAAAATCAACTATATACAAAAGATCCAAACTTCATTAAAAAATAAACAAGGATTTTTCAAAACTAACCTTGACAAGAAGCTTAAGATAGATATCATCCGACTTCGGAGCCGTACGTTTGGTTTTCTTGGACTTACCTCCTCGTTTCAAATCTATCCCCTGAGAAATGAAAAAAAAAAAACAACAACAAATCAGTAACTGAAACATACGTATAGATAAGTATATTGGTAGAAAGAAGGAGAGGAGAGGTAGAGGGGAGCCACCATTGTTGAAGCTTTGAAGCTACCCGCCGCTGCTGCTAGTGGTGCTGCTGATGGGTGTACAAGAGGGCAACGAAAAATGAAGCTAGGGTTTTTAAGGACTTATATAGTTAGGTTTAGGTGTGTATGTGAGGTCTATTGGTTTTATATAGATGCATCACAAACCGTACACGTGGTCGACAAAGTTTGTGATCTTATTTGGGTTTTGATTTAATTGGGCCTGTTCGGGAAAGAAGGTAAGGTTCTAGTTGGGCCAAGAAGTGGTTGCCCAACCCAAGTTGAGCATAATGACTACCAAAAGAATCTCCCAAAAAAAAAAAAAAACAAAGACAAAACAAAACAAAAAATATTCAAATATAAATAGTCATGGAATAAATTATAAATTAATCCCTCCAGTTTTCAGAAGTAACTACAGTCTCTTTTTTAAAAAAACTAATTAATTAATCTCTCGGCCATTGTCAACCATAACTAATTCGATATTATTTTGTTTCAAAAATATCTTCTTTTTTCATTGATATTTTCATTTTTTTAATTATTTTTTTCTATTTATTAAAAAAAATCAAAAATTTATTAAAAGTATTAAATTATAAATAGATTTAAAAATATAAGAATTAATTATTTATTTATTAAAACTAAAAAAATAATTTAATTCTTTTTGCAAATCTAAAAAGAACAATATATAATTTACTCCCTTATGCCAAACTAGGAAGACTAATTTATAATTTACTCATAACCCCAGCAAATACAAGATCTCAATGTCTTATCTTGAAGCAAATTCATTCTTACAAGCTCAAAATATTATCATCTCGAGTTCAAATCTTATCATTCATTCAAACGTTTGAATTACCATACTTTGATCGAATCAGAGTATAACTTGCGTGATTATTCATTCCTTGCCTGCTACTACTCTTGCTAAGCAGGAGGATGAAGTCTAGAGCTTGAGTCTCCCTTTTATGAATCTAAGAGTAATCTCAAATTCACATTATATAAACAAGTGCAAATGTTGCTGTAATCCGCAAACAGATGGCTGCTGTAATGTAGCCTCAAAATGCAGAATACGGACTTCAAATTACTTGTAGATCCACCAGAAAAGGTAAGTATGCAAGAAGCTTACTCTTTACCTTTTTTCCATTCTATTGAAAGAAGCCTCTCAGATTACAGGCCTCTGAAATATCTAATTTTCGGTATGAAAGAATTTTTGGCAACGAAATATCTCACCCCTCATTTGATCTTATTTCAATGGCATCCATCTGATTGGAGTTCAACATGCAAACTAATCACACGAGTATATTACACCAGAAAGTAAGATTTCACTGCCAGTATTCTCAAGACATCTGTGAAAAGTAATATCCATGATCGACTCATTAAAGGATTGATCTTCATGGTAAAATCAATTTCTATTGAGTGTACAGGGACAAAAAGGCAACAACATGCAGAGAAAAGTTCACATAACTCCTTCAGCAACATCAGGAGACAGGACAGTGCACAGCGATCAGCAATGATGAAGCATGTTTTGCTCTTTCTGTCTAGTACAAAAGATGATACTGCAGTTGTTCTTGGAAAAATCTCAATCTAAACGCTCCATCTGCATAATACAATTCGTAAATGTGATTATATTTGTTGCTATTATCAACCACATCAAGCTAATCGTTTTGCTTCTTAAAAAAAGCCATCTTGAAAATTAGAAAACAATATTGCTCCAGTCAAAAGTTGATGCTACCTCCATACAATAAACTGCATTAGGTACATTTATGTGTTAAGAACATATAATTAGGAGCCCAACAAGAGATACAGTTAGCACAAATCTCAAGTTTTGTTCATGTCATTGAATTGTTGCAACTTTCACATTAAATTCGAAAGGATTAAATGCTCCTGACGATATTGGCCATCTTAGTGGCCCTTCACAAAGAACTCTGTTCAACTATTTTATGAACATAAAACCAAATCAACGAGAGACGTGGATGAAAAAGGAGTTGAAGATTTTATGATGACCTACCTTCCAAAGACCATCGTTGAGATAATGCATGTTGTCCACACCAATTCCCTTGTTGATTGCCTTTCTGTAATTCAAAGAAACGCTTCTACTTATAAAATATACAAATACAAAGGCAACAGACAATAGAATCAGTGTTGATTTACCAATCTCTTGTGTGTGTGTTTTATTTTATAGACATTGGAAATATAAAATTATGCTATGGTATTATGGAGCAAATTGCTTCATCACTCTCCTAGAGCAAGGAAAAACACTTTGTCACCATATGATCCCCTCTCCCAGTTTACCGCCAACAAAATTGAAATATCAAGTTTGAATAAGTTGGAAAATAACTCACATGTCTTTTGCTGACATTTTTGTAAAGCCAATAGCAAGGGCATGTTGCTTTCCTTCAGCCATTATAGCCTGGAAGCATTTAGTTGACGCATTAGGAATGCATATAAACATTTTAGTCAAGGAAAACCAGAGAACAACAAAAATCCAATGCACATATCAGAACAGAAAAGGCAGCCATAAATGTCATGATGTAGGAAAAGAATCGATCAGGTATAGACATTCTAACTACAATACAATACAATTCATACCACAGGAGTTTCTGCATCCACTTCATCATCTAATGCACCACCAGGAGATGTCAGTCCAGGACACATTATGTTAGCCCCAGCAAGGACAAATTTTATTGCACCCCTGTCAACTTGCAATTTTTTCATTATGTTTGGATCTGTTGTACCAGTGACACAAAATAAAAAAAATAAAAAAATAAGAAGTACACCGAGATCACAACTTCCAAAAGAACAACAAGTAGAAAGCATTTGACAGGTCTTACCACTAGTAAAACTAGATGGAAAAACCATAGAGCAGAACTAGATCTTCTTATCTTGAAGATCATAAAACCTATATCCACAAGCCCAATTTTTCTTTTCCTACAGACTATGCAAAGATCCTCTCTCACAAGCTAAGAGGAAAATAGATAAAAACTCCCATTCTGATTCGAAACAATACAACTACTTGCATCCTATAGACATTTAAAACTAATACACAAAAAAAAACTATCCAGTTCTTCCCACATAAATGTCTCATGGTAAAACTGGCGATTGCTAAGAGCAAAACTGAACCAAATTTGTGTTTACAGATCCACCCAAAACAGTAACAGCAAAGGAAATCAAAACATATCGAGAAGACACATGCGTCATTATCCATATTCAAAACAACACCACCTTTTGTTTTAAATAACCGCATTTTTCACCCAACAAATTACAACAAACAGACTGCAAAATTTCTACTACCGCATACAACATTTTCTCCTCATCATTTACACATAACTATAACATTAACCTATCAATTCCAAACCTAAAAATTCACTACTCACACAAAAAGCACACAGTAACAACACCATTAAAATGTCAATTCAGACAAAGAAGGAAACACATTTGCTTACATTGATGCAGAAGTCGGAGTGTAGGCATGTAAGGTCCATCCCTTATATTGAAAAACAATGGCACATTATTCACCACCACCAGATTCAAATGATTTTGACTGCATCCCAATCACAGTAAAAATTAAAAACAACAAAAACCCATCAATTATTTTACATAACTCAACAACAATATTACCATTTAACAACAATTAAAGGAGATTTCTTTGGCAGTAAATCATCCAATACTGGTTCAAGCCCTGGGTACTGCAAAAACCAAAAAATTCAAAATTTTGATAAACTTCTAAAGAAAACTGAAAAATAAAAAATGGGTTTTTTTTCTTGTTTAATTTCGAACCTCATCAGCTATGCTCTGTCGAATTTTGCGTTGAACTGATGCTTTCACTTGGTTTTGTGAGGATACTTCATCACTTGAAAACCTAATAAAATATAACATAAAACAATCAAAAAAAAAAACCCAAAAAAACTAATGAGCAAGAGAAAGAAATGAGAGATTACTTTTTGAACATTTTTCAAGAGAATAAGGAGAAAGCGATTGATTAAATTCAGGGTTTTTGTAGGGTTTGGATCGATCTAATCTAAAAACACTGATTTTTTTGGGTTTTGTATTTGCTTCTTTAGCGGTTAATTAAAATTTTGTGCAGGCAATTAACTTAGCGGCTCATGTTAGACTCGCGTGCTTATTAAGCGAGAAACTGTGCGCGGGATCGGCTGAGTTTGGTTTGGGCTTCATAGATTTGAGCATTAATGGGCCACATAAGAGCCATTTCTGAGTTTTAACCATTGTCAATTTTGGGCTTCCAGAAGGACCAAAAATAAAGAAATTGTAGTGCTAAGTTCACTCCCCCAAACCACAAATAAATTACATATATGTGTGTGTTAATTAACCCATGACAGTTTACACATCGAGAAATTTTTAGGTATTTCTAAATTATGTTCTTCTATTTATATAAAATTAGATCCGTTAATATCATTATGGCATTATGACATTGTCTCTATCTATGGAATTCGTTTTGTATAAATGAAGTAACAATTATATTTCACATGCATGTGTTTATCGGATCCTATATTTTTAAAAAAATTTTATTGAAATTCTATACTTTTAGAATTTTTTTTTATTGAGATTATATATTATTTAAGATTTTTTGCTTCAAATTTGTTTTAGAATGTCATCAATCAGTGATCGACACCTCTTCGAAATTTCTTATTTTACAATGTCATGTGTTAATTATTAATTGGTGACATTATAATTGAGGGTTTGAAACAAAAAATCTTGAACAATAAAGGATCTCAATCAAGCTAAAAAAAATAAAGGACATCAATCGAAAAAATTTAAAGAGTACAAGTTCTAGGTGTGGAAAAAAACCACATGACAACTCGTCCTAAAAATGAAATTAAATTATTAAATTATATATTTTTGGAATTAAAAAAATAATTATAAGTTAATTAAAGGTAAATGCATTTTTAGTATAAATCAAAATCTTAATTTTATTATAAAATAAAAATTAGTGCCCAATCCTATAGAAAAGAAAAGAATAAAAATAAGATTAAAAATTTTAAAAAATTGGGCAGCCATGTTAAAACAAAAGACGAGTCCCTTCGTCTTTTATTTCTTCATTTCTTCTCCTTCTTTTTTTCACACAAAAATTATCCCTACTTCTCCTAACTTCCTCCTCCAATTTTTATGTTGAAATTTTGCCCAAATACTCCAAAAAGTAATAAAAATAAGATGATTAAAGTGATATTAAGCTAGGTAAAAAACTTGGGAGGATTGGAGGAATTGAAGGTTGAAATTAGGATCTAGAGACTTGTTTGTCAAGTATGAGATAATTGCTATTTAGTCTTAAATTTAAGGTGTTTGTATTTCTTTATTGATGATTTTAGAGTTAATTTATTTTGGGTTTGTTGTTTGATTAAAAATTAAGATAGGTTAGAGATAGGGTTTGAATTAAATTTAGGAATTTAATGATTTAATAATTATTTATGCCAATTGATGTTTTAAATGAGATAATGATAGTGTGAAAATGATTATTGGACTATGGGTTTGAGAAATCCTCAAGTTGCTTGAGATGATAAATTATAGAGGTAAGTTGTAAAAAAGCTGAATTGAAAATTAATGATAACTTATAGAGATAAGTTATGTAAAAATTGAATAGAAAATTGGTGATGGATTGTAGGGACAATTTTGTATAAAAAATGAATAGAAATTTGATGATGGATAAGTGATTGTAACAAAATGTAAATTGGATTGTTAGAGAAAGACTCGTAGAGTGAACTTGAGAGTTGGATTATGATTTCAACACTTAAAGAATACGAGATACGATTTGATATTTAAAATATATATTTAATTTTGAAACACATCCATTGCATTTTGAACGAGTTTTAAATTATCGTTGTTTGTTTGCCTCTCTCTTAATTATGTTATGTGTTATTTACTCACCGAATCGTTGTTTGCTCACATCCCACCATTTTAATTTTGCAGGATTTGTAAGACTATCCATGGACTCTTCGAATTATTTATCTTGAAATATGCACATTAATCGTACGACTCATTTATGATGTAATATTTTGAATTTGTATTTTTAATACTTGTTGTATTCTTTAGAGATTTGTAATTATATTTTTGAAAGTTGGGTAAATTGTCAATTATGATTATTATTTTTTATATGTATAATTATGATGAAATTGTAGTTTAAGTTAGAATTCAAAAATAATGACTAAATAGATTGTGATATTGTGAATTGGATGGTGGTTATGTTAGGTTGTTGATTTGATTATTATTTTGGATTTGCATCGATAATATAGAATCATAGTCCTCGCTAGAATTAAGAAATATTGATTAATTAAGTTGTGAGTTTAATGAATATTTTGATTATTACATATCCGATAATTATAATTTAAATATTTGAGATTTGTTTGAGTTGAGGTGAGTCCCACGACTTCCTCAATTCTCACATCAGTTACAATCCACTTTGAAAAGAGGAGCAACAAACCCTAAAAATAAATATTATATATTTTGAATTTCTTACTTAGTTGTTGTGAATATTAGTAAATATTTGCCTTAAGAGTGAAGTTATATAAATACAGCGTGAGATGCGTGTAAAACTTGACGATTGAAGGCTTACTTTTGATGGATTAAAGTTGATTTAAATAAATTTATGAGCAAATTACAAATTAATCTTTTAGTTTCAAGAAAGGAACGAATTAGTTTTCTTTGTTAAAAAAATTAATTATTTAATTATTTTACAGATATTGATCACGCTTAATTTAATAATGTTTTATTATAAAAAGTATCTTTTTTTCATCAGTTTTTTCATAATATTTTTATTTTTTATTTTTAAAATTTTCTATAAAATAAACAAATAAAAAAAATAAGTAATTAGTTTTTGAAATAAAAAGAATTAATTATTTTGTTTGTCAAAACTAGAGCAACTAATTTATAGTTTACTCATAAATTCATATAATTAAAACAACAAAAACACAAACCATGAATGAGTTCGTAATTATGATCTAATCAATACTGGAAAAGTGAATAACAATAGTACAAATTAACAGGATTACTTAATGCACTTTTTAATAACGATAAGCATGAGAAGAATATATATAACTTTGATGGTTTCTCTACTTTTCCATGATTATTATGTAAAAAAGAAGGCAATGAGCGGTGCCTTTGATCCTACTTGTCAGATCGTTATCCGCCCTCCAGCTAAGAAGGTTAAGTAAGCATCACATCAAAATTTCAACGACTTACATTGATTGATTTGCACATACAGCATAACATTCCCCCTCCTTCCCTCGTAAATACGAAGAAATTATAAATTAATCTCTAATTTGAAAAAAACAAATTAATTAATATATTTAGTTTTAAAAATTAATTATTTAATTATTTTTATTTTTTTGTTATTCTATTTTTTATTTAAAAAATAAAAAAATAATTGATGAAAAAAATATTTTATAAATAAAAAATATTAAATTAGTCATTATCAATTTTGAATTAAAAAAATTAAATAATTAGTTTTTAAAACTAAAAAAATTAATTAATTTGTTTTTTCAAAACAACAGGACTAATTTATAATTTACTCAATAAATACACATGCAATATGCCACGTGTTTGCTCATTATTATTTACGCGTGTTTGTTGTATTATGGAAGCAGTGTATACCTCTTCGATTTCTTTTTCAATCAATAACTAATCGGATGACTCGTCTTCTCGTACGGTTTTTTAATTTTTTTTTATATATTTTTGTTTATATATAAAAAGTAGGAGGTAGGAATATCGAATTTATTAAATTGGAATCGTAATTGAGAATTGGATGCATTGATCAACTTGTATTATAAAAAAAATTCTTTTAGGTCGTCGTTTAATAATCAAGAATAAAGTGATAGGAATGAGAATACGAGAATCGAATAAAAATTAAAGAATCGGAATGATATTTATATTCCAATACCGTGTTTGGAATACTAATAAAGAATCATAATGCAATTTAAATTTTTTAATATCTGATTTTATATACAAATATAAATAATGATTAAAAAATAATTTTATTAAACTATAATAGTTATAAAAATAATAAACGTGATGGTAGTGATTACGGTGGTTCTAGTGGTATTGCTGATGGTGACGATGGCGGTAATGATTGCGTTAGTGATGGTGGTTGTGATTGTGATAATAATGATTGTAGTGGTGGTGATGATTGTGATAATGTTAGTAGTGGTGGTGGTGGTTATAATGGTTATGATGTTGTGATGGTGGTGGTAATGGCAGTGGTGGTGGCGGTGGTTGTTATGGTAGCGATGAAGATAGTGGTAGTGGTGGTTGTGGTTGTTGTAATGGTGGTGGTGAGAAAAGTAATTAATAGATAATAAATAAATAAAATATATTATTATTTTGAGAAAAAATTCATTCTCGTTCCTTTTTTTTTTCCTTACATCTTACGTGAGAATGGAGTTGTGTGTAAATTTTTTTTCATTTTCACTCTTCATTCTCATTCCCGCTTCATTTCTTTTAACCAAATAGCTACGAGTATGGGAATAAAACTTCTATTCCTATTCCCACCACTCTATTCTTGATTACCAAACAACAACTAACCATTAATATAAATATAACTAGATACTTATTAAAGTGAAATTTCATTAGCACTTGTTTTTCTTTCAATGTATGAGAGTCATTAAGCATCCAAAAATTCTTAAACAAAATTACACGAATTCTTAGTTCAATGTATCTAACCATCGATCTATACATTTATAAAATGTGATGGAAGTAAAGTCTAAATGGAGCCACTTCAAAATAAATAGTTCCTTTCTTTCATCTTGACAATACCTCAATCGTCTATCCAAACATGACTGGTAGGACCAACACTTATATATATATATATATCATTCGAGTCCATAAATATATCTCTTCCTTTTTCTTTTTCTTTTTTCGAGAAAAGATAAGATCTAGGAATTTTTTTTTTAACCAAGAAAAGAGTAAATTATAAATTAGTCCCTTTAGTTTCAAGAAACAAATAAATTAGTCTTTCTTATTTTAACAAATAATTATTTAGTCCTTGTCTTTTTAAACATATTTGTAACTTGGTTATTTTTCTTTTTTTCAATTTGTTTTGATTTTTTGTTTTAAGAAATAAAAAATATAAAAAGATTGATGAGGAAAAAAACATTTAGTAGAATAAACATAATATTAAATTAAGCATAGTCAACACTAATCAAATAATTAAATAATAATTTTTAAGATGAGATGGGTTGATTAATTTATTTCTTGAAACTAGAGGGATTAATTAATTGGTATTCTTATTTTGTGGAGTTTGTTCAATGAAAACACAAGAGATACTCTTTTCTTAATTCCTTTCCTAAATCTTCATTGCCATTTTGCTTGTGAATGTTTTTGGTAATTATAAGAACAAAGGATGGAATATAGCGTTTAAGAAGGGGAAAATATTCCGTCTATCTCCTTGTATAATATAGTATTTCTTTAATATGTTTTTATATTCTAGCATGAGTTGATTTCATCCTTCAATTTATGTAAAATGTCTAATCTACCATTCAAATGAAATTTTCAAACTAACCTACCAGAATAAATTATGTGAACTATACATGCTATTTTTTTTTTAATCTCAAAATGCCGAAGGTACTCATTTTTCGATTTAAATGTGAGAAGCATGTGAAATTAATGGCTGTTTTTCAAGGATATTTTAAAAATTAAAAAATATAAACATAAAACTCATTTGACTCATTTCGGTGGACTATTTTGAAAATTTCATCTGGATAATAAATTCGACACTTTACATAAATTTGAAGTTTATTTTAAAATATAAAAACAGATTGAAGAAATAAAACATTACATGAAGATAAACTGTGTCTTTTTTCATTTAAGGAAGTTTTTACTATTTTCTTAACCTTTTGAATTTGAATTTCAGAGTTAATATTTTAATGAATGAATTTTCTTTCACATATATCATATCATATCAATATAAAATATATGTTTAGAAAAATTTGATATTTTCTTAACTTTTTAAATTTAAATTGTAGAGTTAATATAGATTCTTAAAATCATTAAAGAAATAAATTTAGTTTCCATTAAAGAATAAATGATTCGACAAGAAAGATATACGTTCATAGTCATTGTGTCCTTCAAAACTATTGAAAAAAGAAAAAAAAAAGATGAAGGATTACAAATCTAAAAATGATAAATTTTTTATTTTTTATTTAAGGATAAGAGAATATCCTTATAAAAAATTTTGGATTAACAAAAACTAATTAGGTTGTCATAAACTATACAAGCACCCATGTATATATGTTGGTATACCAAATAAAATTAATTTAGTTGATCTTATTGAAACCCCATCAACATATTTTTCTAGAAAAGTTAGGCAACACCGCCCACAAGATCAAACTCTACCCCAAACATTCAGTTACCAAATCGAACTGTCTCGCTTCGGCAAAAGTTGATATCGATTCAAAGATTATGACAGAAAATGTATCCTAGAAAAAATGTTTTTATAGAAGAATTAGCATCCCAGTTTGGATCACAAATCGCAAAAAACACATAACGACAGAAAATCATGCTCAAAGGAAAAATGGTTGGTCCACTCGCCATTATTATTACCACATGTTTCATGGCTTTTTTGTCTTTTTTTTTAATATTTATAAATAATAAGATATTTTTAAGTTAAATTATGGAAATACACGTATAATCTTTAATAGATTTTAAATAAAATCGGTACAAACTTAGTATTATTAATGTATGATTTTTTATAAATAATGAAGATGGAATGTTACAAGACAATTTTTTTTATCACTAGATGACGTTCCATAGTGGTTGGATAAGGCTTCTTTATATTTTGAACAAATTTTTTTGTCCTTTATAAAAAAAAAATGAAACATAAAAATCAGATTGAGTGAAAACGTGGCAAAAATCTTGAGATGGACACATAAAAGATAGTACAGTTGATAAAGGCTGAGCATCCACCTTGAAGTCATCAACCACTTTTCTTTGTGTCTCTCTTCATTCCTTCGACAACCTTTCCCACTCTGCATTATCCATGGCTGGCATAAGCTTCATTATTGGCATCATTGGTCAGTTTCTTCTCCTCTTTGACAAGTTATTTCCACTCCAGCTTGATGGGTTTTGAGCCATTAACTTTGCTTTTGCAGGCAACATCATTTCTATACTGGTTTTTACCTCTCCCATGTAAGTATTTTTAAACCATGAAAGTTAACGATGAATTTACTTTTCGTGAGGTAGGCATATAGCTTGATAAGTGTAGATTTTGGTCTTACTGTATGAATTTTCTTGTTCTATAGCAACTTTATGCTCCTACTAAGTATAGATTTTTGGTAATTCTGGCCTCGAGAAGAAGGCTAAATTCTAAAAACCCATTTTGGATAAAGGTGCCAAGAATTGAGTCACCTATTATTCATTGGCTAGTTCTAATTACCATTAGGTCCTCATATTCTAAAAATCGATGGGTTTCTTTAAAAAAAAAAAAAAAAAAAAATCTAATGAGGACCACAGTATATATGTCAAATATTGTCTCCTCCATGTGGCTGTACCGTTGATTTTTGTCTTGCCAAAAACAATTTAAAAAATTTCAAATTGGTACCACTAGTTAATTAATGTTGTACTATGGCAACATTAATTGAAAGGAAAATGTGAAAGTCGCTTTTACAACATTCCAAATAAAAGTGCAAACCTAAAAAATGTCCCCTAATTATATAAGTAGTCTCAATTTGGCTACCAAATTAATTTTTATATCAATTATATCTTCAAACTCTTAGAAATTCTAAATTAAGAATTTACATCCATTTTTAAGGCTTTCTATTTATATTTTCATTCAAATTGTATATATATTTTTTAAAACAATGTCAATTTATAAGTTTCAAATTGTTTTCTTTTTTAAACAATGTCAATTTATAGAAAACTTAACGTTTTCCATTAAGTGATCCTAATAAAAGTACTCAATTGAAATATTAAAAATAGTTTAGGTGTAAAATCGACACTGCCCAATAGTTTAGGGATATATTTGAGGTCCCGAAAAAAAACAAAAACCATGGATTTAAACAAGAGTGATAACGAATTTGACCAATGTTACCCACAAATCTGGCTATTTTTTTTTTAGCAATGGAATATTTTTGTGTTTTTGTAGCAATCTATCTCTTAGATCATCAATTAGTAGATAAAAAAGTAACAAATATCTAACAATTATTACAGAAAGACGTTTTGGAGGGTGGTGAAAAACAAATCAACAGAGGATTACAAAGGGGCTCCATACATAACTACGCTATTGAGCACAAGTTTATGGACATTTTATGGAATTCTGAAGCCAGATATTCTTGTTGTAACTGTGAATGGTGCTGGTGCCGTGCTTCAGTTCATCTATGTTACTCTTTTTCTCATTTATGCTCCAAAGGATAAAAAGGTAATTAACTATCGTATTTCTCTTTTGTTTTCAACTTGCTTTCATTTACTTTTTAAATTTATTGCAAATTATTCTTACTTTGGCCATTGCATTATCAAGAAACTTTAGTTCGTAATTAATAGGAACATGCTCACCTTTTAAGTGCCAATTTTTAGGTGCTGTCACGTCTCTTATTTTTTGGTTAAAAATAAAAAACCTCTCTTATTTATGTTCTTTTAGCAGTTAATTATTTGGGACACGATTCATGTAAGTTGTAGTATTACAAGATATATGCGAAGGTGTTTATAACGATAAATTTACTGAACTATCAAGAGACATGATCTAGTTGTAAGAGAATTGTTTTGATTTTATCAAGAGACGTGGTTTAGCGATAAGACAATTGTTTTAATTTGATCAAAATTAAAGTTTAATTTTTATTATCAATTGATAACTAATCATAATTATTTATTAATGATACTGGATTTGGATTCATTTGATTTTAAAAAAATCTAATAATTGATCAAAAGTTAAGCATGTTTTGACGTTGATTTATTCAAAAAATACATTATATTGACTAAGAAATAATATATTAATTTGTAGACAATCAGACGACATAAATCTAATGATATGTTGCATATCCATCAACCAACACGATAGGATCACAAGCCCACAACATGTAATGGTGCCCAGGTTTTAAAGGCTTGTGGGATCTATTTTAACGGGCATGTAATGCCCATTGGTATGAAACATAATTAGAGATTCTTGCAAGTGACATATAATTAAAACATGAATTCGATATGAATCTTCACAGCAATAAAGTTAATTTTGCGAAGCTAAGAGGCTTAACTAGATATTCTTGCAAGTGTGCTTAATCAAAATTCCTGATATTGTTTATTCAGATTAAGACGGCAAAGTTGGTGGCCATATTGAACGTTACTTTTCTTGGAGTCGTGATTGCAATAACTCTCCTAGCAATGCATGGAAGTTTACGAACTACCTTTGTTGGAATTTTATGTGCTGCATTAACCATTGGCATGTATGCTTCACCCTTATCAATTATGGTAAGCCTTAGAAACTAGAATTTGTTCATTGCCTTCTATGAGTTTCGAAGTAAGAATCTAAGTTGTTTTAATTTTGATGAAAAATGTTGCTCTAATGTTCTTCATAACAGAGAACAGTGATAAAGACTAAGAGTGTGGAGTACATGCCGTTTTTGCTCTCCTTTTTCCTATTCCTGAACGGAGGTGTCTGGTCCGCTTATGCAGTGCTTGTCAAGGACTTCTACATAGGCGTAAGTTACCTTATTTTTCATCGATCTAGTTTCAAGATCACAAATTAATGGCCTTGAAAAAGGCATTGAAAAAATATTGAAACCCGTTGATCAGATGTTTTAAACCTTATACCGTTTCCGATTTCAGGTCCCAAATGCTGTGGGTTTCATACTGGGGTCAGCTCAGTTGATCCTTTACATAATCTACATGAATAAGCCGAAGGCAACGATCGACGAAAAAGACTCGGTCCACGTCCAGCAGGTGAAAGAAGGCATCGAGATGCCTGCCAAGGGTGATAGTGATGATGATGATGAGGAATTGGGCAATCTGAAGGACAGAAGCATAACTGAGGGAAAGACTAAGAGCCTGCCAAAGCCATCGGTTGATAGACAACACAGCTTGCAAAAGCTGAAGAAGACACTCTCTTCTGGGGCTTATGAGTTATTGCAACATTCAAGCTGGGCTAATGATGCTGTTTGAATTTTAGAATGGGAAAATTGAAGGTTGCATCATATATCCATTTTCATAAGCAACACTTTATTATTATTATTTTTTTTTATCTTTTTTACGAATGAGCGTGTATTTTGAACTTATTTTTGTAAAGTAAAAGACAGTTATGTTTAGATTTTGATTTTTTTTTAAATCTAATTATTTTAAATGAAGAACATACGAATCCTTTTGCGTTATTCTGTATGATCATGTATACATAAAAGGATCTATACCATTACAAGGTTTAAAGCTACCGTGACCTTCCTCCTTTATTCATCAGCTCTTCTAAACTAAGTTAGCACAGACGGAGTTAATTCTAAAACTGAAATATATTCTTAAATAATTAAAACCATAAAGAATTGTATTTTTAATAAAAAATTATAATTATCAATTTAATAATTTTTGTGGGCTCCCTGGCGTGGAGCCTCTTCCTAAAACAGACAAAATGGACTCTAGCTAGTAGAATGAAAGGATGGTGCGATTTGGCATAGGCAGTCCTAATTAAGAAACCTTAAAACAATTCTCTAATAAGTGAAGATCCGATTCTAAATAACACAGAAAAAGCACCTATAATTAGAGTCGACAGTAGTAATATTGTTGAAGCAAGCATATGACAAAATCAAAATGCATGTAATTAAACTGTTTCACTTTCACAAAAGTTGCATTGATTCAAAATTATGACAAAACATCCCATTTCATATCACAATTCACAAAAAAAAAAAAAAAAAACATATAACAAAAAATCATTTTCACAACTCAATGTTTTTAGTACCATTTCGATTATTATTCTGGTTTTTTGTTGCCATGAAATTTCTGATACGAAATTAAGCATTTCAACATTCTGCTTCAGGAGATATATATATAATGAAAAAGATATTTTAATATAAAAAATTACAATACAAATTTTCAAAGGCAATTAAATTCAAATAGTTCAATGTAAATTAATAAAATATCAAACATTTAAAAATAAAAATAAAGAGATAGTTAAAAGTTAACTTAAATATCTAAAAACATTTTAATATAAAAAATATTAAATCAGGCATTACTTTTGTTGTTTACATAAAAGGATGTGATATGAAAGGAAATTAATTAAGTTTTTATTACTTTAACTTAGAAAATACAAAAATTAGAAATAGTTTGAAATTCAAAAAATACCTATGTAATATTGTGGAACGTAATAGTGCCAAGATAATCAGTATATTTCGGCTGATTATTTATCGAAAAATCTAAAATGGTATTAACTCTATATTATCCCCTTTTTAAAGTATAATAACAAATAGTAGCCACTCCGACCTGAAGATGATGGTATTGACAACATTTTGAACACAAAAATAAATGTTGGTCCGCATGCCATTATTATCGCAACATTAGCACAAAAGTCTAGTGATTAATATTAAAAAGGCAAAATATCAATCCAAAAGGATGGACTTAAACAGAAAAACATTATAATCGTTTAATTAAATGATTTTGAGTTTGAATTTTTATGTATATAAAATTTTTTTTAGATAACCGTGTTTATCTTGTATGTCCGACAGAACAACGAAAATTAATTTAAACTTTTGAATTTCAGATTTTTTAGGGATAAAAAAAGGAGGCAAATTATCCTTTTTTTTTTTTTTTTTTTTCCATGTCTCCTTCATTCTTTCAACTTCATGGTTTTCAGTCATTCATTTTGTTTTTGCAGCTAATATTTTATGAAATAAGATTTTAACTCGAGATCCCAGAAAAAAAAATTAATATCAATTAATCTACAACTCATTCATAGGATAAAAATCAATTTTTATATTGGTTTTTGCTGCTCCCATGTGACTATTTTTAAACAATGAAAAATGATATTCTCTTTATTATTGATTTTTTTTTTTTAGAGAATAGGGACGGTACCTAGAAGTATATAAATGATCAAAAAAATCAAGAAACAAGGGGTGACAAACCAACCAACATATTGAGAGAATAAAGAAGCCTAAACTCCTTAAACTTCTCAAGAAAACTCCTGAGAACTACAATAACCAATGATTACTAAAACATTCTATGAGGTATAAGCTAACTGATCATTACATGTTAGGATCACTACTTAGCTGGACGGAAGCTGAACAATCCCAATCTGTCATTTGTGTACGCTGCATGACAAGGGCTAGGCAATTCATTGGCCATAAAAATTATCTTCAAAGATTTATGGTGAAATGCCCAAGCTGCTAATTTGTCTGCTGTCATGTTACCTTCTCTGTGAACATGTGAACATGCTGGATAGATATTCCTTCAGTGATATGTTTCCAACATTCTCTAAAAACATATGTAAGGTTCCAAGGACACAGCAATGAGTGAGTTCAACCTCCCATTATTAAAGTTGAATCCTCCTCTATGATGTCCAATAGTAGATGAAGACTTCTGCATATCCTGAGACCTTCTAAAACTGCTAGAGCCTCCCCTTTTGAATTTTTTCCTAGACCAAAAAATATAGAGAATGCGATAATTAGCTTCCCTGTATCATCATGTAAAATACCACCACCACTACAAAAATTTTCTTTTGAAGCTCCGTCAGTATTTAGTTTTCGCAAATCGGATGGTGGAAACTGCCATTTTAACCAATAACCCCTGCATGAATGATTGTCTAGGATCTGTACACCCAAAGCACTAAGACACAGTCTATCATGAAAGGATGGATTGCGTTTAGGAATAAAAAGGGTCGACAATTCCTGTAACCATTTTAACACTTTGAATTTGATAACAGAATCATTCATAACAGTATCTTCAAATGTGGCCTTATTTCCTGCTAGCCACACTTCCCATAGGATGAAGCAAAATACTACCATACGAGAAAAAGCTTTTTGTGAAGAAGGCCTTCCCCTCGCCAACCAAGCTATAGATAGCTGTAGACATGATGACAAAACCACATTAACATCAAGAATGGAGCCGAAGTACCTCCATAGTTCCTGTACGATTTCCCCAAGGATGAAAAAATGAACCCTAGTCTCCACATTACTATATCTGCAGCAGAGACACTTTGATGACATCTTAATACCACATTGCTGAATATTTATATCTACTGCAAGTGCATTGTGGAATACCTTCCAGACGAGAATACTGACTTTACGAGGGATCCATTTTTTCCAAATCCATCTCCACCATTGAAATACAGAAGCCTTGAAACGTCGATAGTCACGGTAATCTTTGGTCCTGAATATACCATTCTTAGAATCTAAGTAATAAAGTTTGTGTTCCTTGGACAGATCCAGATGCATGTTATGAAGTTCCTGCCACATCAGTGGAGTTAGAGATAAGTGAATTCCACGGGCTCCCTTAGCTTGGCCTATAGTCATTTCCATATCTGCTTGTAGGGGGATCTCAATCTCTGCAGTCGTCCACTTTTCCTTCCAAATTCTTATGTTACCCGTTCGAACAATCCACACTGATCTTTGTAGAAGTGTATTAATATGAGGCACTAAACTCCTTCAGACCAGTGATCCAGTTCTGTTACTTATAGGATCCATATAAGAGGGAACTCCATACTTGGCTTTCATAAAAGAGCTCCATAGTGAAGATCTTGTTAGAAAGGACAAAGCTAGTTTACCTTTCATGGACTGAAACAGCTCCATTAAGTCATGCACTCCAAGACCACCTTCCTGAACTGGTAAAGCAATCTTCTTCCATTTTAACCAATGATGCCTATTTTTCATATCATTATTCCAGAAGAAATTGGCAATGTATCCCTGCATTCTAACCACTGTGCTTTTAGGAATAGGCAAAACACTCATTGTATAAATAGGGATAGATGTGAGGATACTTTGGATCAATGTAAGCTTCCCTCCAGCAGAAAGTAATCTTCCCTTCAATCCAGCTAATTTTTCTTGTATCTTATGTTCAATATGGGCAAATAAATCCACCCGAGGTCTACCCTTGAAGAGTGGCATGCCCAGATACATAAGTTTATCCGTAACCTTGTGAAAGCCTGTCCAGTGAGCCAACAAAGACTTCCTGTGACTGGACATCTTCTTGCCATAAACCAGTGCACTTTTACGAACATTGATAATTTGCCCACTAGCTTCTGCATATGCTTTCAATAGAGCTAGCACCTTGTTAATATTTCGTTTCCCTCAATTACAAAATATTAACATGTCGTCTAAAACAGAAGATGAGAAATCATGAGGTTGTGACGACCAGTGTAAAAAGGAGTGATGTGTCCCTGCTGGACCAGATGATTAAGATGTCTGGTGAAAACCTCCTGGGCAATGATGAACAGAGCAGGAGATAAAGGATTCCCTTACCTTACTCCTCGGGAAGATTTGAAGAAACCATATAAACTGGAATGGATACTGATGGAGTACCAACAATTACTTAGACATTTCCATATCAAATCACACCACGGCTCTGAAAAACCAAAGCTTCTCATTACTTTCAGCAGAAACACCCAATCAAGCCTATCATAAGCCTTAGCCATGTCTATTTGTAAAATGATATTCCCCCAAACACCTTCTTGTCAATGTCATGCATGAGCTCCTGGGCCAGTGCCACTCCTTCATGAATTGTTCTTCCCTTTACAAAATCAGATTGCTCCCGAGATATGATGGTTGGCAGAACCTTGCTCAACCTGGAAGCTAATATGTGAGATAGAATTTTATACGAGAAATTGCTTAAACTCGTTGAACCCCGCCAAGGGAGAATTACGTGCCCCGTGCCCCAGCTTCATGAGGCCTTCTTGTTTTTATTTTTCTTTTTCCCTCTTAAACAATAAAACTTGGGTCAAACTTCGTAACAGGTTTAAAGAGTAAATTACAAATTAGTCTCCCTTGTTTAGGAAAAAGTGAATTAATTGGTCCTTTTTTTCCTTCAAAAACTAATAATTAGTTCTTCATGATTTAATTTTATCAATAATTTAGTCATGTCATTAGTTTTTTGGTTAGATTAATAAATTTTATTTTATTAATTTATTTTTAGTTAGAGAAAGAGAGAGAGTGTGTGAAAAAGAAAAATAAGGTATAAAAATGATAATTTTTTAAAAAATCAGTAATTTAATAAAAAATTAAGTTATTGATGAAATTAAAATAACTAAATAATTAATTTTCATAATAAAAAAAACTAATTAATTATTTAATATCTAGAAACAAGAGAGACTAATTTATAATATACTTCTAGTTAAAAGGGTTAGTTATTATACTGATTTGATTTGGTTTGACTCCTCTCAATGAATTAATTGCTTTCGTCTTTTAACACACTAACTAATTCCTCCTTTTTTTCTATGTTTGTGCATATCATATCTAACCCGATTAGATTTCCAAAAAAAAACTGTAATGAAAAAAACATCTTACAAGAGAGCGATCATTAATGGGCTTGATTAGAAATATAAACCGACTTTGGATGAAAGGTGACAATTGAGTCTGTTCATGGGTTAGTGTTAACTACCATTAGGTTAAAATTAATGATGGCCTTACATGTAGATTAAGGCTTTGTTCGTGGTTAGGTTATTGCGTCCTCATATTCTAAAAAATCTATGGGTTCTTTAAAAAAAAAAAAAAAAAAATTGGTAATCCCAATAACGACCGCACTATGTCACATCAATGTCTCCTCATTGTGGTTGTTCCATTCATTGGGCCTTTTTAAAAAAAAATAAAAATAAAAAATTCTGTATTGGAGATTGCTTCATTTATTGCTGGCTTGTCGGAAAAAAAAAGTTTTATTATTTCTGTTTTAAAAAATTACACATATATATATATATTTTAAATATTTATTGAATTAAAAATTTACATGGTGATTTTTTTAAAAAATTTTATTTTATAAAAGAATATGAATATAAAATTCTAAAAAAGTAATAATTAATATTTTTTAATATATAAAAAAATTAAAGAAAAAAAATCTATTTGGATGGATAGAATAATTGGTATCATTAGTTAATTAATTAATGATTAAAAGCTTTTATATGCATTTACTATTGATTTTATACTAATTTTTTCCTTTCTATTTTTTTTAATCTCAATGTCTTTTTTTTTATTTTGAAAATCTTTTGATTAAATTTAATCAGAAGTCAAAATAACTCTTCCATCTTCAGATAATTTTCTCCGTATACTGACACGTGTTCAAATACAATATTTATATTGAGAAATAGTGTACTTACCTTTTTTATTTCTTTCTTCTTCCTTCTTATCCTCCTTTTCCCATCACCGAACAACCATGGCCGGCCACCATTTTCTAACCCACAAAACCAACTACCACCACCAAAGCACCGTCGTTCTGTCCAAAAGCAAAAAGAAACACAACACAACAGTACTGTCTTTTCAAAACGCTGAAGAAGAAACTCTCTTCGGGTGCTTATGACTTATTGCAACATTCAAGCTGGGCAAATGATGCTGTTTGAGATTTAGAATGGGAAAATCGAAAGCAATCCTTGATTAAGATGGTTGGTAACACTATCCATATTCATAAACAGCACCTTTTGTTATGGCAAGACTGTATATATCATCAAAGAGTTTGTAAATTTACTCTGTAATAACGTAAAAGAATTCATACATTAATGATAAATTTAGTTGTATATTATGACTTCAGTGTAATACAGATGTAATAAAAATCTTTTTTCGACGTGTGGATATAAAAAATATAAACACATGACAAGCCTACCAAAACTTGTTAATGCCAACGCCGAAAAAATAAAAAAATAAACACTAAGAATGCAGCCACAAATGGAAAGACATTAGGGACAACTAATAAAGCTTCAAATGATGAAACAACACACTATCAACAGAGTCATCAACATTCGATCATTTCAAGGCAGTATTTTCACATACACACCCCATCCTCAAGAAGCTGAGCAAGGAAAGAGAATGGTAAAAGAATCAAAAACCAACCGAAGAGATACCTAGAATGACCTACGTACCTAGAATATAGACCTACTTCGACTTTAATATACTTTAATTGTTGTTGGGTTAGTGAATTCATTCATTTCACTTGTTGCAGGTTATTGGATTACGTCAATGATTCATGACATCTGCTAGGGCTAGTTATGGTAGGAGATCAAAGGAAAACCACAAAGGAGTCACAAACAAAACACGAAGATTTGGTATCTAGTGATCAGTTCATTTGTTATGGTTATCTTATATATTGTTCAGTTTTAATGTGTAATCCATTTTTTTAATATGAATGTTTCTGAATATGTGAATCCAGTTTGTTTATATGAATTGATTAGGTCGAGTTGTTGTTTATTAGAGATCAGCAAACAAGTTGTTACCAAAATGATTACTTTGCCGAGCGCTAGAGAAGATACAAAGGAAGAAAGTTTGATATTTTGAGTGTTTCACTTGTAACTATGAGATTTTTGTTAATGAGTTAGGTTTTGGGATAACTTTAGATTTCTTGATTGAAGCAAAAAAGATATTTTGACGCTGTTCTTTCTTTGAAAGATGTTGGCACATGAGTGCACATGAGTGATTGTCTATCTGTTCCATATCTTTCTTTTCTTTCACAACATCTCTCTATATTGTGGTGCCATTTGTGATTATTTTATTTTTAAGAGGACAAAAGGGATTAGAGGGAAAATAGCAAAAGTGTTTGATAATCTATATAAGATAGACTAAAGCTTAAAAAAAAAACATAAAAATTCGAAAGAGATCAAAATCAAAATTAAAAATTTTAAAAGTTAATTTTAAAATGGATGAAAGTTCAGAAGTTCTCAAATACATTTAACCTAAAAATAAAAAAATGTTTGGTCAACTCAAGGTACCATAGCTTTACCTTTTTCTTTTTCTTAGGCGAGCGACAACGCATGGCGCCAGACCGTGGGATATTTGTGGGCTCTGTCTAGTTTCTTTGCATGTTTCTGAGTAGTTTGCACCATCTACTTCTTACAAGTATAGGACAAGCTTTTTTCATCATGTGACAAGCATGTTAGTTGATAAGAGATTGATGTATAGATTCAGCACTTCAGTCCTGTTAATGGGTATGTCAACGAACGAGGGTCAAGAAGACAGCATCTCTTATAAAAGACTCGAAGCAGGATCTTCATAAAATTTACAGAATATTGAACCCTGATATATCGATTCGTTATATCTTTTTTTCCTTATAACTCTAATTAGTTGTTCATATTATAAATTAGAGATAATATTATTTATATCTATAATCATTATGTAATAAAATTTAATAGAAAATTTTAATACAATTATAGAGTAGGTATTATTATGAAATCACATAAAATTTTATGTTATTATTTTTTGATCTTTTGATCTTATTTTTTTTAATTTGATTTGTTTCCCAACAACTAGCACGTAAAAACCTAGCTCAGCTTAATAATAATGATACCCAACTTGATTTGCTTTGATCTTCTCTAGTTCATAGCTGCATTAATGACAAATTTAGTACTTCAGTCTAATATAGATGCAATGGAAATTCATATTCTCTTGACATGACTACCAATGATTTTGTTTGTAATTATTTACGTTTAGAGCTTCTCGTGATGCATAGAAAGTCATATCGATCTGTTTCAAGCACAGTACTTCTTTTTCATATCTAGTGATGTATGACGTCGATAATAGGATAAAATTACATCAATTATGACTGACCGGGTATAAAAAACTTTGCTGTCAAGAATTCCCTTTTGGGTAAGATTTCTTGAAAAGAATTGAGTTTTGTCTTCAACTAGTATTTAAGTGGTGGCTTATCTCATGGAATATCACTTTCAACATATCGACTTTTCTTCTTTATGTAAACTTTTAGACTATATGATAATAATGCAAAGATGAAGTAGTAGATGTATACTATCTTTGATTTTACCCATATGTTTATCCACAATAAAAGTTCATAAAAAGAAGGGTTAATTAATGTCCATCACATCAAAATTTTCCACGTCTTGCCTTCCTATTTTATGTCAACAGAAGACCTGAGACCCACACCCACCGACCTTCATAAATCTCACTTCCATCCCATGAAAAACCAAGAAGAGAAACGAACCTAAGTTACATGTTCGATTTGTGGAATGTCGAAAGAGAATTTTTATAGCAACATAGGCTCATATATAGGGCAGATATTAATTCCAACTCCAAGAGCGCCATTCCTTTCTACTTATATCCTAAAAATTAATTAGTTGAAAAAAAAATGGATTCTAAAACTTTTAAAAGCACCACCTTTGTTTGTTTAATGGAAAGTTCAAGAGATTTAGATTACACGATGAATAATTTTTTTTGTTATTACATAATTATAATTAAAAAACTATAATTATTAAAAAATAAATTTTATTTATGTAAAAAACAATATGCAACTATTAAACTAAATATGTTTGCATTGTACGCTCAAAATATGCTATATTTTAATTTTCTGATGTATATTTCATCTTTGATTTTTCTAATTAAAAACACTAAAATATCCATATAAAATAGACACTAAAGCATATTAGTTAATACCAAATTAATTGTGTAGTTTTTTTCTTCAAATACCTTTATTTCATATTGAAAATAAGATTATTTGTGTTTGAAATGAAAATGATAAAATTTGATTCTTCCTAATAAATGATTTCAGAATTTAAACTTTATACATATTAAGAGAAAGTTTTCTTCGAAACTATTGGTTACCGTTAAGCCAACATGTTATTGGTAATTGTGTCGGTTTTCTTGCTAAATAATTGATTGATGAAGGTATGAAATTGAAACCGAACATTTATTTTCGAGAAGAATTAGGTACCACCTCCAAGATGTCCAAACTCTATGTATGCACACGCATTACCAAAACAAGCTAGGTGCTTCTGCTTTTTAAAAAGTTGAAATTATTCAACACCAAGGACAAAAGCATTCAGAATTGGAACACAAAAAAGCACATAAGGACACAAAATTATGTTCTAAAAAGTTGTCGGTCCACATGCCATGATTGTTATCATAAAAAAAATGCGTACGACTAATCGCATCGAGTGAAAACGTGGCAAAAATCTAGAGCTTAATGGGCTAAAGAAAATGCATATAAAAAGTAGAATTATAAGCAATAATTTCTATACATCAACCATAAAAACTTCTTTGTCTCTCTTCATTCCTTCAAGAGCCTCTCTTTTGCTACTTTTTTCATGGCTAGCTTAAGCTTCTTTATTGGCATCATTGGTTAGTTTCTTTTCCTTTCTTACGATTTTTTTCCCCATTTAGCTTCATGGGTTTTCAGTGATTCAAATTTGTTTTTGCAGGAAATGTTGTTTCTTTACTGGTTTTTGCTTCTCCCATGTAAGTTTATTTAAAACCTTGAAAAATAATGTTTTGTTTCTTTACTAATTAAAGTATGGGATTTGCTTGCTTAAGTAAGCATATCATGACATGATGCATATAGATTTTGGAGTAATATTTTGGTCATGGAATTTACTTAAATTAACTTTTGCACCCACTTTAATTTGGATTGTATAGAAAGTATATGAGCTCAGCTAATTAAAGTGAGTGTTATAAATTAAAAATTAGTCTCTCTATTTTTTTGAAAGGAACTAATTAGTTTTTTTTTTTTGTTAAAAAACTAAGTATTTAGGGCTTACTTTTTATTTTTTCTATTTTTTTAAATAAAAAATTAAAATAAATTGAAAAAAATAAGTTACAAGAAAATTTAAAAATATAAAAACTAATTTTTTATTGAAATAAGGAGAACTAATTAATTTGTTTTTGGAAACTAAAAGGATTAATTTATAATTTACTCTCCTTTAGGGACATCTTTGTTAGAACTTGTGTCGAATTCTGTAAATTGATCAAATTAATTAGCTTCTGTACATGAGCTCGATCGGCTAAAATTGATCAAATTTTGTCAATTCCTTCTATCTTTTCATGGTTTATTTTGTGAAGTAGGTTAATTTTTTATTTTTATAAAGATAGAATATTCCTTGCAAAGAGTTTGTGTCCTCAAATCCTAAAAGCAAATCTAACCAGGACCGAATAATGTTAAATATTCTCTAGTTCAAAGTTCAAACGTTAAACAACAATTAAGAAAGTGAAGTTGCTGATCACAGAGTATTAAAAAAAGAACTTGGGATTTTTACCTTGTCAGCATGATTACGACTAATGTTGCCCTAAAATCAGGCAAGCTTTCATTACGTAACAATTCTGTTATTAAAAAAAGGTTATTGCAAAGTGTTCGATAAAATTCTATTTTTGAAAGCTATTTAAAAGCAAAAAATCAGAGGATATAAAATAAAGTTTTTAAGTTTTTGTTTTTGTTTTGTTTTTGTTTTTTTTGTTTTAATGATTGTAGAGGGACATATATCTAAAGGGAGAAAACTCGAAATAAGTCCTCCAATTATATAGGTATTCTCAATCGAATACGGAAACAATTTTTAATTCTCTTTCAATTGGGCTACCATTATTTCAGAAAATTCTCAATTAAATCCCCTCATTTATCCCTGTTAATGAATTCCATTCAAAATCGTAGCTTCTTCATAAGAAAAAAGAAATGTTGTTTAGAAATTTTTTAGTGAAAATTTTGTGAACAGTTAGGATGGAAAACTTAGTCGAGAATTTTCATATATATCTTTTGGAGGTCCAATTGAGAAAAAATTCTATGAAGATTGCTCAATTAAGATTTAATTTTTTATAATTTGAAAGCTAATTTACATGGGTCTTGCCTTTGCAGGAAAACTTTTTGGGGAGTGGTGAAAAAGAAATCAACAGAGGATTACAAAGGGGTTCCATACACAACTACACTACTAAGCACAAGTTTATGGACCTTCTATGGACTTATGAAGCCAGACGCTCTTGTTGTATCAGTGAATGCTGCTGGTGCCATCTTGCAATTCATCTATGTCACTCTCTTTCTCATTTATGCTCCTAGGAAAATAAAGGTCACTTTAAATTTGCCTCAGTTTCTTTTTCAATTTCCCATTTTTAATTAATTGCAAACAACTAAAATTTCAAGAGACGTGATTTTTTTTTTCAGATTTCGATGGCAAAGTTGGTGGCCATCTTGAATGTTGGTTTTCTTGGAGCAGTAATTGCAGTGACTCTACTAGCAATTCATGGAAAATTTCGAGTTACTTTTGTTGGCATTTTATGTACTGTATTAACCATTGGCATGTATGCAGCTCCATTATCAATCATGGCAAGCTCCTCTAACTAAAGCTTTGTAGATTTTTATATGAAGTAGACATGTAATGAACCATCAAGGATGTGGTTTAACGATGCGAGGATTGTTTTAGTATGACCAAGACTAAGATTTAATTTTTATTATCTGTGGATAATTAGTTATAACTATCTTTTAGTAGCATTGGATTTGGATTGATTTGACCTAATTAAGAGACAGTCTAACGGCCATATATATTTTAACGCAGACTTAGTTCATGAAGTGGTAGATTATATATGATGATCCAAAGGGTCTTGAAATACCCTACTATTTGTACCTATTAAAGAAAACAGATAACATGTAATGATGACATAAGTTAATGTTTTTGTGGTTCCAGAGACTCCTTGGATTTAAGGTTTTTGTTCTTTAAAGTTATATAGCATGTTTTTGATGAACGATTTTGCTTGAATGTTATGCATAACAGAGAACAGTGATAAAGACCAAGAGCGTGGAGTTCATGCCATTTTTGCTGTCTTTTTTCCTGTTCCTCAACGGAGGTGTTTGGACAACTTATTCAGTTCTTGTCAAAGACTTCTACATCGGAGTAAGTTCTACGATTTTCTGTCATTTCTGCAACAACTTCAGATGTTCCGTTGAGTGACTTGTCCAATTTCAGGTGCCTAATGCAGTTGGTTTTGTATTGGGGTCAGCCCAATTGATCCTATATGCAATGTACAAGAACAAGTCAACATCAACCGAATCAGTGGAGGTGATGGCAGAAGATGGCTCGGACCGCCTGGAGGAAGGAGGCTTCGAGATGCTTGGACGAAGAAATAACGACGACAAAGATGACCACGACGAGGGCAATTTGAAGAACAGAAGTCTCAGTAAGGGAAAGAGCCTGCCGAAGCCACCAGTTAATAGAGAAGACAGCTCGCAAAAGATCATGAAGACAGTCTCTTTGAGTGATAATGAGTTGCAACATTCAAATCGGGCTAATGAGAGCGATATTGAGAATGGGAAAATTGATAGCCACCCTTGATTGAAAGGGCAATTATTCAAGAACTTCGTTTTGATTTGTTTTAAGAAGATCAAGCAGACCGCATACTTGTGTTTAGTTACCTTTGCATGTAGTGTTTGTATTCCTTACTATGAGCTATATGGTTATGGGCTGCACATTAATTACTTTTTGTTCACATATCTTACTTATATAGACAAAGATGAGTACGGAGTAATTGATTTTTATTTATGAAAAAATTTCTTTGTTGTACAATGATTCACATGATTGCAAACATCAATTTTTGCGATTGAAACCTTAACATTAATGATCTTCTAACCATGATTAGCATTCCAAGAGGTATTTTCGAGGAAGAATTGGAGAAAGGCATCTTGTGTGACAAATGCTATGATGAAGCTATCCTAAAATTAACGTTTTTTTTTTGGCATAAATTCGAACAAAATAGTAGAGCTTAGCAATAAATGCCAATCTCAAAATGTGCATGGTAAAATTAATGGTATTGAGATAGATAAAGGTTATATATTTATATCACTTCATACTCTAACAATATCCTTTTAAAAATGTATAGAGAGAGAGAGAGAGACTTAATTGCATAAAATTTGTAAGGTAGGGACTAAAATGTTTTATGAATTTTTTTGAAAAAACAAATAATAAAGGATCAAATTGTAAAAATATTAATTTAAGGACCAAAGTAAGTTTTTGAAAATTTCAAAGACTGAAATGAACTCACATATGCAAATATTTATCTACTTAGTCCTAACATGATTCTCAAAATTTTTTAATGATGGATTACATAATACCTAACTAAAGCTTAAAATAAGTTAATTTTAGAAACTATAACTACAAATATTTTGGGAAATATACTAAAATTAAGTGTGTATTTTCATATGATCTCTTTAGAGGTTCTAAAAAAATTTGAGATAATTTCAATTTATTTTTTATTTTTCATAATTTATTGTTCAAATAACAAAAGCAATAATCTCCGAGTTTAAAAATTTTTGAAATTATTTGTAAAAAGTGATTGAATTTTCATATCATTTATGAAAAAATTTAGCTCAAAATATCAAAATTTGGATTTTTTTTAAAACAGTCATTTTATTAGTGATAACAATCAAATCGAACAAAAGACAATATTTATTCAAAAGATGATAATTTAAAGACAAAATTGATTAAACTGATAGTACAAGCCTCAACCTGCCAACTCCAACGGTTCAAGGGCAAACACTGCCATTAAACCGGTTGCAATTCTTGGAATTTTGGATGTGGGATCTGTGGCAGGTGGAATTCTGGTTACCCGTTTGGCAATGCATGGGAACTTGCGGATCAATGTGATAGGAATAATTTCTGGTTCACCTCTTCTGGCAATGGTAATCAACAAGTTTCTGCTCCTTCCAAAAATGAAAGAGTTAATTATCCAATCACAGAAATTAAATGTTTAAACAGAATCATTAACTACGAGCAAGATTAATTAGTTAGCATCGTATAGTTAATTCAATATTAGAAAGAAATAAAAAAAGAGGCACTTCATAAAATAGGCCTAGTGAAGGGTTTTAAAATTTAGAAGGATTTGAAGAGAAAATAAGTAGATGAATATATATATATATATAACAATTATAGACTAGCACTTAACAGTTAGCACAACGTGATTAAGATGTTTTGGATTTATTTTTATTTCATAATTTAATTAAATGCATAATTAAATTAATTAATTATGTCTTTAATTATTCGTTTTTTGAGACAATTAGTTTTTAAGTTTTAAACAAATATGATCCTTCGATTGTGACTGTTAGAATTTAATAGTTGGTTATTTAATCAAATTGAAATTTCAAAAGTTATGTTTGTTATGAAAGGGTTCCATTAAACTATAAATGGAAGAATAATACACAAGAAAAAACACATTATTCTTTCTTCTGCAATTCTTTTCTTTTTGAAGCTCTATAATTTCAAGAGAAAATTTCTAAAAGGAATTTTACGCAATTCTTGAGGTGCGAAAATTGATTCTTAGAGGCGAATTATCAAAATTCCTATGGTATTATATGGCGAGCAATAATAATCATCTTAAGAATAATGTGAAAAGATTTACGTGCATAATTAAGAACTACAATCTTTTGTTTTTATCTTCAATTTTACAATTCTTATTTTTTTTAACATCATATAATGTTGGGCAGCCAACAATAGGGAAGACCAAGAGTGTAGAGGACATGCCTTTCTTTCTTACACTTTTTTCTTCTTAAATAGAAAAACGTGAACTATCTATGAAATAGTTTTAAATAAAGGTCATGGTTGAGAAAATGATCACAACACAACTTATTATGATAGTAAAATAATGATCACCATAATTAATGGCATGAATATATTAATAATTATTAATAAATTTATTTTAATGCGCATATTTTTAACGGATTTACCAATTAAACATATGAATAAGTAATAACATATTTAATAGTTTAATATCATACAATAATAGTTGAATTTCTTTAAAAAAAAAAATTAATAACACTTCTAATAAATTAAATTGCATAGAAAAATTATTCATAATATAATTAAAAATGTAATACTAAGTCATCTATTATATTCAATAGTTATATTCAAAATAACATAATATTTATATTAAGCCAGAAGTGAAGGGTGTATTTTTTTTTTTTTCCCGAAAGTGACAGAGTCCATACGTTTGATTGATTGCAATTTGCTTGCATCCAGCAAAAAATTAAAATACCATTAAGTTTGCCTTTGACTTGATTGCACTCAATCAAATTAAAGCCTCCAAAGCCTAAAACGAATACTCTGAGGCTGAAATGAATACTTCCTGTGAAGCATGCTGTTAGATTATACTGATTTTTTTCCAGATTTATCTTATTTCACGCTTATTTATTTCAAGACTACTACAAGGTTTTAGAAGTAGAAAAAAAAAAGCTGAAAAAGGCACAAGCGTGAGCTGCAATTCATTATTTCATTACCGTCACTTGAATAAAAGAGGAAGTCCCACCACACTCCTACATCAATTCAAGATTTCCACTTTGTACCAATTTCTTTTGCTTCCCTCTCATATCAATTCAAGATTTCCTCTTTTCTGTAACAACTTCTTTTGCTCCTCTCTCTGAGTTAGTCTCAACTAAGCACTCAAATACTTTATGACTACAAGGCAAAGGCAGAGATTTCATCATTGTCACTTAAACATCAGATGTGAGGGCATAAAAATTACAGCAGGAGGCTAGATTTCAGAAGACTGCAAAGGCAGATTTTTTTTTTTAAATATAATGCGGTTATATAATAATGAATAACAACATTACATAACTGTATCGTCGTTATACATGTGAAATGACGTTAGGCACCCATAATGTCAAATAATGGTAACGGAGTCTCTTAATATTGTTCTACAATGTAACAATCATTATTTAAAACTATTCCATGCCGTGTTGGCGAGAGACTACTTGCATTTCAGCCTTTCAAGGATTTTCTTTTTCATGCAAAATTTACTATTGAGGTTAGCAGTCTACAATTATGAGCTGACAATTGGCACACTGTATTCATAGGCATCAAATCGGACTGGATTTATATTTGGAACATCCAAATTAGTGCTCTACGCAATCTACAGAAAGGCCAAACCATCCAAAATTTTATCATGAGAATTGATGGAAAAATAGCAAATGATCTGAAGTCAGACTTGGGAAAAGGAGAGGACAGAGAAGTTTAGGAAGAGAAACTGAAGGACTTGTAAGTAACCTGACATTGTCTCAGAAGCTAGAAAATGAACTCCACCGGCAATTGAAGCAGAAGGAATTAAATAAGGGTGTGCTTTTAAATTAAGGATCTCTTTTCCATTATTTCCAACAAGAATTCAGGAGCCTAAGTTTCGACTTCTAATCCGGCAAAATGAAATTCCAGTTAGCCCCTTTGACTGATTATCATAACCAACGAGAAATGAGTAATGACAGTATTCTGGTTTAAATAGAAAAGTTAACAAGCACTGTTGCATAGTAGATAATACAATAGAAGTGTGGCTCGACAGTTGAAGATCATTTCTTACCTTAAAGCAGCACATCAAGAAAGTAATCCAAAAAGGACAACTTCCTGTATGAAAAACAATCCTAGTTTTGCTCACCAGTCTTCCAAATTTTCAGTTTTGGTTACTGGCCCTTGCATGAAATGCCTCCCTCTCAAGACTGAAGCAGATGAAAGCTACATAAATTAATAATTCCAAATAATTTAAGAAAAGCAAAAAATCACCATGTGACTCATCTTTAGGGTTGTTCAATTTCAAAACTTAATCACTAGAGCAAAGAAACAAAAGAAAAGGCAAAGGGACAAAATAAAGAAACGTTTGAAGGTAGGCAATCTCAAGTTGTGAAACAAAAAATGAAGAGTTGCATTCATTGATCAAAAGGCACGTATACAAGGTTCACATTACACGTTCTAGCAAAAAGGAAATTAGACATTTAACTTGGATAGCAACCTCTTGGCATCCATCAAAGTTGTAATGACAGTTTCGTTGACTTTACTTGTCTCATTCTGCCACTCAGAAAAACTGCACTTTGCTTTCTTGAATTTTTCTTGTGTATTCTTCAGCTCTGCCATTTTCCACTTTCCCTTCTCAACATTCTTTGAAGTTGAAGCTTTCTTAGACAGAATCGATTGTTTCCTTGCCATTAACTTTTGGATCTCCACTTGGATTCTAGCTTCTTCACATGTGAGCTCAGACAGCTTTGATTCTTCCGCTTGTAATGCTAGCTTCTCTCTGTCAATCATTGCTGAGAAATCAGGATTTTCTTTGTGAAGATTCTCGAGTTCAGCTTGAGCGAAACGCTTTGAAGACCTTACACAAGAGACCTTGTCCTTAAGTGCAGTGAGCAGTTGCCTAACATCTTGGAGAGTCAGGGTCTTTACTTCATCCCCTAAATGATAAAAAATCAAAGTATCAACGGTTCTCTGCATGTTACTCAATTGATTGACATTGTCTAAATTGGACTCTAAGAATTTATCCATATCCCTTTTCAGCTTCTTCCACTGCTGTTCAATTTTAACGGGCAGGTCATGGCTCTGCTGACAAGTGGTGTCCCCTTCTTGTACGGCACCCTGCAAAAGAACTGTATAAGATTCTAACACTAAAATAAAAGACCCCAAGGCAAGAATACATGATCCTCAAAGAATAAGAAAGCACGGCAAGTTCATCTCCGAGTGGCAGCAGTGTGGATTGAAAGAAATAGCAAGCAGACAACAGTCGACAGTGTTCAAGAATTCAGGGAAATCTAGTTACGAATTTGCTGTGAAGTAAAACGGAAGACATTTACTTCCAAAGCTCTACAGTCAAAACCCTCTTTAAAAAGTCCTAAAGACATTTGTAGGATCAGTCCATATAAGAAAAACATAGAATTGCCTTTCCAATCCACCGCCCTTTAGCTTTCTGGTCTCAATCTCTTTATTTTTCTATTGCTAGTTTCAGGCTCCTTGTATTCTCGAAGTGGCTTTTATGAGTGCTGTCCATCTGTAATGTACCTTTGATTAATGAATTTCATTCACTGAACAACAAGAAGAAAAGAACCTGCTGATCAACGGAAGCTTCAAAGGATGACTGCTCTTCCATTATTACATTATCTATTGAAGGTGAAGCGTTCTGTCAAGACAAACGAGATTTCAAATTTAGCTTCTTTATTACAATGTAATCGTGTATAAAGTCTGTGTTGAAAGCAGTCATCACCTCTTGATTACTGGGCTCTTGAGGTTGCTCCATTTCTACCGATGAAGCTTCTTCTACTTCATTCTCCTCCTCATCCTCCCCTTCATCTTCACCCTCAGTACCCAACCTATCATTCAACAATAGGGGGTATCGCATGTGAGGAGGCACTGATCTATATCGCCGCCGAGGGAAAGGTCTTACATTCAGATCAATCTCATGAGAGTGTTGCAAATTAATTTTGTTGATCTTCCACAGACCATCCTTCTGCAAGGTAGAGCTTACAGCAACATGGCACCCCTCCCTCCTTGATGGCCTCAGAGAATCTGATTTTCCCTCTTTATTGCATACCATGCGGACACCACAAATTTCACCACTGGTCTCATCCTTTCTTGAAGATCTGGTTCTCCATTCAAATCCAACACCCTTTGCATAAGAATACAAATACTGATTCAGTTCTTGTAAACTACCAAAAGTCTGCCCATTATATGGCGGATCATCTAAAAGAAGATCGATACCATTAGACAAAGATGGGTTACCTGCTTCTCTCATTTCTTTCTCCTCCTCCTCCACTCCCTCCTCCTTTTCTTCTTCTTCCTCAGTACCCAAATTACCACTCAATGCCAATAGATACCGTCGCCGAAAAATTGGGGTTGCATTTGGATCTATCTCATGACGATGTTGCAAATGACTTTTGTTGATCTTCCACTGACCATCCTTCTGCAAGGTAGAAGATATGTTAACATCACACCCCTCATTCTGAGAATTTGGCCACTTTCCCTGCTTGTTGCCTTTCTCTTTGCTACATATCATGCGAATAGCACGTATTTTTTCACCAGTCTTGTCCTTTCTTGAACTTCTGATTCTCCATGTAAATCCAATGGCCTTTGCATAAGCATACAAGTATTGAATCATTTCTGCAAAACTACCAAAAGTCTGTCCATCGTATGGTTTCCCCTCCTCCTCCTCCTCCTCCTCCTCCTCTTCTCTTTCTTCCTCGTTGCCTGGCCTATCTTTCAATGCTAATAGATGTTGTTGCAGATGTAACGGGATTGCATTCAAATCAATCTCATGACAGTGTTGCAATTGAATTTTGTTAATCTTCCACTGACCATGATTTTGCAACGTAGAAGATACCGCAACAGCACACCCCTCCCTCCTTGAAGCCCTAAAATAATTAGAACTATTTCCTCGTGGTCTGTGGACTCCTTCTTTGTTGCATACCATGCGAACAGCACGTATTTCACTATTGTTCTTATCCTTTCTTGAACTTCTGGTCCTCCATTGAAATCCAATAGCCTTCGCATAAGACTGCAAATACTCATTCATTTCTTGTAAACTACAAAAAGTCTTTCCATCATACGGTGGTTCTATTAAACTAAAATCAACACCATCATCAGGCAAGGATGAGGGACCTGTAGCATCTGGTCTTGAGAAATTTGCATCATCACAACGAACCTGGTCACCTTCATTCAAAGTTACTCCATTTATACTTGCCGGAAGACGGAAATCATCCATATCTAATCGATGACTACCATCCTGCGAGACGGAATTAAATAAATCTGCAACATACAAGGAGTAACATATTCAGTTGAGACAAAAATAAATAACAAAATGCTGCCATTTCTGGTGGGAATTTGCTTGCATTCTCATGGCTGACGATTCTACTGAAAAAACTATTTCCCATAATCATTACGCAAAAAATCTTGGGGTTTGTGCAACCCACCAATTGGATGCATCATTCAGTAACAAGCATTAATCTTTTCCCTTTTTTTCATTTATGTATTCAAAATGAATCCAACAAATAAACAAGAAAATGATTAATTATGATTAAAAAAAGAAACTTGAAAGGAGCAATAAGAGAATGATGAAGCTAACCAGTTAATACTCTGTTCATAAATCTGCTTCTTTCCATAGAAAGCAAGAAACTTTCAGCCTTGTGTCTTATGGGTTTTCTGTATTCAATCCAACAATGAGTTCAAAATCAAATAATTTACTTCTGGGTTGCTATAAATGCACAAATTTCTCTCTGATTTTCAAATTTTAGGCTTCTCATGCATTCTGATTTCTTCTAAAAAGGAAAAAGAAACCCAGAAGTTTGCATACCAACCTCACTGGCTCTGACGCGTCGTCTGTCTCTTGGGGTCAACGACCTGCCAGCTGCCACACCCATTTTGCTTTCCTTTTCCTTTTTATTTTCAATTATTGTTAAAATAAAAGACTATTGATGTATTGACTTGGATAGAAATTGAGTTTGCTTTTCGTATGATTGTTTTTTATTATTAATTTAAGAGGATGTCGTAGGAAAAAAAGAAAGAAAGAAAGAAAGAAATTTCGTGAAAATATGGTTCTTAATAAAAAAAAAACTGAATTGAATTGAATAAAAATAAAAAAATTAAAAAATAAATAATTTTTCTTAAGGTCAACATAATGGTTGAAAAAATAATAATAAAATTTTAGAATAAAAAATAATGCTCTAGAATATCTCATTATTAATCTAACAAAAAAAATTGATGAAAAAATTAATTTTTTTAACAAAATTAAAACATAAAAACTAATTTCTTGAAAAAAAACTAATTAATTCGTTTTTGAAACGAGAGAATAATTTATAATTTACTCTTAGCATTATTGAAAAAGATATAATTTTAGTCCAATCACATTAATTTGTTTTGCTTTTTTTTCCTTATAAATTATTTACTCCATCAAAATTTCAATTTTTTTAATGCAAAACTCGCCCACAAATCACTCATGATATGGTCAATGGATCACGCAACCAGTCCATCACTTTCATTAAAAGAAAAAAAAACAAATTATATATAGGTTAGAATTAATTTATTTAATATCATTTGAAGGGGAAAAAAAAAAAAACCTAGAACACAATGCTTTTAAGAAAGAATAAACCCATGCCACTTTTTTAGGTTACATTACTAACTGCTCCTCTGAGGAACTGGTTCACATATTTTCCAGCCAAAGAAAACACAATTTCACTTTCCCGCCTAAAACTACATTCATGGCGTTGCGGTCCAAGAGCTGGCAGCTGATCTTTGTGCATGAACATCATGGTGTTACTTGCACATGCCTTAACTTAACACTTCAACATGAAAGTAACAGAATTAACCTCCTGAGCTGAACCTAGCAGGAAAGTGGATGTGTTTTTCACCTTGTCGACCATGGTTCAGCTCCAAGATTAGACTATGAGAATGTAGTTTCTCACAAATCCCTTAATCTCGACGGAAATAATTTCTTTTTGACAGGATTGGAGAAGTGAACATAGTTTCAATCATTGCAAGTTGTTTGACGTAAATGATATGCTTTTGACTGGATTGGAGATGTGAACGTAGTTTCGATCCTTGCAAGTTATTCTATTTATCTTGATGGAAAAGAGTTGTTTTTTATTGGATTGAAGAGGTGAACATAGTTTCAGTTCTGGCAAGTTGTTCCCTTAATCTCAACGTAAATGACATGCTTTTGACTGGATCGAAGATGTGAACATAGGTACAATCCTCACAAATTGTTCCCTTAATCTCGACGGAAATGAAGTGTTTTTGATTGGATTAGAGAGGTGAACATAGTTTCAGTCCTCCCAAGTTATTCCCTTAATCTCAACAGAAATAACCTGTTTTTGACTGGATTGGAGATGTGAACATAGTCTCAATCCTCGCAAGTTGTTCTCTTAATCCCGATGTAAATGACCTACTTTTAACTGGATTAGAGATGTGAACATAATCTCAGTCCCCGTAAGTTGTTCCCTTAATCTCAACGGAAATGAACTGTTTTTAATCGGATTGAAGAGGTTAACATAGTTTCAGTCCTCGTAAGTTGTTCTTTGGATGCAACATGATTGCCAGTAACAGAAAAAAGAAAAGATAATAACAGAATAACAAACTTGTACAAACACAGCGAATTGTTTGTCTTCATTTTCTTTTCAGTACCGTTTTCAGTTTCATCTAATGTGACCTTTGCATGCAACAGCAACAACTCCCTCTCTCAAGAATGATGTGATCAAAACAGCAGATGAAAACTATACCCGTCAATATTCCCAACAACAACTGCTATAAGAAGAGATAAAGCACGAGCACGTCCACACGAATGTATTAAGGATTGTATCAGCTCCAAAGCTGCACCTATAGAACAACAAGTGACTAACTATTCTGCTTTAAATAGAAACACAGAAAATGCCATATAGATACAGCAGATCATACATGAAATGGATTTTCTCATTTTCAAACTAACATGAAAGAACCTGATTGCACAATAATTAGGAAATAGAGACCAAAATATTTTTATGAAAACTTTGAGGACTAAAAACTTATAAATAAAGGATTAAATTGTTTTACAATTAATTTTTGTATTGACTGTCGCAATATTGACACTGGAAACAAGTATACTCAACCTTCTTGATTTTTGCATCCAAATTCTTGAACACTTCCATTTTCTGCCGAAGCTGAAGCTTTTAGCTTGAGCTTCCTGAGCAAGAACTGATTCTCTCTTCGGCGTTTGTATTGGATATTCCACATCGAGTCTGGCTTCTTCGCTTCTGATATGAGGTCAGAAAGATTCGAGTCGTCAGCTTCTAATGCCAATTTCTCTCTATGTTCAGCTTTGCGGGCAGATCATAACTGAAGACAAAAGGGAAGGATCTTATCCTTGAGACCCTTTAGTTCCTAATTTCCTTAAATCTCCAAGAATGGTAGCCCCAATGGATCCTCGGAATGATGATAGAGGGTGTCAACAGTTCTCTCCATGCATGTTACTCAATTGATCAGCCTCGATAATTCCAATAGAGAAATAGGACTAAGTTGACAAATATATCGCACATCAGTCGATAATTGTAGCATGCGAGGCCATAGAGTCACCCATCACAGATTGGAAAAGAAAAGAGAGAAGAAAAAGAAAAGAGAAGAGAACATACTTTCTGTAAATGCTCTCACTTTCATCTCCTGAAAAATGTTTCAGATAGCCTCTCAGCCTGACTATATAAGTTACAACTAAACATTTTGTTCTGACTGAAATTTGAAAATTTACTAACAATGTCATATAGATACATTGTCAAACATGCTTTACTTGCATACTCGTATATTCCATGGAGGAACCTGTTTTCAGTCAGGAGCAAGTAGCTTGCTTGTGTATTACTCACTCACCAGTCAATGATCATTTCATACCCAAATTTAACAATTGAAGAACATAATCACAGAATCCAAATGGCAAATCAATACACAAAATTCGATTTTTTCTCATCGCGATATTCCTTTGAAGTCTTAACAAAATTTTCATTTTCTGATCCTTGCATGGAACAACTACCATTCTCAAGACTGATGTGATCAAAACAGTACACCAATTAATATAGCCAAAAAAGCTACAAGAAAGCCAGAAAGAGCATATAGATATACGACAAACATCAAGAGGGAAAAAAGGGAGCAGAAAAAGGCAAGTACCTACATTACATGTCATTCGAAATTGAGAAATAACAAGTTAAAAGGTTTTATTGTTTGATCAGAAATCAAAAGTACTACAAGGTTCACAATTACAACATGTACTATGAAAAAGATTTTTTTTTGAAAAAAGAAGTTATTTGAACAAAACCCTTTTGGCATCCATCAAAGTTGCGTTGATGGTTGCATTGACTTTACTCATTTCATTCCGCTTTTGGAAACAACTGTACTCTGCCTTCTTGATTTTTGCCTCTATATCCTTGAGCCCTTCCATTGTCTGCTTTCTCCTCTCAACACTCTCTGTAGCTGAAGCTTTCTGAGAAAGAACTGATTCTTTCTTTTCGATTAGTTTTTGGATTTCCACTTCAAGTCTAGTTTCTTCACTTGTGAGCTCTGAAAGCTGTGATTCGTCAGCTTGCAACGCCAGTTTCTCTTGGTTTAGCTTAGCTAGCAGATAAGGATTTTGTTTGCAAAGAGACTCGCGCTCAGACTCGGCAGAGTTAATTGAAAACAAGAGAGATGGGATCTTATCCTTGAGACCAGTTAGTTGTTTCCTTAGATCTCCCAGAATGGGGGTCTCTAATGCATCGTCTGAATGATGATAGATAGTGTCAACAGTTCTCTCCATGTTGTTCAATTGATCAGTCTCGTAAATGGACTCTATTGACATGTCCATATATTGTTTAAGCTTCTTTCTCTGCTGTTCAACATTCACAGGTGGGTCATGGTTTTGTTGAGGAGTGGTGTTGCCTTCTCCATCAGCATCCTGCAAAAGAAATGCTTAAGATTCTACCAGTAAAGCAAAGTGCTTTGGATCAAGACTGTAGGGATCTGAGCTCTGGATAATCTTGGGTCACTAATGAACCAGGACATGGAACATGCCCATCTGTATGTCTCACATATAAATTTATCAGGTGCGGATTGAAAGAAATAACAGGTAGAATTCAGTTTGAATAGTGTTTAGGCACCAGATAATCTTGTTGAACAAATACGCTACATAGAAATACTTCCTCAGAAATCTAAGGCTTTCTCATCTAATACTCAAGATATTTGTACCTCAAATTGTTCTCAAAAGCTTTTTCTATTTCTTTTATTCATTTTTTTGGAAAAAAAAATGGAAATAGAAGTACCTGATCATGCTCGGTGTGTATGGAATCTTCAACGGATGGATGCTCTTCTACTGTCATGTCATTCTGAAGGCAAAAGAAGTTTCAATCAGCTTCCAAATACATCATGGACTTAAATGGCTAAAGTTAAAAGAAATGTTTACTTCATCAGCTGAGGGCTTCTGATGTCGCAACTTAGTCAAAAGCAGATCAACATCATCATCTTCTTCATCTTCTTTTGATGATGATGATTCTTCATCATCTTCTACTTCTTTTCCTTTTCCTTCTTTATTCGAAGGCAGATCTTCTTCTGTGGATGACGATGCTTCCTCTTCTACTTCTACTTCTACTTTTCCTCCAACTTCTCCTCCTCCTTCTGTTGATGGTTCTAAAAGAGCTGAAACCATTCTTGCTCTACGTTTTGGAGCTGTTCCACATAAATTATCATACAATCACTAACAGTTGAGTAACAGAACCCTAAAATGAAATTGAAAAGAGAAGGGGGGGGAGCCATAAGATACCTCTTTGCAATTTCTGACGTGTTGCCCGTCGTTTCTTATGCATCTTTCTGTGACCATTTCCAAACTTGGAAACAAAATGTTTCTGAGCCTCAGAGAGATATGAAGAAACATTTGCCCAGCACCATAACCACCAAAAATCAAAGGCATGATCTGAAGATGGGAACCAATGAATCTGATGAACCTGCGACATTGCGGACTTTCTGGTGAAATAGTCTGTCTCTGCATGCTTAAGAACATTTGCAGCCACTGTGTTCCTAGAATGCCAAGGCTGGTTCATGGTTTGGTAGAAAGGGATAGGAACTGATTGGAGGTGTCCAAGTTGCCTGGCAAACTGGTTTGGGGAGTAAGGTTCAAGAAAAAATGAAGGAGGACTAAAATACGCTGGTAGATCCCGAGCAATGAGAACTGCTTTCCAGGCATCCTTTTCATCTCTAGCTTGTTTCTGATGAAGTGTGAAAGTACGAAACCAGTCAGCACCAAATTCCCTTTTAAGAAATGGGTTCCATTCCTCTGCTGGGCGTTTCCTTTTGCTGTCAGTCAAAAAGCGAAACATTCCTCGAAAGTTTTCTCGCATTGCTCCTGGCTGAAAGTTATGTAATCCCCATATGAGTAGATGCTATTAAAGTGTTGTTGCCTTGGGCTTGGAGGATGAGTAACAATGCTCCTAGCTGCAATAGGATTAAAATAAGCCTGAGCCCATAGCACCACTAGCCATAGAGGGCCACTTACATGTTCACTGAAATCTGATCTGAGAATGTTGCCTAGGCAATTATAGGCAAGGCCAAGTAAGAAGGGGGCAAGCGCTATTGAACCCTTTGCATGAAAGATGGTCTCAGCCACACATTGAAAGCCCTTCAGAACCATGACTGAACGGTTGCAAACAAGAAACTTGCATATCCAGTACAAGTAGAAAGACATTTCCTCTTGTTCTTTATCTCTGAGTGCCATAGCTCTAGTCATGAAATTGCCATAACTAGTTACACCAATCCCTTGATAAGTGTTCTTCACCTCTGGCGGTTCAGTACCTAATGTAGATAACTCAATGCCAACCGGGGAACAACTGGTGATTGCGACCACATCCTCTATTGTTATGCCCATCGGACCTTCAGGGAGGAGGAAAGCATTGCAACTTTTGTCCCAAAAACACATGAGTGCAGACATCAGAGGACCATCAAAGGAAATGAGACGTGTTGACAGCATAATGGTTTCATAAATTCTGAGGTCACGCCATTTCTGTCCAAGTCTCTTTTCCAACTTCTTAACCCAATTACAGTAAGTTTCATCTGGTATATGCCATCCAACAATTGGGCTGGAATTTTTGCACCAACTATGCCACGAAACCAAACTCGAGAAATTCTGCACCAGAATTTTGGCTTTCTCAGAAGGGTAATATTTAGACAACCTTGCAGCCACAGGCTTGTTATCTTCTTCTACAGATGAAGGCGAATCAAAACATGGACCGAGCTTGTAACACTGAGCTGAACCCAAACCAAAACTCGATGAGGTTGCTGTATCATGCGATTCATAAGCTTGCTGAACCTCAAGATTCACAGCACCTGAAACCACTGCCAAATCCTGAATTTCACGGCAATCACCTACAAGGCTAGGTACCGTACAAATCTTTGAAATCTTTGAATTATTAACCATAATTCAGTTTGCACCTTTTTTTCTTTCTACTGCAAGCAAAAAATCCGCTAAAATCACATCAAAATATGCTTCTCTTTCAGTTATTAATACTATCCTGATCCCAATCCAATCCAAACAAGCATTTAATTTACATGAAATTAAGTCTACCATAATAAATACTTAAAAAAAAACCAATCCCCATTTCTTGATTTTTCTTGCGAAGAAAAAGAGATTCCCATTTCATTTCCAATTCTTTAAGTGAACCGAACTTATAGTAAATTAACATGGGAAATCAGTAATCTCTAAAACAGTGCTGATTATTAATAAAGAAAAAGAAAAAGAAAAGAAGAGAGAAGATTCTTGACCTGGAATAGTGGAGATAGAAGATCAGCTTAACGAAGAAGACAAACACAGATATAGGCAAATGCAGTGCTGCATTGAAAGGTTCCTTCTTGCTGCAAAAGTAAAGTAGAGAAGTGGAGGAAGCAGAAGACTGGGAGACTAGAGAGAGAAGAAGGGTTTATTTTACAGCCCCCTTTTAGGAGGTGAAAGAGTGACCGTTAGAAGTGCAGAAAGACTTGGACTTTTTTACCAAGTCGAGAAAACCAGGACTAAACATAGTACTGGACATGACAAGAAAATTAGTCGTTTGTACTTTGTTTTTGTGCTTGATGGACACATTTCTAGGTTTTCATCCTACCAACTCCTTTTGTGCAAATATTTCCTTTTTTTTTTTTCAAATAATATGAATGCATTTCGATTTTGACACCAATTTTATTTTTCTTAAAACTGATAGATTTTTTTAACTCAATCATATTAATTGGTAAGCCAAAATTAGAGTAGAAAAATCATATCCGCACACCGAAATGATGACGGTTTCGATAAATAAGATATTGTAAGATTCGATAATATTAAATCACTAAAAATAATATATAATCTACACGTATTTGCTATAATTAATTTGTCTATAATTGTGTAATCTAGTCTTGTCTTGTTTAGTGTAATCAATCATGAATGTATCTTTTATTAGTGAGTACAATAAGTAACAAATCTATAACAAAAACTTCTTATATATAGCTCTGTGTATATGTACATTTTGATTTGTATTGTTCTATAAATATATTATACATTATAGAAAATTGTAATACATGTAAAAATTAAAAAAAAAGGCTAAACCTAATATTTTCATTATTTGTTCTAACCAATTCGTCAAAAAAAAAAAAAAAACCTATGTTATCAATTTCACATGAGTATTTTTCAATTTCATTCAATTAAAACAATTTTTTTAAAATTCAAAATTTATCCTAACCAATTGACTACTCTTTTTCACTAATTGATACATTATTATCAAATTATTTTCCATTCATATTAATATCATCATCCATTCTACGTTCTTTATTGAATATTTCTTTCTTTCTTTTTTTAATTTAGATAAATTGTATTCAGTTGACTAAAATCTAAAATACAAGTACTTTATTTAAATCAATAACATATAGCTTCTTCTTCTTCTTTTTCTTTTCTCTCTCTCTTTTTTTTTTTTTTTTGATAAATTGGTGAAAACAAGTATAAATAATGGGATAAATAGTTTTTTTTTTAGTAATATAAATTTTGAGACTATAAATATATTATAATTACATAACTGGTGAAAAAATAACAATGTATATTCAACATGATTTTTTTTTTTTTGATCCCCAAGGTATCTCAATTTTTTCAAAAATCCAAACTAATCATTCGTTATTCTATCAAACGTATAATACAAGCATAGTTTTTCAAAATAATTTTTTACATATACAAAAATTTGAATATGACATCATTTACTTAAATAACTAGAGCTTGTTCCACTCGTTTAAGCTTGGATCTTGGGTTTAACATTGGTTTTTTCAATTGAATGTAGTTTGACTCAATGAAAGATGCCACAAAGAGCAAGATAATTGGGCAAAATCCACATCTGTGCGTTACAAGACTTATCAAGTTAGCAAAGAAATAACATAACATCACTCCAATACTTACATAACATAAATTCAATTAAATTTTGAAAATTAAATGTTTGGGACTTAAATTAAGAAAATTGGAAAATTGGAGGACTTTCTAAGACTCAGTTATGCTGGCAACTTAACTGATGAAAAATGAAATGCTAAAAATGTGATGCAACAGTAATTTAATACACTAATTAAAAAAACTCAGTAGTTGGAGGACTAAATCAGGAAACAATATATAGTTGAGGGAATCATATGAATTTTTCTCAAATGAAACCCACACATTACACGTGGCAACAGAAGCAGAATGCCGAGTGCTTGAACCTTCTAGCTCCACCTCGAACAACTTAGAAATCTATCTTCTTTCCAGCACCTTCCAGTATCCGAAGAGGAAATCCTCATCTCTATAAAAAGGCCGATCACCATCAGCCTTTCATCAGCAAAAAAGCAAGCACCAAAAACCCATAAACACAGTAAGCAAGCAAGGAGAGAAAATGAAGCCCATTGATGACAAGAAGGACGCAGTGGTGATAAGGGCTGTGAGCCGAGATGAAGAAGGAAAGAAAAGGGTGGAGAAAGCCGAGGTGAAGACACACAAAGTAGACACCGTCAAGTACATAGAGAAGAAACTAGTGGATAAAGGGATAATACGCATGGAGAGGCACCCTGTAGATGGGAAAGGAGGGATAGGCAAGCCACCACCGAAGTCAGGCCATGGTGGGAAGTACACATGGGAAGGACCGGATGATGAGGCAGAGAGCGAGCTGGAGGGGGCGGCACAACCTGCTATTGACGAGAAGGATCCGAACTATGTAGACGAGGAGGCGGAAGAGAAACTTGTGAGGGGTGAAGAGAAGGATGTGGCTGATTTGATTGCCGGAGAAGTTGAGGTGGCTAAGGCCGTCGAAGAAAGAGATGGTGTGGCTAGAGTTGAGGTTGATCCTCATTTGGTTAATTGATGTAATTAAGGATGTATTTTGTTAATTTTGAGAAATAGAAGGATGTTGTTGTAATAGAATAACTGATTGTGTGAAATTTTAACTAAGGTTTTGTGTTTTCTGTTTCTAATAATTAGCTTCTGCATTAGTTTTTGCTTAATTCTCAATTTGTTTTAAGGATCAATTTTATATTTCGTTGGTTCTTCAGTGCAACGAATGGATTTTTTATTTTTATTTTTTATGAATGAAAATGGGAGTAAATTATAAATTAGTCCCTTTATGGGCAAGGAAAAAGGAACTAATTAATTCCCTTTTCAAAACTATAGGGACTAGTTTATAATTTATCCATGAAAATGGGGGGCAAACCTTAAATGGAACCTTTTTCATCAATTTACACCCCGAAGTTCTAGACTTCTCACTAATCTGTGGTATGGGGAACTTAATTGAGAAATTTCTCAATTAAGAAATCCAATCTTTTGGGATAATATTGATGCAAACATTCTCTTGGGGAGCAAAATCAATACTATTCAATAGTTGGGGAGGTTTGCCATGAAAATTTCATTAAACAACAGCAACAAAAGAAGCCAGCCAGAAAACCAAAAAAGATGAAAACTGGGGTGTAAGTTAAACAACAAATGGAAGGACACTTGTCAACAAACCTGTAAGATTCCTATAAAAAAATTCCAAACGGATAAGTACCTGTCGACATTTCTACGAGGAAGCTTATCTAAAATCTAACTGTACAATTCTAATTCATCTGGGATCTACACCAGCTTCTTTACGCGTTTCACATGCAAAATACTGAACTTTAATGGTTACCAGTTGAACAGTTCAAAAACCTTCAATACAGTATAATTATTCTGGAGGGAATCAGTCAGTCCATTCTCCTGCATATTTTGAACTGCTTGCTGCCAATGTAACAACACAATTTGAGAGCTTGTCTATAATTGTATTATAAATCAAATCTGTCTTTTTTCTTAAAAAGAAAAAAAGAAGAAGACAGAATTTACCACTCCTTAATCCAATTATTTTGTTTGAAGTACTGCAAGGTGCGAAAAGGAAGAGGACCTGTTAGTTCAAAACAATTGGATATGCAAAGCAATGGAAATCACCCATTGCAGCTTGGAAAGCAAAAATATGAGGAAAGGACATAACCTATATGTTTTAATCAGCATATGTTTCTGTTAAGAATAAGAAGTTCGAGATGTTTATATATAAGATAGAATCATGATTTATGAGCGTAGGTTTTTAAATTAAGGCAGCGTCTAATTCTTGTGTGTAAGCCTTCGCACAGGAGCTGATGGCTTGGTTTGGAACGAGTGGCGATTGTAGTTCTCCATGGTTCAGATCATTAAATATGGAATGGGAGCATATGGAGGAGGAGTCTTTGATGTGAAAGAGAAATTTGATGTGGAAGAGAAACTCAGAGGAGATTTGTTGAGTTGCATTTGTGAGTAGAAAATTACAAAAAATTTGGGGTTATATATTCAAGTAAATTATCAGTCTAGGCTTTTAACGAATGTACGCAGCCTTTTTGACCTTTTCATGCCATTTTCTGCTTTATCTTATCAACTTTCTTTTCATCTTGCTTTGCAGTTAACTTTTCAATCTCCGTTTTGGGGCTTCTTTCTTCGCATCAGAGCTCTGAAAGCTTTGATTCTTCGTCTTGTAGAGCCTTTCTCCCTGTTTAACGTTGGTGTAATAACAGGATTTTGTCTGCAAAGAGAATCTAGTTCGGCATTACCAGAATTTATAGATTTCGAGAGAGAATGGACCTTATCCTGTAGACCAGTGCGTTGTTTCCTCAGATCTCTTAGAATGGGGTCTCTAAGGCATCCCTTGAACTGTAATGAAGTGTGACAATGGCTTTCTCTATGTTTCTAAATCCGTAGGGACTGCTCCTGTGGTGCCTCTTTCTTTACAAAAAAAGAACATCATCAGATCAAAATTTTAGAGCAAAATCTTTTCGGCTTCGGTCTGTGCTGTTCAACATCTAGGCTGTGGTCATGTTAACAAGTCGCAGATTTAAGACGCGATCCTTAGTCTGGAGGGACGACTCTTGCTGTGCCCCTTTCATTAACCACATCCTGCAAAAAAACTACATCAGAACAAGGTTCTACAAGCAAAATAAAACACCTTCTCACACCATTAGGAATATTAACTTCCAAAAATGCTTAGGATATTAACAGTAGGAGGACTGCAGTTCTGAATTATCTTGCGTTAAAAGACATTTCCTATCTGTTCTCTTTAGATTAATTACCTGGATGATCTTACATTTATAGGCATAAAATATGGCATTCATTAACCTAATAACGTGTTAGGAATTTCCACTAACGAAGTGAATCAAATATGCTACGAAGTGAAACAGAAATAAAATTTCAGTGGCAAATGTATTTTTCAAAGAACGGATCCTATTCTGTAGTTGCATCATTCTGTCGAGGAAATAAAAATTTCAAATTCAGCTTCCAAAGTAGCTATGTGGTGGAGTTAATGGCCAAGTAGAGAACAGCAATTACCTCACATGAAATGGATTCGTGAGGTTGCTCCTTTGCCAAAATTACAGCTTCTTCCTCCTCCTCGGCTTATTCTATCGAAATAACAGATAAAGTTCCTCTTTTATGTCTCTGAGAAGGACCTGTTGATAGATGAGTAAAAAGACTTGATGATTAAATAGTGGAAACTTTGGAGTGTTCAAAATGGTGGGTTAAAAAAAACCACAAGTATGCTGCCTCTCAGTGACCGCTGTGATTGCACCCCGGCTCGTTTCCCAAGGAACCTTCCAGGAACAATTCCAAATTTGAGAACAAAGGCAGCATTTGAAGATGGGGAATAATGGATTCGTTTAACTTGTGAAATGGCAGATTTCCTGGTCAAATATTCCTGCTCAGAATGCTTAAGAACAGAAACACTCACTTCTTTTCCAGAATGCCAAGGCTGATCGATAGTTTGGTAGAAAGGGACTGGCACTGATTGGAGGTGTCCGAGTTGCCTGGTAAATCGGTTTGGAGAACAAGGTTCAAGGAAAATTGAAGAAGAATTACAATAAACTAGTAGATCAAAATTGGTTTCCAACCATCATTTTCATCTTCAGTTTCTTCCTGGTGAAGGGTGAATTTGCGGAACCAATTGGTTCCATATTGCCTCTTCAGAAAAGGGTTCCATTCCTCTCCTTGCCGTTTCCTTGAACGTTTTTTCTCGCATTGCACCTGACTTAAGATTATTTGGTCACCGTACGAGCAAATGGCTCTAAATGTATTTGATCACTCGGATTGGAAGATCCACAAGAGTGTTCCTAGACGCAATAGGAACAAAATAAGCCTGTGCCCAATTGCCCATAACAACACTAACCATGGAGGCACTTGCACATTCACTGAAATTTGATCTGAGAATGTGACCAAGATAATAATGGGCAGAGATAAGTAAGAGAGCCGCCAGTGCTATGGGAATTGGGACCTTCTGCATGAAATATGGTCTCTGCAACACATTGAAAGCCCTTCAGAATGTTACCCGAGCGATTGCCAGGAAGAAATTTGCTTGCCAAATACAGGTTGAAATCCATTTCTTCTTGCTCTGGATCCTGGAGCATCTCTGCTTGTCTCAAAAACTTACATAACTCGTTACCCCAGTCCATTGGTAAGTCTTCTTAGCGTCGGGTGGGTTTGTGTCCAACGTGGATAACTCAATGCTAACAGAAGAAAAACTGGTGATTGCCAACACGTCCTCCATTCTTATCCCAATAGGACCTTCAGGAAGTAGGAAATCATTGCAGCTTATGTCCCCAAAACACGCAAGCGCGGTTATTAGAGGACCATCAAAGGAAATGAGGCGGGTCGACAGTATAATGGTTTCATAAATTCTGAGATCACGCCATTCTGGTCCAAGCCTCTTCTCGAATTTCTCTACCCAACTACAATAGGTATCATCTCGTTTGTGCCACTTTCACAAGCAAGCGGCCATTTCTGAACCAATTAGCTAGGCCGGCATGAAACCAAACTAGAAAAGTCCCCACCAAAGTTTTGGATTTGTTGGAAGGATAACGCTCTAGCAACCTGACAATAGGAGTTCTGGTGGCTTTGACCATGGATTTTGGAAACATGGGCCAAGCTTGTAAAAGTGAGCTGAAGCTGAACTCAAACTTAGTTCGTCAAATGATTCATAACCTTGTTGGACCTCATGATTCACAGCATCAAAAAATGTCAACCGAATTCTTCGTTCCAAGGCATTCACCTTGAATGACAGGTATCTCACTAGTGTTCACAGAGTATCTTCTCATGATTTTGTTAGCTTATAATTTCTCTCAACTCATGCAAGTTAAACCACAAAATCAAAAAGTTGGCTAAAAATCGCACTCAAAATCCAACAATATTGTGACTAGCATTCAAGCCAAGTTCAGCCTAAAAGTTTAAAAAACAACACCTTATCAAAATGCTACAAGAAATGAAAATGGCAACCAGCAATCCCTCCAACATTGCTCATTTATCAAAGAAACAACACGACACAAGCAGTTATATATACTTTATCCATCTTATACTCGTAGTTTTCTTTTTCTGGATTCCCAAAGTATCCCAGACCCAAAGATCATGTTCAGTCGGATGCATAAGACGAACATGGTTATCTATAAAGTTTTTTACATACATAAAGATTCAAATTCAAGACCACTTGTTTAAACGAATAAAGCTCCTTCCACTCAGGTCAATCATTTTTTGATACTTTGATAGTTTTCTTTAATAAAAAAGTTAGAATCAATTCTAGTTTATTTAGTAACTATATAATCGGAGCGAGCTATTCTCGTTGTGTAGCCTAAGACCCATGGGCTTCCCTTTGAACAAAAAAGAAAAAAAACAACAAGAGTAACATAATTTTTTACCTAGCTAGTATAGAGGAGATGAACCAGAGGGAGAAAAAAAGGACCAAACAGCTTCAACCCTAGTGTCCCATGCATGGCCAAAGAAACTTATTTGTTAGTTATGAGAGAGTACTTGTGAGAGAAATGAGAAAAATAAGGAGGAGACTTTCAGAGAAGTTGAAAATACTAATGAGAGAGTACTGGCAGAGGAGCCAGAAAGGTTGATCTCTAGAAAATGAGACTTAACTATGTCACCAGGCAAACCTCAGAAAATTAGCTCCCTAATTGTGAACTTATTCTCAATGTAGTTCCTAAACTAAGAATGTTTTGAATTAAATCCCTGATGTATATCATGCATTTTTCTTTTGGATGCCTCGTCTGAAATTATCCCAGTTTCAATGGAAAATATCAAGTTTTCCTCAAAATAATTTCGTTCTATCATGATACATATGAATTAGATAGGAGTTCTAAAAAATTATGAGAACTGTAGATCTATAGTGTCTTTAAAGGATAAAAAAACAAATGACAAGAGGAATCTGCGCCGCTGCAAGCCTAATTTTACCATATTTTTCTTCAAAGAAAAACCTGAAACAAAAAGGATAGAACATACGAACTATTAATTCACATAGTCCTAGCAAATTAACTAGTGTTTTATTGCATCTGGCTGCATTCCTCTGGGATTCACCAGGCTGTATACTTTGTGTTAGGAAAAAGAAAACACATTGTATCTGGATATGTCATTACAATCCTCAATTAAGACGTTGGTAATATAGATGGACCTTTAATTTGGAAATGAGATGTGTTGGGGAGATTTTCACTAAGGATTAATTTGGGTTGGTATCTATAATTAACGTGCGCATAAAGATAGACATTATTTTAACCAAAAGCCAAACTAATTTTCGATTAAGTTTATTAGTAAAGTTATTTAAAATGTTGATCCTAATATATACAAATGTAATAGAATCCCTCGAGATATATATATATGAATGTAAAAGACGTAATAATTGCTTCAAAAGCATTATCGATTTATTTTGTACACTCATTTTATACATAATGGTTTTATTTTTAATTCATTGAATAAGAATATCTCCACTTACTCCTTCCTTATTATTATTTTTTTTAAATAATATTATCGATCCAAGCCCTTTTCATAATTTTTTCTCTCTTTCTTTTTTATCAAATAATTTCAAATTTAGTTCCTTATAAATCCAGATTTGACTCTTTTTTTCTCTACCAATATTTTTTTGGTTTTATGCACCCACTTATTGGGTTTCTATCTCCTTTATTTGATAATTACATCTTATGATTTGAAAAATATTAAGAGTTTCCGGCAATTATAGAGACATAAGATCTTCTACCAATAAAGTTTAATTGCACAGTATATTTTTCGATTGATTTATGATAATTTAAGATTTTTCTTACCGCGTGCATGAGATGCAACCACAGTCATATTCTTACAAGTCCTGGACATAGAAGATTAGAATATATATATATATATATATATATACGTACCTGCTTGATCAAGTCCTGGACATAGATGTTTAATATAAGCTGAAAACATTAAAGAAAAAGAAAAATTAATCATCACACATCTGAGATCTCTGCCTGAACCATGATCTTTATCAACTGTCATAATCTTTGAATGTCTCTTGTTCAAGACACCATTAATTAATATTCAAGAAAATGGGTTTTTTTTTTTTTTTTAATCTTTTGATTTGTCTACGACAAGGAAGGAACAATGGATGTGGATCCAAAGCTGCAATTAATGCGTGGTCATCCTCGATTAATGAATTGAAGTTTTGTACTGAATTGATATTTAATTGAGCTTGAAGGTTTTGTGTGGACCGTGGCTAGTAAAATTAATTGATATTACCAAAAATAATTGATTTATCTAATTGTGTGAATTTTCTAACGTACCCATTTCTCTTTACCTTTTTTATCAATAGAGTAGGAGGATAAATTTGTAAAACTATTCAGCATCAAAGAATGGTGATTTAAAGCTAACAAAATGCTATCTACTCTTGAAAGTTCAAGCCATCAAGAGACTTCAATTAATCGATCAAAACTCTTTCCACCATGTTGAGCATAATTGCCTTCTTTGGGGTCTTAGGTAAGTAATTAGCGACCAATATTTTGAGCATGAAATGTTACTATTTGTTTGCATCTTTTTGAAGTTTTCGGTTTATGCAAAGAAAAAACTCATTAACTTTCAGCTTCTTTATTGTGTTTACAGGCAACATCACCACCGGCCTAGTTTACCTTTCTCCGGCGTAAGTAAACTGGTCATATCTCAAAAAGCAAGGTTATTAATTGTTTTGTAAGGTAAAAAAATTCCCAAAGAAAGATTGATATGTTTAAATTAAATTAAATATTATTCAGGAAAACGTTTTGGAGAATTGCAAGGAATAGATCAACTGAAGAGTTTGAAAGCATTCCTTACGTTTTCAAGTTACTTAATGCATACCAATGGGTCTACTATGGCATCATCAAGCCGAACAGCTTGCTTGTCGCGACGATTAATGGTTTTGGTGCTGTGGTTGAGCTTCTTTTCATTCTGATATTTCTAATGTTTGCATCTTCTCAGAGAATGAGAGTAAGTTTTGATTTAAAGAATCATTCCTTTGTGTTTTCTTGGTCATTTTTTGATCATATTTTTGACCTAACATTAGGTTAGGACTGCCATACTATTTGGAGTTCTGGATTTGGTGTTTCCTGCAGTATCATTCTTGCTCATGCAGTTGATGTTACATGGACAGTTAAGAATTGATATTTCTGGGCTGTTCTGTGTTGTCTTCAGTATGATTACATATGGTTCACCTCTTTCAGCTATGGTAAGATTATTAATTTCCCTTTAATTTTCATGTTTTGAACTCTTCACTCTTAGATTTAATCTATTATCAATTAGATTAATTGATTATAAAGTACTCTAAACTATTAGTCGAAAACAAAATTCATAACCTTTTTTTTCCCCTAACTTAAGTCTCCAATTTTTTTGGTCAATAATTAAGTTTTTTCATCTCCTTATCAATTTCCAACAACATAAAAAACATATGTCCTGAAAAAAACTAAACATAAGACACACATTATTGTTTTATGATGACATATGTCTTTCAAGTGCATCTAATGTAATATGGTTTAAGATTGATTAACGATACAATAATAACACTTAATTATAGAGAAAAAAATATTAGAAACCTAATAAAAAAGATTAGGAACTTCTGTCTTATTGATCAATGGTTCATGATACTTTATAACTAATTAGTCTATTAATTAATATTTACCGTTTGATTTTCTTGAAATGTTGTACAGAAAACAGTGGCAGTAACAAAGAGTGTTGAGTACATGCCATTCTTGCTCTCGTTTTTTCTTTTCATAAATGGTGGAGTTTGGACCGTCTATGCCTTTCTGACAAAAGACTATTTTATTGGAGTAAGTTAGATTTTTCTCACAACCACCGTCAATTAACAGAATGATTGCTATATTTATTGTGGAATATTAATGGTTTTGGACCCCATGTAGATACCAAATGGGACTGGATTCCTTCTGGGGACAGCGCAATTGATTTTATATGCTATATATATGAAGCCTAAGCCATCCAAGAAAATATCTGATAATTTGGAAGATGGATGGAAACACGAGCCTCTTATCCCAGCTTCCAATTTGGTTTCATAAAAGAGTGGGAAATGATGTGATGACGTATATGAAATGTTTTCTATCATAAAGAAGTATGGAATAATCTACTTTTTTTTTTCATTTTTTTTACGTTTAAGCTAAATCGGAAATCCATAAAGTTGAATTGTTATATTTAAAAGGATTATGATATTAAAAAAAAAAAAAACACACACACACACACAAAATTTACATTTTTTAATTATACTATCACGTTCTTTTAATATTATACAGAAAATACACAAAACTAAATTTTTGTTAATCATATTAATACGTATGATTTTTTTCGATTAAAATTCAGTTAACATCCGACGTAGCACAGAATTTGAGCCCTTGCTATCAATATTTTTTTTACTATAACACCATATATTAATAGACTTTTAGCTGAAAAAAATACGTATGCTAATATGATTAATAGAAATTTATTTTATATATTTTTTGTTTAATATTAAAAAAACATGTTAATATAATTAAAAATACAAAAATTATATTTTTTTTATAAAATAAACCTACTTAAAACTCTATCGTCTGCCTTGAATCATTATAAGATAATCAAGATTTATTTCTGTGTAACTATGTAGGACGCAGGGGCATAATAAGCAAGGATTCATATCAATTATTAATTTGATGTAATCTATTGTTTCTGATTTTTTTATTCTTTAATTTTTATCAGTTTCTTTTAATTATTTTAGGGGGCTTTTTTTATCAATATAAAGTGCATGATTTTTGTGGTGGGTAGCAGCAACAAAAAGTTTGGAGAGATACAGAGGCGCCCATGTTTTATTTATTTATTATTTTTCTAATAAGTTCATCCGCGCCTGATTTAGTAAATTATAAATTATAAATTAGCCTTTCTAGATTCGAAAAATGAATTAATTAATCATTCTAGTTTAAAAAACTAAATATTTAATCCTTTTTTTATTTTTAATTTATTTATTATTTAAAAGATAAAAATAACAAATAACAAATGGATTAAAACAAGCTTTATATGTAAAAAATTGTTGACTTGATTTTACTGGATAGTGTAATAAAGAAAAATAGAACCGAGCAGAAATCAACGTATTAGCCACCGACTACACAGATTGCAAACAAGAAGACAGAATTAGGGATGGCAATGGTCGAGGCCGGGCGGGGCAGGGATCGCCATCTCCATCGTCACTCCGTCTCTAAAAAAAAAATCCATCTTTATCCCATGTTTCATTCCAGGTGAAATTTCACTTTTCATTTATGCTTCAAAAGATAAAATGACGGGACGAGATAGGAAAGGCCATCTCCATCTCCGTCCCGTGCCTCGTTTGGGATAAAATTTTACACTCCATGCCGATCCCAAACGGGGCGTGGAGAGGCGGAACGACGTTGGGGCATATTAGATTGTCATCCTTAGACAAATAGATAATGATCGTACGATACCATATTCGGATGTATCCTGGACGGACGGATATTGGGGTCAGCCAAGAAGCCCACTACTCGTTGAAGGCTTGTCAAGCTATGTGTCTGGGAAGATGACAGATTTCCACCAATCAAAAGAGCAGATGGTCAAGCTAGCTCATCCTTAAGGCTGCTATCAAGTGGAAAAGGCCCATAACATCATCATTTTTACCCATAAGTAATATGTCACTCTAAAGATATTTATTCTTAATTAGTCTCTAAGATTATAATTGATAAGGGAATTGACAGTCTTAACCTTCTCGCCAAGCAATTTAAAACTGTTCCCAAACTATAAACTTTAAGATAAAAAAGAATCATTTATGCAATAAGTTGCTGGCTCAGTATTCAACCAAATGGTTCTTATATAAATTTTTTTTATTAATATGTAAGGTTTAAATTTTAAAATCATATTTGTTGAAAGAAGTTGAACATTATCATTCTCATTCCAAACATAATTAGTCTTTTCTCTAACGTAAAATGAAGATACTTTGAGTCTATGCTTTCAATCTCTATTTATCTTCTTTTTTATACTTATATTATTGTCTTTTTAACTCATACTCCTTCCTCTATTTAGAGTATCTTTGATAACCTATTTAAATAACTTAAAAAATTAAACTGTAGTACTTAATATAAAAAGTTTGTTTGATAATCTAAATAATCTCATGTTTAAAATTTAAATTTAGTCAAACTTCACTTAATTAGGTAAATTAAGGTTTTTAACTTAAATTTTTTTTTTGACATGCTAAGTTGAAAGATTTTGAAAACTATTTAAATATGACTACATAATTCTCACATGTTTTTATAACTCTCGCTATATAAATGGATTGAGAAACAATTTTTGTTATTCCCATTGTTGAAACAAAGGAGACCTTCCAACTACTGCTCCCACCACCGAGAGACCACCATCAGCCAATAGACACAACCACCACCTTTGATAACAACAACTCCACCTAACTAAGGCCGCCTCTATTTTACAGCTAAAGAAAGCACCAAACTTTTTGCAAGGCAACAAAAACCTCCATCAAAGTTTGAATCTTTTTTATCAGTTGCTTCATTTCTCTATGCTAACAACTGGGTCTTTGGTCATTCTCTTCATTGAGCAGAATCCACACCCACCCACCACAACATAAAATATCAGGGAAATGTAGTCTCGAAGTGGTATGGATGATTTTGTGGTCCCCAGGGATCAAGAATTATGTGATAGGCTTCCAGCACCAGAGAGTTGGTCGAAATGGCGTACAAGCGCATGAGAAAGTCATGAGTTTTTTAAAATTATGAAAAAACACTAAAAGAACTGAGAATGAGACTTTATGAAAAAAATTAAAAGAAATGAGAGTAAGATTATTCATTCCGAAGCTCTAGACTCATTGTACTTATTTATGTATTTTTTTTATTGCTTTTTGATTCTTCTTTCCTTGAGAGATAAATTAATTAGTCAATTTAGTTTCAAAACTAATTTTTTTTTATCATTTTGATCATTTTACTATTTTTATTTTTTGTTTTAAGAAATAAAAAACAAAAAAAATAATTCTTTGAGAAATAAATTAATTATTCCCTTTGGTTTGAAAACTCATTTTTTTATCCTTTTTATCATTTTCATTTATCTGTAGCAGTTCGTTTAAAAAAAAAAACAAAATCTAGCCTCCTTTTTTCCCCCTTTCGGGGTTGGGCTGCTGGAATTTTACTGTAGCATTCCTTTTTTTTTTCCCACTTGTTATATTTGTAGGACTATTATTATAGTTAATAATTATAATATATTATTATTATATTTTACAAAAAAAAGCAATGCCTTTTTGTTTTTTTTTTTACATCTAGCCTCTTTTTTTTTAAGTTTTTATATTTGTTAAACTATTATTATATGATCAAATATATTATTTAGGTCCTTATTTATTAAAAATATATTTTTTAAAAATAATAAAATTATTTATAGTTGATAATTATAATACATTATCATTATATTTTACAAAAAAAATACAAAATAATTATTATAAAATAGAAATATATTTTTTAAAACAATAAAATTATTTATAATTAATAATTACAATACGTTATCATTATATTTTACAAAAAAAATCAAATAATTATTATAAAATAATTATTTTTATTTTGATTGTGAATATTGTATTTATGCAAGTGCTTCTTTTTTTGTTTTCTAATGTCTTGCCTCCTTTTTTTCTTTTTCTTTTCTTTTTTTCAGTTTCTATATTTGTAAGACTATTATTATATGGTCAAATATATTATTTAGGTCCTTGTTTATTAGAAATTTATTTTGTTTAAATAATAAAATTATTTATAGTTAATAATTATAATATATTATCACTATATTTTATAAAAAAAATCAAATAATTATTATAAAATAGTTATTTTTATTTTGATTGTGAATCTTATATTTATTATACAATATAATATTTTTTTATTTTAATTTATGATATAGATAATATATTAATATATTATTTTACGAATTTGAATATATATAAAAATTGATAAGTATTTAGTAATATAATATATTCAATAATTATACCATATAATTAAATTAATATTACATTTTATTAGTTCAATATTATTTCAAATATATTGGAATAATATTAAAAAATTTATTAATAAATAATTTATTTAAATATCATATAACAATCGTTCCCCTTCTATATAAATAATTGAATTTTAGATTTTTATCATGAAATTAGGTGTATAGATATATTAAAAAAATCATCATTATTTTTTTATTTTACACATAGTTTGACAAGTAATAGAATATATATGATATTTTTTAAAATTTTAGTTTGAACATATATATCCGATAATATTATTTTTATTACTTAAAATTTATTTCTTCAATTGTTTGTTTCTTATAAAAATTCTCATTGAATTAATTTTTAAATTTTATATGATTATATTTGTTAAGAAATTTGATTTTTTTATATATGGCTTTTGAAATAAAATTTTAGAACTCGATTGTTTTATTTTTAAAAAATATATTATTATAATTTGTATAATTGATTGTTTTTATAATTTTTTAATGAAAATGACGTTGTTGCATATATAAATTCTAACGACAAAGAGAGAGCTAAAAGTATGTTTTAGATATTATAATTATTATAAAAAAAAAAAACTAGAGTTTTCCTTATTCATTTACCGTAGCGTTTTATTTTTTTAATTTTTTTTTAGTACCGGCTCGGAGAAGCGGGCTCCAAGCAACTCGCTTGGCTCATTTCATTATAGTTTTTTTTTTTTTAGAGCTGGCCTGGAGAAGCATTTCCTTTTTTTTTTTTTTTTATAGGCCTGGTCTTGAGAAGGGGCCTCAAGCAAGCCTCGCACAAGCGATCCCAACCGGTGTTTGCTTTCTTTTTTCTTCTAATAATTTATTTTTATATTTTTTATCATGAAATTAGGTGTGAAAATATAAAAAATATCATTATTTTTTTATTTTTACTTACAGTTTTACGGTAATAGAATATATATAATATTTTTAAAAAATTTTATTTTAAGCATATATATCTTATTATATTGTTTTATTGTTTAAAATTTATTTCTTCAATCATTTGTTTCTTATTAAAATTCGATCGAATTAATTTTTTAATTTTATATAATTTTATTTGCTAATAAATTTTATTTTTTATATATGGATTTTGAAATAAAATTTTAGAACTTGATTTTTTAAAAAAACAATATTATTATAATTTATATGATTGATTATTTTTATGATTTTTAAATGAAAGTAGCGTAATTGCATATATAGATTCCGATGAGGGGAAGAGGGCTAAATGTGTATTTTAGATAATTTTACTTAATTTCGTAAAAAATAATAATCGATTAAAAAATTAATTTGACTAAATTTTTTTAAAAAAATTTATAATTAGTTAAAAAAATTTATAATTTTTATTATAAAGAAAATTAAAAGAATTGGGGTATTTGAAGAGTGGCTACCGTTCATTTATCGTAAATTATAATTTTTTAACATTTTGGTCGTTGATATTTTTGAAAGATAAATTTTTCTATGGTGATTTTAGGCCATCAAATAATTGGAGGTAGATCGAGCTAAAAAAGAAAGAAAAAAATCTGATTTGAGTATGTATTTACTTTTTGTTTTAATGTGCATTAAAATAATTTTTAAGATTTTAAAAGTATTTTTTGACTTTATCTCGGTCGTTTAGAGGTATTTGAGGAAAAAAATAATACCAAAATTAAGTTTCTTGGGGTTTGAAACTAGACCCGTCAATTTTCAATAAAGATTTCAACAAGTTAGAGTTCGTCGAAAGTTGCAATTTTTTATTTTATTTTTTTTGTTGAACGGCGGTTGAGGCCTAGAGAAGCGAGGCCCAAACAACCTAGGCTTGGCTCCAAGCGGCGCCGAGCCTAAGCATGTCGGCCTCTACCGGCTTAAGCCAACTAGGAACGACCCTATCATTTTTTTTTCTTCCTATAATTTATTTTATATTTGTAAAAATCTGACCACCAATCTCATGATAGAACAAACAAAAAAAAGTTAGTTAATTATTTTAAGTCTTGATGTGTTTTAGAATTGCATCACCAAGAAGCAAAAGAAAATCCTTAAAGCAATATACGTATTGTCATAGCATAACAGGACCTCCAGCAAATGTTGTACAAGTTAAGCGATTATATATAATTGGTCCCTTTATTGGAAAAAAAAACATATATATTATTGGTCTCTTCAATGTCCCCGAACCAATATTAATTTATTTTTTCAATTATTATTTTTTTATTAAAATTCTCATTGAATTAATTTTTTATTTTTTTATATAATTTTATTTTTTAATAAGTTTGGTTTTTTAATATATGAATTTTGAAATAAAATTTTAGAACATCAATGTTTTATTTTCTAAAATATATTATTATAATTTATGCAATAAATTATTTTTATATTTTTAAATGAGTGTTTATAATATATATATATATATATACACACACACACAGAGAGAGAGAGAGAGAGGGAAAGCTAAAAGTATGTTTTAGATAGTTTGACTCGATTTAAAAAAAAAATTCACAAGTTTTATTTATTTTTTTATATATTTATTTAGAATTTATCGAATCAATTTTGTTGTAGTTTTTATTTTAATCTATTGACTTCAATATATTTTTACGGTTTAGGTGTGTTTTCTTTTTTGTATATTTTTCTATTTATTCTATATACTCGAATCATATATAGATATATAGGTTTGTTAAAAATTAACTATATATAGATTCGATTTATATTAATTACTAAAAATAAAACTTTCTACTCGTATTAGAGCATGTGAATTGTTAACACTACGTATATAACGATTGTCTATCCGTAGTGTAATATGTGTATCTAACTAGTGGATTCTAAAATGACCGAGGGAGATCTCAAATTCAATGGTGAAATTTTGAGAAATGAAGTTGAAAGTTTCTACAATGGTAAAAATCAGTCTAGTGGTTCATGCAAAAGTGGAGGATTGTCAGAGGAGACCCTTCCCCAAACTTCTCTTTCACGTAACCAGCCAAATTACAAGCTTGATCTTGCAGATCGAACAATTGGTGCTTTCATTTTTATATATTCATTTATACACACACAAACAAATTTATTTATGTATTTTTATTTTGTGTTAAAAAAATATTATGTTACAATTGTAAGATTAAAATTATCATGAATATAATTTTAATATGTTCAAGCAATAACACTTTTCAAACAACCTTATTATATACAATATTTAATTTTCAGTAAATACGAAACAACTTGTTAACATTATAATCAGTACTTAATTAGTCAGTATTTAAAATTTATTACTTAACGGATTTGACATTGAATTTTCAATTTTATTATACACCACTTTAGTTATCATGTGATTTTTCATCTAATCAAAATTACTTGTTTTATAAGAGTAATAGTAAACCATCTCTGCTCAATGGTGTAAAGGACCCTATCATCTTTTGAGAATATTTTTTAAAAAATACTATAAATATTTTATTTTATATTTAAAATTTACTTACTATCATAAACATAAAGGTAAACCTATGGAAGATATTTTGGATAAAAAATATCTTTAACTCCATCTTTATTTTAGTTTACTTTTTTCAATTTTTTTTAAGAGAATGACTAGGTATATCTTTATTTTTTCTTTTTTTTAAAAATTATTTATTTAAATTTGATAAAAAAATAAAAATAAAAAATAGATTAGAGAGGTGAGATTAAAAAAAATAATAATAACACTGTTAGTCTAAAAATTAACAAAAAAACGAGATTAAAACAAAAATCAAACATATAGAAATGAATTTTAGATGAATAAAAGTAGAGAAACACCGATATGATAAAAGAAAAAGTAGAGAAATATATGCAACCAATAACTCTTTCACCAACTTTATATTTTAAGAGTAGGAAAAAAAGGCATTTCTGCAAGAAAACTTTATCAACGGCACCACACACCAACAAAACATCAATGTAGACAGATTTAGAATATATAGGGACAACCTAAGAGCAAAAAATAACAGTAAAAACTGCTGCATTTGATTTGATAGGCAATGATCCCGACATCGAAAAAAGACACCAGATAACATCATTGAGCTTACAATGTTTCACCAACAAGTCAACAAATCCTCTCATCAATTGCATTATTACTGCTGAACTTTCCATTTCATGGAAGTGTTTTTTAATGGAAGTGAACGAATACTCGTTCATTTGTTAATCTATTCTCAAAAAATTGTATAATGTGATTAATAAAAACGTAATTGATTTTCCTTTCCATTACATTACAAGACGAAGAATCCTACTTAAATTATTTAATTTTTCAACTTTTTTTGTTTTTTTAATTAGGTATCTCAATCTTGTGTTAGAATGACCAATCATGTTGGAAGTAGGAGGAATAAAGTTTAATTTTTGTAGTGGCCAACAACTTGTTAGTTTTTTTTTTATGTAATAAAATATGAAATTTAATTTTTCTGAAAAAGAACAAGTGTGCCCCCCAATTATCATGCATGTCCCAATTGGGTCCTCCACCTATTGATTTTCCCAAATTCGTCCCCTTATATTTATATTTTGATCAACCAACCCTTCTCCCACACCTTAATCTGTATTTGACAATTCATTAAATAAGGTCACTCTCTAGCCAAGTTTTGAAGCAAACTTTGGGCTTATAAAAACATTTTCGTTGAAAATTTTGGGGATAAAGGACTATATTTATGAGTTTGCATATATACATGACCTTTTAGAGTAAAAAAGTTTTACGATCCCCAATTTTGCACCAAAATTTAACTACAAGGGGGACCTTACATGCCTATTTAAGAATCGTTACCTTAGATCACGGCAGGAGATTGATTGATCAATATCGACTCCAGTGGAACAAAAAGGAGGTGGGCAGGTGGGGAACCCAATTGGAATAGATATGATAGTTTAGGGGCAATTATGTTGTTTTCCCTTTTTAATCAAATAAAAAACACCTCCACTTGCTCAACTGGATGTTTAATAATTGGCTAAGCTGACGATGCTAGGGGAAAAAAAAAAACAATAGCTACATACAAGAAAATTGACCTCTAATCTTTGAGTCTTCATTTAAATCAATCTCTGAGATTCATGAAAAGAGATTCTAATTAAAAACATTTTTCTTTGCAATAATTGAGACTATATTTCTCCATGGCTAGCCCAATTGTAATTGTTGGTGTACTAGGTACTAATCCCCTTTGTTTTGGCATAGGATTTTTTCTGGATTCATGCTAAGGACTTCATCATTTTTGCAGGCAACATCATTTCAAGTCTAGTCTACCTTTCTCCCATGTAAGAAAGCTATGATTCCCTTAACAATCAAAATTCAAGACTTGTTTTGTAATGCCTGCCAATGAAATACTAATTTCCAGGAAAACTTTTTGGAGAATTGTAAAGAAAAGATCAACAGAGGATTTTTCATGCATTCCTTACGTTTGCACATTACTGAATGGAACCCTATGGGTTTACTATGGAATCATCAAGCCAAATAGCTTCCTCGTGGCCACGGTCAATGGTTTTGGTGCTGTAACTCAGATTGTTTACATTCTGATATTTCTGACGTTCGCATCTCCAAGACTGAGGGTAAGTAAGTAAGTTCATTTCATTTCATTTTAAGGAATAAATAAAGACATATGTTTGTTGTTCAAAAATCATCCCTTTATGCTCTCTTGGTCCTATCATATATATATGCTGTTCATCAGGCTAAGACAGCCATACAATTTGGAATTTTGGATGTTGGATTTGGTGCAGCAATAATCTTGTTTACTAAGTTTATGTTTCAAGGAGATGTTAGAATCGATGTTGCTGGATTCATCTGTGTTGGCTCCACTATGATTGCTTATGGTTCACCTCTTGCAGTTATGGTAAGATTAGATTGATCTCCAAAGATTTAACTAGACCAAGCTTTATAAATTTGTGACCAAAACGTGATTCAGAATGTTTGGTTTTCTTGGAATATGGTACAGAAAACAGTGATAGCAACCAAGAGTGTTGAATACATGCCATTCCTTCTCTCATTTGCTATTCTCCTCAATGGTGGGGTTTGGACTTTCTATGCCGTGCTTGCAAAAGATTACTTTTTAGGAGTAAGTCCAATTCCTGATCTCATCAATTTCTGTTTTACACAAGGCTTATCGATTGTAAAATATTATGAAATTTTGGTATTTTGATTTGGATTGGGATTCCTTTTGTGAGTAATTAAATACATCTGTCTTGACGATCAATATCGGAGATATTTAGACATATTTAAGAAAAAATATCTTTGTTTTAATAGATCATGTGTCTCTCTCGTAACACGTGTCCTTATTTTAATGGCTTGTGTATTTTTTTTACGTATAATCAATTTGTTAATGAAATACTTAATTGTGGAAAAAAAAAAAGAAATGGAGATTCAAATCACAATAAAAGAAAAATTTGAAACCCTTTTTTTTATTGACCAAAAGTTGAAAGAAATTTATAATCAATTGGTCTTTATATATAAATAGGAATGACAATTGGCAAATACTCCCTAGAATATAAATTTTTAACTAATACATACTTAGTTCACGTTGGTTTATTTGTACATTTAGTACTCATTTAATACTAGTTAAAATTAATAAATTTTTTAGTCTTCAAAGTTTTTGAAAAAAATATTTTAGTCTTTACTTTTTAAATTGTATGCAATTACATCATTGTATATTAATAAAAAATTAAAATAAATTAGTGAATATTAATAGAGTAAAGAGTAAGTATCCATACTCTGAAATTATAGTAGTGAGTATGCATTTTTTTATTTTTATTCACTTCAGTACTCATTGAATATTTTTAATGAATATTTATTGAATCGAATAAAATAAATACTCTTTTTATATCCGGTCCATTGATCCTTACATATAAAATAGCATGATCATTTATTGACAAATTGATCCTATGCATATATAGGTACCAAATGGAATTGGATTTCTTCTTGGGATAGCACAGTTGGTTCTATATGCTATATATCACAGACATAAGCCATTGAAGAAAGTATCCGATAATTTGGAGGACGGATTGCAAAATGAGTCCCTTATCCCTGCTTCTGACCCTGTTTCATAAAAAGAGTAGATCGCGGTTTAGAGTCTTTCTGGTATCGTGCTATGAAAGGAAACATAATAAATCATATTTTGCTGTAAATAAAATCAATTATTGTTGTAATCTGTAATCATGCCATTTCATCTGAAACCAACTTTTAAAAAATTATTACCTCCTTTTGATAAAGATGATCAAAACTTTAAGTGATGTATTTTTCTAAATACTACTAATTAAAGTTTATATTATAAAAACTTGTCCAATACAATTATTAAAAAAGAATATTTTAAAAAAATATAAAAAATAATGTCGCATATTAATTAATAATATTTTAAATTTGTATGAAAAGTCATACAAGATAATATGTCTAAAATGAAGAAAGTACTTTATATATGTTAGAAAATAATATAAATCATATCGTGGGACCTCACTTAATAACTTAAGTTTTTAGGTGAAAAAATCTTTTGACATAGTATCGAATCTTGATGATCAAATGGTTGTGAGTTCGAATCCTATCATCCTCACTTTCTCTTTTAATTAATGAAGCACAAGATAGTATGAAAATATGCAAATTTCAAACCCAAAAGGCTTTCACTTAAGGAGATATGTTAGAGAATAGTATAAATTATATAACTTAAACCGAGATGGTCCTTTGACATATACAAGGTTTTCTATAAAAAAAGAAAAAAAGAAAAAGAAGACAATATGTTTGAAAAGTATTTTATATATAATCTAAAATTTATATGGGTGATCGTGTGTGTTTTTCTTAATTATTTATATATTTAGAGATAAGGAAATATCATCATCAAAACATTTTAATGGAAAAACGCAAAGTCCTCCTCGATAAAACATCACTTCACGAGTAATTTTATATTAGTCATAAAGTAATTAGTATAACTTATTTTAATAAAAAGAGATTGAAACAAAGAGAAGAGAGAAATTAAAGAAAAAATTAAAAAAAAAATTGAGGTTTTGTGAAATTCTCTTATCAATTTTGATGAGTCTTGATATAATTCTTCTTTTTTTTTAATCTATTTTTCTCTTTAAAAATAAGTACATGGAATAATTAATATTTCTCTTCAATTTAGTGGATAAAATATCATATTAAAAGTAAAATATTAATCAATAAGTATAAGAGAAGTACTCAATTGAAAGAATTTGGAAACTTGGTGAATAATTTCGAAACTAATTCCAGATTTCCTCTTGAATTTCTCTGTAATGATATAATATTTATGTCTTCCTGGATATATGGCCATGAATATCCATAATTTGTCAAATTTAGCCATCTTCAACCATGGATGGCTGGAAGCCCTTGTCCATGTCAAAAAAAAAAAAAAATGGTGCATCAGACCATGGATTTTCTTCCATGTTTTTTTTTTTTTTTTTGACTAAAAGTTTAAAATACTCGAGAGATAACAATCGGAGAGATTACGGTATCTTTTGAAATATGTTTGATGTCAGTCCCTCAAATCTTTTATTCACGTGCAAGTGATGACGATTTCTTAATTAAAGTTCTAACCATGTGAAATTATTTAAAAAATTGCCTCATGATTCATGCCTTCTTTTTTCTACATAAACCTGTGGTAAATAATGAATATGACTATTGTCTTTTTGTACCGACACGAATCACATGATCTGTATAAACTAACCTGTAGGCCATCAAATGACTTGATCGGCCCCCACAATGTTTCTCTACCATCAATGGCTCCTTCAACCTCATGAGACATCACCTTTTCTTTCGTAAGAAGGCAATGATTAACTTGCATGATTTTTTGTTTGCCCAAACGTGGCTAATTAGACCACCAAGGGTTGGGGATCCAATGCAATGGTAAGAAGAGCCTTTTTCATTTATGGATTCTATAATTCGATTTTCATTTTAAAAAAAAACTCTTTTATCTTTTTTGTATTATCCTAAATATTATCTATTAATAAATCAAAAAATTTATTTCGTAAAATCGATTTTAAGATCAGATAGGATTCAATATTAACCTAACTTAATAAGTAAAAACTTAATTTCAAAACAGCCGTCATATAATTTTTCGACGATTACAAAAACTGCTTTTATAGTTTAGAAATGACGACATTGTAAAAGGTTTTAAGACGTTTCATAAAATCACATCTCGACTTTACAAAGGCGATTACAACCATTTCTAGAAAAGAAAAATGGCTCCGATTTTTTTTTTTTTATGTAGTGAAATGATTGTTTATAATATCGAAAAAAAAACGTGGCCAACTCGGTCAAAACTCAAAAGATCATAAGCCGAGCCAATATGAGTTGGCCTTAGAAATCCTTGCACAATATGGTCATTTCAATACATTAGCGCTATGCTTAATATAGTGATAACTAGTAGACCTTTCCGAAAAGCCATACAGAGACCAGAGAGGATCAAGTAGCGCTGACATGCATGTTGGTTGAGCTGTAAAGCCATATATATGTATATAGACTGCTCTACCAAAATTTCCAAGCTAGATGACTTCTGAAGCTCTACTCCCCCAAATTATTTCTTCTTCTTCTTCTTCTTCTTCTTATTGTCTATGATCAAATTTTATTGAACAGATTAAACCCCACAATCCAATTCTTTTCTCAAAAGAAAATTACATTATTTCCACAGAATGGTAAGCCTCAGTTTCATCATTGGAGCAATAGGTAGGTACAACAACAGATTGTTTTGACTGGTTTTTGTTGTTATGTTTCGATTCAAAGAAAATTAGCTAAATGGATCTTTGCTTTCAGGTAATATTATTTCAGTTTCTCTCTTTCTCTCTCCTGTGTAAGTAAATTGTTGATCCCCTTATTACATCGTTTTAAACTATCCATAAAACATGCCTTGATTCATCTATGCTTGCCCTTAATGAGACCTTAACGTTACATTGATCTCTTTATCCGGCTACTTACAACTTCAAATGGACCTGAATTTTGATATTTCAGGGGAGCATTTCGGCGTATTGTGAAGCATCGATCAACAGAAGAGTTTGAGAGCCTTCCTTATGTTTGCACACTACTGAACTCTTCCTTGTGGACTTACTATGGAATTATAAAGGCTGGAGAGTTTCTTGTTGCCACCATAAATGGATTTGGTGTTGTGGTTGAGATTGTTTTCTTGGTCTTGTTCCTTGTTTTTGCACCTCCAAGAATGAGGGTAGGTCGTTCTCATGAATTCAAGTAGCCAGGCCAATTGATGTAATATAGTGATAAGAATATTAATTATCTTGATGATGATTATGCTGACCATTTATGACAAATATTTACTTTAGGAAAAGACTGCCATACTTATTGGAATTTTCGATGTGGGATTTCTAGCAGCAGCAATATTGGTCTGCCAGTTCTTATTGGATGGTGATATGAAGATTGCTGTCGTGGGATTCTTGGGTGCTGGGCTTAACATAGTCATGTATGTTTCCCCTCTTGCAGCCATGGTGAGAAATAGGTAGATTTGTACTAGACTAGAAAGAAACTCTAAATCTCGAGTATTGCTCAACTCAACGAGTAAATTATAAATTAGTCCCTCTCGTTTAGAGAAAGAAATTAATTAGTACCCTTTTTTTCAAAAATTAATCATTTAGTCATCATGTTTTAATTTCGTTAATAGCTTAGTCCTTATCGGTTTTATATTAGATTAACCATTTTTGTTTTCTAGATTGCCTTTCTTTTAATTTTTTATTGAGGAGAAAGAAAGGAAATGAATGGAGAGAATTAGAGTATCGAAAAAAAAGTTGGAAAAAAATCCCTTATCCAACTTAAAAATGATGAAAACACTAGAATATTAACAAAATTAAAATGTACAGAATTAAATAATTAATTTTTAAAACAAGATAGATTAATTAGTTCATTTCTAAAAACAAGAGGGACTAATTTATAATTTACTCTCAACTCAACAGATGATGGTTCAACAACCAAAAAAAAAAACAAATCCTTGCCTACTGGTTGGAAAATAAACATAATAAATATAACCAGTTATTAGTTTAATATTTTAATTAATATATACTTAATTAATCTAATATAATATTAAATGTTTAATTGATTGCAGAAAACAGTGGTGAGGACTAAAAGCGTGGAGTATATGCCTTTCTTTCTCTCACTTTTCGTTTTCTTGAATGGAGGGATATGGGCTTGCTATGCCGTGCTAAAGAAAGACTGGTTTCTAGGAGTAAGTATCTTCTTCTTCTTCTTCTCTATAATTTCTAATAATTAAAATTTATATAATATGTATTTAATTAACATAAATAAATATTTTTTTTTTAAGAAAAAGAAAAAAAAACAGATCATAAATACAAGAGTAAATTATAAATTAGACCATCTAGGTTTGAAAATGAATTAATAGTTCTTCTTATTCAAAAACTAATTATCTCTATATTTTTTATTTTTTTTTTTTTGTAGCTTAATCATTTTTGCTTCTTCTTTTTCAATTTATTTTGATTTTTGATTTTAATAAATAAAAAATAAAAAATATGAAAGGATTGATGTGAAAAGATGATACTTTTTATATAAAATAATATTAACTTAAGCTTGATCAACACTAATTAAAAGATAAAATAATTAGTTTTTACAACAAAAGGGATTAGTTAATTCATTTCTCTAAACTAGAGGGACTAGTTTATAATTTACTGTAAAGACAATTAATTAAAAAAAAGAGGTACTTATATAATTGAACACATCAATATATGGCCCATTTCATAATTTATCTGTTTTGTCCATTTTTGTGATGTTACGTGTACTCATCAATCAATTTCTCGTTGTTGTGAACCAATAAGAGATCAAGAGCCAATCTAGAGCAAGTACACGCCACTTGACTCTTGACTCGATTAATAAAAAATTATTATTATTATTTTGGTGCTAAGGAGGAAAGACAGAGAAACTCTCAACGAATAAAAAAAAATTAAGAACTAATAGCTTTTCCAAGAGAAGAAGACGTAAGCTAGGCAGAGGAGTCACCCAGGGATTATCTAGCTTAGCTTGATAAGAATCCAATTTTGCCATGAAGTGATCAATACGTTGGCGTTATTTATATTAATAAATAAATAAAGTGTTTATATATAAAATAGGCCAATTTAAAGATTTGTGTGAATTGATTTTCATGATTGTTGCTTCTATGATAAAAAGTGAAGAGTTAGTTAGGCTTTTAGGTGAAGAGCTAGATGACTCGTGGGGTAAATGAGTAGTAAGATGCAGCTCTTGAGTTAGGAGCTGAGGGCAAGCGTTGGCTTTTAGATGATCAGATTCTTATAAGAGCGGTGAGCTTTTGATGACACTATATTACTTGGAGAGAGAGTTGTAATGAAATGGATTGGACTCACATGCGAGAGAGAGGTTTATTAAGAATAAATGTGAGTGGTAAATATTTCACATCAGGAAAAAAAAAAAAAAAAACATAAGGTGTTTATATATAAGACGGATTCATAATCTATTAGTCTAATTTTTGGATTAAAATGGTATCCATCTTTGTGTGTAAAGCTTTCATGCATGGATGTCTAGGTGTAGGCCCAAGTGACTTCTCAAAGTAGATCTCCCCAACGTTTGATTACCTTCTCTCAACACATGATGAACACTAACCTGCAAGTGACAAGACAATAACTTTATGATGCCACTAACAACAACCCAATATGAAAGAAAAAATGAGTACCACATCTCAATCGAACGAAGAGCCTCCAAAGAGCTAGACTCTACCACAAGATTCTTAACCTCTTTATTCCAATTCCAAGTTGAGGGTAAGAGAAATAGTAAAGTGAAGATGGAAACAAAAATGAGATGAAGAAGGGCTCTTCTGTTATTTGTAGGCTCAAAAGGCACAAGCTCTAATGTCAAATCATTTAAAACCCTTGCTTACCTAGCAACCTCAATTCACAATCAATCATGTGTGCCACATAGCAAATTCTAGTAGGATTTTGGAATTCCAAGAAATCCAATTGTTTTATCTCTCCCAATGCATCCATCCGCGAGCGATTGATCTCCCTTAGAAAAATACAAGAACTTAAGAGATGGGTAATAAATGATCCCAGTGAAAGCTCCAACTATAGCCACCTAAAATGAATGAGCAAAACAATCTCCTAATCATCCCTAACATGCCAAGTATGTCATTCAAAAGAAGATCAAGTTAGTTTTCATAATCATACTTGCAAAAACTCTGGAGGACAACTAATATATTCAGATAATACATGTCATCATATAACCTTCAAAAGATCCCTACAAGGTTTTATCCGAAGGGACACAAAACATTACTCGAATTAGAGGTGGAACATTAAACCGTCGTTAAGTCATCTCTAGAGGTGTTACAGATGGTCTCACCCTAGACATTAAACCTTGAGGCACTAATCTTAGTTCTATTGATTGGAAAGGATAGGTTGCACGACTATTAAATGAGAGTGGGTAGTTAAGATTAGTTCTATTTGACTAACTTTATTTTGATAGTGCTATACTCTCTCAAATTGTGTTATGTCAATGTCAAAGATATTTGTCTTTTAAATAGATGTTAGATGCTATTGACAATAGGAGAATAGACCATTCTCTCTCTCTCTATCTCTCTCTTTCTCTCTATAATTTGGTAAGATTTTTGGCTATATAAATAAATAAAAAAAGCTTAAGGTTTCAGGTTCTAGATCTCTGATGTTATAACTACTATTCATCTTCTTCTGAATACATACTTTGCTGTACAAAAGTCTACTCGAACTATCATCTCCCTCAAAACATTAATTTAGCCATTAGAAAGTCCTCATGTCCAAAAAAAAAAAAAAAAAGACTTAGTTTACCGGTATTTCAGGTAGCTCAATCACCATCTACCGTCGAACCTTGTTATTATACCAGTTTAAAAAAAAAAACAAAAAAAAACAACCTCATCGCACATTATCAACTGGGATTCCTTGTCTCCTAGACCATCCTAGTTCTCTACGTCAGCAATAAAATCATTAATGATAGAATCAGGAGGTTTGTCTAGAGGTCGAGGTTTTGTAAGGTTGGGGCATGAGTCAGAATAAGAAAGAAAGAGCGAGGAGAACTCATTTTTTACTCCAATCAAAAACCATTTATGCATAAAGAAATTGAAAGTAGGCTAGACAGCTTGTTTGTGATCACCAAATTGTGTGGTGGCCACTCTTTGTCAGATGACAATTTTTTTTTTTTTTTTTGGGTAATTTATCAATTAGGCAGGCAGCCTATCGTGTGTGTACAAATTTTTCTTATCATTTCTTGGAATTACCACAGAATATATATCGCACAATTCCTACAGTAATAAATGATCATAGAAAACAATTATAACCCAAAAAAAAATATATATTTTTGAAGGAGAAAATCTATTATTCAATTAGTACCATTAAACACATTTCTTTTTCCATCTTAAAATCTATGTTATCTCTTTGAAATTTAACTAATTATATCCATAATCATTTCTTAATTTTGTGATGATTATGAATTAGTAAGTGCTTGTCTTTATCGTGTCATAAATCTATCCTGTCGTGTTGTTAATTTAAAGGTAATATTACTATTATAGGCATCAAGTGCCAAATAATTGGAAGATATAATTCAAGTAGGTTTTTTTTTTTTTTTTTTTTTGGTATTTGTACTATGTATTTTTGGAATTTTTTTTAATTAAGATATATTTTTTTAGCTTGATTAAAACTTTTTATTTTCGAAGATTTCTTACTTCGACTCTCTGTTATAACACCACCAATCAATTATCGACACATGACATTGTAAACTAAAAAATCTTTAAAAATAAAAATAACGTATCAATTACTAATTAATGATATTATAACAGAAGGTTTGAAGTTAAAAATTTTAAAAAATACAGAGTCTAAATATGAAAAAAATTCAATTCAAATGTATAGAAGATTTAATTTAATAGCACATGAAGATCCAAGCAATCTTAACAATCTAATTGTTAATTAACCAGTGATCAGTATCTGCTTATGTTGGAATTAACTGAGGTTGGAATTCTTAACAGGTGCCAAATGTAGCTGGATTTTTTCTTGGAGCAGCTCAACTAATACTATACGCAATATATTGGAAACCCAAGTCATCAAAGAATATAGCATCAAAGGATTTAGAGGATGGTTCGCAGCGTGAACACCTTTTACCATATGCCAGCTCAGTTAACGAAAATGTCAATGAAGGATAGAGATCCATTGTTGCATATTAAGGGAAGGATGAGACTCCTTTGTATGCGTATAAGTCAATCAAGAATATCATTGTGTTGTATTGTTTTATTTGTTTTTATATCTTTAATTAAATTTATTTTATTTTAAATAGATATTAAGTATTTATTATATTTGATAGAATTTCATACCAAACTATTAAATTAATCATACCATTTACATATAAAAGTATTTTATTTGATTGGCTTATAAAAATATCTTAGAAATAAATATTAGTTATCTGTAAATCATGTGAACGAATTTTGATAGTTTGGTTTGAAAATCATGTGCAAATATATCAAGATTGGATTGATTTTTAAAGTATCGTAACAAATTAATTTAATTGAACGGAACAAGATTGTTTTATGGGAGAAGTGAAACAAACAAGGAGTAAAAAAATTGTTCCCAACATACCTTGTGTATACATCAATCAACAATGCAAGTGATGTTTTTGTGTCTTCTTTAGTATGGACTTATATGTAACAATTTATCTTATAAAATAAAAGGTTAGTAGTTTAATTTATCATAATATAATAGTATAATTTTTCTATTTTTATATTTTTAATTGAATCAATTTTATCTAAAATTTATATTAAGTGTCTAATCTATTTGTTTTTGACAAAATATAAATTGCCTAGCTTGTAAGAATATCTTGAAAATAAAAATTAGTCATTTGCAAATCACGTTAATAAATTTCGATCGTTTGGTTTGAAAATCTTGACAAAATAATATATTAAAAACTTCACTTGTAAATATAAATACAGATTGAAAAATATTATCTTATTATATAAAGATAAATGGAACCACACACACACACATATATATATATTGCGCGCTAATAACCATAATTCAAACCTAAACATTTATGCTGCATGAATTTCTTTTTCCTCCTGTGGGAGAGCATAGCCCATCTCAATGCTCAAAATTGAGAACAAACAAGGACCCATTTTGTCCAAGCCTGTCTAGGCTAGCCCTAACCTTACCTTAAACCCAACAAGAACCCATCTCAAAGCTTAAAACTGAGAACAAACAAGGACCCATTTTGTCCAAGCCTGTCTAGGCTTGCCCTAACCTTACCTTAAACCAAACAAGAACCCATCTCAAAGCTCAAACTGAGAACAAACAAGGACCCATTTTGTCCAAGCCTGTCTCGGATAGCCCTAACCTTACCATAAACCCAACAAGAAACCACCTGAAACTACCGACAACCAGCCCACCTAACCTTAAAACCGCCCTAGATTACAGCCCCATCTGTGCGTAACTTACTGACAATCATAGATCATAATCAACTCAACAAGTCAATTGTCAAGAGAAGCAAAAAGATCGTTGCCACCTAAGCTATGTCTAAAACTGCCCTCCTAACCTTAGTTTTCGTCCCATAAACAAATTCTCTTCTTCTGTCTACCAAAGCTAAGAAACCCAAGAACTCCAAAGAGAGATGGCTTTGTCTTTACTCTCTACAGCTCTTTGCCTCATTCTCATATTTTCGCAATCATTACCATCATCTGTATCATCATCAAAAGAAACCAACTTTCTTGATCAAGACCCTACAGCCTATGAAATCTTGGGTGACTACAACTTTCCTAAAGGACTACTTCCTAAAGGTGTTGTTGCCTATTCTCTTGACACAGCAACAGGTAAATTCTCTGCATTCTTGAATGGTACTTGCAGTTTTTCTCTTGAAGGATCATACCAGTTACAGTACAAGTCAAGTATCGATGGTTATATTTCGAAAGGGAGACTTTCAAGATTGCGAGGGGTTAGTGTGAAGTTGTTTTTCATGTGGGTTGATATTATTGAGGTTTCAAGAAATGGTGATGATCTTGAATTCTCTGTTGGGATTGCTGGTGCTGGTTTTCCTATTGATAATTTTGAAGAGTGTCCTCAATGTGGTTGTGGTTTGAATTGTGTTGGTGATAATAGGAAAGTAAGCAAGATTAGATCTAACCCTTTTGTATCTTCTTCTTAGAAAGATCTGTATATGCCAATAATTGAATTCTTCTATTAGGGCTTATTATTGTGTTGTAATTATTTTCATAAATTGTCTCCAAGTTCTCTCTTTTGTGTGGTCTATCACCGGATTATACCGTTTATGGCTGCTCATTTTGGTTTAAAGCCCATGTTTGTGTGGTTAGAAACAGATCTGTATGGAAAAGATTGTGAGAATTTTTATTTGGTTAAGGAATTCATCAATTCATTGACTCTAGCCCAACTTACTACAGTTGCGTTGAAACTGCAATCAGATTGTTATCATTGAAATGATATATTTTGTGATGAAAATGTTAGGATCATTGAATTTGATGGAAATGGAAGGTTAAAATTTTCATTCTTTAGTTAGAAATGATTTTTCTTAACCCTTAAGAATTGGGGATGGCACTGTAATGAGGTTTTTTGTTATTTACCAGTCGAATCAAAGCTAGTTTCCTTATACCCTCGCCCAGTTGTCACGTTGGAAGTTCGAAAAAGGGTACTTATGGTCAATTCAAGGAACATGGAACTCAAAAGAGCAGCGTGCTTGAATTGGAATACTGGCTTTATTTGGTTGGCATGAACTGATAATACTTGTGCTTATAATGTTGTAATAATTCTCTTCCTAATTTGTATGATCTGATGATTGCCTTTACTGTTTTCCATTGCCAGTGTTATCAATGGAATGAGTTTTCTTTCTTTTTTCGTGTTTCTGAAGTGATTGAGTGGGAAGTTATTAAAATGTTATCATGGTATCAATTTGAATCAGCTACTCTGCTTCTAAATTGCGAGTGTCGGTGTATATGTGCATTCGTGCATGCATATATCTCTGCCATTGTGTGCTTAACATGGTTTTACCTTTCCTTTGCTTTGTGTTAAAATATTTAGTTTGCCTCTTCTTTTGTGCTATACCTGAAGAGTACCTTTGAGAAGTTATTGTGAGAAGCTATTGTCAGAATGGATAAGCCAATGTTGTCCTTTGATTTGCTTAAAATAAAGTTAACAAGTTCCTTTTTTTCTGCTGTCCGGCCATGGCTGTTTTATGTGAGTAAAGTTAGGTGATGTCTCTCTCAGCCTCCACTGCTTGCTATTGATGAGGAAACCACTATAACTATAATGATTGCAATGTCCTGGAAGTACTGCTTTTTACCAAGTTTTCTGAGTTACAAAATATGGTATTAGCAATGTGTCATCCTTCTTCTGTTGTGAATTCTTGTTTGCTCTATTTCTGTAGCTTTTGGATCTGGGTCTATAATAATCAATAGAGAGCTTTGGAGTCTATCCATGCTTAACCGTAGCGGTAGGTATACTGATAATATAGCATTGAACATCCAGTTTTGAATGCTTGATTGGAACTTCTTATTTCACTATAAACCAACTACTGTATTCAGATTTCGCTTCATCATCGCATGTTTCAAATGAACTGCAATGTTAAGGCCCTTGGCTAAATCTTCATCATGCAAAATCCCATCCGCTTTCTCTCTCTCTCTCTTTCCCCTTTTAAACCAAAAGCTTTTGAATTGTAAGGATTGCATAAAAAGCTGAATGTCTAACATGATGAATTGCAGTATATTGCCAGGTGAAGAAGAGATGTCGTATGATAATCAATATCATCGTTTAAAATTGCAATCTGTGCATGCTTTCCTAATCCCAGAAATGGTACTTGTTGCTAGGTCCAATCTTGTTCTCCATTATAGCAAGAGACGGATGATATGGTTCTGCTAGTTGAGTCCATTCAGACAATAAACAGAAAAGTCGTGCATTTAAGCTTATTTGACCAACTATTCTACAATGTTGCCTGATACAATCATCCATCTCAGTGGCTGTGCCTGACTGTAATTTGTAAAAAAGGAGGAATTTTGATGAGTTGAGTGATCATCAGAAGCTTCTGTTTGTCGCTATTCATTTAAAAAGTTGATTAAATCCAACGGTTGTTTTCCAGTCCTTGTGTTCATGGTTGCAGACAACAGAACGGACATTAATATTTGGCAATTGGCATTGATGGTTGTTGGGAGTGAAAACAACTGGAATTTCCCCTGGTTTTCCAAGGTAGAATGCACTCATGGTAAAGTAAATCACTTTGTTGATTACTTGTCCTGAAAAGGTTATGAAGTCAACATCCACCTCTGATGTCATCCCTTGCTTTTTGCAGAGTCCATAAATGCATCCAAAAGTTTCAGCTGCTACGAACTTGTCCCTTTGACATGATCGTTTCCAATATGTGCACTCCCGAGTTTCCCTTTCTTTATTCTGCGGCCATGATTTCATCCCTCTGAGGCTTAACTCATTGTTAAATCTGTTTGCTTTTCGCGTTATCATTTGGAGTTTGATTCCTGAAGAATGATGTAAGAAAATCATTTTTTTGTGAATGCACTGATGTTTCAGAAAAATATTTAGTCTCGATACATAAAAATTGATAGGATATCTAATATCTTTACTTTATAAACAGTAAATTAAAAGTAATTCTAGACACCACAACTTTTTATCATTGAAGGTTGGCCTATCAAATTGTGGGTGCAGAGTCATGTTTACACTAACCAACCATTTGCCTTAAAGTTTTTCCTGCTTTTGATAACAAAAAGTTTTTTTAAAAAATAAAATAAAATTTCTACTGGTTCAGTGGTTAGAGATTGATTTGGTTTGTGCAAGATACTATTCAATTTTCACTGTTTATATATAATTAGTCATAATAATCTCTTACTTATATCAGATTTGAACTGATTTGTTTAACATATAATTTAATAATCAATTAAAAACCAAACATATTTGCATTGGCTTAGCACGAGAAAATGATAAATTTAAACTCGATAGATAATCTAGCGATCGATTAAAGATTAAATGTATTATGATCATGTCTTAACTCGTGAAATGATAAACTTAATTTTGATTAATATAAAATTTATTTTAAAAATACGTCTCTTTTTATGTTCTTCTAGTTTCACCATTTTAATAATTGCTCCTAGGAGACTAGCTTGAATTTTGACTTCAAACTATTATAAAATAGGATGCAATAAGGTTAATACATATTCTTAGTTGAGGGTTGAGATTTTCTTACTAGAAGTAAGAATTAAAGTAAAAAAAAAATTTTTCTTTTGCATTTTAGATTTGAGATTGAAATACAAAATCAGTCTAACAAAACTATGAAAAGAAGCTCAAAATATTTATTTTTTATTCATCTAACTCTAATTGTCAAAAAACTATTAAAACTATTTTGAGTGCGCACTCAAAATAATTCTTCCTCAGTCATAATTCATAATTTGAGTAAATCATAAATTAATCCCTCTGTTCCTCAAAAACAAATTAAAAGAGTAATTATTTGATTTTTTATTAAACATTTTTAATTTTTAATTTAATTTTAACTGTTAATATCGTATGAAAGAGAGATAGATACAAAAAATAAAAAAATATTAAAAATTTAAATAAAAATATTTTTATTATTTTTAATTATTAGATTTGAACGTAATCTTTTTATATATATATATATATATATATATATTTTTTTTTTTTTTTTTTGGTCAATTTCTTACTTTAAAATAGATCTACAGAGGAGTGCTCCAGTATTTTAAAGTTTCTCAAAATTTTATAGTCAATTCTTACATTATTATTATTATTATTATTATTATTATTATTATAAAAGATTCGAACCTTAAATGATACGGAGCGATAATCACAAGGCCACAACATGAAAACACAGAGCACAAATGAAAAGCAGCATCAAAAGTATGAAAAGTGTAATGTGTCTTGTAAGAGAGAGAGCCAGGCAGGCCAATCTTTCCATCAAGAAACAGGAGTACACGTATTAACTGACTTTTCAAAAGACGCGGTTTTTGTCCCCTCTTTCTTTCTACCTTACCTTTGAAGGTTTCAACCTTCCTTAATCTGAATCTTCTTGGCAGTTGGCATTAGAAAAATAGCTTTTTTCTCTTGTTTTGGAGAGAGAGAAAGAAAGATTTATCACGAAAATGACAACCTATATCCATTACTATTTGTTTCTCTCCTGATCTAGTATCTTCCCCCTCTCTCTCTTTGACCTTCTCTTTCTTTCTTCCACTCTTTTAATTTATTTGCTTCTATTTCTCTGAGAAAAAGAAAAAAAAAGATTTGAGTCTTTATTTGTTTTTTTCATTTCCATCAATCAGAAACACACCAACCCTTTTTCTCTCTCTGTGTAAACTCTTCATTGATCCTTTATTTCACTGTTTCAACACCAAAATCCATCTGGGGTCCTTGTTTTCTTGTTAAAAAAAAATTAAATCATTCCTTATAAGACATAAGGAATTGGGTTTTGATTTGTTTTTTTGGGAGGTTAAGAAGAAAGAAGAAGAAGATGATGATGATGACAATGGAAGGGATGATGGATAAGGCAGTATTGGATGATATAATAAGGAGGTTGTTAGAAGGAAAAGGAGGAAAGCAAGTGCAATTATCTGAAGGAGAGATCCGTCAATTATGTGTTAATGCTCGCCAAATCTTCCTTTCTCAACCTATTCTCCTTGAGATTAAAGCTCCCATTCGCATATGTGGTTAGCACTCTCTCTCTTTTCCTCTCTTGATATGAATGGATTCATTATCATCACATTTGATGTTGTGTGTTTATGTTTTTAATGTGAGATGATTATGTGAAATTGTTAAAGAAGAGTGCTTTGAATGATTCTAGGCAAAAGGGATAAATTTTGAGCTCATCTATAGGCTGGATCATTTGATAATTGGTTATGGCATGGCATTATTGGTCAAATTTTTCATAAATTCATTTTGATTGTTGAAGGAATTGTAATGTTTGAGGTGAAAGGATTGGCCTTTTTCATTCAATTGAATGGAATTGAGGTGGAAGGATTGATCTTTTCGATTCGATTGAATGGAAGCAAGGATTGCAATTATTAGTTTGTGATGGAAGGGAATCTATATTGTTACTATTCGTGTGTTTCTTCAGGGAAAGGCATGAGGCAAAAGTTCAGCCCCATCCACTCATTGATTACTGCCAAATCCTTGGTTGGTCGAAGCATGGTCCGGTTGGAAGCTACACTTCCTTTAGAGAGGAGAATCTGAAGTTCGAATCCATTCTAATCAGCTACCAAATTATCAGAAAGATAGAATTCAAACATTCTGACTGGTTGTTGAGCTTTGGTTAGGTCGTATTGGCTTGTACTTGTTCATTTGGTTAAGTTTGAGGTTTTATGTTGCAACAACCCGCACAAGTACAAACAAAATAATAATAATAATGATAATGATAATACAGGGGGCCTTAGAATCAGAATTAGGTTGAAACTGCCTTGAAAATTTTGAAAGGATATGTACTGGTAGAAGAAGTTACCAAGTTCTTCACTTGTGTCCCATAAACTATGTGAAACACATAGTAACTGTTTGGTTGTTGAATATTTAGTTTTCTCACTGTTACCTCTTTTCTACCCTGGCAAGGATCTTGCTGCTCATTTTCAAAAACTAACTGGATGTTAACTAACTTTACAACGTGGCAAAGTACTGTAGTCATCATTTGTCATATCTAATTTTCTGTCTTTTTTGCAGGTGACATACATGGGCAATATCAAGACCTCCTGAGGCTGTTTGAATACGGTGGGTACCCTCCTTCCGCAAACTATCTCTTCCTTGGGGATTACGTTGATAGAGGAAGGCAAAGTTTGGAGACCATATGTCTGCTTCTGGCCTACAAAATCAGATATCCCGACAAAATTCACCTCTTGAGGGGTAACCACGAGGATGCGAAGATCAATAGGATATATGGGTTTTATGATGAGTGTAAACGAAGATTCAACGTTCGACTATGGAAAATATTTACCGACTGCTTTAATTGTTTGCCTGTTGCTGCACTAATTGATGAAAAGATACTCTGCATGCATGGAGGCCTCTCTCCAGAGTTGGAGCATATGGGCCAAATAAAGGAAATTCAAAGACCTACTGAAATCCCAGATAGCGGTCTCCTGTGTGATCTGCTTTGGTCTGATCCTGATGCTAGGGTTGAAGGTTGGCAAGATAGTGATCGAGGTGTTTCATGTACCTTTGGACCTGATAAAGTTGCTGAGTTTTTGGATAAAAATGACCTGGATCTCATTTGCCGAGGTCATCAGGTGAGCCAAATTCCTTTTTAATCAAGTTTAATACCCAATGATAACAAAAAAGTTGAAGAAGGAGCTATTTTAGATTCCATGCTCTCTCTTCTTGCATATAACGATATAAAACCATTGTAACTGGAATTTATTAGATCATGATATTGGAGATGCATGTTTCTGAATATGTCATACAAGAAGCTTTTGCTTCACTTGGACTATTTTATCTAGAAATACTGTGATGCAAAGAATGGTAATTAAATTTACCTACCTGTGTAAGGTATGATTTTTTTTTCTATTGATTAAGCCCTTTAATTTAGCAAACTTGAAGTGTCTTTCAATCTAATATAAGATTGCTTTACAATAAAGAGTTCCCATGAGTGAAAAGGTGCAAAACTATCAAGATAATCAGTAACCTCGCCAGAATATAAAAAGATAATGACTAATACTCCCATTTAGTTTCTTACCCTTAGCATCCTTTCTCTAACATTGACCCAGAACAATTTCAGCAGTGATAACTGATGAAAATTTTCTGCTATGTTTCAGGTGGTGGAGGATGGATACGAGTTTTTCGCCAAACGAAGATTAGTAACAATATTCTCAGCTCCAAACTATGGTGGGGAGTTTGACAATGCAGGTGCTCTGTTGAGTGTTGATGAATCCTTAGTGTGTTCCTTCGAGATATTAAAACCAGTTCTACCAGCAAGCAGTTCAAAGGTCGTCCTTAAGAAGGTATGTGAATGTTATAATCAACGTTTCCTTTCTTATATAATATTGGAGGAAATTGATTATTTCTCTCTTGTTTTCCCCCTTATCTATAACGAAGCTTCCATGGTTGAAACACTCTAAATCTCTAATCTCCTTTTCTTGTCTACGTTCAAACAGCCTCCTAAAGCCGGAAAGATCTAGCATGGGAAAAGGGCATTCAGTGATCTCTTCCTGTTTCAAATAGATTGACCAAACTCAGTTCTAGCAATGATTTGAATATCTATCAGAAGGCCGGTTTATCTTCAAAATAAGCCTTTTTGCCTTACTAAAATGTCACATAATTCAATTTGCAATGTAAATTGTTGGGAAAAAAAATCTGCAAAACAGCAGCAGCAGCACATGCTATCTTACTCTTCGAGGACTTCCTCGTTCTGGTCAATTAGCATGTGCTGTTTGTATCTGGTGATTGAGAATAGGTCTGGTTTTTGTTGAGATGTTTGTACAAGTATTCTCTGTGGTTTGCTCAAGGAGTCCTCTTGTTGATCTATTGGCAATCAAAATAGTTCATTTCTGGCAGCTAGCTGGTACCAGGTTTTGCCCTCTTAGCAACTGAAACATTTTTTTACTTACGATTCATTTTACCTTGATTAAAAATAACATTTTCCATCGTAATAATTTCAAGCATCAAGATGTGATGCATACTAAACAGAGAAATGTTCCCTAAATGATGAGTTGCTTGTCTGCTAGAAGCCCTGTAGCTGCTGAACAATCTTGTACAGAACGAAGCAAATTAGATGGTTTTATTTCTCGATCTTACTGACTTGCTCCTACAGAATTATGTGGAAAAGATTTTGAGAAATTTCTCAAATCTTTTTAAATTGCTCATGCAGGACTATGTCACAAATATCGAGAAAAATCAGTTATTCACAATCACTTAAAATATAAGGATTGGTAATTTTTTTTTTTTTTTTTAAAGAAATCGGAAGGATTCAGTACATATCCGAGGAAGGTTAAAAAATGGGATGAGCTGAACAAATTCTGCACATCTAACTTTGACAAAAGCATCCATTAATGTCATTACGAAAGATAATGATTGTAATCTGGATGTTCTAGGAAGCGGTAGATTATTTATAAGGGCCTTAACATCACTTCCATTTGTCTTTTAGCTACGCAATTCATCTATAATCTTGAATTTCTATCAAGTTTTCTGCAATAGAATAATGAATCAGCCCAACTGGCATTTCCAGGTGTAAGTTTCGTCAGATGCAATCACCATCAAAAATATACGAGAGAAAGGAAATTTAAGGGTCCCAACACAAAACCAAAACTTCATCACGACAGAATGAAGTGAATTACACGGAACATATTGGGTATTCGATATTTTATGATCCTACACCAGCATTATTGTCTTATACATACTGTATTGTAGAAGCAACTCAGAAATTCTTTGAAAGGGTATGAAAAAGAGCTGTCTATCTCATATCAAGAAATTCTTTGAAAGGGTACAGGTAATCCTAATTTCTCTTTCCGCACCTCAATCATCTGAGCTTGACAAATATACATAGTCAATCTTGAGATTGTGTGCTGATGAAGTTCTTGATAGCTTCCAACTAGATATCAGGCAGCTTGTTCCAGGGTGGAGCTGCAAAACGTGTAGTTGCATGTTTATGGTAAGAAATTCTTTGAGGAAAATGAAATGAAGAAACATATTTATTTGAATCGTATTTATTAAGAGCTGAACTGGTCAAGGACAGTCATCCAAGTCCTGTAATTTAGGAATTGAAAAGAAAGAGGAGGAAACTGCAGGAAATAATTTTTTACTAACTCAAACTGGCTGCAATAGATTTTAATAAATAAACCTTTGATGCTTCTTCTTCTTCTATTTTTCAACAAGGACGAAACGGAAAGGGAACGTCATTTAGTAGTCCTACCACAGCATCACTCACCTGTAAATTAAAACATCATCCAGCTCAAGTTCAATGAGGTATTCATCTTCGATTTCCTTTCCTATTTACTAAACTACCAGGAGAATTTGGGCTCATCTTGCCGTCCAGTCTCCTTGCTGTTCTTTGAATAGCTGCAAGCTTTTGGCGCTGACTATGACTCTTCCTTTTACTGCATGGTCCGCAAAATGTATCAAAAAACAATATTTCCTATTCCATTAATCATTAATGCTAATATAGTGACATCAAACGATCAACTTCACAGCCCAAAAATTGACAGAAAAAAAAGGGATAAAATTGATGATTTATTAAGGAAAATCAGTTACACATAATGTTATCTTGAGTGTATTTGATGTCTCCTACATGCTGTTTAGCAATAAAGTATTTACTGAAGCGTGCTTTGCATCTGGAATAAAAGGCAGCTTCACTAAACTTCTGAATATAAATATACATGTGCCAAAGATGTCACGCTACTTTTCCCACTTGGATGATAGGTATAAGGTGCTCAGAAGTATTATTTTAATTTTTTAAGGAATGCATGAGAAATGAAGCCTATTTTTCCTGCCCAGTGGCTCCTTTTGGGGTTTTATCTATTCTGAACGCAGGAACTGTTTATTTTATCTTTCTTTAGTGTAAATACTCAGCTCTGTGAAAGTGATATTGTGGACATTCTCTCTACAGTAATCGTCATTTTCTAAGGAACTAAAATGAAGGCTGAAAAGTAAAACCAAAAAGCTAAGTCTGAAACCTTGATGACATATAAAGGCAAGAATAGATAGGTCTAACCTCATAAACAAGAGGCCTGCAGTAAGAACTAACCCTCCTACTGCCCAAGAAACTTTTTCACTGAACGGCATTTCCTGCACCCACTGCTGGAAATCTTCTAAGACCCCTAGATTCTCAGCTTTCTGGGGAAACTCAGATCTTGGAGACCTCCATGAATCAGAAATAGAATCAAGACTGGCTATACCACCATAGCAAGATGCCTCTTCTGCACCAACATATGCATCATCAGACAGCTTAACAGCAAAACCTGCAGCATGGCAAAGCTCTGTGCCATTGGAAACCATTTCAGCAGCATGTCCACAAACAAAGTCATTTACTCCACATGGTGCTACAACCTGATAGGTGAAATCCAATCAGGAAATGGATTTTGTTAGGCATCCTGATGAGAAAAATTAAATATCCTCAATTTATTTTGATATTTTAACAGGTTTAAACAGAACACTAGTATACCAGACCAACACAAAGGGTGATAATATATTGATTTCTTTAAACCCATTTGGGAAATGTTAGTTGATGAACTTGTTAAATGAACTAAGGAGCTCTCAGACCTTCAACAAGCAATAATCATTGAACACATCATATGCAATTCTCATTTCAAATGAATGTTAAATGAACTAAGGAGCTCTCAGACCTTCAACAAGCAATAATCATTGAACACATCATATGCAATTCTCATTTCAAATGAATGTCAATACCGTAAGCTAATCTGATCTCCAAAAACTGGACATAAGATATGAAATCTTACACCATAAAACTCAAAAATCTTAAGGTGAATCTACTACTCTAGAAGTCAATAGTTGTGCTCTTACCCGTTTATTTGCATCCATCGAGAAGTAAGCATTGGCACAAGCTTGATAGACTCTGTCACAAAAAGAGGCGCATATAAGAGGAGGCCCAGGCTGAACACCAATTTGGGGATCACAAATTGAACATTCCAACAATTCCCATAATTGTAAGCACTCCTGGGTGGCTTCTCCTGTTGAAGCCAGCCTCCTAACAGACATCGAAGCAGGATACGTCTGAGCTACATCACAGCAAGTCTTTTTCCGAAACAACCTGCAGAGGGTCAAATCTTTGGCACCCTTGCCTACCTTTCTCGGAGGTTTCCCTTCCGATGAATATGGAGGAAAGCGACCACCTTTAGAAATACATACTCCAGCATTTTTTCCTACATAGACAAAGTGAAGCATTGCAATGGTCAAACACTGCAATTCTCGAGGGAATCCGATCCCTTGAGCTCAGATTTATTTTTAAACAGAATGAGAGTCTGAATTGAATTCACCAACAACATTTAGCTTCCAAATGCATGAACTGAAACTTTTTAATTAAACTGAATTCAATTCCTACAAACCAGAAGATTCCAATCAGTAATGGAATAACGGACACGTAGACAGCATGTTTTCAAAGAGAAATGCAACTTTCTACTCCATACAAAACAGAATAAATTTTCGGACAAAGAAAATGTTCCAATCACCAAGTTAATATCTTTGCAGTTGAAGGAAAAAAATAACTGTGGATAACTAAAACAAGATTTTGGCTATATCTCTTGCATCCCAGTTCGTCATTTATCTCAACCAATTACAAAAAAAAGTCTGATACTTTCTAAGTTTCCTATTAAGAAACAGTCTAAAGAACCTAATTAAACAATTTGGCTTCAAATAGTATTCTCTTCCTCGAAACAAAGGCAAAAAAAGCATAAATTTCTTATCTTTTAATTTTCTAAATGGTGAGTCACACACTAAAACCAAAGACCCAACAAGTGAATTCCTGCACCAAGATCAATGGATTACAAATTGCTTTATTAAAATCAACGAAAATAACAATTACAGTGACAAATTTGGAAAATAAAGGAACCCGTGATAAGGAATTGACAAAGAAAGAATCTTTACCAGAGGAGAAGTGGATTTGCAGGTGAAAAAGAAACAGCAAAATCAAGAACCCATAACTTATTCTCTTCATTTTTGACTTTTCAAGCTTCGAATTGACTTAGAATTGAGAGAGGGGAACTACCTCCATAAACGGCAGTGAGAGATCGTACAAAAATGGAAGAATTTGTAGGATACCCGGTTGGTATGAATTTGGATCCTGTGGGTTGAATTGACCCCGCGTAAGAAAATTGAATTCAGCATGGATCCATAAAGAAGGATAATTGAAGGCCCCTGTGTAATTTGAATAAATAGTTTCTATGTTTAGGCCCATTGGGCTTATGGTACTTATCTTGTTAGTCTTTGTAGGAGATAGATATCACGACTAGTTGTCACGATAGATCTTATTTTTATGTGAACGAGAGAACAGCATGAGATTACATAATAGAGATCAAAAACAAACAAAAAAATTACGAAAAGTTAAAAAAAGAATTTAGATATAGTGAAATTACTAGCATGTATCCCGTGTATTGTCGTGGGGTGAGCTATACAATATTCTTATATATTCATTCATTTAAAATACAAAATTTAAAAATAATTATGTAAAAAGATCAAGCAAAAAAATTCGAAGTGAATTATACAACACAAAAAAATTTGGAGTGAATTATACAACATTCTTATGTATTAATTCATATAAAATAAAAATTTAAAAATAATTATTTAAAAGGATCACGCAAAAAAATTAAAAAAAAAAAAACCAAAACATATATCTTATATTTTGCCGTAGGATTAGCTAAATGAAAAGTCACAGACAAAGTTGAGTAATATAATGTTGGTAATTATATATTGTTTGATATAAACATGTATTTTATTAGAAATATATATAATAATTGGTAATTAAAATAATAATGTGGTATTTTTTTTAATTTTTGATAATTAATTTTTACTATATATTATTCATTTGTAATTTGTTAATGACATAGAGAGACCACAAAAAACAAAAAGATAAAAAACTTTGTCAAATCGAGATTTTGGCATAAAAAAATAGAGATAAAATTATAGACGATCAAAATTAAATAATCAAAATAAAGTAAAGATCATAAAAGAATGATAAAAAAAATTTCACTAAAAGCAAGATATATATATATATATATATATAAACAATCAAATATAATAAAATTTAAATGGCTAAAATAATAAAAGGTTATAAAATAGGAACTAAAATAAAATAAAATTCGTTAAAAGCCAAAAGAGGGGTTTAAAAAATACAGGAAGAGAAAAAATTGATTTACTATAGGAATAAAAATTAAATATAATAAAATTTTAATGATCAAAGTAAAAAAGTTACAAAACAAGGACTATGATAAAGATAAAATAAAATTTTAATAACTACAATAAAAAAAATTACAAAATAGGGATTAAAATAAAAATAAAACTCACTAAAAGCCAAAAGAAGAGCTTAAAAAATTCAGCAAGAGGAAAAAAACTGATTTATTATAGAAATAAAAATCAAATATAATAAAATTTTAATGACTAAAATAAAAAAAATTACAAAATAGGATTAAAATGTAAAATTAATTTAAATCTAAAAGAAAGGCTTAAAGTAGCAAGAGAAAGAAAGGAAAAAAGAAAAGAAAAAAAGAAACAGGGCTACAGGCAAGGCAAGGCAAAAAAAAAAAAGAAAGAAAGCCCTAGGCTACAAGCAAGGCAAAAAAAAAAAAGAAAAAAAAAAGCAAACAGTGAATGAACTGTAAAACGCTACAGATACTTTAGCGTTTTGTTTTAGTTTTTTTAGAATATTTAATGTTAGTCATATGAATAAAACGTTTTAAAAGAAAATTAAAATACAACAATAAAAATCAACACAATAAGGATATTTTAAAATTTAAAATATCATAATAAAAAATAATATAAGAAATGAAAGGAAAAGGTACAAAGAACTTTGCAGCATACAAGGCTAAAACTTTAATGACTAAAATAGAAATTATGATTACAGAATAATGACTAAAACAAATAAAAAATTCACAAAAAAAAAAAAAAAACTATACTTAGAAATAATTGCTAATCTTGCATCTTCGTATAGTAATCAAATATTATCATCTTTATGTCATATAATTTTTAAGATACTTTTTGCATATCTAAATTTTTTTTTTTTCTTGGATTTTAAAGAGATCATTAGCACTTTACTTCGACCTACTGCAAGAAACTGAACTACTCACTATCCAAGACAAGAGTTTTTTTCTTTAATTTGTTTTTTTACCACCAAGTTGATATTGATTAGCATAGTTAGAGTATACTACCACAAGAACACGAGAGAATATTTTGATAATGATAAGGTTTTTTTAACATATAAGCTGATATTAAGTAATAAACGAAAACCACTGTTTACAACTGCTAGAATTTAAAATCTTGAATTGTCCTAATATCACAAATTTTCAAATCCAACATAAACTCGAGACTACAAATATAGCTAAATAGACAAAAACTTTTCCTGAATTTTAGTCTATTTTAAAACTAATTTTTAAACTTTGATTTTTTAGCTTTATTTTTATTTAAATTTAGTTCGTCTTTCAATTTTCTATCATTTAACCCAAAAGATAACAATTACATAAATAAATCTATGATGAAAATCATTAAGTTATAATTATTTTGAACTTTCTAAAATATTTGAGAACATTCTGGATTATTTTTTATTTTCTTGATTTTCTACATTTTTAATGTTAAAAAAATAAACAAATATATTTTCCAATCTTGAAAAATAATGGGATTTAAAAAAAGGAGATTGAAATTTTCCCAATACGTGTGCAAAACTTTATCTCAAAATATCAAAAACTGAATTTCTCAAAAACAAAATTAAAGATAACTGAAAATCATAAGATGGACTAATTTAAAAAAAAAAAAAAACTAGAAATGGAGAAATTAATTTTTAAAAGAACTAAAGTTCAAGAAAAAAAAATAGCTCTTTTAACCCTACAAATATTCATTAATGTGTAAAAGTGAAACCATCAAGCTAAAAACTAAACAATTAAATTTATAGTTTCGAATTACTCATTTATAAAATAAAAAATGCAATATTCATGTGGGTTTTTTGTGCCAATACTACTAACTTAGTCCCCGCATTAATTATTTCTTATTTGCATTTCATGACTAATGTAAAAGAATGAATCTCTGACGGTTAAATTGAAATAAAAGAAAATACAGTACGCCAACAACCTTGCAGCCTAGTTGGCACTCTGTGAGTAAATTATTACAAAATAATAGTTCTTCTCTTTTAAAAAATTAAGCACTTAATTCCCTATGTTTTCATTTCCTCCGTAACTTAATCCGGTCCTTAGTTTTTTGATAAATTACTAATTGTTTTTCCAATCACCAAGTTAATATCTTTGCAGTTGAAGGAAAAAAATAACTGTGGATAACTAAAACAAGATTTTGGCTATATCTCTTGCATCCCAGTTCGTCATTTATCTCAACCAATTACAAAAAAAGTCTGATACTTTCTAAGTTTCCTATTAAGAAACAGTCTAAAGAACCTATCAATTTTACTATGAACAAAATCATTAATTTAACAGAAAACTAATAAAAATGATCTAATAACAAATGTTGCCTCAATTCTACTATGAACTATCAATTTTAGATTTTTAGTAATAAATTACGTTATTTCAATCTCATATTATTAATGTTTTAACAATATTAATCTAATTTTGCAGTTTTATTATTATATCTAACAATCAACTGGATTGAATGTTAGGTAAAATATCAAAACAATATCGTTTTTCGAATCCATAGTTTATTATGTTTTTCTTAAAAAAAAAAAATTTAAAAACATTTTTATCCCCACTAATCTTGAAATGTGTTTTAAAAACTTCTTGTCTTATAAAATATTATGAATAATTAATTTAAAAAAGAATTAACTAATTCATTTATGTAAACGAGGACTAATTTATAATTTACTAGGCACTCGGGGGATCTCCTTCCTCATAAAATTATACAAAAATAGATGCATCAACCGAGTATATACATAACACACCTCAAGATCAGTGCATCTGATAATTGAATCAAACGAAAACGACATCTCAATCCAGCATCCTATCGCTCAAATAAAACTTGCATAAAATGATCCCCCTTTATCAGTCAACTAACAAATCACATCGCTCTATTACTTCGAATACTTCCGTGATACCAAAAAGAAAGGTTAAACGAGGTCCCATTTCTTGCAGCCTGATGACACTTCAACAGCAAATTACCAAGAAGGCCAATAAATGGGAATGTTCCATCATCCACTTGACTCAGTGCAAACCCACAAACTTGCTAAGAGCCAAACCCACTTTATCATTGACAAGATAACACTTATCATGTTTCCCCTTATCAAAACGGAAGAAGAAGAAAAAAACAGACAAGTTGTCATGTCATTGAAATCACATAGTTCAAAATCCACCATCCATCCTTGATGGCTTGCTTTCATCCAACACCATCTTGTACAAAAGCACGTTTAACCTCAAAAGTTGTAACCGTTTTCCAAATCATGGTTTCTTTGATGATCGTGTAATTGAAAAAACTATTCTTATTGTATATAGTTCATGACTCATGGACCTCATGATTAACCAAAAGTAAATAATAAAAAATCAAACACCATATCAACTTACACCAAAAGCACCATAATGCTGCTCCCATGCACAGAAAAGGCAAGTAATGGACAGAAGTGAGAACAAGCTATAGCTATATAGAAGAGAAAAAAGGAAGCTGCATTGTGAAATACCAACTCTACATATATTACAACTCACGACCTGTTTCACAGACCATCAACACTTAGGCATCATATCTGAAAAGCTGCATGTTTTAAGGACTACACAAAAAAACACACACTTGGATACACTACTTTGCTACAAACCCGATCGTGATCGCTTGAAGAGGTGAGAAATACTACAAGATGTTAAAGGCTCACATTTCACACGCCGTAAGGAGAACTAGGACCTCTGGGTCCAACCTCTGTTGTCTTCTCGTATGCGTCCGATGTAGACCTCCTTCGAAACCGAAAGGACTCTCTGCTTCCTTAACAAAATACAATTGCTTCAGTCAGTGACCAAGTTCACTTACCCATACTCCTCCCAAATCAGTTGGGTAGGCAACAAAGAATATGCAAGGTAAGTAATGAAAGCATGTGGCCATGATTTCTAAAGAGTGCAATTATTGAGACTACAACACACTACCAAACACAAATATAGAACCAAACTGACCTGAACCTCAAACATGAAAACATAAACAATGGAATTATGGGAATAGCAATTGTTGTCACAATGTTGCAGTATCGTATGCATGACGCCTTGCACCACTCATACAGCAACTTCTAATATATTAAATAACGTAATGGAGCTCGAGCGGTAACCAGGGACCATCCGAACGATATCCCATTAGTTACAGCATGATCTAACCACCAACCAATCATTCATCAAAAGTTCAGGTGATCTACGCAGAGAATGAACCCAACTATACAATCCCATTAGTTACTGCATGATCCAGCCACCCGCTAATCTTTCATCAAAAGTTCAGGTGATCTACGCAGAGTGTGAACCCAACCAGTTACAATCCCATTAGTTACAGCATGATCTAACCGGCCACCATTCATTCATCAAAAGTACAGGTGATCGATGCAGTGAGCGAACCCAACTAGTGAAAATCTGGGTAAATACTTAACAATTTCCTTTTCTTCGTAAGATCACGTTGATTTTGTCAACCACAAGCGGCTAATTCTTAGATAAATTAATCATATTAAACAATGATTGTCTCACATAATCCAACAGATAATACCTAGATTGACTAGCAAATAGTTTCATTTTGACATCATCATGTCCATATAATATTATCAAGTTGAACTATACTATACTATACTATATATTATTATGTCCAACAAAAAAAATTGCCTACCTATCAATTACACATAATCTTGATGTGACATTCCAACCAAACCCTAATTAATAAAATATGAATGCCAACCCAAAAAGCAATAGCATTTATATCGATAACTAAAATTAGCAAAGTAGGGCATGGAAGATAGATCCATAACATAGCAATAGCACCCCATGCATAATTGTACGTTGATAAGGACATAAATGTCATTATCCAAAACGGCAATCAATCAAGCAACCGCACAACTTGCATCCACCCAACAAACAAAAAACAATCCTCATCATCCACTCAACCACACCAAATGACTAAACTACCCCTAAACTCCACTTTTTTAGGAGAGGAAAAAAATTATCCGTTTGCTAAAAAAAGCAAAGGGCATTATTGACTTACCAGAAAAAGGAGACACCGGAGGAGTAGAACCAGCCGGTGAAGCCGGGGGTGTAGCAGACGAACCATTATTCTGGTACCCCGGAGGTCTTACAATCATAATACTCCGTGTCACTTTCTTCGTCTCCTCCACCGTCGCGCCCCCATCATACGATCTCATCACGCTACCGCTACCACCATCAGATTCTATTCATAACAATAAATTAATTAAAAATCTAATTTAAAAAATCAAAATTATATTCTAATTATGAGATTTGAATCTTCTTGACAAAATGCATAATAAAAATGATCAAATTATTTTTCCAATTCTCTCATTTATAAGAACCGTCCGATTCATATCAGTTGTTTTTATCGTTTTATTATGGTTTATGATCATCGTGGCAAGAATTTGGTAGCATACCCTTGCCGGAGTTTGGCCGGAGACCGAAGCTCGGTTTCTTCCGGAGCTTGCCGAGGCCGCTGTCCGGTAGGGGACCAGCAACGGTGTCGTCCCAGAGCTGATCAAGAAGGCTCATGGCTCACGCTAGAAGAACAACGGCGTAAATAAGGTGCGCTTTTGCTAATACCGCCAAGTCTAGACTAGCAGCGAACAGAGCGAGTGAACTACGATGAGTGAAGAAGGGTATTTAAAGAGGAAGTGAGGCGTTAAGGGTCGAGCAAGATTGGTTATATCTGGGCCGCTGATTTAGATCAAGGGTGATGGCCTGACGTGGAATTGGATGGAGGGGACACGTTTGTAAAGATAAGATCGATGGGAAATGTGGGGCCCGGGATGCCGGAGATCAATAGGGAATAGGTGAAACCTGGCTTATCACGTGATGGGGCGTCATTATCTACACTGGAAATACGAAAATGACCTTGGCCGTATCCAAGCGGATAATTTTTGGAGCGTAAATTAACATTAGTACCTGTAGTTTTGATGAACGAATTATTTAGTATTTTATATTTCTAAAATTAAGTATTTAGTTTTTTATCCATTTTATTGCCTTTGTTAATTTTTTAAAAATAGAAAAAGAAAAAAATATACTTTAGAAATATGGAAGAAAAATAAGATATGTCTTTAGATAAAATAATATTAAATTAAATAGTATGAACATTGTCAATGGATTAAGTAATTAATGTTTGAAACAAGAGGGACTAATTAAGTTTTTTAAAACTAAAGAGAGTAATTTGTAATTTACTCTTTTTGGGTAGAGTTGGATTATAATTACGAGATTGGTCAACGGAGATTCTTTAGCCACCTTTTGATATATTGAATTTGTCGGAGGTTTTGAAGTGAGAATATAAGATTTTTGTCACGGCGGATTTATTGAGTTTCAAAAGTTTTCAGTTTCTTTTTTCATATATAAATAATTCTTTTATTTGTTTATTAAAAATAGTTTTACCGGTCAATTGATGGATTTCAAAATCAATCTCATGATACAGTTATTTAATTATATCAGCTTCAAATTTGATTAGACAATTATATTCTGTAACAGAAATTCAGAATTAACAAAATATTATTATTATCTAACTGAAAAATATATTTTGAAATATTAATAGAAGCCATAAGTAGATTTGTCTCTTATATTTAGATGTAACAATGTTCTAAGTATAAAATGGATATCCGTTTTACTTATTTAATAAATATTCATTAAAAATGTTTAATGTATATTGAAGTAGATAAGGATAAAAAATACATATCCACTAATATGATATTCATTATCTATTCAATTAATATCCACTAATTTATTTAAATTTTTTTATTAACATATAGGAATCTAATTGTATAAAATTTAAAAATTAATTATCAAAATATTTTTTTCTGAAAACTTTGAAGAGCAAAAAAAACTTATAAATAAATGATCAAAATATTAAAAAATAAATTTTAAGAAGCAAAAAAACTTTTTAAAAAATTATAGGACTAAAATAAATATTTTTGATAAATTAAATTTAACAGATATTTAATGGATATTAAATGGATAGATAAATTTGTATGGACTTGATATGAGTTAGATAAAAATTTATATAATGATTTTTAAAAGATAATAAATAGAATATTTTTTTCATATATAATATAAAAAATTAATTTAATGAGTCAGATATTACCATTGTTATATTATTATTATTATTATTATTATTATTTTGAATTTAGATTCGCCCGGGGGGCGGGGGTGTGTGTTTGGAATGGTATTTACAATAAGTGGGATATGGCAAAATTCGAAGAAGAAAATGGCTTATTTTTAATGCACAAAAATTGTAAACTTTGCGAATCGTGAAATCATTAACTCATGATTTTGCTATCCATGCAAATCGCAAAGTGAGAAAATCTATATATCACGAGAAATTGTAAACTTTGTGCCGGTCGGGATGATGATTAAACATTAATTAGTGGATCAGTTGCTGATCCCACACACAAAATTAGGAATTCAAATTACTAATTATGTCCCCAATTAACCTAAAAAGATCCAAATTACAAGTACATTATATTCAATGGTGACCCCACTCCCATTATGTCGTGGGGTCCACTGATTGGGAAATTGCTAACTTTATCAAAATACTAAAAAAATCTTATTTTGCTAATAATAATAAAACGCAGTCTGCTCTTGTCCGTATCGCAAAAGCTTAAGGTCAAAGGATGTCTTATTTATTGTTAAAATTAGGTATAATTATTTGCCTAACTCAATAAAATAATGAAACATTAGAAATATCTAGAATCTCTGGGATGAGTTTGGAAAGTTGTGGTGACAATTTGGGCTGAGTTTAGTTTGTTTACGTAAAATTGGGCCTGAACTTGTTGTGAGGCCCAACAGCCTTGGTCCAGGAATCTCATGGACCCACTGACCTGCTAACATGTCTTTTGACTCGTCAAGCCAGCCTACTCCTGGACCCGTCCTTATTTAATAAAACGACATAAAATTCTTAAAAATAAAATTATTAATTCCTAAAAACTAGAAAATTGTAGAATGGATCCTAAAAAATAAATTAATCCTGTTTATTATTATTATTATTATTTATACACATCATAAAATTCTAAATAAGATCAAATAAGTTACATAAATCATTTATAACTATATAGTGATATATTGCTATTTTATTTTGACTATCAAAACTCTAAAAAAAAAAACAACTTAAAACAAGCTAATAAATATAAAGTATTGAAATTTGAAAATAATTATGTTACCTCAAATTTTATGAAATATTAAATTGAATCATTAGTTGATTTTTTATAGGTTGTTTTTTGTTAACGACTTCCGTTTTTTTTTTTTTTTTTTTTAACTCTTTCGGACAAATACTAATGATATTAAAAAAAGACAATATTTATTAAAAAATAATTTATAAAAAAATTACTCATGTATGTGTTTTTAATTTATATTCATGTTACACGTAATTAAAAAGAACTGTTTTAAACAAAAGGGAGGAACCTATCAGTTTATTGTAGTTAAAGAACTAACTAATTAATCATTTGCATTCTTTTTTTTTTTTTTTGGATAATGCTAACTACGGATATATAAATTTTTACTAAGATTGTTATACTAAATCACATGGCAACACATGATTGATATATTCTATAATTTTATTGCATCACCAAATGTGATAAGAATCGCATTCATGATTTGAAAATCTTTTTTTATAAAAAAAATGCCACATTACTTAGTAAAACAATTTTATAAAAAAATTAAATGCCCCTAGAATTATCCCTTTTTTTTATATTTTTTATTAAATCAAAGGATAATTTAATCAATTCAGATTAAAATCACTTATTGGTGAATAAGAACAAACACTAAAGATTACAAATACAATTGATTGATTTCTTCTTTTATATATATATATATATATATGTAGAGAGAGAGAGAGAGAGAGAGAGAGAGAGATGATATGATGTGATTGATAAATGTTGTATTACATAGGGACATAATGATAGGTTTCTCCTTAAAAATGATACGTAATAATATAATGTTAGGTAATTTTGTTAGTAATTATTATTTAAAGAGCTATTTATGTTTATTCTAATTATTAACTGTTAAAATTTGAAAGATTATTCAATTTTATCCCTAATTTTACTTTAAGCTCAGTTTAAAAAATATTTTATATGGTTCAAAAATTACAAAATTAATCAATTTAATTGTAATTCTCAAAATTTATATAAAATTATTTGAAAATCATGCCTATTTAATAGACATTTGAATTTACTTATTTAAATAATTCCAAACAATATACTAAAAATTAATATAAATTAGTTAAATAATACATGTACGAATCGCATATCAAGAATCTAGTGTTTATAAAATCTACAGTTTTGAATTCATATCAATATTTAATATTTGAAGATCTCGATTCTTAGTAGAATATGATCCAATTCTCCTTTTTTTCACCGCTGAGGAAAAAAATAAACACACATGAGCATAGAATTAGAATTTTGGAATGGAAGGGAAATAAACACACATGAACATAGAGTTTTTTATCAAGAAAAAAATTCTGGAGTAACCGACCTTCCCAATAGATCCCCTCATTGTTTTTTTCATTATAAATTATGACAAAATTGTGTAAAAAAAATACTTCTTCGTGTGATTCCTGTATTATGTTTTATTTTAAATTAATAACATGTATTACTATACGTGAATAAAATTATTGGATTTTATGTTGGACTATGTAAATTAACGACAAAGTCTCAAATTTAGCTATATAAATATTACGTAAAGTCTTGTTTCGTCTATTTACATACAAAAAATCGAAAATATTGGCATAGAGTATAAAACATTTTTTTATTGATGGCACCAGTTTTTCTTGAATAATGCTTGAACAGTTAATCAAACATGGTAGAAAATATGTATTTTATTAAATTTTGTTGAATTTATATGTATTTCTATCTCTCATTGAACGAGAAAGTATTATTATATAATACACAATGCCTAACAAAATAATGAGCTGAAAAAAAAATACTAAATTATATATAATTCTCGATTAAAAAAATAAAATTAAAGAACAATAAATAGATATCTCATTGCTTACACAGTGAATTCTAAATTATATAAGTTTTATTATTTTCCTCATAATATAATAATATTAGAGACAAAAAAATACTAAACTTTTTAAGAATCTTAATTTTTCTAAAAATGAAAATCTTCATTCGAGTTGTATAAAAATATAAGATAATTGATTATTGTTCGGAAAAATCAAACATGTAATATTATAAACAACCGGTTCAAAAAAATCAATCAAAATAGTATTGAAAAACAACAAATTACAAGCCAAGAAAACGTGATGACTCCTCATACAATCACAAGTTGATTGATTATTCCGTTAATTATTTTACAATAATACGCATGATCCAAAATTTTAAAACAAAATGCATTTCATGCTTTATTTTACCATACATGTATTTATACATTTAAAAGGTGTGACACAACATATAAAATAAACTAGCTTAATCAAATTGTCTTTGAGTTTCTGTCATCTAGGTCTCTATTCCATTCGACAAAACAACTATTGAAGCAATTTTAGTTTGAATTTATTGAGAAATTTTGAGACATTGGTGAAAATTAATAGAGATTTCACATCCATAGATAACCAAATAAATGAGACCAAATAAAACAAAGAATTTGTAATTTTTTCGTGTTAACAATATTTGTACACATGAAATAATATATAGCTACTTATTAGTTGATTAGACACTGAAATTTATCAAGTATATAGAAAAAAATGCAGGAGATAAAATTTGTCTACTTCGTTATTTTTTACGAAAAGACTAATGAAGCAGAAGAAGAAAGAAATTCGAATCAGATTTATATTTTTATCTAATTTGTTTTAAATTGTATAGCAAATCAAAGATGTACCAATGAAATGGAAGAAAGAAAGAAAAAATTCAAATAGCTACCAATGCAAATTTATTAAATCAAATAATTATCTAATATTTGAACTCAAAAAATCTAAACAATATCTAAATTTCCTTGGGCACAAAAAGTGCCTAAAAACTAAAAAATCAATTTTTTAATAGAGAGAATTTATTATCATATTAATCTATTACATAGGAGTACATAATAATAATTTATTTAAATTTTCAATGCCTCGGTAAATATTATATAATTCAAAATTCATTTTTTTTTCATTTTTTATCCGTTCTTTGTTTTTTTTTTTTAATTTAAAAAAATGTATGTGAATGTGATTGTATGATAATAATCTGAAAAAAAAAAAAAATCTTCAAAATTTTAAAATATTTGTTTAATAGCCGAAAATAACAATTAAAATTTTGTAGGAACTTTGATCGACATTGATAATATTAAAACTATAATACTCAAAGTGGAATATTTGTGACTCTTCAAGGGTTAAAATATAGTTTAACAGAACAAGGAAAGAGAAAGTAAAACCCTCGAGGCAGTGGGGTTTTGTGCCCTCTCCTCTGCCTCTCCCCTACTCTCTTCCTCCTCCTCCTTCAACTTCCTTGAAATTCAGCATACAGTGAGAGTCTCCTTCTCAGCTCGCTTTTGCTCCTCTTCTCAGTTTGTTTAGCTCGAAAAGGTGATTTCTTTTTCTTATACTCTATTTCTTTCTTTTCTATGTTTTTGTCTGTGAAAATAATTGCTTTACACACGTAAAAACAACAAAACGCAACTGATTTGGAGAATCAATGGCTTTGTAAGCATTTCCTGCAAAAATTATGGGTTTTGCGTTATCTTTATAATTTGTATGGATTGGCTCTATAGAGGTAAAGCAATTGTAAAAGTTTTATAGGCTTAGCTTGAAATTGGAATTTTTTTACTTGTAATAGCTTTTTTTTATGCTTTTAACTTGATATTTGGACTTTAAATTGTCATTATGTTTCTGGAATTTTCTGTTTAACTCTAAATTATGCTTATATATATATATATTTATATAGCCTGAAGATTTGATTTTGGTATAAACACTGGATTTTACAAGCTTTGTATTTTGTCGTTTTTATGTATTTTAGCTTAAAAACAAGGGAACTGGATTGTATTTGCTGATATTTAGTTTCTTTGGTTTTAGTAAGCAACTGATAGGAGAATAGCGATGGCACATGCTCGAGGAGGTGATTTCATGTTCTGTGACTTGTGTGGAACGATGATGTTCTTATATTCAACCGAGTGTATCGAATGTCCTTTGTGCAAATTTAAGAAAAGTGCAAAAGGTATAGCTCATGATCATCTAGTTAGTTCAAAGTAGTAGCAGCCATCATGTTTGCTTGATGCTTTCATAGATTTAATGGCATTGCTGGTATTTGGAGTATATCTTCATTCTCTTTTCCTTCCCTCTTTTCTTACTGTTGCATACTGAAAACAAAAATTCAATGAATGGTTGGTTTTTTGAAGTTTCCCAAATAAGAGATAGAATATTCCGGGTCAGTTTGTATATGAATTTATGATTCACAGATACTAATTCTGAAATTGTTCACCTCAATGCCTTAGCAATCAGCACTGTGACCAAACAAACTCTTTATGCGTGTACATCCAGCTAACAAAGTAGGTGTTTTGCTTTCACTGTAATTTGGATTTAGTAAGTTTTGAAAATTTTCGAAAGTTTGCTTAAAGCAAAGTAATATATTGCACATCGATTATGGTTGTCCATCCTTTTCTCTTGCAAAGTTCAGACCAGCTTATTTTATAGAATGCTAATGTAAGCACATAGGTGATATCTGTGCAGATTCCATATCAACAGATCTATCCACTGTGGAGTTATTCTGGATTATGTGTTTCTGTTAGCTATTAGTTAATTCTCATCATACAAGCTTTATAATTTGCAATGAATAATTTTTACCCTTTCCTGTGCCCAAAATTTTCTGTGTTTCCTGTTTATCTGTTTTAGGTGGGTAGTGGGTCTCTATGCACATGTTTTATTTGGTTTGTATAGATGTGGTTAATTTCAAACTGAAATGCTACATCTTGAAATTATCTATTACACAAATTCTGTCTCTGTCTAAGATTTGCTGTTCCTTTTCTGTTTGTCATGAGATTAATTTGCAATGCTGAAGTTAATCATGGGGTAATCTTGTATAGTTTAATATCTTGTATGATGACATAGTCTTGCAAATTGTAAATTGCATGGTGTTGTCTACATTCTGTCATGAAATCTCTCTGTATATTATGTTGCCTTTTCTTGATAATGTACTTAGCTGAATTAACCGCCACTGTCTTCAGATGTAAGAGAAAGAGAAATAAGTTATCAAGTCAGTTCTGAGGTATGCCTAAACTGACCTCTTTGGTTATGAAGCTTTTCTCTTGAGTTATCATGCAATCTTTTTTCTTTTCCTTTTTCTTCTGTTTTGCAAATTGCATTTGATAAGACAATAGTATTGGGGCTGACTGCCACTGTCAGTTCATAATGTAAGGGGAAGCTATGAAGAATGGTTTTGTAAATCTGGTGTCTTCGATCTGTTTGTTGAAAATGATCTCTCAATGCTAAAGTAGATCTGTCTTAGATCTGTTTGTCTTGCAAATTGCACTTGTAAACATCATTAGCTTGAAAACCAAGGTTGTGAGATGGCGTAGAGTTTTCATTAATGTGCATTTGCAGGTTATATATCATGCTTATGCAAGCATATGCCTGCAAGTTTGTTCATTTCTTTATTTTCCTTTTGCTTTTCTTCCTTCAAGTTCCGAGTGCAGCTTATAGAATTTCAAAGTATGATGCTCTCTTTGAATGCCTATGGTTGCCTTCAATTTAATTATCATAGATGGTAATTCAAGCTTCAAGCTGTGAAGTCAGTGGTCCTTAATGTGGTGCAGGATATGAGGAGGGATCTAGGCATCTCACATTTTGAAGGAAAGATGGAGGTGAAGGACATGGAGGTAAACACATTGGCCAAAAACTGATTTTCAGGCTGCTTTTAGCTTGGATTTGCTGCTAGTTCTAATATGTTTTTTTTTTTCCTTTACAGATAAATAAGAAATGTGAAAGATGCGGCCACACAAAGCTTAAATTTTCAACCAGACAAGTATTCTACCTAACCCAATTACTTTGGCATTATCATCATCAAAATTACAATTCCATTTCTAATTGATCACTTTGTATCCTTTTGTCCTACAGATGAGATCAGCAGACGAGGGCCAAACTACTTTCTTTCATTGTGCTAACTGTTCATACACATTTACTGAGAACTGAGTCTCCAGAGGCCCGCCGGAGCTTTCAAGACTGACCTACATAGAGCTCAGGCTGGATGGCTCAGTTTGAGAATGAAGTGTCTCGAAGGTTGTTTGCTATATTGTTTAATTGGACAGCACCGAAATGAATCGGCCAATTGTAGACAGCAGAGAAAATTCAACTTCGAGTGAAAAACTGAAAACCCTTTGGACCAAGCTACTTTCTTTAACCTCACAATTTGTATGAATATTATTTGTTGATTATTTGGGTTCTAGTAGACGTTGTTATTTTTGTTTGTTAAATGACAACGAGCACATGAGGTATTTTAAAATTATCGAAACTACCTAAAAATTTAGAGATTTATCATGAAACTATAGAAATCATTCAAAAATGGAAAGATTTGACAGAAATTTTTTTATATCAAATATGTCATTACTTACCATTTAGAAAAAAAAAAGAAAAAAAGTAGTAGTTAAATTAAGCAACTTTAGAAATTAGGTAAAGGATGTTAAAAAAACAACTTTGAACAAAATTGAATAATAAAATTCATATTATTCATGAGCTAAAAACTAATCATGTCTATTTTTTAAATGTTTTTTCTGTAATTTTTTATATTAACTATAGTTTTTAATTATTAAATTTTGTGTGGTCTCTGTACTTTCATCCGGTTAATGCATTCAATTCTAAGCCAAGATGGCTTTGGTTTTGCATAGCAACCGATTAAAGTCCCATCCAACTCAAAATTAAATCCATTTCCACGGTCAATCATCCTAGTTCTAAAATAATAATAATAATGTATAAAATTCAGCCTGAAGGGAATTTGTGAAGTGGAATTTATGTTTTACAAAAGTAAAGCTGACAACTTATATGCTTTGATTTCACATGTTCTTCCACAGTTAGCTTTTTTTTTTTCTAGCTCCATGATCCCATCAACAGAAGTTGTTGAGCTATGTCTACCACCAAACTTGTTAGAGCTTTTGTCCTAAGTTCTTTCTTCCTTCTAGCTCTTCCTGTTGCAAGTAATGCAAATGTTCTCAAAATTTGTGGGTTTGATTCAATCTATCAGCTTGGCGATTCCATATCTGACACTGGCAATTTCATCCAGGAGAGCCCTTCATCTGTGTTTGCTCGGTTTCCTTACGGCGAAGCATTTAAGAATAAGTCCACTGGTAGATGCTCAGATGGGATGCTAATGATTGATTTCTTCGGTAAGCCTCCGTTATTTTTCTTGTTTCTTCAGTATCTTCTTTTCCCTGTAAGTTTTTATCTATAGAAAAAAGAAAAAAGCAAAGAAATGTGATGTCCTAAGCTGCGTTGATTAAACTTCATACATTGCAGCAATGTCAGCCGGTCTTCCACTGCTTGACGCCTACTTGAATCCGAATGCAGCATTCGGTCGCGGCCGTGGAGTGAACTTTGCAGTAGCTGGCTCGACTGCCTTGCCTGTCAATGTTCTAGCCGAAAGGAAAATCCAATCTCCTGCTACCAATAATTCACTGAGCACACAACTTGACTGGATGTTCACTCATTTCAATTCGATGTGCTACAATGATCAAGGTGACTAATTAATATGGAAACCAGACAAACAACAATTTCCTATTGAGATCACAGAAATTTTACGTTTACCGATTTGTTTGCTTCACAGATTGTGCTGAGAAACTTAAAAGTTCCCTGTTCATGGTTGGGGAGATTGGAGGTAATGACTATAAATTTGCATTGTTTCAAGGCAAAACGATGGATGAGGTGAAAGATATGGTGCCTGATGTCGTTCAAGCCATTAAAGAGGCTGTGAAGGTATGTTATTTTCTTACTTGTATAACTGTTCCAAATAATTTCCAGTTGATCTTACCAATAATTTTGTTGCAGAGAGTTATTAGTTATGGTGCTAGACGAGTGGTTGTCCCTGGAATTTTTCCAATAGGTTGTTTTCCAATCTATCTGACCGGATTCCGGACCAACTATACCGAGGCTTACGATAAATTTAACTGTCTAAAAGGACTGAATAAACTTTCTACTTATCACAATGATCATCTCAAGCAAGCCATAGAAGAATTGAAAAAAGAACACCCTCATGTGGCCATAGCATATGGTGATTATTACAATGCATTCCAGTGGATTTTGAGTCATGCTTCATTGCTTGGTGAGTATCTTTAGACCCTCCAAAAATACGAGACAACAGGGTTTTGATTCAAAATTCATTCTTTGTTTGATATGAACAGGTTTTGATGCCAAATCGGTACAAAATGCTTGTTGTGGGACTGGAGGAGATTATGATTTTAGTCTCAGGACAATGTGTGGAGATCATGGAGTACCGGTTTGCGGTCAACCTCGTCGATATATCAGCTGGGATGGAGTTCATTTGACTCAAAAGGCTTATCAAAATATGGCAGTATGGATCCTTAAAGACATCTTTCCAAAGCTTCAATGCTCTTTCTGATTCTATGCAGCCTATAATTCTGATAGGTTAGAAAATATGCGGTTTTTTATTTTTATTTTTTAATATTATTCAATATGTCTTTATATAATAATTTAAGTCTTCAATACATCTTTATGTTTTTATCTATGTCTGTTGTGTCTTTCAATATTATTGTAGTAATTTGTCGTTTGAGTTAAATTTATGATTGATGGATAAAATTTTTTGATTGAAATGTAACACATGTTTTATCTTTTAAGTTTTTAATTTTTTTTATTTAAAAAATTAGTCATGATTAGAAGAATATATTAAAAAATTAAATATTATTCAGAAACATAATGTATATAATTAAAAACATAAAAATAAATTAGAGATTGAATTATTTACAATATTATTCTTATTATTCGGTATAAAAACATATTTGTTTACCATCTTTAGGGACTATCTTTTTATCCAAAAAGAGTGATGATGTCGATGGTGATCTACAACTTTGTGATTCCTCTTGTTGGCTGGGGTTATGATTGTTTTTCATAATTACTAACATGATCAAAAGTATGGAAAAGCACAAAGCACAAAAGGTCAAAGAAAAAGAAAGGATTCTGCATGACCCAACCTACTTTACAGAAGTCACAGCTTTTGAATAACTATGAAATAAATATCATAGGATTTATTTGTCCATCTTTGTTGCTCTTAAACAAATACAAACTAAGATAATAATAAATGTCTAAAAGAATCAAATCAATTCCTTCAATTTTATTTCATTTGAGAGTCACTTCTAAATCTTTTATTTGTATTTTTTACTTTCTAGATTTTTTTTTTAGATTTAGTTCATTCTATAATTTTCAGCTATCACCAATCTTTTTATAAAAAAAATTCAATTCTTGTTATTTTGATTTGAAATTTTATGCACATGTTTAGAAAATCCAATCTATTTTCTAAACAAATTTCAAAATTTATTGAGGTTGGGATATATATATATATATATATATATATATATATATATTATTTTTTAAACATTAAATATGTAAAAAAATAAAAATAAAAAATAATATAAAATTATCTCAAAAATTTTGGAAAGTTTTAGATAAATCTCACTAAATGATTTTCATTATAAAACCATTATATAATTGTTTTTTTTGAAGTAAATAACAAAAAACTGAAGAATAAATTAAATCTAAAAAAAAAAAAAAAAACCAAAGAGGTCTAAACGCAAATTAAAAGTCCATTGAATGATTTTCATTATAGGGCTACTATGTAATTATTATTTTTTATGATAGATGACAAAAAATTGAAGGATTGACTAAATCTCAACAAAAAAAAAAAAACATACGTCTAAATGCAAATTAAAGTCTACTAAATGATTTTCATTATAGAGTTATTATGTAATTGTTATTTTTTGAGATAAATAACAAAAAACTGAGAAATTGATTAAATCTAAAAAACATTCGAAGAGGTCAAAATACAAATTAAAAGTTTAGAAATTGATTTTCAAATAGACTAAAATTCAGAAGAGATTTGATCCTTTTATCCTATGATTCAATTAGATCTTGAGTTCTCGGTCTTAATTCACATTGCTTTAAAAAGAAAAAAAGAACGATATGATGTGCCTTTCTCCTTAATATCACGATGGAGCTTGTGATTGATTTTTGGTTAGTCTTGTTGTGCCATGCTGTATTGGGTTTGATCCTCTTTATCTCAACTCCTTTCCCCTTGTATTTCGTTTTCGTGTAGGAAGCAAGGAATTTGCCTTGCTTCCATTTTCATATGGTATTATTAGCAGCTACAAAATCTTAATTGAGATTTCTGTTTTTGGATTCTAGTTATGAAATTAATCCCTCTCTTCCTCTTAAGTTCTATCTCAAATTCTCAATGAAAATAAAAAGGATTAACATTTAACATCCTGGTAAATCAATGTACCAAATAAAGATATATTTGTTGCAAAACGTATTAATGAATCAAGGTGTTCCTAAAGGTGTTCCTAAAGTACTCTCATCCTTTATTTAATTTTGAGTTAACGAAGAAATCTATTTTTATATAATAAAATAACTCTTTATCCTGTCATTATATTTATAATTGAATTAATTTTATTTTTAAATATCTATTAGATTTTTAATTTATTATCTTGAAAAAAATTTTAGGTAAAATCATCGGAATTAGTCGCGCAATGTACATATGATTATTTTTTATTTTCAAAATATTCTTACAAGTGAAAGAAATAAAAGACTCTCATTTACAAATAAAGTATTAATTTCAATGGTTTAACTTTAATGTTTATATTAAAATGTATCTAAAAAATAAAATCACTAGAATTAATCACGTGATTTGCATATAAGTATTTTTTAGTTTCAAAATGTTCTTGCAAGTGAAAGAAATAGAAGACTTTCATTTACAAATAAAGTACCAATTCTAGTAGTTTAACTTGGAATTTTTAGTAAAATGACAATTTAAAGACTTAACATGTATTTAAAAATAAAATTGACTTAATTAAACATATAAAAAATTAAAAAATTATCCTATTATATAAACATAAATTTAACCATTATCATTCAATTTTTTTGCTCTTTTTTCCTCCTAATGTTCTCTTCCTCGAGTCATTTGCAAGACACCAAAATGAAACTGGTCAGAAACCATAAACCAGGGGGTGGAAATGGAGATTGAATTTTCTCCTACTAAAGATAGAGAATCATATCTACCTAGGGACTCTCCCTGCTGTCCCCAAAACCAGCATAAACTTCTTCGCCCCTCCATCCCCCAAAGATCTCTCTCATTTTCTCTATGTTCAATCAAAAACTTGCTTCCTACACGCAACCCCAACCTGCATTTTCTTGGACTTTACATGCTGCCTTTACTGCCACTACCCCCACTATCTTCCAATCTTCCTGTGCCAAAAAAACCCACACAGGGGAGTCTTCTCTCTTTTTTCATCACTGGCCATTTAATTACTACTACCATTCAATCTTTCACCTGCCATCAATTCTTGGTCAAAAGTCATCACTGTTTGATTTGTTAGCAGGGAAATTTAATCACTAGGTGAACACGCTATTCAAATTTGAGTATTTGCCACCTTTTTTCTTCTTCTGATAAACAAATAAATGATCGTCTTTATTACATGTATAGTGTTGAACTACAAATTTGACAACCAACGATGTGATCCTATTTATGTACTCCACAGTGATGAACTAAGTAAATGTAAAAGTCATGGTTTCAAATCACGATATGGACATTATCCAATGGATTTGAACATGTTCGATATTGTTATATACTGTTATAAAAAAAAAAACATATTGACGTTTTACATAAATAACAGAGTTATTTGTCATGATTTAGCGTATAAGGACTGTTATTTAAAAACAAATTGATTCTTTATATTCTGTTATTTTTGATGTGATATTAAATTATTAGAAGTCTTAGAAATCTTTTTTTATAATAAATTTAAATATTATTGTATAATATTAAATTATTAAAAATTATTATTATGTTTAATTAGTAACATGTTTAAAAATATATAAATTAAAATAAATTTATCAGATAATGTATTTACTTGTCGTGATCGCTATTTTACTATTACAACAAAATACACAATCGTTATTTTATTATTACAATAAATCATAATTCATTATCATAATTATTTTTAAAATCATATTTATAATTTAAGATTATGGTAAAAGCAAATTCCCAAGATGCTAGAATGGAATTTTTTTTTTTTTGGTTGATACTTTTGGTGTAATTGTGCATGCAATTTTTTTATGTTATATTTAGACTTTGATCGAAAAAAGGGGCAGAATTTCCAACTTCCGGGACAGTTTATGAGGTCATGAAGACTAAAATTTAGGATAAAGAAAAGAAAATGGGGACCAGTTCTATTTGGCGGCAGCAAAAGATCCCACAAACTGACTCAATACATAGGTGAAAAAGTATTGCCTCTAATCAGACAGTTGATCAAACCGGTAAGAATAAGATTCACTGGCCTGCCTCAGTGTCAAATTCAAGGTCATATCTATTTATGAGAATTTGATCATCATCCATGACCTGTGCTTTGGACTAGCTATCTACGGATCTACACCATAACCCAAATTTGATTGGGGTGTGTTCTTCACTCTTTTGAAGAGAGAGTGGTTATCTAGAAAAACAATATTCACATTGATTTTGCTTTGAATGAATTTTCTACCTTTTTTTTTTTTTTTTTTTTCCACTTGAGGTTTGCATTAAGAGTGGCATGGTTTTTTCTACACATCAAAACTTGAATTGCTTTGATTGCTTTCTCATATGGGGTAGGGTACTCTTTAAAGATTGCCCACTTGAAGACTCAATCTCTTTAACTCTTATAATTTCTCTCTCCCTTTCTTTATTTCTCATCTCTCTCTCTCTCTCTATCTCTGTCTATCTCTCTTAAGGACTTGTAGTATAAATATGCATGGCCTGATTACCTCTAGCTTCATTGCTTCTCAACAATATTCTCAGCTTTACTGAATTATATACAGTGAAGAAGGCCGAAGGCCATGCATGGGTTATAGCTATGGGGTGTGTAGCTCTTGCTGGAGAAGCAGGGCACGTGCAAGTTCTCCTTTTTGATCTCTCTTCGAACTTTTCTTGCACGTGCTCCCCTTCTCCAACATGGGTTTCTCACCTTTCGTCGTCTCCTTCTCCTTTGCATCATCCTTGCACGCTGAAATGTAGCTAGCTTGGTCATATTGTATAGAAATGGTAGGCCAAATTGCTGACTTCATCTTGCTTTATTTTTTTCCTTCCATTACTTAATTACGTCCTTGTCTTCCTAATCTTTCTTGAGAACTTCTTGTCTTTACTTGTATTTTTGTGATTGAAGTGTTTGCTTTAAAGAGAGAGTTAGTCGCACATATGGAGGAGTATAGCTCTTAAAAAAGACACAGTACCTGAGGACGACAACATGATCTCGTTAAAATCACTGTATGGCTAAAGGTTTAAGCATAATAGCCTGAGACAAATGGGAGTACTGTTAAATGTCATGCATGCCAAAGATTTAGAAAAAGGAAACAGAGGAAACTTTCAATTTTTTTTATCTGAAGATGATGAAGTGCTTCTAATAACTAATGACTGTGTAGATCTATGTATTTAGCTGTCCAGAGACAGAAATTCATCATTGAATCAACCATATTTGTTCATGTTTTTATTTCTAACATTCAGTACTTCTTAAAGCCATTGGCCCATCCATTATACATCTAAATATTTATGATGTTTTATGAGTCTAACTTGTTTGTATGATTTGCTTCATTTCTTTTGGAATCCTTTAATTCTGTAGGAAAAAATTGAACACTTAACTGAATCAAAGTAAGAAGCTCGAAAGCCTTTTTTAATTTTTTTTTATGACAACAAAGAAGCTCAAAGCTGTAAATCATGAGTGCTGTACGTCGTATAGATAATTAATATTGTGAATATATTAGTAGTGTCAATAAATTTATTTTAAAAGTTATTTGGGTCATTGTTCACCAAAAAACGAAAAAAAAGAGTCATTATCAATATACAATATATATCTGTGTGAATCGATCGAAGTATATATATAATGGCCAAAATGATAATCGCTTTGACTAATTCAGTTAAATACGATTGTTACATTATATACGGCCAAAATGACAATGGTCTTGGGTAATTTCGTTAAATAATGGTAGTTATATTATACATGACGAAAATGATAATGACTTTAGCCAATTTTGTCAAGTAAAGATCATAATATTACATTATATAATTTAAAATTATAGCTCAAAACCTTATAGCAAATGGAAAATGCTTTTATTAAATATCGAAATGAATTATGAAAAAAAAAAATAAACCATTCAATACTCAAATAGTACAAACAATCACAAGTAGTCACAAGTTATTTTCTCTCTCTTTTCTTTAAAAATATTTTGATAACGACAACTGTTGCCTCTATCATTATACAATTTCTCTCTTTTGCTTTTTCTATTTAACCTTTGTGTTTTGCCAGCAAAGGGAAAAATGTCACTCTCATTCGACACCCAGACAAGTCGGATTGGTCATCTCTTTACTTCCAATATGTACTCCCATTTTCCAAATACAAAACACTCTAACTGATTTATTATCCCTTTACACAAATTTTTATATATTGACTGCAAAGTTTGACTAAACCCTAGATCACGATGCTCAAAACATGTTGTACTTTTTTTAATGCCATTTATCTCTATTTTTTACTATCTGATATTGCTTTCGTTAGGTAAGATTATTTCAGTAGAGAGCATATATATATATAACTCAAAGGAAACACACAAAAACGTACGTAATGAGCCTGTCCCAGATGGCAGGAAGGAGAGGAAAAAGAGACGGTGAATTTGGCAGTCAAAAGAAGTGTTTGCAAGCTAAGTGGAACTTTCACTTTGCCCTAGAAAGAGCGTGGGGTTTGTTTCTTTTGCTTTCCTTTCTTTTTCGTAAGCAAAGCAAAGAAGTTTTCGAAACTTTGATAGGCCATGATGGGGTGTTGGAAATTGAAATGGGAAGGGATAAGGGGACAAGGAGGGCAGTGCCAAATCAAGGAACCTTAAAATTCAAGCAATGGTTGCAGTCATTAACAACATGACAGTCTGTGTGGAGAGGGAGAGAGATGGGAAGGAAGGAATATATCTGTGGAACTTTGGACACGCAATGCACGAATCTCTAGACTTGGAAACCTTGCTCTGACCAAATGATCATGTCACCTGCTAGGGCATATACATGCATATACCTGTAGTGTTGTGTTAACTACTGGTACACGGATCAAGATTCTGAAATTATCAAACCACCACCAACATTAATCAACTGTTGAGTGTATACTATAGGAACAATTTGTAGCTGTAGGTTTATTTGTTGAGTGCATGCTATAGGTCTATCTCATGAGTGACTTTAACATAAAGATATTAAATAAAAGAAAAATTGAAGTGAAAATAAAAAAATCAAAAAAGGATCAAATTGTAAAGTGTGTGTATATATATGGCCGTTGACAAATGAAAAGAAAACGTTTATTTTTCTGTTTTGTTTTCTGATAGTTGCCACTTGCAATAGATATATATTGTTAATTTTGACCTAGTTATCAAGAGGGAAAAAGAAAAATAATGATTTCACACGTAATTGTTTTTTGATGTCTTAAAAACAAGTTTTTTCTTGGATTTCCATAACAAGGAGGCAAGTGTTTTTTGATGCATTAAATCATGAGGTTGTTTCTAACATTAAATTTTAGATACAACGGTTGTAGAGAATTGTAGCGTTTAAAATAATGATTTCACACATAATTGAATTTTTGAGAAAACACAAAGATTCCATAAATTTTAAGTTTTTGTAATGAGATGTATATATATTTTTTTTTTTATAATGAGACGAATTTAACTAAAAAGGTAAGTTATATTATGAACGGTCATATCTTTGCTTTTCAAATTCATAGAAGAATTTGAGTAATTATATTGCTTTTTTTATTATTATAATAGATTATTTCAAAATTGGTCCTATAATTTTTTCTCTACAATAGAGAGCTTTTTACATAAATTTAGTATTCTTATAGTTGTCTTATTGTTATACTCTTATACTTGATTTATTTTATACTCTTGATTATTGGTGTGCATCTAGCTCGATAATTATTTTCTCACGAAATCTAATTTATACAATATAAGATTAAATTCTCAACACAATTTTGTTCTTCACCAAGGGTTAAGTAGGTAGTCCTTTCTCTTTCTTTTCTTTTCTTTTTTTTTCCCCTAATTTTGGTCCAATTATCTAATTTATACGAAAAAAGATTAAATCCTCAACACAATTTTGTTCTTTACCAAGGGTTAAGTAGGTAGTCCCTTCTCTTTCTTTTCTTTCTCTTTTTTTTTTCCCTCTAATTTTGGTCCAATTATCAAATAGATTGACATTTATTTTAATGCGCGAAGCTCCAAATCTGTAGCATACATTACCACATCGTCTTAAAAAGATGATTATACAAAGAATTGATTATTTGTGATAGATGAAATAAAAGACTTATTCCCCAGAATGATGGTGGAAGGAGGGTAGCTACAGGCAGACGTATCTATCATATGATTATTCCATCTAGACTTATGTTGCTCACACGTTAATAGATTTCACTTGCACTTATGAAGCGACAACACAAATGGTTTTTCAAATGTACTCCTGTATTTATATGGTATTTCATGTTCCATACCAGAAACACCTTAATTTCTATCTTGGTTTCTCTTACATTAATATTTGTGATAGTGAATAGGAGGTTAGAAAAACTTTATCCTTGATTTGTTGCAGAGGGAAATGCATGTTATAATATCTCATTTTCTTCCCATGAGTCTTTAACCAGCCGTTTGTTATGCTTAAACAAGGACACACATCTCTTCATTGAGCAAAAACTAATCCCATTGTACACAAATATATAGACATTAGCTTACCCGAGGATAATTCAAGATTCACCAATGGCAAAAGAGTGCTTCATGTTAGAGCAAACCAAACTAGCTGAAATCTTAATCCTAGTTGCTGATTTCAAAGTGCTAGCGGCGGTTGCTCTCTTGGCGATTGCATTGTACCTTTTGATCGATTCCAAGAATGTTTATCTTGTCGATTTTATGTGCTACAAGGCACCGGAAAGTCAACGATTTCCCATCTCCTCCTTCATAGAACATGAAGAAAGATTGGGTAAGTTCAACAGAAAAACAGTTGAGTTGCAAACCAAAGTCATTGAAAGATCTGGTATTGGCAACGAAACCTACTTACCCGACGGAATCCACCAATTGCCAGGTGATCATACCTTGAACTCTACTCTTGAGGAAGTGGAAATGGTGCTATTTACAATAGTCCAAGACCTATTCACCAAACACAAGATTGATCCGAAAATGATCGACATTATCATTACAGACTGCAGTCTTGTGTGCCCCATTCCATCTTTAGCCACAATGGTGATTAATAAATTTGGATTTAGAAGGATTTAGAAGCAACATAAAGAGCTTCAATCTCTCTGGGATGGGCTGCAGTGCATGCATTTTGTCAATATCCTTAGGTTGAGACCTCCTCAAAGTGCACAAGAACTCTTTGGTTCTAGTCCTTAGCATGGAATCGGTGTGTTGTAACATGTACCATGGGCAGGTCAAGTCTATGCTACTCGCAAACTGCTTGTTTCGAATGGGAAGCGCTGCAATTTTGCTATCAAATCGCAAAAGTGACAGACAGGTTACTAAATATCGACTCCAGCATCTGGTCAGAACTCATCTTGGATCTAAGGATAGTTTGTACAAATGTGCTGTTCAAGAAGCAGATGATGAAAGGTACATCGGGTTATCATTGTCAAGATCCATCCTACAAGTAGCTGGAGAAGCACTAAAAACTAACATGGTAACATTAGCTGCAATTGTGCTACCTTACTCCGAGCTAATCCAATATGGTCTATCAACTATGTGGAAGAAAGTTTGGCCGCCGGCAAAAAAGTGAGGCTCGTATATCCCAGACTTTAAGAAGGCTTTTGATCAATTTTGCATTCATGCTAGTGGCAGAGCTGTTGTTGAAGCTATAAAGGAGTACCTTAAGTTGAAAGATAGGGATGTGGAAGCATAAAAAATGACACTCTATAGGTTTGGTAACACATCTTCTTCATCAACTTGGTATTCACTAAGCTATCTTGAAGCAAAAGGTAGGGTGAGACGGGCGACAGAATTTGGCAACTGGCATTTAGGAGTGGATTTAAATGTAATAGTGCAGTTTGGAAGTGCATTTCCAAGATGAAACCAGATAATTCGAATGTTGGGTCAGACAGTATTGACCAGTATCCAGTCGAAGTGCCAGAGATAATGGATCACTGATGTGAGTTTAGCATAATCAATAAAGTTCAACAGGATCAATAAACTGGTAAACTTTATATGGAAAGAAAAATAAGTCATGCATACAACCAATCCTTAACTTATGCTATCCCTCAAATACTTGTTATTGCGGTCTTTTTATGTCGTTTTCAGTGTTCTGCTGAACATATAAAATGACACTCATGTCAAAATTTGCTGTGGCAACTTGGTAGATAAATATATAAAATTCTGAAAACTAAAATTTCGCATGTATGGTAACTCATAATCCATGAAAAAGCAAGCAAATCAATATTGTTTCTTTCTCATTCTTGTCTCACAAGTACTAAAGCAATTCACTGTAAGTTCTTGGAAGCCAAACACTCAAATTTGAGTCGATATAAAATCTAGGCATAAATTCAAATTTTCTTAAATTTTTTAGAATCGCAATTAGATAGCTATTATATCATACAAAGCAAAGAAATCAAAACCTTGTAGCACAAAATGACCACATGTAAAATATTTGACATTTAAAGATTGGACAAGGGAAACAGGACAAAGTTGGCGAAAAGAATCATACCTTAAAAGGGATAATGCTTAAGCCAACCATTTCTTCACTGTCTCCTTTTCTGAATAAACCTTTGATCTCAACAAGAAAACATAGCCATTATATCTAGATATTCAGTTCCTCACGGAGATAAAGATGATAGCTCCTGAATGAAGTCAAATCCTTGAACCTGGGATTTAAAGTTGACTCATATACTATGGTAACCTTTCAATTTCCATCTCCTTGTTAACTGCTCTTTCATCCAAATATTCTTGAGGCTATTAGACAACTCTATTTCCAAGGTCCGAGGAACTAACAACATAAATAATGCTCCCAACAAGCCCCTCGTTAGAGAGTCCACCGCATACATTGCCTGAATTGCTGAGCATAGACAATAACAAAAAGATCAAGTATTTACTAATTTTCTACAATTGGGTCAACTTGGTTTGTCTTGTGTGGAGTTTGGCCTAACCGTCGAGTCGTTGCATTTAACATGGGAATGGTTTGCAAAAGAGTGGAGACTAAGGAAGGCACATATCGCTCTCAAAGGGAACAAAAAAGAAGAAAAATGTGAGAACTAAAGCAAGAGAAACCCAACACACGATTTCTGCATCAATCAATGCAAACACAAAACGTTCAAGAGTTGGACTACCATCAATGCAAACTAATAAAATACCCAAAATAAAACAAAATAAAAGACTTTAACTTGAAACCCAACACCGCATTTCCGAAAACTTGAAATAAACTAACCCAGAAGGCCAAATTATCATTTCGTGCCAGGACATTATAATCTTACCAAGAAAACAACTTTTGCAAATAGGATCTCAATTCGACAGCACCATTCAATTCCACTGATCTCAGCTTACATTAACAGAAACTGGAAACAAGAAAATGAAACTATCAAATTCTACAAAGCAAAGACCAAGGAACTTGAAAAATAAATCCTATCAAGAGAAATGAAAAACATGTACGAAAGGGGATACCTTTAAGCCAAAAAAAAAAAACATAAAACAAAGAGAGTACCAAGAGAGAGAGAATACCAGACTGCAATGAGTAATAACCAAAGAAGTGATCTTGGAAGAAACTTTAGGAAGTCCAAACGAAGATGTGGAGGTTAAAACGTTGTTTCGTGAAGAGTTTAAGGATAACTTTGGTAAAAAGAAAAATTACACTGTAATTTTAGCAATGCCAATCACTAGAATTACTAAAAAATTTTACTTTGAAAATTTTTTATATTACCAAAATTTGCTTTATGCGATTGAGTAATTTCGGTGATCCAAAATTTTTACCCATTATCCTATTCATTTTTTACATAAAAAACTAAAAAAAAAAGAAGTTAAAATTAATTCGTCAAAATTGGACTCAATGATAATTTTGACTAACCAAAATGAGCTACAAAGAAAATCACAAGCTCTTTAGCTTGAAAAGTTTATAAATAAAAATATAATTCAAGTAACTTGACTTGATTTTTATTGGTATTGACCGAATTGCCCAAAAAAAATCATGTAATTACTTGAATTATTCGGTCTCCAAAATTATTAATTCTTTTTTCTCAAATTAGTTCCAATTATTCAGGTAATTTGGATTTTTTTAAAAAAAATGTTCATCTCTAGACAATTGTGGCCATAACAAATACCCTATATGGACGGCTCAGATATTACATCAGTGACAAGCAAGGCTTCTCCAACACTCGAGGTGGTAATTTACCCAATGTTTATGAATACCATCCGAACCGATCGAACGGGTGTGATTTTTACAGATAATTACTATTTCAAATTGTAAATAGATATCTAAAATTCCTATTTAATAAATAATGAATACTGTATAAATACTGTCAAATCTGATCCGGTATATATATTAATGAGAAAATTATAAATATATACATATATTAGAATAATGTTTACGTTGGTCTGTGTTAGAGATATATGGTTTATCAAGCTTTGTGGCATTGGAACTTTGGAAAGATATCTCTAAGAAGCCAATTTGCCAAATGCTTGTTTGCGTTTTGGGTAAAATGACGGTCATCCCAAAAAACATACTGCTTAGGTTTTTGGCAGACTGGTACTTTTGGAGCTCCACACATTTGATAAAAGTCTTCAATGACATTGTACTTACTTGGAGCCCCACAGCAAGCTTTTGTTAGTGACTTAAACCCTGACAATCATGAAGGAGTAAAATGATTCATTACATTCTGGTGGTAAAACTTTTAGTAACGTAATCGAAGCATTCACAAGGTTCCACTTTAGTCCCTGTATTTTTAACCCTTAAATTTCATTTTTATCAAATTGGTCCTTATTTGAAAGGTTTGTTTGTCCTTGTATTGTATAAAATTTATAACTCAGTCTTGATGGTGAGATTTATTTTGCAATCATGTCCATATAAGATTACTCTTCATGGTGTAATGATTCATTAAATATATAGTTTTTTTTTTTGGTAATGTTTGGAATGCAATGAGTGTTATAATTACAATGATCCACTACATTACAATTTAGAAAATTACACGACAAAATATAAAAATATAATGAGCCATTAATTCACATAGCTCGTTAATTATATTTAACCAAACATGTTGTTAATTATTTCTCATGATCAGGTTTTTAAATAAACTAGTTTAGTTCATGTGGTGCATGTCTAATTAAAAAAACTCAATAGAGATCTATATTAACCGAGGAGAAGATCGATTACTCTTCCTTCTATTGAGAAGGGAAAAAAGCACTCACCAAGTTGTTGAGAGTTGTCCAAAAGCCATTGCATTGCACCGTAAAGATCACCATACACTATATCTACATGAGGGTGTTCCTTTTTTAATTCTTCAATGCCTTCTTTGAGACGATCGTTGTGATAAATGTTCAAGTCATTGTAGTTCTTTAGACAACCAAAGCCATCATAAGAATTAGCAGAATTGTTTGAAGAGAATCTTGTAAGAAAACCTGGTGTACAACCAGACGGGGAAAGTCCATTGACAAGGACTCTACGAGCACCAAGTTGGATGAATTTCTACAAACAATTAACAAGATATATATCAGAAATTTTTGCAAGGAAAAAGTTAATCGATATGTTAAAAACAAAAACATATTACCTTACCTTAACAGCATGTTTTAAGACTTCAACACTTTGGGGCACTAGGACATTCTTTACCTCATCAATAGTTTTGTTTTGGGAGAGTGCACTGCTATAGTCATTGCTTCCAGCAAAAGCTATGAATAGAGATGATGCAAGTTTCTCTTGACAATCTATCAAATATAACAAAATGATTCTTAAATCCTTCTATACATTTGGCAATTAATTGATTGTAATGTATCATTTTTATTCATTCTTAAGATCAGTCTAAATACATAGATATATACCCTTTAGCAAGAACATATGGAAAAATACAGTACGAAGATTTAATTTTGTAAACTAAATGCGAGGTATGAAGAATAAAGTAACCTTTGGCATCCTGACAATATCCTTCTAAATATTTGTCCAGCCATTCAAGTTGTACGTGAAGAGGACTTTTAACAAACTGGTTAGAGATGTTGTTTTCTGCAAGAAATTTCGTGGACAAGATGGTAGAACCACCGACTGCAAAGTTCACTCCACCATGTAATAAATCTGTTGCATTTTGATGTTTCAAATAGGGTTCCAGAAAGGGAAGACCCGCTGATTTTGCTACAAAAGTTTCAACCAAAAAATTAACAACACTTAGCATTACTCTAACTAAGAAATAATCATCATCATTACGATAATTCCAAAGAAAAAAACAGCAAATTAAAGAAGAAAATCGTTTGCCTACCAATATAATCAATCATCAGCAGCCCATCAGAGCCTCTGCCGGTTGCTTTATGGATAGTTTGGCCATAGGGAAGTTTGGTATGCCAAACCTGAGGAATCTCTATAATTTGGTTGCCTGTGTCTGACGTTGAATCCCCAAAACTATATATTGCATTGAACCTGCATTGCTTGAGTTTGGGTGCATCATCACTTGCATCACATGAATTCTGAGGAAAAACAGCAAGAAAAATAAAGCTTGCAAGAACTTGAAAGAAAGCCATCCTTTTGGTTGCCATGGCTCAAGAGGGATGTATAGAGATAGGAGAGAGATTGAAAGGATGGTAACAGAAGATATACATAATAAACTGTCAGTGCTAAAAGAATATTAAACAGCTTGCCATACAACCTAGCATTAAGACAATCCAAAGCTTTTTCTTAGGTAAATTCCAACTATAAAATTTTCATGCATGCTTAAAATAAGCATTCCAAATTATCTGTTTTTTTGAAAATTTTTTAATATTTATTACTCAAATTAGTTCGCATAACTTAGATAATTTGGGTTTTTTTTTTTTAGTGTTCATCCCTAGTTAGTTGTGCTCCTAATAGATAGAGTTTTTAATGAATAATTATTATTTTATATCGGATATAGATATCCAAAATCCTTATTTATTAGATAATAAATAATAAATAGTATATGGACCATCAAAATGGATTTGAAATGCATATATTAGTATTATATACATATATACGTGAATAATAAATAGTATATGGATACTCTCTCCCGATCCGTAATACATATATTAGTATTATATACGAATTTATGTAAAATATTTATACATTTTCATTAAATATAATATACACATATTCCAATATTAACATCACACACCCACATATATATAATATCTATAATTTTGTCATTAATATATATACATGCCTCAAAAAAAAAAATTATATATATATATATATATATCCCTACCTAGCACAGTCCGTTTTTTGTTAGTTTTTTCGGTTGGCAATTTGGGATATTGATGGTTATGGTACTCATGTTCCATTGGCAATTATTTATTATTATTTTTCAATACATCTTGCATGTACAAAATCAACTCTCCTTTGACTTAACCTCAGGCTTAGCAAGTTTTTTTTTTATTTTTTTCCCCTCTTCCTCCCCCCTTCTTTTTTTTTTTTTTTCGCTACCGATCATATTACAATAAATATTATAAGATTAGAAATATAGAGATTTTTTTCAAAATTTTGTAAATTTAAGATAACGTTTTCCTAATTTGCTAGTTTTATGTTTTTTTTTTTTTTTAATCTTTATCTTTTTGTTGATGCTAGTTTTATTTTTCTACAAGATCAAATGATTTTAATTCTATATACAGATATAAAGAGAATATTAATCGACATAAAATCGTATTTTGAGATCAATCTAGCTAGTATGACATATTCCTTCCACTATCATTCTTAATTAGTTTATACTAGTTTTCTTGCTCGCGCTACTCTGCGGGTTAGATAAATTATATAAAATCATTTAGAAAAATTATTTTAGTTTGATAGTCCGTTTTATAGTATAAATCTATAAAAATATATGAAATAAAAGGTAAAAAAATTATTTAATCAAAATTTTTATATTTAATTATTTCTTATTTGTACTTTTTCATAATTTTTCCTTTAGAAAAAAGTATTTATCCTTGTTAATCCATAGATTATCAACTAAAAAAATTAAATAAATTTTTTTTAAAAAAAGCTTTAGTATTTCATAAGATTGTGTCGAAAAACATAAATAATTATTATTAAAAACTTACATAGAATTGAACAAATTATTATTTTTTATTTAATATTGATGAGAATATCGATTTTTGAAAAAATGTGAATTTAATTTTTATATATTTATTTACATAAGAATGAATAATATTAAAATAAAAAACCATATTAATTTAAATCATTGAGTGGTTAAGCCAAAATATTATTTTAATTATTTAATTTAAAATAAGTTAATTTTAAAAAATTCAAAAACAAATAAATAAATAATAAATGCTTAGTGTAGTAGTACTTGCACAGTCAATTTCTAAAACAAAAAACGATTCAATATTTTTTTATGCATCATAACTATATTAAGCGAGTTTAGAGCTTTTAGTCTAAAACAAAAAAATACTATAAAAAGTTAACTTGCAAGGAATATATTGACTAAATTTGAAGTTAATAGACTAAAATAAAAATTATTACTAATTTGATTTTGAATAATTTTGATTATATAAAGAAGAAACAAATTAATAAAACATGTGAATTCTTTTTCTTTTTTTTTCCTCCTTCTTAAGTATTTTTTTATTTCTATACTATGCATAGCTAGTCCTTAAATATAGGCCTCATGCACAGAGCAACCATCTTTTTTTTTTTCACATTTGAATTTCAACTATTAATTAATTAATTTGAGTTTTCTTCTAAAAAAAATCGAGAAAAAATTACTTGAAATACACTTTTAATCTAAAAATATATTTTAGACAAATTATATATATTAATTATGCCACTATAATTTAAAAGTTATCTAAATCTATTTTTCAAAAGAAAAAGTAATCATGTTCTAAAAATTTATTCCAAAGTCCATACATATAGAAAAATAAATCAAAACTGTAAGTAAATATAATTTTCAATTAATTGGATGAGAATTGTTTTAAAAAAATGACAGATTAAAGTAGTAAATTTTAAATAATAAAAATAATTAAAAAAATATTAAAATAAAATGGGATGAAATCACAATATAATCAAAGTATGAAATTGAAAAAAAAAAGAAGACAAATTAATGTAGTAAATTTTAAATAATAAAAAAAGGAGAAAAAATTATTTGAAAAACACTTTTAATCTAAAAATGTATTTCAGAAAAATTATATATATTAATCATGTCACTAAATTTAAAATTATATAAATCTATTTTTCAAAAACAATAATAATTATGTTCTAAAAATTTATTTCAAAATTCATACATATAGAAAAATAAATTAAAATTCTCAGTAAATATAATTTTAAACTAATTAGATAAGAATTTAAATGACAAGTTAAAGTAGTAAATTTAAAATAATAAAAATAATTAACAAAAAATACTAAAAAATGAGACGAAATCACAATATAATCAAAGTTTGAGATTGAAAAAAAAAAGAGCATTTAAAAAAAATAAAAAATTAATGTAGTAAATTTTTAATAATATAAAAAACTGAGAAACAATTATTTAAAAGACACTTTTAATCTAAAAATGTATTTTAGATAAATTATATATATTAATCATGCTACTATAATTTAAAAATGATCTAAATCTATTTTTCAAAAGAAAAAATAATTATATTCCAAAATTTTATTACAAAATCTAAACATATAGAAAAATAAATCAAAACTATTAGTAAATATAATTTTAAATTAATTGAATGAGAATTTAAAAAAATAAAAAATTAAAATAGTAAATTGTAAATAATAAAAAATAATTAACAAAAACACTAAAATAAAATGGGATCAAATCACAATATAATTAAATTTTAAAATTGAAAAAAAAAAGAGAGAGAATTTAAAAAAAAAGTGACAAATTAAAGTAGTAAATTTTAAATAATAAAAATAATTAACAAATTAAAGTTTGAAATTGAAAAAAAGAGAGAGAATTTAAAAAATGAAAAATTAAAGTAGTAAATTTTAAATAATAAAAATAATTAACAGAAAAAACTAAAATAAAATGGGATAAAATCACAATATAATTAAAGTTTGAAATTAAAAAAGAAAGTTTAGAAAATTTAAGGACCAAAGTATTACAAAAGTTACATGAATAATGAAATGAATAATGATTTGTGAGTGTGTGAATAATATTTTAAATAGTAAAATGAATAGTAAAAGATGGTTTTACTTTAATTTCTTTAGTAATAAAAAAGGTATTAATCTATCTTATTAGTTTATTATAATATAGATGAGGTTTATAATGGCATGAAAGAGTTGAAAAGGAAAAAAAGAGAGGGACGGAGAGGGAGAAAGTTATTACCACTTCAAAGAGAAAGACAAGTGCAAAGTTTGATTATGAAATAAACTAAAAATAGGTAAAGAAATGTTTTTATTATTGTTGTTCTTGTACAATACAGAAACATTTATATGAATGAAATAAAAAAAAATTTACCTTGAGGGAAGTAGAAAACTATTGTCTGTTTAAATAAGTAGAGAAATATTTTTATTATTGTTGTTGTACAATACAGAAACATTTAGATGAATGAAATAAAAAAATTTCTACTTTGAGGGAAGTAGAAAAATATTATCTATGTAATGCAAAGATGCATAATCTAACGGTTATATATCCAATAATTTTTTTTAATTAAACAGGTGGTGAGATATGTTTAATTTTTTTTGTTATATATCTATTTTTTGATTTTTATAGGTGGTGAGATATGTTTAATTAATTAGGTCAGATTTTGCATCAAGCAAGACTAAGTCTACTAGTACTTTCTAGACTAAGACAGAGCCAGAATATGCTTGGTTTTTTATCCATCAGTAAACTCTCTCTAAGACCAAATGAGCTTAAGGCAATTGGTACATAATTATAGGTAGTTATCCGTAGATAATAAGAATTGAGCTTTAATTTTGATCAAATTAAGACAACTTTCTTATCGCTAGATCATGTCCCTTGGTCTTAGCTAGTTGTTTATTTTTTCAATAAATAATGGATATTTTTATTATATAATCCAGAGCTCATTATACATCATACACATGATGCCATCTCATTAATAATAATAATAATAATAATAAAATAATTCAACTTTGACAAGCTTTGTTGCAGTGAAACTTTGGGAAGATATCTCTAAGAAGCCAATTTGCCAAATGCTCATTTGCATTTTGAGTAAAATGAATTTCATCCCAAAAGATATATTCTTGAGGTTTATCGCAGACTGTTGCATTAGGAGCTCCACAAGCTTTCATAGGGTTGTCAATGTAATTATACTTACTTGGAGCCCCACAGCAAGCTTTTGTTAATGACTTGAACCCTGAAAATAATGAAGAAGTAAAGATTACTAAAGTCATATCGTATTTATTTTTATAATATATTCTTACGATATGTTAATTTGATCGGATATAAAGTAATCAAACAAATATATAATGTAAAGAAAAATATAACATAATGAAACTTTTTTAGTTATGTAATGGAGAAATTTACAAAATTTTATTTTAATCATTGTAATTTTTAAATTAGCCCAACAAATTGGTTCTTATTTGAATTTTTAGTTCAGTCCTTACGATAAAAAACTTTTTTCAATCAAGTTCATGTAAGGTTACTCTACTCTTCCATCATGTAATGATTTGCTACGTAGCTTTCTTTCCATAATGTAATGAGTTATTATAAATGATACGGTATATTATATTATAATTTTGAAAATTACAAAACCAAATATAAAAATATAACGAGTCATTATATTATATAGTCCATTATATTTAACTAAACATATCGTTAATTATCAAAGGGTTTTTCAAGAAAAAGCTTCGTTCATGGTGTATGTCTAAAGAAACTCAACAGAGATCTCTATTAAGAGAGGAGAAGATCATTACTCTTCGTTATACTGGAGAAGGGAAAAATGCACTCACCAAGTTGTTGAAAGTTGTCCAAAATCCATTGCATTGCACTGTAAAGATCACCATACACTATATCTACATTAGGGTATTCCTTTTTCAGTTCTTCAATGCCTTCTCTGAGAAGATCATTGTGATAAATGTACAAGTCATTGTAGCTCTTTAGACAACCAAATCTATCATAAGCATCAGCAGAATTGTTAGAAGAGAATTTTGTAAGAAGAACTGGTGTACAACCAGACTGGGAAAGTCCATTCACAAGCACTCTACGAGCACCAAGGTCGATGAATTTCTACAGCCAATTAACAAGATATCAGAAGTAATCAAAAGATCAAAAAAGTTAAAAAAATGTCATCAGCTAATAAATTTTAGAAGGAAAACGTTAATTAATATGTTAAAAAGAAAAACGTATCCACTTACCTCAACAGCATGCTTTAAGCCTTCAACACATGCAGGCACCAGGACTTTCTTTACCTCATCAATAGTTTTATTTTGCTTGAATGCTTTGATATAGTCATTGCCTCCAGCAAAAGTTGTGAATAGAGATGATGCAAGTTTCTCTTGACAATCTATCAAATATAAGAAAATTATCAATAAATCCTTATATATTTTTTAATGCCCGTTAAGTGAAGATGATACTAATCTGCGACACACAGTCACAAACATTACAGTATCGAATATTTTCGATTCTACTCTAGAGAAGATCAATAACCTTCAAAAGGGTCTAAATATATACCCTCTAGCAAGAACATTACAGTATCTAGGTATAATTTTGTAAATTAAATGAGAAGTTGAAAAGTATAGTAACCTTTGGCATCATGACAATATCCTTTTAAATATTTTTCCAGCCATTGAAGTTGTACATCAAGAGGACTCTTAACAAACAGATTAGAGATGTTGTTTTCTGCAAGAAATTTCGTGGACAAGATGGTAGAACCACCGACTGCAAAGTTCACTCCACCATTTGTTGCATCTTGATGTTTCAAATAGGGCTCGAGGAAGGGAAGACCGGCTGATTTTGCTGCAAAAGTTTCAAACAAAATTAACAACACTTAGTATTACTCTGTATAGGAAATAATAAGAATCATGATGATGATCCCAAAGATAGAAAAACAAAAACAAAAACAAAGTTAAAGAGGATAGATTAAGAAGAAAATTGTTTGCTTACCAATATAATCAATAATCAGCAATCCATCAGAGGCTCTGCCGGTTGGATTATGAATGGTTTGGCCATAGGGAAGTTTGGTATGCCAAACCTGAGGAATCTCTATAATTTGGTTGCCTGTGTCTGACAATGAAGCCCCAAAATTATATATTGCATTGAGCCTGCATTGCTCGAGTTTGGGTACATCATCAATTGCATCACATGAATTCTGAGGAAAAACAACAAGAAAAATAAAGCTTATAAGAACTTGAAAGAAAGCCATGCTTTTGGTAGCCATGATACGTTCCAGAGGGAAGTAATTGATAGTTATTGTTATTTCTTTTTTCAATGAATCTGACGGGCAAATCATTATATAGAGAGAGAGGCTGAAAGGTTGTTAGAAATAATAACCTGTCATAAACAGCCTTCCATACAACCTAGCAATACAATACGAGCTGTCTTAGATAAATTCCAACTTTTCACGTCCATGAACACACATGCAGAATTTGTCCAAAAATAACTTGATAGCTGGTACAGCCGATATTCAAAAGAGATTGCTTGACAAGACGCCATCTTTTTGTTTTTGCATTCTGCTGTTTTAGATTTAAAAAATTTTGTAATCGAGATTGTTCTAAAACAATCTACGAACTCTCCATCTTGGAATTTTTCATATTTATTCTTTATACAGAATTCTAAGTAATAAAAAAATTTATTGGTAACAAAAATCTAACAAACGAATTCGATGTTTCTTACAAAAATTATTAGAAATGTTAGAATTTGTATTCCATCCTCTTACGAAAATTAAAAACCTAAAAAAATTATCCATGAATCCCACCATCATATAAACAGAAGAGTATAATTTCCAGAACCATGAGGAGCTACTCGAATCTCCATAAAAATCCTAATTCATTCCACCCTAGTAGAAACTTCATTATATCTATGATGCTGTGCATGAGAAGCAAGAATTCATTAGGACAAGAATCAGGAAAAAAAAAATTAAGATCTTGACAAATTTCAATCCAAATTTTATTAGACCAAGCTAATTACGATAAAGATTGATAATTCACAGTTTCATAATCAATCAAGCAGAAATAAATTTCATAGAATCAGGTAGAGCATTGAAGCTCTGGGAAGATGTCTTCAAGGATCAAAGATGCCATATGTTGATAAGCCATTTGCGTCAGATGAATTCCATCCCAGCTGATGTATCGATCAGGTTGAGGGCAAACCGGTACACCAGGAGCTCCACATAATTTCTTAAGATTAAATCCATAATCTCCTCCAGTCCCACAACAAGCCTTTTGTACCGATTTGGCATCAAAACCTGTTCATATAAAAGAAAGAATAAAATGTGAATCAAAACCCTGTTGTCTAGTAGTTTTGGAGGGTCTAAAGATGCTCACCAAGCGATGAAACATGACTCAAAATCCATTGAAATGCATTATAATGATCAGCATATGCAATGGCCACTTTAGGGTGTTCCTTTTTCAATTCTTCAATGGCTTGTTTAAGATGATCGTTATGATAAGCAGAGAAGTTATTCAATCCTTTTAGGCAGTGAAATTTATCATAAGCGTCGGTATTGTTGTTCTGGAATCCAGTAAGATGGATTGGAGAACAACCGATTGGAAAAATTCCAGGGACAATCACACGTCTAGCACCATAGCCAATAACTCTCTGCAAGCCAACAATTAGCATTAATGATGATTTTTCAACCACAAAGAGAACGAACAAAGAAATTCTGATATCAAGTTATTAAGGAAGTAATTAGCATACCGTAACGGCATCTTTGATGGCTAGAACAACATCAGGCACCAGGTGTTTTACCTCCTCCATTGTTTTACCCTGAAGATATGCGTAGTCATAGTCATTGCCTCCGATCTCCCCAACAATGAAGAGGGAATTTTTAAGTTTTTCAACGCAATCTATACATCAAAAATTACAAAACAGATGAGAAATTTTGCATAATTTGGAAGTGATATGTATCTCTAGTACTAGTTGGTTACCTTGCTCATTGAAACAGATTGAATTGAAATGACTGAACATCCAGTCAAGTTGGAAGCTAAGAGAACTATTGGTAAGTGGTAAGATTTTCTTTTCGGCAAGAACATTGGCAGGCAAGGCAGTGGAGCCAGCAACTGCAAAATTCACTCCATGGCCGCTAGTGAAATTTCCACTCGGATTCAAGTAGGCATCAAGGAATGGAACACCGGCCGAACGCGCTGCAAATTAGAAGGAAAACGAACACATCAGATGAACAACAACGACAACAAGCAAAGCTAGTAAGAGATTTGAAGAAAAAAACAAGTTCTTCGATCTTTTACTGACCAATAAAATCAATCATCAGCATCCCATTTGAGCATCGACCAGTGGACTTATTGAAAAAGGTCTCGCCATAAGGAAACTGAGCACATACAGATGAAGGTTTCTCCTGGATCAAATTGCCTGTGTCTGATGTCGAATCACCAAGCTGATAAATTGCATCAAACCCACAAGATTTCAGAGACTTTGCATTGGATGCATAAGCAAGTGCAACAAGGAAGAGCAGGCTAATTAGAACTAAAGCTATAGCAATTTTGATGGTAGCCATATATAGTCTAGGACAAAAGTTAGCTGTGGAAGAATATGTGATCTCAAAGCTCCATACATGTGCTATATATAGGACTTGTAGCTTTACAGGATTCAATGTAGAATCCAATCAGTCGTCAGCTTTACTTTGCAAATCCCTTTTGATGTAGAATTTAATTTTTGTGATGAAAACGAGGAGTTGGTGAAGCAGTTTAGTCCCTGTATATGCCAAAAAGGAATGCAACTAGTCATTCAACAATACCATTTATGTGCATGCCATTTTCGCCTGAGCAGTCATGGTAAACTTTTCTCTCTCTGTCCAATTTCGAAGGAACGGATCGCTGCTTATCTGGTGATGCCATTTTAGATTTGGAGTTTCTTTTCTGAGGTCCTACTTTCCAGTCTTTGTGAGTAAATTATAAACTAATTCCTCTATTATTTTATTTCAAAAGATATCTTATTTTCTCTTCAATTTTTTCATAATATCTATTTATCTTCTTCTTTTTTTAAAAAAAAAAAAACAAATTAGAAAATAACATAAAATGCAGACTAAAGAATTATTTTTTGAAACAAGAAGACTAATATAATATACTCTATTCTTCTGCCTTTTTTGAAAAATTTAAGTTCTTTAGGCTGCAATGGGAAAACTCCCCACCACCCTATACTCTGTCTACTTAAGCCTTATGAGCTAATTAAATATCATATTAAATTTCAAATGATTTTCTTCACCTTTTCATACATATTGTTTCCATTTTACAAGATAACTTACACCATATCAGATTGTCATAATGATATTATGGCTCAATTCCAACGTATTTAGCACAATTCCTAATTTGTTTCGTCCTAAATGAGAGGTAGGTAGTAAATGAACTAAACAACTCCTTTAACGAAGCTTTTAGACCAGCAATCCTGATCATCCTAAGCAATCTACAAAACCTTGGTGGGATATGCAGAGATCGACTGTAACAAATAGAATTTAGAACCATTATAATATAGAGGACTTGCAAGCTCAAACCAATCCTATGATGCTGTAGCCAATTGACACAATCGCACTGATCCTACGATGTTGCATGAAACAAGAATCCACTGACGTAGCTGATCATAAGAGTTAAGCAGTTGAAAAGTAAGCTGTCACAAACTCAGAAACCACCAACTCCGGAATAAATTTCAACCAATTACTTAGCAGAGGCATTCAGTTAGGCCTAACATTGAAATCACTACAGTACTCAATTTTGAATGCCATAATAAAATAAAGTTGATGCACATCGTAAATGATGATCTTAGCAAATCCTTGATATTCTAAATGACAGTAACAATATTGCAAAAGCACCAAAACTCAGAAAAAAATTATAAAACGTTTAACTCAGCAAATGTACCATCACTTGATCAAACGAAAACAAAAAATTAAAGGGGGGTTCAATCTAGGAAACAACATAATCGAGGTTATGAGACCTAAACTTCAGTCTTCTTCCTCTCCCTCGTTCTCAGCAATGTTGAAGTATCTCAACTCATAAACATTGCGATCTTTGTTGGATGCAATCACTCGTAGCCAATCCCTGACATTGTGTTTCTTCAAATACTTCTTTGTCAAGTACTTGAGATACCTGTGCCCAAAACAAAATGGGACATTATGTGAGATAAGGCGCAAGGCATATATAGTGTTGCTGACACAGACTCTGGCAACTTTGATAAAAAAGTTAAGATGGGAATTGAATGATGTTATGGCAACCTCTACAAGCAAAGCAAATTGATAACAAACAGAAACTGAAAAGTCCATGTTCTAGGGAAACAAACAGGCTTCATGCCAAATGAAGTGACAATTGAAGCAAACAAAACAGTAAGAAATAGGTGAAGCAATTAGGGAAACAGAGAACCATCTATAAAACCAGCATAAGTTTCTACACCATGCAAGTTGTGAAATAAGTACCAAAGAGGTCATGTTTGGGCCAAAGCATTCACCACAACCGAAAAACTATTAATTACATGTTAACAGTGGGAAAAAAAAACTTATCAGCAGAGTTCACATAGGTTTCAGGGTGTTGGTCTAATTTTCCAAGCCACTAAACAAACCAAAGTCCTGCGATTATTGGAGATACACCATCAACCAAGAGAAAAACAAGCAAGCTTGCCAATGCAAAACAAGCACCTTGCCCTGAACAAATGAAACTCTCTCATGCCAGGTATCAAGTGTAGCAAGACAAAACACCTTATTATCATGATTTCTGAATGCTACAAAACCAAACAAACAAACCAGAACCACCACTGATCTCCTACGAAACTCTAGTTTTGCTTCTTGCTTACCTAAGACTTCCACTATAAAACAGATTCCCATTGTTTCAAATTGTCTATGTGATTAAAATCCAGCAAATTAAAATCAACTGGACAGCAAAGAAACCATTCAAAAGGTCCTAAACGTTTAAAAAGAAAGCAAAAAATCCCCCAATTCTTGAATCACAAAAAGTTTCGATATCATCCAAAACAAAACCAAAAAAACCAAATATAACAAAATATACAGCAAAACAAGAAAAGGGTTTTACCTTTTGGAGAAGTTACTATCAGAAGTGACAGTAATCTTGTTCTTCTCACGAGTAACAGTAACGGTATCGCCAAGGGCACCAGCTTTGCCTCCAACTTTGATCCTCTCTTGAAGAAACTTCTCCAATGACGCAATGTCCATGATCTTGTCCTCCACTGGCTTTGCACAATCGATTGTGAAGGTTGCACCCTTCTTCTTCCCTTTCGATCCTGCTGCTGCTGCTGCCTTACTCATCTTTGATTACTCTCTGAAATCAAAATCACCCCACGAATAAAAACACAAGCATGAAGAAAGAAATCGAGCCCTTTGTCATATTAAAATAAAAATGTAGAGAGAATTACCAGTAGAGATGGTGGAAGTGAAGGAGAAGAGGCGGCGTCTGTTAGAAGAAGAGATGCAGAGACTAGGGTTTTGGTTTATAAAGGATGGCTTTTTTAAAAAACATTCATCTTGAGGTTTAGCCCTTATAGATTGTCAAAATTTCACTTCGGTTCTTAATGTTTAAATTTCTCAATTTTAGCTCTGCCTACAGATACTCATTCCGACCTGTCGTAAAAACCCTAACTTTTTCTTGAGGTAAATGACAATGTTGGGAAGGAGTTTTTACACTTACCTTCTCCTTCAACCAATCCCTAACTCCACTCATTGAACTATAGTATTTTTTGCATTTTATTTTAGTATATGCATTGATAATTACTAATTAATATATTTTATTACACTTCAAAATTTAAAAAAAATATACTAAAAATAGTATAAAGAAAAAAATCGATCCAATCCCAAATCGAGAGGGACTTGGACATGACATGACTGCAAAATAAATTGCATGGTCAAAAATATATACAACAAAACTGATCTATACATACTTGTATTTATATTCTATAATTTGTAAGGGAAAATCACTGAATTCATGATAATAATTCTTAAATCTCCAGCAATTAATAAACGTTTTTTTTTTCTTTTAATCTCTCACTTGGCTACTTCCAAGATGATTTTTTTTTTTCCCTTTTGTAAAGAGATATTTTTAAATAAAAATAGGATGTTGAGATAAAAAATTGATCGGAGTTTTTGTTATGAAATATTAATTGTTTCATCTATTATGAATTCAAAAAGAGATCATCATATTTTCTTAAGAAAAGTCCAACAATTCTTTAAACATTAAATAATTACCAAGATCAAATAGAATACTAATTTTTATTTTTTATTCTTTTATCTTGGGGCTTTTTTTATTTTTATTTTTATGGCTCGAATAATTATCATGAGAACCATCCACCATACACTAGAAATCATTTTCGATACACGAAAACTAATTTACGATGAGAGAATAAATTAGGATGCCACTTTATAGTTGCACCGTTTAGAAACACTAAGCTTAGTGTGATCTGGCGAGTTAAGACTCGGTGAGGTGGTATAATATGATGTGCGTAGGAGTAGTGTTTGACATTAAGGACAACTCTCACGCGCTGTTAGATTAATCTAGGATGGAAGAAGAGAAATACTACATTTTTTCCTCATCTTGTCCTGAAAAGTAGAAGTCAAATAGAATTGCTGAATAATTAGATCTCAAAATGGCAAATTTGTTTCTTCTTATTTATTTAGTTGGTAAACTTGAGTGTTTTAATTTCCCAAGTTCGCATACTAGCAGCCTGGTAACTAGAGCCTAACTGAGACAGAGACTGCAAAATGCAGCCTCCTCTGCCCTTCGTTTTTCACAGACAGTGCAAAACCTGTTCTATGATTCGACCTTCACAATCGGACCAACAAGCTAACACACAAATTCTTGAGTGTATCACCACAGATCCACAAACCATAATGATCCAATAATAGAAATGCATATAACTGCAGCAGGCTGCTAACATTCTTAACATAATTTTCGCATCGAACTTTGTTTAAAAAAGCTCACTGAAAAACAACTTACACCTCTCTAGTAAATCTGTCATCCTATTTTCATGGTAGTACATATGAAAAATAATCATTTTTCACTTCATTCTCTCATGGTATTAAGTTAATCCAATTACAACCAGAAGATAAGAAAGAACAAAACTAGGAGGCAAAACTAATGGCCATCCAAGGTGGTGGTTATTATCTTTTCATTGCAGGCCCCAAATGCATACTGTATCTTGAATGTTTTAGTCCTTGTGTGGAAGGAAATCTGCATATCGTTCGGCCTTTGCTCCAGATTTATGGTCATAGTATTCAACCAAAGCAGCACCAGCTAATGCAGCGAGGGTGAGAGCCTGTGCGTGCAACCTGAATCCCAGTTGGAAGAACACAACGTTAACAAGTCGAAAGGTGAGCAGTATAAAAGATATGTTAGAACATCAGAGGGCATCAAAGAGTAGTAAAAGAAAAACATCTGCCCCGTGTGAACATATGAAAGGAACATATGGAGAACATGGCCTTATAGGCAGCAACTGCCAAGCAATAGGTATTTGAACACTTAACAATGGCTGCAACATTAAAAGCATTATGAGGAAAACATGCTTCTAGATGACTTCTCTCCTCTTTTTTTTTTCGAAATAAAAATAGGGATCCATGGGCCATGGGAGAATACAGACCTCCATACACAGTTCATTATCAAGAAAGACTATTCAAAGTCTTGACACATTCCGAGCTGACAACACAGTATTCAATCCCATACTTCACTGAGTATTGATTCTAATACCACAAAATCTGGTGAATTATTGAAAGACAAATTATGAAGAGCCATTTTCAGATTCCATGGTAAAAGTCAACGCTTGCAACCAAATGGTTATAATTTCCAGAATTAAGGATGATCGTTTTATGTTTAAGGGTATCCCCATCTACATTGCCCTTATGGTAGCACTGAGAACCACATAAGGTGATGGCCTTCTTTTCGATCTGCTAAAACATTTAGGCAGCCATGTGTTTTTACAGAATGTTCCTTTCCCCATGACATTGACAAACCAAATTTAGAGACAGGATTGGGCTGGAATGCAACTAAAATCGTTCTACAATTTGGTTTTTGGTTCAAATGCAAAGGATAATTAGGTAGTCTCTCAAAAGTCGAGTAGGAAACACCAATAACAGCATAAATTGAGGGGTGATCAACCAACAACTAAAGGAGCAAACAAATCATGACATTTGCTATTCTTTACTGATCATTACACAACACTAAGATACTATGAACAATTCACAATTGATCAGTTACCTACAAATCTAAAGTAGGTTGATTTCTAATCATCTCGATAGTTACCAAAGTCACCTAAAGAACTTCTAAACATCATCTATTTCCATATTAGGTACACCGAAAATGAACATGCTGCGGTCTATTCTATTACCAAGAAACAGATAATAAAGAAATTCAGAACTTCAAATTCCCAGCAAAAAACAAAAACATATATGTTCACTTTGTCATAATTTCTTCTTATTTCATAAGATACACAATCAGCAACTACAATCAGCAATTAAGATCAGATCACAGAAGGCAAAAAACAATAAATCTAATAAAGAAATCAAGAAAGAATGAAACTTTACCTAGCATGAATAATCTTGACACTGGGTTTCATATTGGGTTTGGACCAATTGTAGGCAACTGAACCCGTAATACCGCTAAGCCATAGACATCCTTCATTACAAAAACATCAAGTCAAAAAATCAACATCACAAAATCAAGAAAAGAACAAAAGGAAAGAACTCTGGTCCAGTACAAAATAAGCACCAAACGAAACTTAAAAAGAAACCTTTTTGAAACACGCCATCAAATCAAAAACCCAGATCACAAAATTTGAAGCAAAACGCAAACAACTTTGATTCAATAGAAAACAAAGCACTGAAAGAAATCTTAAAAGAAACCCTTTTAAAAACAAACAATCAAATAAAAAACCCAAAAAAAACAAAAACAATAAAAAGGAAAGACGAAAGCCAATGAATTACCAACAGTTCTAAGCTTATGTTCAACAACCCATTCCCTGACAGATTCCATTTTGCTCTTAGCATCAGCCATTTTTCACGAGAGAATCTTTTGTCTAAGCGAGAGAGGGAGGGGGAACGATTGAGGTTTTCTTGTGTTTTGTTTTTGTTGCGTTGGGGTGTATATAGCATGGGAGAGGGAGAGAAACAGCGGACGAAGTGAAGGAGAAATTGTGGACCGCTATTTAGAAACCGTGGGCAAGCAACACAGGAAGAGATCTAGCGTGTGGGGATTTAGAGCCAGTGACGTTTTGTTGTGGTCGGCTTGTGACATGTGGAAATTTGATTAATTAATGATACATTTGTTTTGTTTTGCGAAAACATTTTCACATGGAAAATATGCTTCGCAAAATATGTTATTTTTCATTATTTTGACGAGTCAAGAAAACTATTTTTCAAAAAGTAATCTATTTTTTATTAGTGATTTTTGAATGATGATAGTATGATAATAAAATTTATAATATTAGTTATAAAAGTATAAATAATAGTGGTGATAATGATAATAATATTTATGATAGTGATTATGATAATATTTTTGATAATGAGATAAAAATGATAATGAAATGTCAGATCAAGTGACGATAGTGTTAACGGCTCAGATGTTTTTTGTTGTGATGGCGGTGAGGAGATGATGAATGTTATAATATTTATGAAAAAATGATGATCATAATAATATTTATAGTGATGATTAATGAGAACGGGATGGTGGTGATAATTTTTATTGTTATCGTTATTGTGGTCTCGATAAGAAAGTTAGAAATGGATGTTGATGTACTTAAATTATGTTATGAGTAAATATTGTCAGTGAGAAGCACTAAAAAATACATTTTTCTTGTTTTCGGTAGGGTTAAAATATGTTTCTTTAAATTGGTGATATTTAAAAATTAATTGAAATATATTCTCTATTGACTTGTTTTTCAATTTATTTTGTATCGAAAAAAAAAACATTTTGTTGAAAAATATTCTCCATGAAACAAACATAGTCTAAGGTTTGAAATTAAATTCGATCATAAAAATGTTTTTAGAAAAAAGTTAGGAATATGGGGGTGGCTTCAACGTGTGATTGAATTGATGAAAAGTCTTCTTTTGGGCCTTAGACTCTTGGAGAGGACTCCGTGCTTCGCCTAAGAATTTCTTTTGAATTTGCTTTAAACAAAGCAATAGCAACTTGTGCGTCAGCCATTTTCACTTTTTTTTAATATTTGTTTGATGGTCAAAGTGAAGCTCTATGTGCCACACGACACGTCAAACTCATGATGCGTCTTTCAATTCAGTTCGGTAGATGGGGATAAATTTAATAAAAT